CAAGTCCATCCAATCCATGCCTCCCCCCCTACCCGCATCTCTCCTTCCCTCCGGCTAGTTTACCCTACCCATCCGCCACCAGAAAGAACAGCGATGGTAACCCGCGGCCTAGGTCGCGGGCGCCACGGCCGGCATGCCACCGCATCCCGCTGAAAGAAGGTTCCTCTATCGGAGCAGCTTGTAAGTCATTCCCAGTCGTGGCATCGGACGCATCACGCGACAGCGACAATCTAACATGCGCGACAGAAGCACGCCGACATCCAGCAGCAGGCTGCTGCGCTTGGTCAGAAGTACATGGGCATACAGGCCAAGTCGCACATGGAGCAGGTCTTCAAAGCGCCCTACATCGCCGACGGCAGCCACCCGGTGCCCGTCAGCAACTTCCTAAACGCCCAGTGTACGTTTTACCGCTCTTGGACGCTTCGCAACCGCGTGTGACAGCTACTTACTCGCCACAGACTTCTCCGAGATCTCCCTCGGCACGCCACCCCAGACGTTCAAGGTCGTTCTCGACACCGGCAGCTCCAACCTCTGGGTGCCGTCGTCTGAATGCAACTCGATTGCATGCTACCTACACACCAAGTACGACTCGTCGTCGTCGTCCACATACAAGAAGAACGGCACCTCGTTCGAGATCCGCTACGGATCCGGCGAGCTGAGCGGCTTTGTGTCAAACGACGTCTTCCAGATTGGTGACCTCAAGGTCAAGAACCAGGACTTCGCCGAGGCCACCTCTGAGCCTGGACTCGCGTTTGCCTTCGGCAGGTTCGATGGCATCATGGGCCTTGGCTACGACACCATCAGTGTAAACAAGATTGTCCCACCTTTCTACAACATGCTCGAGCAGGGCCTCCTTGACGAGCCCGTCTTTGCCTTCTACCTCGGCGACACCAACGCCCAGCAGGAGTCTGAGGCGACCTTTGGCGGCATTGACGAGAGCCACTACAGCGGCAAGCTGATCAAGCTTCCTTTGAGGCGCAAGGCCTACTGGGAGGTTGACCTCGATGCCATCACTTTTGGCAAGGAGACTGCCGAGATGGATGACACTGGTGTTATTCTGGACACCGGCACATCGCTTATTGCTCTTCCCTCCACCATTGCCGAGCTTCTGTATGTTGATTCTAGCCACAAGTAACCTGATAATGTCGCTGACTATCCACAGGAACAAGGAGATCGGAGCCAAGAAGGGCTTCAACGGCCAGTACACTGTTGAGTGCGACAAGCGTGACGGTCTGCCCGACCTCACCTTCACGCTCACTGGCCACAACTTTACCATCAGCGCTTTCGACTACATTCTTGAGGTTCAGGGATCTTGTATCTCTGCCTTCATGGGTATGGACTTCCCAGAGCCAGTAGGACCTCTTGCTATTCTCGGCGATGCGTTCCTCAGGAAGTGGTACTCTGTCTACGATGTCGGCAACAACGCCGTCGGTCTTGCCAAGTCCAAGTAAAGGTTCTGATATTGTATGTCCTGCACGTTGATTGAAGTACTTTGGTTCGTCGGTTGAAAGCTCTTGGATCAGAATGTTCGTACGCATAGTAGCTTGCGTCTTTGGTTTGATACATGGATATGTCGATTAGCGCGAATCAAATCAGGAATGAAGCAAGCCAAGTGTCAAGTGGTTGGTACTGCAGTGATGATACTTGATTCGTTATGCTTTCAAGAGAACTCCGTACAGCTTCAGGAGGACATCCGTTGCTCAGTCGGTGCGTTGCGCCAGTACAGAGCGTTATCGATAGGCGGAGTGATGACGCACGAGCTTAGCTTCCCTTGACAACAGTTGAGTGCTAGCAACAGGATATTATGACAGTGCTAGAGACAGTCGACATGTCCGACAATAGGCGGTCCCTACGATATTGTTGAGCCGCAGCCGGAAGGTCCACGGACAGACTGGCAGCCTGGCACGTGTCTTATCACCCCACGTACTGCAGGTGCTCATGCAAGTGTCCCGGCGCTAGCACTTGAGAGTACTGTCTTGTGAGCGCACCAGCTGTCAGCGCATCGTCCGTCATCTCGTTGTTCACCATGTAACGGCGTCGCTCTCTAACTGCCTACCGCAGTGACCGCTTCTGCCTGTATAGCCTCGTTCGTGCATCCCCTGCACCCAAGCCCCGTTGTTTGCCGCAGCACTTCCGCTCGTAACCCAGAAGGCCCCCAGAGCACAACGAAACGTCCCACCACAGCCTTGACGCTACACGCGCTACCCACATTCACCATGGCTTCACAAGACAGAGGGCGAGATAGAAGCAGCCGTAGGCTGACGAAGAAGCGCAAAGACATCGGACGGGATACACGCGGCTTGTCGCTGGACATCCCAGAGCGCTTCAAGGACGGCGACGATGCGCAGGAAGATGTGACTGCGCCAAAGCGCAGCGACGCCATGTCCATGAACCAGTCAATATTCTCCATCATCGCTCGCGCTGGAGGGCAGTCACAAGTAGATCTAGGCACCATGCAGGAGGTGGACTCGGGCGACAGCGACGATGATGGCAAAGGGAAGACACTCCATGACCGCCTGGATGGTGCTGCGAGACTCAGTAGGCTGCGTACCGCGAACGACTTCCGACCGCCACAAGAAGACTCCAGAGCCGAGAAGATAGGGTCTGGGAAGCACCGCAGAGCACTGTCCGAAAACAAGCTGCTGCGGTCCCTACCCAAGCTGAAGATATCAAGCAGGAAAGACGTGCGATCCGACGGCCAACACACCGACCAAATGTCTTCCTCCCAGTTTCTGCCGCCTCGGCCATCAACAGAAACACCATCCGAGACGCACAAGCGCGGCGATGCCTTGAAAGGGAAGGCCAGAGCCACTACAGGCGACGAAATTCACGTAGAGAAACAAAGGAAATCGGAGCGGAGGGGCGGGCAGGGAAGCTCGGTCGGCCTAGCTCAGAGTCGAGGCCCCGTATCACTCGCAACTAGGATACAACAGATTTTCGAATTTGAGCATGCCGAGGAGGTGATCTCTGAATATCCATGTTGGTTGCTTCAAAGCATACTACTCCAGGGATACATGTATATCACTCAGAAACACATTTGTTTCTATGCCTACATTCCGAAGAAGCATGTAAGACTTTCCAATTTACGATATACATCGAACTATATCTGACTATCACAGCACGATGTCAGTAAAACGGGCTACCTTTACAAGCGCGGCCGGTCAAAATACAATCGATACTGGTTCATCCTGCGCGGCGATGTGCTGTCGTATTATACCAATCCAGCAGAGCTTTACTTTCCACGAAACCGTATCAATCTGCAATACGCCATCTCTGCTGAGGTCGTCGAGAACAAGAAGAAGGGCGAGTATGAGACTATCTTCACAGTCACCACGGACGAGAGAACCTACCAATTCAAGGCTGATAGCGCTGCGAGTGCCAAAGAATGGGTCAAATCTATACAGAAAGTTATCTTTCGTACACACAACGAAGGCAACAGCGTCAAGATATCAATGCCGATTCGCAATGTCATCGAGATCGAAGAAAGTTCCATATTAGACTTTGCAGATACGGTCAAAGTCCGTGTTGTCGACAATGGGGAAACATTCGCCATCGACGAGGTATGTTTATGTACATCCTTGTACAGTGTATGCTAATACAGGCAGTATTTTTTCTCATTCTTCAACAGAGGGCAAGATGCTCTCAACGTGCTGCGCATTATGATCAACGACAATGAACATCACCAGGTCTCTACTGAAAACCAAGTCAATCCCACACCAATCACCGCGCCCCTGAAAACTTCAAATCGCCACAGTCTTGTTGTGTCGCCAATAGTTCCTGATGACACACCACGTATCAAAGAGAACGTCCGCGCCACTCTTTCACCTTTGCCCAACCCAAACGTTGGACGATCGAGTATAAGCGATATCTCTGCGCGTTCCAGTACCGACGTGCCTCGAAAGAGTTGGGATGTACGACGCAGCATGGACGCTAGCCGCGCTCTCCGCCGCTCAAGTCATGAAGTACGACGAAGCTTCAGTGGTGGTCGTAGTGAAAAGCTTACCAAAAGTCGCGCACCTGACCGTTCACCGTTGTCCCCAGCAGCAGACACTGAGTCCGCTACTCTCTCACTAGATCCCGGCACCGAGTCTTCGGCTGCTATACAGTCGATGGACGAAAGTAGCGCATCAGCTTCACAAATTTTGAATCGCTCGGACGTATTCCGTGCGCCCGCCATTCACTCAGCGGGCGTTTCCCACTCTGAGCGACCGCAACAGGCAGCACGGCATTCACAAGATACAACGCGATCTTCTGGCGCCGACCAACACCTGCAATTATTGGTTCGTCCCTCGAAGCAGACCAACACCTCCCTGTTGCCTGCCTCAACTGAGGCTGAGGAGGACACAGACCCCAGCCAAACACTCCCACGTTTGTCAAATTCATCCTCTGCCCTTCAAGAAATCGCCTCGTATCCGCTTCAAAAAGCGTCTGGAATTGCAGGGTTCCTTAGGATGCGCTCGAAGGAAATGGGCTCCTTGCTAGCGACTGAATCAATGGGTTATTACGAGAAGGTCTCCGGTATGCTGGCGGGTGGTCGCAAGCACTACAACACTGCCGACGGTTTAGAGCCTCACGATCAAATACACGGCATCGAAGATGATGATGATGCAGCAAAGGCCGCTGACAATTTCCGCGAACACTTTGCATTTCCGGAATCTGAAATACTTCAGTCATCGTTCTTTGCTTCATTGCAACGAATGCTTCCTAATTACGGCAAGATCTATATTAGCGGAAGATATTTCTGCTTTCGTAGCTTGATGCCCACGTCGAAAACCAAGGTAGGCTTGTCAATTGACCTCACTTCAACCTTGAACTTACAATCATAGATCATTTTACCTATGAAAGACATTGAAAACGTCAACAAGGAGAAAGGCTTCCGTATGGGGTATCACGGTCTAGCAATCGTGATACGTGGCCACGAAGAGCTGTTCTTCGAGTTTTCAAAGGCTGAGTATCGAGACGAATGTGCCATCACAGTACTCCGCATTCTGGAGAATACCAAATATATCGAAGAAGCGTCTTCGTCTTCTGGTGTCGACAGCGACGATGAGGCTGCCAAAGCCGAACACGATCTCCTGCAGCAGGCACGAGAGCAATCCGACACCCACGAACAAATCGATGTATCAGAGATTGCACGTGCAGCGGACCATGATCGTATACCACTGATATTTGACGATCCGCTGGCATCCTTCGTCGACTTTAAGCCACCTGAACCTCTGACAATTGTTTGCCTGACAATTGGTTCTCGCGGAGACGTTCAACCATACATTTCACTCTGCAAAGAGCTGCTCAAGGAAGGCCACAAGGCGCGGATCGCAACACATGCTGAATTTGAGCCATGGGTTCGGAAGCATGGTATCGACTTTGCCCCTGTCGATGGCGACCCCGCTGAGCTGATGCGAATCTGTGTCGAACACGGCATGTTCACATACGGCTTCATAAAAGAGGCGAACTCAAAGTTTCGTGGGTGGCTCGACGACGTGTGTAGCTCATCGTGGCGCGCCTGCCAGGGTGCGGATGTGCTCATCGAGAGCCCTAGTACCATGGCTGGCATACACGTCGCAGAAGCCCTTGAGATCCCTTACTTTCGCGCCTTCACTATGCCCTGGTCGCGCACTCGAGCTTATCCACATGCTTTCTCGGTCCTGGAGAACAAAATGGGTGGAGGCTACAACAATATGACTTACCAATTATTTGACAAACTATTCTGGACAGCGATTAGTGCTCAAGTAAACAAGTGGCGTCGGCGGGAGCTGGGGCTACAAAACACTTCTCAGTCCAAGATGCAGGCCAACCTTCGACCCTTCTTGTACAACTTCAGTCCTCATGTTGTTCCACCCCCCCTTGACTGGCCTGATTGGATTCGAGTCACGGGCTACTGGTTTCTTGACGAGGGCGACACCTACCAACCGCCTGCGGACCTGGCAGCCTTCATCACACAGGCGCGAAAAGATGAAAAGAAGCTAGTCTACGTAGGCTTTGGCTCGATAGTCATCGACGATCCAGCAGCTCTTACGAAGACTGTGGTGGATTCTGTGCTCAAGGCGGATGTGCGCTGCGTACTTTCAAAAGGCTGGTCTGACCGTCTCGCGACCAAGGATGCATCGAAGCCAGAAATTCCTCTGCCGCCAGAGATTTTCCAGATACAGGCTGCGCCACACGACTGGCTATTCAAACAAATGGACGCAGCTGTGCACCACGGTGGCTCAGGCACAACCGGAGCAAGCCTTCGAGCTGGTATCCCCACAATCATCAAGCCCTTCTTCGGCGACCAATTCTTCTTCGCTCAGCGCGTAGAAGACATGGGTGTGGGTATCTGGCTAAAGAAAGTCAACACTAGCGTGTTCAGTCGTGCTCTGTGGGAGGCAACAAACAGCCAGCGTATGATCATCAAGGCGAAGGTTCTAGGTCAAAAGATTCGCAAGGTAAGAGACATGATGCCCACCATCTCCAGATCCCAAAACTAACATGACCCAGGACAATGGTCCACAAGTCGCCATCCAGACAATATATCGCGAGCTAGACCGAGCTCGAACACTTGTCAAGAAGCATGTGAAGCAAGACGACGAGCAGACAGACGAGTTCGAAGAAGATTGGACCATGATTGAAGAAGGTCAAGACGTAGACGTCTCTGCGCATCATTTTGAAGCCCAATCACCACTGGTGGGCATGAACCAGGACGCACCTCGCACCGGTGGAGGATCGCTGGTGCTGGGCAGTATGGTGATGAAAGGGGCGCAGAAGCGCAATTCGGAGTCTGCCTATAGAGATTGAGCGTACTGTAATTTGGCAATGAGCATAGCAAACCGGCGCAAACTGGACTCCTTGGTGGATACGAGGACATGGAATGGTAATATTGATCGAGACTTTGGTTAGGTTTAGTTATGGAATTCAAAGTCACTAGATACTCATTGTTCGTGCGCAATGTATCTACAAAGAATAAGCACTGTCCCCAGGAACTTCAGTAAAGCTGGATATACTCATGGCCTTTTAGCATTGTGTACCACGCTGATAACTCATCGAGCTTTCGAGTCTTGTATATAAGACAATGCCCTTCTCAAATATTACTTCAAGTTAAAACAGAGTGCGCACGAATTATTGCAACACTTGGTGCAGCCACAGGCTTCTATCAAGAGAAAACCAAGCCCAGACACATGGCCTGTTGCACATTCCAGTCAGGTAGGCTTGACTCACTGCGCCAGTTGTGTGAGCAGGTGGTAGCCTGCAGCCTATCTATATACGGCGATCATGTTCTCACTTTGCAACGGAATATGTTAGACGGAATTTGGATTGCAATGTCGGATGGGCGATCAATATCTGTATCCTTTCATAGCCCGCATTCGACGCATGACAGGTTGCGACTTTGTGGTCATCCTTTGTCTCTGCCAGGCGATGGAGATGCTTGAGGTGCGCGGCTGAGCGCACGTGACAAAGCTAGCCAGGGCGGCTTGACTATTTAACAGTCAGACGCCCGCCACTTTTGGGGGGCTTAAAATGCCAAGAACTCTTTGGGAGACAGTTGCAAGTGGAGCCAGAACCGCCCGACGTCAATCCCTGTCATTGCCAACCAGGACCATATTTGCTTAGCATACCTAGGCACGATTCGCTCCTATAAGCAGCTGTTCCCACAGCACTTGCGAATTGTCACGGGGACTTGCGCCTGTCCGAAGTTACGACCTGCAGCGTCATAGCTCTCTCGCGTCCCGTCCAAGCTCCAGCTCCAGCTCGGCCGTGCCGAATGCGCCGATTAGCAGCGCGACGCGACTGCCACAACACCACATAGCGAGTCGCATGGGCGCCCGCACACGGAATGAAGATCTCATCGCCGCCGGGACTGCGCTATCCCTACACAATCCAGGCGCTGCACAAGCGCAAGGACGAGGATGTCAAACGTTCCGACAAGCTGTTCACGTGCTGGTACGAGGAGACTGTGACCGAGGAAGACAGGTGGGGGGTTGAGGAGCAGGTCAAGAAGAAGTGGCAGCAGCATTTCGATGCGACGACCGGCGGGAAGATTGCGCGATGGTTCGTGAAGCCGGGGACGGTCGTTGTTCGGCCTGGGTAGGTTGCCCCCAACGCGATGCGCGCAGGCACAGAGTGATGTTAACAGTCGCAGAGTCGAGCTTGTCGAGATAGAAGAGCCATGCACGCACGAAACGCAATTCGGCGGCCTCTGCGTCGACTGCGGCGAAGACATGACCAAGGTCGACTACCTCACCAAGGAGCGAGACGTAAACCGCGCGACCGTCAACCTGACGCACGACAACACGGCTTTGCTCGTCAGCCACAACGAAGCGGTCCGCGCCGAGGAGGACACCAAGAAGCGGCTTTTGAACTCAAAAAAGCTGACCCTGATCGTCGATCTCGACCAGACCGTTATCCACACAACCTGCGAACGAACAGTCGCCGAGTGGCAGGCAGATCCCGAGAACCCCAACTACGAGGCCGTGAAAGATGTCAAGGGCTTCCAGTTGGCTGACGACAACTTGTCAAACGTGGCCGCAAACTGGTACTACGTCAAAATGCGCCCCGGCCTCAAGGAGTTTTTTGACAAAATGTCAAAGCTGTACGAGATGCACGTATACACCATGGCGACCCGCGCTTATGCGCAAGCCATCATGAAAATCATCGATCCCGACCGCAAATACTTCGGCGACCGTATCCTCAGTCGAGACGAAAACTACACAGACAAACTGAAGAACCTTACGCGACTCTTCTACCAAAACACAGCCATGGTGGTCATTATAGATGACCGAGCAGATGTCTGGCAATACAGCCCGCATTTGGTCCGCGTTCCCGTCTTCAACTTCTTCCTGGGCGCGGGCGACATCAACGCAGCCTTCCTGCCAAAGCAGCAGGAGCTCGTTACACAAGCAAAGGACAAGCCGCCAACGCCTCCCAACAAGGTAGCGCAAACGGAAACAGGACTGCCTGCACCTGTCTCAGTTGCTGGTAAGCCCGCGGAACCCGCGCCCACAGATGCAACAAACGGCGACTTGAACGACATTGGCCAGCAATTACTAACCATGGCAGCAGGCGAAGGCGGAGAAGTTCTTGAGCAGCAAGCGAAAGAACAAGAAAAGGTCATCATCGCACAACAGACTGAGAGGCCTCTCTTACAGCAGCAACTCATGCTAGACAAGGAAGATGCTCAAGCAGAAGATGCAGAAGTTTTCCCCGAGGCTCCCAATGGTGAAATGGAACATGTAGAGCACCCCAAGGCACGGCACAGTGTTCTCAACGATGACGACAGAGGCCTTGAAATCATTGAGAAGCACCTGGTACAGGTGCACCGCACATTCTACGACGAGTATGTGAAGGCAAAAGCAATACCAGCTGGCGGTCGCATCGCGGAGCTCAAGGGAGAGAAGAGCCCGAAGAAACGTGCGCTCAGTGACATCATCCCTGATGTTGCTGAGATTATGCCCCGCATCAAGGAAGAGGTGCTTGATGGCGTAGTCGTCGTCTTTTCGGGAATTATCCCGCTAGGCGTGGACGTTCAGACGTGAGAACTCAGTTGCAGTTTCAAAAATTTGTACTAACATGGACAGATCCGATTATGCGCTTTGGATAAGGAGCTTTGGCGCCGAAGTTACCACAAGCGTCAACCGCCGGACCACACACGTTATAGCTAACCCGGACCGGAAAACGACAAAGGTCAAGCAGGCTGCGCGATATCAGCACATCAAGATTGTCAACCCCGAATGGATGTTCCAGTGCTGTACACGGTGGGAACATGTCGACGAAACGCCATACAGCATCGAAATAGACCCTGCTGAGCGTGGCGGCTCTCCTTTCGGCGAGCTCGAGGACGAGAGCATCAATGCGACTGGCGACGAAGAGCCAGAAGAGCCTGCGGAATCTCCAGTCGAGCTCGAGCTGACAGCAGATAACTGGGCCTCTGTGGACGACGAGCTGGCAGATTTTTTGAACGAAACCGATACCGATGATGACCATGAATCAGATTCAGATAGTGTCCGCTCGGACAACAGCACAGCGTCAGATGCAAAGCAGAATAAGAAGAAGCGGAAGCGAGCTGCTAATTCCGCAGACGTCAGCGAAGCTGAGGAGAGCGATAGCAGTGTGGCATCGGCGTCCAAACTTCAACGAAGGAAGAAGCGCACCATGGAGCGGGTTACATCATTAACCAACGTTCTCAGCGCAGACAAGTCCTCAGGCCTGCCAAGCCCCGAAACTACCGGACCAGAAGAAGGCCAGGGAGACGATGAAGAAAAAGCTCCCGCAACAAATGGCGTCACGCCGGATTTGCAAGAGGACTATGATGATGGCTTGGAGGCAGAGCTATTGGCAGGCTTTGGGGATAGCGACGATGAGCATGCGTGATTCTTGCCGGCTGTTCTCGTTCTTACGTATCTTGGTTCATTTGCCTGCATAGCGAGGTGTTCGGCATCCGGCGTTCTTTTGTAACATCTTGGCATATATCTATTGGACATTTGGATGGTTCTCCAAGGTATTGCATATTAGCCAGATTTTATCAAATTAACCTATTGTAAAGACATGGTCCTTGTGAAAAGACGGCACTGGCCCTTGACGGCACAGGCCCTTGGCGGAGCTGACGTGTGTGCAGCGTGTTGAAGACCTCTAGCTACGACTGCGCTGCTGATACAAGACCTACTACCGACAACACGGTATCAAATGCTGCTTGACTTTGGACCTGTGTGATCTGGGCTTGGTGACTATTCAGCAGCTCATGTCACACGAGAACTGCATCTGGAAAAGCAAAGCCTACAGTGCCTTTCACGTTACAGGGATCGCCATTTGGCGACTAATAACGGCGAGCCACGACAAGCTTACCCCAGCTCTCCAGTGCGCCTAGCGTAATCCTAGCGTGGGGCATGCATTAGACCCTGGTTTGTGAGGCTGAAGCTAAGCTGCACTTTTGGCTGCCTTTCAACAAACGCTTTCCGACACTCCACCTCTCTCGCTTGTGCTGACCGGTCGCATCAGTGGCACCCTCTTTGTCATACCTCCACCAGGCAACAAGCCCAGCTCTCCGACACTCGTATGGGCCTTTAATAGAGTCGTCTGCCGCGTATCTGGAAGTTACGGTTCCACAGAGACCATTAGGTTGCTGTCGGTTAAGTCGCAAGCATGGCGCCACGATTAACGTTCATGGATCTCTCCGTGGATCTCAAGACTTTGGTCATACAGCATGTAAGTCATCGGTGTTACTGGACTGCAAATCCAATTCGCTATCGACGAGATGGCGTAGCAGTAATCCTCTGCGCATTGCATGTTGTCGCATAGTCCTTTCGTTGCTTGACTACGTCCTAGCTGACATTTGGGCAGATCAATCGACCGACAGATCTGCGCAACGTCTGCCTCGCCTGCAAACAGCTTCATCAAATCGCCGTCCGTCAGCTGTACTACGAGGTTACGCTTGATGTTGGGTCACCTCAAGATACGCGCCTTGGTGCCTTCCTCAACCCTAAGAACATCGGGCTGCCTCACATAAGGAAACTTGATCTGTACCTAGCCGATGTTCCAGACAAATGCAACCAGCAGCAGCAGGCGGATTTTGCTATCCGAATGATCCTGGAGTTCTTACCGGAAAACATTTTAGAGAAGTTCTCATGGCACCCTTGGTCGCCATTCTCTGGTGATAATCTGGTCCTACTGTACAAGAAGCAGCAGCGAATGAAGTGGATGGAGAGCATTGCCCTAGACAGGGACGTTGTAGAAGAGCTGGAAAAGCTTCCGGATCTCGATAAGGTCTTCCAGAGCGTACGCAAAATTGGCTTGTACCCAGATACTCGGGAGGTACTGGACTTCTGCCATTTCCTCCTGAAACACACGGCAAACAAGACGCTGGAGAAGATGACGCTCCACGCCAGCTTCGAGGAACTCGATTCGCCTATGCCGCAACGGAACCTCCATGACTCGTCGACAGAGCCTGGACTTATTACGTCGACCATGTTTGCTCACATGCAGCCTTTCGCCAAATGTACTCCAATTGCGCTCAAACAGGTCACTCTGCAGAAGATAAAACTACGGTATGCAGCAGAAACCTATTGCAAGCTCATCGACTTCCGCTCAGTGAAGAGCATCCGGGTCTTTGGGTGTCCTGGAGCTGATGCTCTATTAGCCGAGCTGTCGAAGAGCACAAAGTTGCCCAACAAGCTAGAGACGCTGGAAATCAAGCATGAGGATAACACGGAGAATGACGGTCTTGGTGCCCTAGATGGATTCCTGTGTCTCGTCTCCGGCATCCAAGTCTTGGCCTTGGATCTCACTTACTGCAAGAGTCTGCCTTCTTCCTCCGGTATCGTTCGACACGGAAAGACGCTGAAGCAGCTCAATGTTCATGCTAGCATCAGCCCCGACAGCTGCGACGATGAACTCGTGTATGATTATGCCTCATTCTCGCAAATCTGCAAGGACTGCCCACTACTGGAGCAGGTCTCTGTGGCATTCCCGCAAGTGAGCGTGATCCGCACTAAGAATGAGAGCTTCATCGATTTCGAAAACTGCCTGGCCAATCTTCGGAATCTCGTAACTCTCCACATCACGACGTGGCCTACCAACAGTCCCTCTTCAACGAGACTGCCACGCAAGATATACGAGCACCTGCTGGCTAATATTGCCCAGCAAAGCTTCGAGCGTAGCTCAAGCCTTGCAAAGGAGCAGGAGCGTTCATCGAAATTGGCTATCGTCGCTTTTGGGGCGTCCGATAAGGTGTACGACCGTGAAGATAGCCAGAACCAGATCATATGTAGGTGTTTCTAATTGCACCCCTTGGAAGTAATTTGCTGACTAGATCTTATAGTTGTCAAGGGAAAGCAAGTCGACCCTCTCGGCAACGAGCAGTCAACAGCCGTGCAGATATCGTGGTGTTTGCGCAAGTTTGTGGATGCTGGCTCGAAGTCTGATGTGCTCGATTTCTCATTGACACGATCGTGTCGACCACCTGTGCGCAATGCGCCAGAGTCGGATGATTCGGACTGACAGACGGTTTCTGAGGGTGGATGGAATTAAGCTGTGAAGGACGGAGGATGGTTAGATACCTAATGAGAATATTGTCACTCGCTTCCTGAAGCTATACGCGGCTCTTTCATTGCACGATGGCGCGAATTCAGTCTCGTGAGTAGCCCCGGGCCCTTCTAGGAGACACTACCCCAGGCGTTCCCTGCTGCACGCACCGCGCAGACCATCGGGGGTCTTGGCGCCGGAGATTTCCGCGGGTCATCACAGAGGGACGAGGCGGATGGTCAGGTAGATGATGTTTACAACAAATTGTGATTGCAGGACGCGCGTGCGAAAGCTATTTGTTGTGGACTGGCACATGCGGGTTGTATGCGCGGCCGCTACCAACGACTTCTATCCCTCGCGACGGGTTATCATCGGGCTGCTTGCAACCCAGCACACATCATATCATGAGCTACCCCGACCCACCCACGACGAGCGACGCGCATTACACACCCATCTACCCGGCGACGCCCAGTCCCAATGCCACTCCCAATGCGCCGCTGCACGACACCCAGGGACTACCGCGCGCGCCCTACGCGCAGGAGCCGCCCTATACCAAGATTGAGAACCTCGACGTGCTGCAGGCGCACGCCTTGCACGCCAACCATGCGCTGAACGACCAGCGGGTGCCCGTACAACATGCGCTGCCCCCATTGGCACAGGCACCAACACTGCAGCAACAACAACAACAACAGCAACAGCAACAGCAACAGCAACAACAGCAACAGCAGCAACAGCAGCAACAACAACAACAACAACAGCAACAGCAGAAGCCGAACCGCCTGCGCAAAGCCTGCGACTCGTGCAGCATCCGCAAAGTCAAGGTTTGTCCATTATGGTAGCTCGCGGCGTGCTCTACTGACTCAACACAGTGCGACGAGACGGGCCCGCCATGTCGAGCTTGCATTTCCCTCGAGATCCCCTGCACCTTTGACCGTCCCAGTCGCCGCCGCGGACCGCCCAACAGACATGCCGAAGACATCAAGAAGCGGCGCCTGAACCACACCGACCCGCATTCTGGCCAGTCGTCGCCGCAGTCGCCCACCAATGCCGCCCACGCCCTCGCGCAGCTGCAGTCGTCCCACCCGCAGCAGCTGTCTGCCGAGACCATCTGCCCGCTGCCCACCATGAACGCGCTCATCGACGACTTCTTTATATACATCCACCCGCTGTGCCCCTTCCCGCACGAGCCGTCGTTCCGCGAGGCATGGGAGCGCAGAGAGGACTTCACGAACCCGTCTTTTTCTTGCACTGCTGGCGTCCATGATCGCTGCACTTGTGTCCTCCTTTCCCGCGCAAGCCGCGCCTCCATCTCAAGACACAGACACCGCCACGAGTATCCCTCACATCTCTCCCTGAGTCGACAAGTGCCGTGAGGTATGCACCCAGGCGCGCGGGACCCGGCTACCTCGACCGGGCATCTCTGAACGTCTATGATGCGTGTACGAGCTACTTTCTGGGCCTGACCGGATGCCTACGTCTTCCAATGGCAGGCAGCTTCGCCTCTACTTCGCCGAGTGTCTGACCATCATCCGCTCGTTGGGCCTGCACAAATCGGAGGCTCAGGGCTATACCTACCTCGGCAGCGTTCCAAGCGCTTGGGGCTCCAACGGACCCAACTTTGACGGCTCGCGGGAGTTCAAGCTGGATCACATTACGGAGCAGATAGGACGGAGAGTCTTTTGGACTGTCTTCGTTGGCGTACGGTAAGCGCCTACCAAGCCGTTCAATGTGGTGGACATGCTAATTCAACTGGCAGGACTATACAACAGCTGGGCGCGTCTTTTGGCGAGTTGACCATCGCCCCAGCTACACCAACTGAACCTCTCCCTCCACTGCCTGTTGAAGTAGACGATGTATACATATTCCCCCATCAGATCCAGCCACAACAGCCCAGTGTCGTCTCTTTGATGACTGGCTTCAACCTTAACGTACGCGTCTTCTTATCGTATTCCTCCCTTGCCACGGCAGAGATGGCTTTCGGCGTCGATGAGATCTTCGACTGGGATCGCCAACAGCGTATCTTCGAGCAGAGTCTGGAACGCTGTCGCATGATCCTTGACAGCATACCAGAAGTTCTGCGGGTGCAGCCAGGACCGGGACGAGAGAGCGGCCTTCCACAAAGACAGCCGTACTACCCTCCGATGCCCGAGTTTTCGGGTTTAAGGGATCCAGCACTGGCCAATGTTCGTAATCCGGAACCTCAAGACTTGCGCCGTTACGAGATTCAGAAAGCCAACGTCTATGCTAGTCATCTTGCAACACGCTCTTACCTCGTTGAGAAATACTTCATACAGCTGGAGAAGTTCACAAAGGCCCAAGAGCAAGCCGAACTACATAGCCCACCTATAGGATTAGCTGCCGGTTTGGACAGGATAGTGCCGCCATCCATTACCAATGGTGACGCCCTAGAGAAGATGATGTCAGAGGAACGCGAGCAAGTCGTGAAGGACCTGCTAGTGGTGCTAGGAAGCATTGACATGGTCAACATGGAGCCAAACGGCGACTCCTTCGTAAGTCACTACGTTCACTTACAAGACTCTGACATTGTCTACGAAGCCGGCGACGGCCTACTTGTTTTCTGTCCAACCAATATGCTCTTCAGCTCGCAAAGCTTCAGTCCAATCACATGCTTACGATTTGTTCCAACACAGACACAAAAAATTCGGGCAATTGCGAAGACTTTGCTCGAAGTGCCCAAAGAGCGCAAAGGTAGTGTGGCGCTTCAACACCAAGATTACCTTTACAAATTCTTGGATATCCTGAGCAAGCTAGAACGTGTCAGCCCTGAGGCTAGCGATCCTGCAGCCAGCAGCGTGGACGAAGAGACGGAGTTGAGGCTATGGGCCGACTTGAAGGATCATCAATTGAAGTTCCAAGAGCAGGGTGGTGTCTACGGTTTCTCGTAATCGCTCCCTTGCGCTTCGTACCGAACGGAAGTCAGATAGGGTCTATTCAGAATCGGTCGCACCACCAGTCCTTGGTCCGATGTCTCCACCAGGCTCTGTATTATCATTCCCGCTTTCATGCAATCACAGCGTCTTACATGTGGCTCACGGCCGAAATAACAGCCTTTTGTAACATATCCTGCTCTCTGCCCACAAATGCCATTTGTTGGGACAATCGTGATAGCTCGCGTATCCCCACATTGTGTCGAAATGCCTTGCTGAGTCGTGTATGTGAGTTCATATCTTCCACCATTCGCTCTGCGGGCATGGGCCTAAGGCACGATGACTACCCCCAGACTTCCTGCTTGTCCCACCACACTTCTTGCGATACCTTCCAAACTCAATCCGCTCAACCTCGTCTCTGAATGCTTAATCTTTGCAATCTCGTATACGTGCTTTAAGCTAACTGTGCCAACTGTTCCCTTGGTCGCATTACCCACTGTAGGACTACTAGTGCTAGTCTTGCCTTTCTGGCCGTCATGGTTGTTCATTGGTCCCGGTACATTTCCAGCGCCTCGAATTTTGTTCTTTGTGGGTAGCACGCCGGCTGCACTGAGCAGGAGAGTCGCTGTAGGAGGTGTGCGAAGCGAGAAATGGAAAGATCGGTCGGGTCGGACAGTGATGCGCGCGGGTATCGGTGTGCCGGGGTTATAATGTGCTGTGCGTGCATTGAACTCCTTGAGTACAGTTAGGCAAAGAGCTGGAGCAGATTTGAGGTTGTGATACACACTTTGCAGAAATCCATGCTCTTCACACCTTTGCTACCCAATGCGGGACCGACGGGTGGCGAGGGCGACGCCTGCCCTGCGCCTACTATCAATTTCACGATCTGATCTTTTGCTATTGCTTTGCGCGCCATTGGGATGGTTGTCAATGATGCACTCTGTGATGCATGCGCTTGCGGAGAAAGGCTCGGGGGTCTCGGTGATGAGTTTTTCCGGACCGGATTCAAGGAGATTTGGCTGCCACCCACGGCGCAGGGCAGTCCGCTTCATATGTGGGGCAAAACGGAGCGATTGTGGGTGTCATGGGGGATGCGAAGCGCACGTGATAACGCGTTGTGGCCAATGATCGCCCCTGCATGTTTGACGCGTCGCACTTCCGCCACCATTGATCAACATCCCGACTTACATTCGATCACCGCAATTGCTTACGGCTTCGTCTCCAAACACGGCTCCTAGGAACCGCCGCAGCGTCTCAAGAACCGACCAGCCTCCTCTCATTCGCGATGCATCGCACAAAGGCTGTCGCGGCTGGCGAATGCACACCCGCGAAACCTGCAGCACGTCTGTATGGTGGCACACCCCAATCGGCAGACAGTCTTCGCAAGCCATTCAGATGCCCAGGTTCTGCAACTTCAACTCGTGTATCAGAAAAGCCTGCTAGGAAGAGGCGGAAGGTCGACTACTCCGGCGCAGGTGGTGAAGATGGAGAGAGCGACAAACCATACTCAAACGACGACCGGTTAGCGCTGGCGACTCGAGACGCGAATCGATTCCCAGTCTTCAAGGCAAAAGACAAAGACACCCTGTTCAAGCAAAGGTTCTCCGTGCCTCTCCTGAACAAGGACATTGGCGCTTACAACGCGAATCGCCCTGCTCCTCTCCTAGGAATGCGACTAGGAACCGTATTCGTTGCGCGGCCTCTTCACGACCCGAGCGGCGAGTTTGCCATTGTGTTGTACGATCCCACAGTTGACGATAAACCTGCCCCAAAAGAAGAGGTGGAGCCGAAGCTCAGTCAGCAGGACAAAAAAGAACTGGAAGCTCCGCTCGTGCACAAGAGTCTGGCAGAAATCCTGGGCTTGAAAAAGAAGGTCGATGATGAGCGACCGCGCGTGCCCGTCGTTATTGATCCGAGACTCAGCAAAGTCCTTCGTCCTCATCAAGTCGAGGGTGTCAAGTTCCTGTACCGAGCTACCACCGGCATGATCGATCCAAAAGCAAACGGCTGCATCATGGCAGATGAGATGGGTCTTGGCAAGACATTGCAATGCATTGCGCTCATGTGGACACTCCTGAAACAGTCACCCGACGCTGGCAAGTCGACGATACAAAAGTGTGTGATTGCCTGTCCCTCCAGTCTGGTACGAAATTGGGCCAACGAACTGGTGAAATGGCTCGGCCCAGACGCAGTCACTCCTTTCGCGATCGATGGAAAGGCATCGAAAGACGAGCTTATCCAGCAAATCCGACAGTGGTCCATTGCCAGTGGACGTTCGGTGGTTCGCCCAGTTCTGATTGTCTCGTATGAAACCCTTCGTCTCTATGTCGAAGAGTTTGGACAGACGCAGATCGGTCTTATGCTTTGCGACGAAGGCCATCGTCTGAAGAACGGTGACAGCTTAACCTTTACAGCGCTCAATAGTCTCAATGTACAGAGGCGGGTGATCCTGTCAGGTACACCTATCCAGAACGATCTTTCGGAATACTTTGCTTTGCTCAACTTCGCCAATCCAAATTATCTTGGCACCCGTATGGAATTTCGAAAGCATTACGAGATTCCAATTCTGCGTGGCCGTGACGCCAATGGTACAGATGAGGACGTCAAGAAGGGCAATGAGCGCCTCACAGAATTATTGGGCTTGGTCAACAAATTCATCATCCGGCGAACGAACGATATTCTGTCCAAGTATCTCCCCGTGAAGTACGAGCATGTAGTGTTCTGCAACCTCGCACCTTTCCAGAAGGAGTTGTATAACCATTTCATCAAGTCGCCTGACGTTCAAAGTCTGCTTCGTGGCAAAGGCTCGCAGCCGCTCAAAGTCATTGGCATGCTCAAGAAGCTTTGCAACCACCCTGATCTTCTCGAACTCCCCCAAGATCTGCCAGGTTGCGAACACACGCTACCCGAGGACTTTGTGCCCAAGGATGCAAGAGGCCGAGATCGTGAGGTCAAGGTATGGTACTCAGGCAAGATGTTGGTGCTGGATCGTATGCTCGCGCGCATCCGGGCCGAGACCAACGACAAGATCGTTCTTATCTCAAACTACACACAAACGCTTGATATCTTCGCAGCACTGTGCCGGTCTCGTGGATACGGCTGTCTACGTCTGGACGGGACGATGAACGTGAGCAAGCGCCAAAAACTTGTCGACAAATTCAATGACCCAGAAGGCCCAGAATTCGTCTTCCTGCTTTCATCCAAGGCAGGAGGATGTGGTCTGAATCTCATTGGCGCCAATCGCCTGGTCCTCTTCGATCCCGATTGGAACCCAGCGGCTGACCAACAGGCTCTTGCCCGTGTGTGGCGTGATGGGCAGAAGAAGGACTGTTTCGTGTACCGCTTCATCACGACTGGCACAATTGAGGAAAAGGTCTTTCAACGTCAATCGCACAAACAGTCTCTCTCATCATGCGTTGTTGATTCAGCGGAAGATGTCGAACGCCATTTCTCCCTTGATTCCCTGCGAGAACTCTTTCAATACCGCAACAATACTACGAGCGATACACACGATACCTTCAAGTGTAAGCGATGCAGGAAGGAAGATGGAAGGCAGATTCTCAAAGCACCAGCGATGTTGTATGGTGACACGAGTACATGGAACCATTTTGTCAACGACGGTGAGAATGGTCCGCTTGGGAAGATACAGGATTTGCTGCTGAGGCAAGAGACTACGAACGATCTCAGGGATGTCAGTGCGGTGTTCCAGTACATTAGTCACTAGTCGCGTGACTCGGTGGAGGCAGTACGGTTACGATTTGTCACGTGTATTCTTTGGATGTTTAGCGGGAAAGCATGGCATTGCGAACGGCGTTCAGGGTAAGGATGCTGTTTCCTCTAGCGCGTCGATGGTCTTAGATACGTTAGCATGAAGTCTGGATGAAATACGTGTTTCCCAATGTTCTAGGTGTGCCTGTGCCACGTTTGCCTTTTCTTCTTGATCAAAGTCTCTGGTGAAGTGCACCCCAACTCTATTCAAATCGCTTACCCAAACACCGTCAAGGATGTTGGGAGGCAAATGTGGGTGCAGACAAGAGCTGCCCATACGTGACTCGTCCAACCCATGCGCGAACTTGGTCCGTGCCATAACATTTCACAAGTACCGCGAGCTCGGCCGTGCCTCTCCACCACGAAATCTCACTCTCCACAATCCGCCCGAGTCCTTGATGCGATAATTGCGTTACCCTGTCGCCAACTACACTAGACTTCTGCGGCACAAACGTACACGAAACTGCATTCAAAATGGACCCCAAGCGCCGCAAGACGGGCGATGCAGACGTGGGCGATTTGCGCCTGAGGTCTAGACAAGCATATCTGCAAAAGCGCGAAGCGGAACAGTTGGCGCTACTCCGGAAGCAAGTCATAGAAGAGGCAGAAGAGGAGGAGAGGCTCGGTGACCGGTTATCCAAACAAGAGCGCGCCGACTTCGCCAGGAATCGCGATACGCTTCGACTCGCTGAACAACGAAACGCCATCGACGAACACTTGGATGGATACATTCTACCCGATGCCGACTATACGACCAAGTCCGAAACGCTCGCGCGCAAACACAAGGAAAAGGGCTACGAGAAGTCTGAGGTGCAGCTATGGGAAGAAGAGCAGACGTCCAAGGTTCGCGCACAGATCAAGAAGCCAGAACGGGTGTCTGCGGAGGACTACGACTTCGTCTTCGATACCGAACAAAACATCAAGTTCGATGCGCCCGTGATCGATCTCGAGAAGCAGCGTTTGCAGGCAAACCTCGACGAGGCAGAAGTCAAAGCCAAGAATATCGACGACACACGAAAGAGCCTTCCGATCTACAAATACAGGGAGGAATTCATACAGGCTGTTTCAGAACACCAGATCATAGTCCTGGTCGGTGCTACCGGGTCTGGAAAAACCACACAATTAACACAGTATTTAAACGAGTCCGGCTATGCGAAGAATAGTCTACGTATTGGATGCACACAACCCCGGCGAGTCGCCGCTATCTCCGTCGCAAACCGCGTGGCAGCTGAAGTTGGCACGAAGATTGGTCGACGAGTAGGCTACTCGGTCCGTTTCGAAAGCGCCATGTCGGACGATACACAGATAGAGTACATGACGGACGGTCTAGCGTTACGACTCTGTCTAACAGATCCCACTTTATCTGACTACTCGGTCATGATTCTCGACGAGGCCCACGAACGGACATTGGCCACAGACATTTTGATGAGCCTGTTGAAGGAGATATGTCTTGCGAGACCAGAGTTTCGTTTGATCATTGCTTCAGCAACTTTGGCCGCACAGAAGTTCTCTACTTATTTTCATGACGCACCCATAATGAACATTCCTGGGCGCACGTTTCCAATAACGAAGGCACATTCGACTCAACCGGAAGCCAACTACCTCTCAGCGGCAGTGACCACGGTTTTCCAAATCCACTTGGGCTCGAATGGATCCATGAACGATGTCAAAGGTGACATTTTGATCTTTTTTACAGGAGAAGAGGAGATTCTGGCTGCCGCTGATTATATTAACGATACACAAAAGAAACTCGGTAGTCGAAGCCCTCCATTGATTGTAGCTCCAGTGTACGGAGCACTTCCTTCCGAGGCTCAGCAGCTTATTTTCAACCCGGCGCCACCTGGTAGTCGGAAAGTTGTGCTCGCCACCAACATTGCTGAGACTTCCTTAACAATCGATGGGATCAGCTACGTCATCGATTGCGGTCTCGAGAAACAAAACTCGTTCAATGCCGCGACTAACATGGCATCGCTCGTCACCGTCCCTTGTTCGCGAGCCAGCGCCGAACAGAGAGCAGGTCGTGCTGGACGCACGGGACCTGGCATGGCCTTTCGGCTATACACCAAATATGCTTTTTATCATGAGCTCCCCGAGTCGAGCTTGCCGGAGATCTTGAGGATCAGCCTCGATGGGCCGGTCCTCACGCTAAAGGCCATGGGCATACATGATGTTCTACACTTTGATTTCATGGTACGTATCTCCTATCCCGAAGTACAAATTGGAACGCTTGCTAATCATCCCCAGGATGCGCCTCCAGTGGAAGCTCTTGCAGCTTCACTTGAAACGCTCTATGCACTAGGATATTTGGACAGCAACGGTGCTGTCACCAAATTAGGCAGGCGAGCCAGCGAACTACCCTTAGATCCACGACTGGCCAAAGTTCTCTTAACGGCGGACAGCCTTGGTTGTGTCGACGAGATCGTCACCCTTGTTGCGATGGTACAAGAAGCCGGCACTCTATTCTTTGCGCCCAAAGACAAGAAAGTTGCTGCGGAACATGCGAAAGCCAGGTTTACCTCATCAGTCGCTGGCACAGGGGGTGATTTGATTGCCTTCTTGAATGTCTGGAATGAATTCGTCGAGAACGATTATTCTGTGACTTGGTGTCGAGACAATTTCGTGCAATACCGATGTCTTAACCGAGTTCGAGACGTACGCGATCAGCTGGTGAAACTCTGCGAGCGCGTAGAGATCTTCGAGTCATCCTGCGGAGTACATGAATACGTCAAGATCCTGAAGGCCTTCGTATCCGGATACTTCGCCAACGTCGCACGGCTCAATCGTGACGGACAAACGTATCGGACACTGAAACAGGGCTTGTCAGTCAACATACATCCATCCTCGTGTCTGAGGGACGTACGACCCAAGCTCATCGTCTTCGCCGAGCTTGTGCTCACGAGCAAAGAATTCGCCCGCACTTGTGCGCCAATTGAACCAGCATGGCTGACGGAAATGGCGCCGCATTACCACAAACAAAAGGAAATTGATGGACTGGATGTTGGCAAGAAGATGGGCAAGGGACAGGGGAAAGTTGGCACTGACCGCTAATTGAAAGTGCTTCAAGCGGGACTTTTCATAGTTCAGGAATGACTAGAACTGTGCAGGGAGTAATTGTTATTAGAACGGATGCATAATGATACCCTTTTCCTTGCATGCTTATTCGTGTCAGTCGGGTGTTAGTAGCAATGGAGATATAACGTGATCTTGCGCGGCATGCATGTGGCTCTAACAGAATCCACTGGTGAGGTGCAGTGGAAGCAAAAAACCAACGCAAAGATCTTGCCAGCATTCGATAGTGGACATCAAGATGATTTTGACTTATACATTGAAAGCCTGATTAGGTGTGCAAGCGCCAGACACGACATGGTGTATCAGTTGCTTCTTTTCTCGAAATTATACTCCAGCTTTTCAAGTAGGTATTAGCCCACGAATTTACCACCGCAATATATACAAGCATCGCAAGCCAAGAAGAGCAGTTTCGCAAAGGTAACGGGCAATTGTCTTCTCTCTTCCTCGACCATGACATCTTCGGGCCCCTCGCGGCCAGCTTCTTTGTGGCATCCTGTTCCCATATTCTGTTCTGGGTCTTTCGGGAGAGCAGTATCTTCCGCGGGGATTCCTCCTTCAGCATCAGCTCTGTAGGTATTATCGCCGTTCGATTGAGGACCTGCGATGTCGTGCCCGATTGAACTATTCCCCTCGGTCTCCTTGCCTTGCCTCTTTGCGACCCTTGGCAACTTTTGCATCTCCTGAGCAGCCACAAATTCTTCGTTGAAGAACGGTGTACTACAGATACCACAATACTTCGTTATGCCAGGTGCTTGGATGGCTACCAGACTTAGGCCACACCTGGGAAATTGGTGTCCATTCGTACACGATGCAGTCTTGAGGTCCACGAATGGAATCGGAGCAGAACAGAAGTCGCATGCGTCCACTATGGCCTCTCTGGCGTGTAGATTTATCATCAAAGCTGTAGGCAAGGGTTGTGCAGTAGTAATCGAGATTGGTCCATCTTGCTCCTCGACGGCGCCTGGAGCACGACGTTCCGCCGGCTGTGTGGGTGTGATTTCGTGCTCTATGAGCTTCTGTACGAGCTTGATCATCTGTCGGTGGTGGTCGCGAATCTCGGTGCTGAATGCTGTTTCGGCAAGAGTATCGGAGAGGACTTGCAGATTCGTGGCGAGTCGATAAGCGATCAGCATCCTCTGGAGGTCCTCATTGTTGCCACTATTGCATGCTTGAGATGCAAGAACTACATAGCGATCTCTGAGCGTCCGTGGGTCAAAGAAGCTAATGAGCTTGACATATCGTAGTAATTCTGCAACTTTGATCCCAGAGTCGACTGAGATAGAGGCATCAACGCTGTCGCCCTTGTTCTCAATAGGGCCATACGCTTGCAGAAGCTTATCGGCAATTTCTTCAACGAAGGCGGGCATCTGGTTACTGTCTTCAACCGTATTGCCCACGAGTTTCTTGAGAGTGAGAAGGACGCCCTCGGCATTTACGTTATAAGCTGGGAAGCCTTCGCGCAATTGTCGGTATTGTTGAAGAGCAGTCACGGCTACTGTGCCACGACGATCAGCCGGCGATCCATACTCTATCATGTCTGACGGATGTACACTGTGACAAGTCGCAACGAAATCTCCTAATGGCGAGATGGCCAAGCCCCATACCTTCATCTTGACGTTGCCCTTCAGATCATTCTTGGCACTAAAGAGTGAGGCGCTGTTCTCTAGTTGATCGCGCCAGCTTGGGCAGCCAGCTGACACAAGAGTACCGGGGAATGAATCGAGTACAGCAGTTGGATCTTGGATCGTCGACAAAATGGAGCTGACATGTAGACGAGGCGTGGAATTCCGATCCACCTCCCAGACCGCACCAGACACCTGATCCCAGCGCCCGTCTAGATCGTGGGAGGCTTGCTCAATGATTGAAGCATCTTGGGTCGAAATTGTAAGACAGATCAAACCAGTGGATGTGAACAGTGCGACTGTAAGGATGTTCTCATTGATTTTTGGGCCCCACTTCATGGGGCCATTGTAACGCATCTCGATATTTGGATACACAACTTCATCTCCTAGTCCTACGCTATCGTGCATGTAGGTGACTATCCTGGCCCGCACATCCTCGTTGGTGGCATAAAGCAGGATGGCGTGATGACAGTCCCCTCGCGTAATCCAAGGACTCCACGACACATGCGAGATTTGTCTCTGTTGTTTCATCCTATCGGCAAAAGACGAGGGAGCCGGAAAGATGCTGTCAGAGTTGGGAACTACCGACACGTGGGTCAGAACTTCAGCATGCCAGTTGGGGTCTGCGGCGTAACTGGTAGTAGAGGAATTGATGGCTACGAGAGCAAGGTGGTTGTCGTCATTGCAGACTGCTATGATGTGCTGACCGTATGATAGCCGGGACCCGAGGGTGCTAGAGGTGTGCGAGTTGGGCAGAGCAGGTGCCCATGTAAAGGCTCGAACGCGAGTCCGCAACCGCATGCGCTCATTGAAGGTCGCTGCAACATGACTAACTTCTTCTCTGGCATGACCCATGAAGTACTCGGCAAGCGCATTGTTGACGATGAGCCTTCGATCCCAGCTTGACGCCTCCTCAAGCTTGCCCTCCGCTGACCATATCGACAGGACCAGATTTGCTGTGAGGGCAGCAAGAGCACATCTCCGATGCTTCGCTAGGCCGGGGGGTGACCAAGATATGGCGGTGGGAGCACTAGATGAGATTTCTTCACCTAGAGAATAATTCGCCAAAGGCGCAGGGCGTTTGATGGGCAATTCCTCGTTGGTAAACCATGGGACCTGTAAGGGGATGTGCTGCCATTGTGCAAATTCTTGATCTCTATCATATGAGATTGTGTTTGGAAACTAGCGTCTGATCAGTGTCAATATAGGAATTCTCACTGTTGAAACCCCCACCAGTAACTCGACTCGTTCGTCGGAAGCGAGCGCGATGATACCATCTTGGGACCAATCCAGCGCGTCAATGCACGACGGCCAGCACCTGAGCTCCGTCACGTCTGACATTGTCACCTAGACAATGTCAATGTCGATTTCTCTGTAATATTTCTGACCATTCCGGGCGTGGACAATGAAATATAGCGTTCTGATTCGAACTGAAAATGGCCTTCCAGAATCTGTGTTGTTGCAGCGAGTGGAACAGCATGCCGAGGCCGAGGCTAGTGGAGATACATTCTGCCCTAGACCCACATGAGTCTAGCCCACTCTTATCGATAGTGCAGGTACTGACGAAGAAAAAGTCCGTCGCGACTGTGCACCACAGCTCGTTCACCAGAACTCCCGCGACAATGGGAAAACGACCTATCGAAGATGACGCAGTTGCGTCTTCTGAGCTTTCACGCAAGAAGAGCAAGAAAGAGAAGAGTGGGAAATCAAAAAAGTCTGTGATAGGTGAAGGCGCCGACACAAATGGCCATGCGCCAGCGGCAGAAACGACTGTAGACGGGTCTGAGAACGAAGCGCTTTCCAAGGCAGAGCGCAAAGCAGCGAAGAAAGCCAAAAAAGAAGCAAAGGAAGCGAGCAAGGCTGGCAAAGCCGATGCGCCGACTGTGGAAAACGACGAAGAAGCTGCAAAGGCCGCAAGGAAAGCTGCTCGCAAGGCAGAGAAGAAGAAGCTCAAGGAGGCGGAGAAGACAGCGAGCTCTGCACCAACAGAGGCTTCGTCTGTTCCCGCGCAGACCCTGTCAAGTTCCAATGCAGGCTCCTATACCGAGCATACCGAGTTGGCGCAGCTCCCCCAATCGGAAATTGACGCCTTCTTGACGAAGAACACCATGACCATCGAAGACCCAAAGCCCGCCGCGCGCAAACTCCGGCCCATCGTCAACTTCAAGTACCTTCCTGTGACCGACGAATCACAGCGAGCGCCCTTTGCGGGCTTCACTGCCCCCACGCCTATACAAGCAGCAACATGGCCTTTCTTGCTCTCTGGCAGGGACATGGTCGGTGTGGCGGAGACGGGATCTGGCAAGACGCTCGCCTTCGGTGTGCCATGCGTGCGGGCCATCCTGTCCTTGCCCAAGGACAAGCGCAAGGGAATCAAGGCGGTTATTGTGTCCCCAACACGCGAACTGGCTGTGCAGATTTACGATCAGCTAGTAGCACTGGCCCATCCTGCTGGGCTTTCGGTTGTTTGCGTGTACGGCGGTGTGCCCAAGGATCCGCAAGTCGCTGCTTGCCGGAAGGCGCACATTGTCGTAGCTACACCTGGTCGCTTGAACGACTTAATTGGCGATGGCTCAGCAGACCTCAGCAATGCCGACTACGTGGTTCTCGACGAAGCAGACCGTATGCTTGACAAAGGTTTTGAGGAGCCCATTCGTCAAATTATCTCGCAGACGCCCAAGAAGCGCCAGACTCTCATGTTCACAGCGACCTGGCCGCCCTCGGTGCGCGATCTCGCGTCTACCTTCATGGTCTCGCCAGTGCGAATCACCATAGGAGATAATCAGTCTGGCGAGCTGCGCGCTAATGTGCGAATCAAGCAACTCGTCGAAGTTCTTGACCCGCACGCGAAAGAACAACGCCTCCTTCAGCTCTTGAAGCAATACCAGTCTGGGAAGAACAAGGATGACCGTATCCTTGTGTTCTGTCTGTACAAGAAGGAGGCCATGCGTATCGAAAACTTCATCCGTATGAAGGGCTTCCGCGTAGGCGGCATCCACGGTGATCTCAGTCAAGAGAAGCGCAGTGCCTCGCTTGCGGCTTTCAAGGAAGGCCAAGTTCCGCTGCTCGTAGCTACGGATGTCGCCGCACGAGGCCTCGATATTCCCGCCGTGAAGCTCGTTATCAATGTCACCTTCCCGTTGACTGCCGAGGATTACGTGCATAGGATTGGTCGGACGGGTCGTGCAGGTAAAGAGGGTCTGGCCATCACATTCTTCACGGAGCATGATAAGGGACTCTCAGGGTCGTAAGTGTTTCCCTCAGTTCTGTGCTCATTCCACGGCAATCTTGCTAATATTCGTGATAGTCTGATTAATGTCCTTAAAGCTGCCAACCAGGAGGTTCCTGAGGAATTGCTCAAGTTTGGCACCACCGTCAAGAAGAAGGAGCACGGTGCTTATGGTGCATTTTACAAAGATGTTGATAATACGAAGGCGGCGACCAAGATTACATTTGACTAAGCCATCTGTCAATTGGACTCGTCATTGCGGACTTTGGCATTATTACCTTGCTATATAGTAGGTCGGCGAGCTCGCCTGCAGCGTCTGCGGTGATCTGTGACAATATGACATACATAGCGAAGGCGTTCCGGCGTTGGGCTCAAAAGTCAAGACACACATAGATCGCGGCAACCAACAAACTTACGTCTTTGCCACAGAACGCCCAAGGAGCGGTCCGCAGTGTCAAGGATCTTTTTGTTTTCGTTATACAGTAGTGATTTTGTTCCCGAAGGCTGAGATCAATGTACATGAAGTTTTATCTTGCTTCCGACAATGCATTGTATCTGACAGACTGTGCCCATCGAAACGGCGAAATAGTGTGCTGATCGTCTCACGCAAGCTGACTATCTTAGCCACCAAGGGAATTCCAAATTCCATGACGAACCCACGTGCGCACGCGCGGATAATCTACATGCGCTTGAGACACACCATGTTTGCAACTATCATCTCCACTCACACCGCGTAGTCCCACGAAGCTTAAAGAGCTCGGCGACTTTAAGGCGGCCCTTCTACGCTGAAGCCCACTAACGCCATGCCCAAAAGTATCTACCCACCGTGCGGATGCCGTCACCCTTGTCCCGGACTACAGGTTCGAGTATGCGCCTTTCCCGCTGCCAAGCTGCGAGGATGCAGGTGGACGCGGGACTAGAGACATGGATGAAGGATTGTGATTGGTTTGTCCGTTTGTCCGAACTAGGTCGGCGACGTTCGTTCGGCGACGTCGTGAGGAAGGGAGATGCCGCGGGGAGGTGGATGGAGGCGGACACGCACGTTGGGCTCGAAGTAAGATTTCTAGAGGATACGACGGAGGGGGGACATATAAATACGCTTCTGCTCGTGGAGAAAAGTTTGGGACACTACTTTTTTGACATTTGCACACAAGTCCGCGAGCAAGCTTCGGTGCCTTGGGCTAGAAGGAACATAGTCATTCTTTGTATCTATACAACACAGCATTCCCATCACGCCACTTCACAACTTCCGTCATTGTGCTGTATCACAAGCTCGCACACTATCCTATTATCAGCCCCGGCGTGAACGACTTCGAAAAATGTGCAAGAAGGCTGCCTGTGACTCGTGCCGTAAGTCCATCCATCGGCTCATTTAATGCTTCCAACCCATCCAATTACTGACCTATATCAGACAAGACCACTTGGTGGGGTTGTGGCAAGCATGTCGCCGGTGTCATGTCGAACGTTCCGTCAGAACAATGGTGTACATGTGGACCGCGGATCGAACAAGAAGGACACAAATACCCACCGATGGGCACGCTGTCATCGGCGTGACTTCCAGACGTCATGCGGGGTCGGCCGAAGCAGGGGTAATATACATGCACGGAGAAGGAGCTGTGGCCCTTGATCAAGGGAGGGAGATGTGTAGTGCAGACATGTACTAGTTGCTGCGAAGGCTATGGGCTTGTGGAAGTTCTTTAAGCGTAACGAATTGCACGATAATGACCAGATTGCATAGTAGAAACAACATAGCGAGTGCGTTGCATCTTGGTCTTGGTCCAGTCCGTCGTGCTTATCGGACTGGCGCAGTCACACCGAGTACAACGTGTTGCGAAGCGGAGAGTGTGTGGCGAAACGTTACCTGCACATCCAGGCCTCTGATGTGGCCATCGTATTCTTGCGGGTCTTTGTGGTTCGTTCCGGTGCCTTGGATCTCGGAGCTCCGGCATTGGGACCGGAAACTGTGTGGAGGATGTGGACGGAAGTATGAATTTCTAGAAGCTTGCCGGATTGCGGATCCACTCCAGCGCGCTGCCTGGTGGGTGAAACGCTTCTAGAAGTCTCAGGCACCGTGACAAGGCTAGTGAGGACGGTGGTGTTAGATGACAGGGACAAGATTTGAGCTGGCTGCGTGATGTCTTGTGCTGAAGCAGCAGAGAAGCGTAGTTTGTAGGATGGTTGTGATGCGTTGAGATGAAGGAACGCGGTAACGCTTAGCATAGCCAATAGTCGAAGGAGGCCTTACCCGCAAGGTGGTGTAGGATGTCGGCCGCAGAGTCGGCCCACTAAGTATAGGTGTTGCAAAGATGTAACCTGCCCCTGGCGGTTTCAGTCACTACCGTATAAGGTTTACCTTGGGCTACAGTAGCGTGGGATATGAGACTGAGCGGCCTAGCGAGTATCTGACGGCGCGGGGAGGTGCCAGATGACAGGGATGTCGAATGAGGATGGCCGAAGCTGGGTTGCAATGGCGAGAGAAGGGAGCAAGCAAGAGGGCGGTCGAGAAGGAAAGCCGGTCGGATTATCCACCAGGCTTCAGGCAAGACAAGCCAAACACGTCCATGGGTTTGAGATAGGTCTGGTGCATATAGCAGAAATCACAGGAGAGCTGCACAGCGAGTCACCACAGAGTCACACCAATGGGGGCGCGGCAGAGCTCTCGACCTGAGCCAGGCCATGGTTCCGGCGGCTAGGGCGATGCGGACACCAAACGAGGGCTGCGTCTGCGGCAGAGTGGGCATGGTGGTGGTGGTGATGGTGCGGTGGTATTGGTATATCTGCGCGCCATAAGTCCTCTGCTGCTCTGTTCCTGGAATCCATTTTCTTGTTGCTGCATTGTCGTTTGTCGTGTTGTGCTACATTGTCACGCAGCCGCTGTTGATTGAAGTGACCGAATTGACCCCGCCATCCATCCCGCCTGCGACTGGCGCCCGAGCAGCAACAGACCCGATCGCACCTGCCTCGCATCCACGCGACAGCGCCAGAAGGAAAGAGCACCCCGCCAGTGAGTGAATGTCCCGTCCACGTGCAGGCCCCGTTCCTTGGATGCGCACAGAGCATTCACACTCGACATTCGTATTCCGAGAGCTGACTGGGATAACCCAACGCAGACACAGCAGACACAGCAGACCCTGACGAACGAAGACGAACGAAGACGAACGAAGACGAACGCAGACGAACCCTGCCCCTCGTTCGGCTCCACCCTATCCCTACAGCCGTCACCGCCACGCCTCCTCGTCGTCCAGCGCGAGTGTCTTGACGACGCCAACCAACAACTACCCCGCCAGCTTCACGTCTGCCCTCTTCGACAGCGCGACCCTCGACGGCACATCCCGTCTTCCACACGCCGTGCGCGCAGCTCATCGCCGAGGTACAGGGATCCCAGCGATCGCACCGTGCGTGCACACTTGCAACGGCGACTAGAACAAGACCGACGAGCAGTTGATCCGAGCCATTGGTACGTGAACAATCCTCTTGCAATACGCTCTGCAGTGCGCCTGGTGGCCGTCTGTGGAAGCGTCTTTCTTTGTCGTCTGGCAGCACGGCCGTCCTCCATTGACGGCCAGCGCGCGATCCGCCGCCCTGCAGCTCAAAGGAGCGTGGGGCCATGCCCAGTGTCATAACGTCCTACTGTTTCACCATGACCTCTACCAAACCTGGCTGGAAGCGCCGAGACACATGTTCTCTTCTGCAAACACTCTCTTCCATCCGCGCAACTCTTTACTGACGAGTGCCGTGTCCAGTCTCCCAGCCTGGCCATTGAGATTTGACCTCATAGTCGACCCCCACCACACGCCGCCCGCTCCCCGCACCCACGCGCTTGCTCCACGGCCGCTTTGCAACAGCGCACAGCGCTTCCCCATACACCACCCGCAAACATGCCGCCCGCAGGAAGCGGTAGCTCCCGGAAGATTTCCTTCAACGTGTCGGAGCAGTACGACATCCAGGATGTAGTCGGTGAAGGCGCCTACGGAGTCGTCTGGTGAGTTCTCTCTCTCTCTCACACACACACTCGCCAATGCGAGCATGGGAGCAAGCGCTGACCAAGGAACAGCTCCGCGCTGCACAAGCCGTCGGGCCAGAAGGTTGCCATCAAGAAGATCACGCCTTTCGACCATTCCATGTTCTGTCTGCGAACGCTCCGAGAGATGAAGCTCCTGAGATATTTCAACCACGAGAACATCATCTCCATTCTCGACATCCAGAAGCCGCGCAACTACGAGACATTCACCGAGGTTTACCTCATTCAGGTACGAAGAAGCCGCCCCTCAGCGCCGACGATAACTAACAAAGCTGCTAGGAACTCATGGAGACTGACATGCATCGCGTGATCCGCACTCAAGAACTCTCCGACGACCATTGCCAGTACTTCATCTACCAGACTCTTCGCGCGTTGAAGGCCATGCACTCCGCCAACGTCCTCCACCGAGATCTCAAGCCTTCCAATTTGCTGTTGAACGCCAACTGCGATCTCAAGGTCTGCGATTTCGGTCTTGCCCGATCGGCCGCCTCGACAGAGGACAACTCGGGTTTCATGACAGAATACGTCGCCACGCGTTGGTACCGTGCGCCCGAAATCATGCTTACCTTCAAAGAATACACCAAGGCCATCGATGTATGGAGTGTCGGATGCATTCTGGCTGAGATGCTGAGCGGCAAGCCTTTGTTCCCTGGAAAGGACTACCATCACCAGTTGACGCTCATTCTCGACGTGCTCGGCACGCCTACAATGGAGGATTACTACGGCATCAAGTCGCGCCGCGCTCGTGAGTACATCCGATCGCTGCCATTCAAGAAGAAGATCCCATGGAAGGCCATGTTCCCCAAGACGAACGATTTGGCTTTGGACCTTTTGGAGCGTCTACTTGCTTTCAACCCTGTCAAGCGTATTACAGTCGAGGAGGCATTGAAGCACCCATACCTCGAGCCATACCATGACCCCGATGACGAGCCGACTGCCGACCCGATTCCAGAGGAGTTCTTCGACTTCGATAAGAACAAGGACAACCTGACCAAGGAGCAACTGAAGCGTAAGTGCCTCATTCCCCAACTCTTTCCTGTGTTCCGTACTAATATGCCACAGTTCTCATCTACCAGGAGATCATGCGATAAGCTTTTCGATTCTCACCTGTGCGATATATACGAATGATACCACTGTGCTTGGTTATATTGTCCTGTTCTGACGCCATACGATCGCCATATGGGCGAGGTTTTCAATCAAGTTGTCAAGCTACATTAGCCACTGACGACCAGTATATGGGAACACATGGACGGAAAGAGAAGCATGACCCGGAGATCTGGTCTCCACATCATGGACCTTATAAAATCAAAGTACCGATTAGGAATGCATTGCTTCTTTTGTGCCCTCTGCAGTATGTCTCGTTGGTTCACTACTGTCGCACTACATTCGGCTGGCCCAATCATGTCGACCCACGGCCCTCGGAAACTTGTACCTGATGGTGGGGTCCTCTACCTTTGTTTCCCACATTCGACCTGATGTCTGTGAACCCATCTTGCCTAATCGCTCCGCTACATACACTCCCTTCTGCAATAACGTCTTTGTCGATTTCCTCGTCTATGTCATCGATTCTGTCGATTGCGACGGATGGCCTCGTCCAATCATACCCACTCCTGTCCGTCACTGACTTTTTTCTCTTCCAATCAGCCTCGCTCTTTCTCCTTTTACCATCACTAATGTCCATCTCATGGGGCTCAGGAATTGGCTCGAGGACCGAAAACCTGCGATCCGCATGTGTAGTCGAACCTCTTCGCGCAACATCCGCCCACCACGACTTGTCCGCTTGTCTTTGCAGCGAATCAAGGAGCGGTGCGGGCACGGACGCGATGCTAGACGTGCGCCGGTGAGAGGACTTGCGTCGAGTTTGACTGCGGGGAGATGGTGATCGAGACCTTGGCCCTCCGTGGGGGTCATTTGAGGTTGTATCAACGCTTCCGACTCTAGTCGATACTGATCCCCGTGACGAAGAGCTCCAACTCCCCTTCTTTCCACTTCCCTTGTGCTCGCCACTCACACTTCCCTGTAGTGTCGACGAATCAGAGTCATGCCTCACAGCTCGACTCCACATTCTCTCCATGCGGAAGCTCGGAGTCGGTGCTCGTCCTCTAGTACCGTAGGATCGTAAAGTAGGGATGCTGGACCGTCGCCGCTGCTGCTGCTGCTGCTGCTCCAGGTCTTGCTCTCGTCGGTATTGGAGACGGAGGTAAACGTAGTATCCAATTGCGAGGAGAATGAGAGTGAGGATAACGCCCAGGGCGATGGCGGAGTCGCGATCGATGTGGGAGATACCGTGTTGTACGACCGGGGCTTCGACTTGGCTGACACTTGCGGTGACGGCAGATGTGTATGGCGACGTGTGATGATGCTTGTCCTCGATTTTGGTGGAATAGGCTGTATGAGTTGGGGCTGTCATCGTGGGCAGTGCTATGTGATGAGCGTGTAGGCATGTGAGAGCGTGTCAATTATGCAAGGACACAGGACAGGCTTCTTTTGATAGCTCTGATGGGTCAATTGGCACCGTGATATCACCTCACGTGCTGGGTATGCAATGTTGCCGCAGCAGATATTTGCGCTCTGGGCCCGATGGTTGGTGTGCCAGACTTTGCGTGAGGGGTTGTTCATAGACACATCCAGATGCATGCAACAACAAGTATAGTCTCGCATGGGTTCTTCGATTAGTGGAGATTCTCCAAATGGTCGTTGTACGCCGCCCAATGCAATTGCGTTGATTTCGTTTATCGTACAGAGTGGTGTCTTGGCCAGGCGTGAAATCATGACAACATTCTCAGCCGTCTGTATCGTACATGGTGTAGCGCTTCTCTTGCTCGCTGTCGCGCATTCTAGCTCACGGATCGCAGCGCCCGTCCTTCCATCCTGTCCTCCATCGCTCTTCCCACTTCGTGCAGTCAAAAGTATCTTTGCCCAACTTCTGGTTCACCGCATTATGTGCTTCACACATCCATGTGCCAAACTCGCTTCTGCTAGAAACTCTCGGTGTATTCTTGGTCATCCAGCTCTGGAAGTCCTCTGCGCAGACCCAGCATGGGTAGAGCTTGCCGAATGTAGAGAGAAAAGACTTGGTCTCGGACTGTAGTTGCTGCGAGGGTTGCGTGGGGTAGGTAGCGGTGATGCTGTGTAGAAGTGTCCACGAGCTGCGCCCGAGAGCCTCGACATCAGGAGGGCAGTCTGATGGGAGCGCTGGAGCTGCGGCGGCGGCGGCTGTGGTGGTATCTGTGGGCTTCGCAGCCTTCTTAGGCTTGTTGCCTGTCATGGCGAACCAGGACGCGACATCGGTACATGTGCGGCATCTGCATATATATTTGAGCCCAGCGCAAGTTGGCCTCGAAAAGGTTGAGACTTACGGTTTGCCATCGGGACCGAGCACAACGCCCTTGGGCAGCTTCTTGGGGGCAGCCTGCTCCGTGTCTTGCTTCTCGCCTGTTTCTACAGGATCCTGTGCCATGTTGCCTCCGGCGTCTTGCTGCGTTGTGTTTGTGACATGGTGGGCGCAGACGTAAGTAACTATTTCAAAGCTCGCGGACGAGGGTTCCGTCCGTGCAGAGCCTCGGGCAGAGGGCGGCTGGGATGTTCCTTGCAGCATCGCGTCGTCGATCACAAACGCCATCCATCACTTCTTTCTCCAGTGCCAGAACATGTCTTCGTTACAGTCTTGGCTGTTCAGCTGCCTTTTTTAGACCCAATGCACATCGTTTCCAGTTCTTCGTTTGCCACTGTTCTGTTCAAAAGTGCCACTTCTTGAAACATAACTTCAAAAGCATCCCGTCATACGTTATGGATAGCCCGATAGTAGCTACCATTCTTGGGATTTTGGGCGCAGTCTGTTGGACGGTACAGGTATATACGAGCCATGTGCCGTCAAATAAGGCCCGTCAAATGTTAACAGATGTCGCAGCTGATTCCCCAGATTGTCATCAACTACCGCCGCCACAATGCCACTGGCCTTCAGCCTACCATGATGATGCTGTGGGCATGGGCTGGTGTGCCGCTGGGCGTATACAACATCGCCGAAGAGTTCAACGTCGCCCTGAGGATACAGCCACAGATCCTCACCTTGCTGAGTCTGGTAACGTGGATCCAGTGCTTCTACTATGAACGCGTATTTATTCACTTGAAATATACAGGATAGAGTATAAGGCTGAACGTGACAGAAATGGACCTTGCTGCGCGCCCTTGCAGTTGTTATTCCCATTACGTTTCTCATGGGCTCAGTGCAAGCCGGGCTCATCGTCGGTGTCCGTCAAGCGAAGAAAAAAGATATTGAATGGCCTGCTACTCTCATGGCGGTTGCGTCCGCTGTGTTGTTAGCAGCTGGAGTACTGAGGCACTACCTTGACGTCTACATTCATCGTACCGTCCGTGGTATCTCGTTCATTTTTGTTGGCATTGATGCGCTCGGCGACGTCTTCTCTTTGGTCTCTGTCGTCTTCCAGTCTACAGTGGACATAGCTGGCGTGGCCATCTATGCCACGGAGCTCGTCCTATGGATTGGCATTTTCATGTGTGGTGCCTACTATAATCTCGGTCCATGGGTCAGACTTCAGCGCGTGGACGCAGAGCATGGTGTGACTGCAGCAACAGAGACAAGGGAAGGAGAGTCTGCGTCTGCTGCTGGCATATCACTTCACGATCTCCCTTCAAGCACCTCGGTGTTTAGAACGCCGTCAGGGGAGGTCACGCGACGCGGCGCGTCCACTTGATTGAAGTGAGCAGCGCAAGTATCCTTCAATGTCCATTGGCCCCGCGCCGCGTGTTGTTGTTGATTGCCAAACAGTCGGCGATCGTGTCGTGGCTGTTGCTCTGCGCGCGCAACCCGTTTGTAGCTGACCGCCTTTGCTCCACGCCATCTTCATCTTCCGCTGCTGCTCTTTCCGGCTGCTCAGCGTCACCCGATCGCTGCTCCCTTAGTCTACAACTTCGGCAGGCGCACCACCGCTTTCTCCACGTTCCACCCAACGCACCTCCCCGCACCCATAACCAACGACGTTGCGCGCTCATTCACAATCAGCTTCACTCTGGTTGCCTCAACCACTCGGGCCCGACAATCATCGCACACTCCACCTAAGGCACGTCTACGAACTGCCTACGAGCAGTCTACACAGTACTGACGTCTCAGCAGAGCATACCTAGCTATGACTTCCACGTTGACCAAGGTCACCTCTCTAGGCTCACACTCAGAGAACCACAGTGTGCCCTTTCCAACTCCAGTGACCGAAGCGCTCTACAGCGATGTCATCAACCCTCCCCCACCCATGGACTTTGCAGCTGTCACCAGAATCCTCGCACCCATCACCGAGTCTCTCAACGAGAAGGCTGAAGAGGCCATCCTTCCTTCTCCGCCACTCAACACACCCGTCATTGGCTCCCCTGCTCCGTCAGTCACGTTGCGCTCTGTCGCCCCGCGACTTCGCGGCTTCAGTGGCATTGGTGATAGGCTCGCCAAGTTGAAAATCGAAGGTCGCATATCCCGCCGACATCGCCACCATGGTGGCACCGACATGACCTCTAGCACTCGCTCCGCCGAGCCTTCTGTAGTCGGGGAGTGTGACGAGTGTGAGATGGCCAGCGTCAGTGAGGTCATGAGCGAGGGCTGCAAGGACAAGGGATGTCCTGGCCATGCACGTATGTTCCTGCCATCCCCTCTTCCCTCTCCCTTGGGCAGAGGCTCAGTTCCTATTGCTCTAGGTTCTCCCACAATCAACCCACGTATCGAGGAATACCTTTCCTTCACCTCCAAGGACCTGCCGAACCAAGCTCCTGCTCCTGTTACAGGAGCTACGCTCGCTCAGCATGCTCAGTCAACAAGCACGACCGCTCTTGACGCCAACAGTCTGCGTAGCCGCGTCAGCTTCAAGAGCGACGGTGTCACTGAGAAGAGCAACTGGGCTGACGATGTGGAGGATGGCTTCGACCGTATCTGCCTTCGCCTTGAGCAGCTGGCCGATGACGAGCACAACACAGACCCGAGCAAGAGTCCGGAGGAATACTACATTGCTCGTATAAATCGTCTGCTATGCAGCGGTAAGCGTCAGATCCCCGTCCGCATCGCCGTAGGCGCGAATGCCGCACTGTAGAAGGATGAAGGAAGTCAACATTCGGTGGTACAACGATGGAAAACAATCAAGTGAGCTCCAAAAGCTGTGCATGTAAATTCATGGTAATGGCGTTCACGGTGTATGGTTAGTCTCGCTAGTTCAATCAAGGAAGAACATGCAAAACACGGCCCTCCATTTGTGGAAACAACGAAGTCAGGTCTTGAACACTATCTAGGGGCACTCAAGTCAAGCTGTCTAGGTTCAAGCCTGCTCTGGTACTTCACGACGTACTAATAAGCTGCCGAGTATATCTAGGCGTCTATACATAACAGCAGCTTTTCTAGGTTGCAGGTTCAAATTTAATCAGAACGCGCACACATTTTTACTGCACCTGGTGCGCGGTGAAGTCCGGCCTTCAACCGCATTCTCAAATTTTCCAGAGACTTAGTCCGCTGATGTGTGGAAGAAGAAGGCATGGTGCAACCATCAAAGGTTCTATAGCAAGACTGTGGGTAGCGGAGTCTCCCCCACCAACGTATGATTCGTCTCAGTACACAAAAGTCGTGATTTACACTGGGTGGGCACATCGCAAGCATACCCCACGGGGTACTTGTATGAGCCAAGTGATGCGCCCACGGCCACGTGAATTGAGAACGTCCCAAACAAGCTCGACTACCATTAGCTTCAGCCTTGTGAATGCCGACAAACATCAAGCCTCTGCACCTCGACTAAGGGAGTTGGAAGAACATAAGATCAAAATGGCGAAAGAGTAATTAGCTCTAGAATAGGTAGTCTTTCGCTCTTCTATGTTTTGGGTGACGTGAGGTGTGATGAGATTAGGTTCAAGAGATGCACACGTCAGGGTAGCCTAATTTCGAGCCCGATGCGGTATCACAACCAGAACGCTGTGATCCAGTGACGCTAGGCTGAGATTGGATTGCGAGCAGAAAATCTGGCCGCATTGGGGCTGTGCTCACTGAACTGCATACCCGGTGAAGCAAGCAGCAAGCAGCAGCTTTGGACGAGAAGGGGTTCGGCAGACTTTTCGAAAGTTCCGGGGACATGATTTGCTGGGCTGAAGTGTCGAGTAAGGACTGCAGGTGAGGTTGCCATCCCTGCGACACACGCTCCGATAGTCGTGGTCGCGCCCAATCAGCGCCGACAGGCACAGATAGACAGTCGTGCTTAATACTAGACCCTCCCAGACTGAGTATCTAGTTCTTCATCTTCCCCCCGTCTACTTGAACAATACCTTTTTCTTGCCACATCCGACATAACAAACTTAGTCACTATGCAATCAACATCCTATAACGGCAAGTGTACGAATTCCGAGTCAATACAATGATAATACTGATTTGATCTTTGCGTTCATAGATCTTGAATCCAGCGATATCCCGCCCGCGGAAAGTGTTACTTCTTCTCCATGGTCTAAAGAAGCACTATTTGGCCTTCTAGCCGTACTCCTCGCTATCGTCGTTCCTTGTCTCGCACTCCTTGCAAGATGTCTGTTTCGCTGGCGGAAGCTGCGACGCATACAAACGTTCCATTGTGACTAAGAGTCTCACTCAATCGCGAACAGGACGCTAACTTGAACCTAGCAGATGTTGAGCAAAGCGTAGATGCGAACGCGGCATCATCGAGTTCAAGGCCGAAGCGACGAAGAAGACAGAAAAGGCGAGGGAGCGATAGGACGGTCCTGATATCTGTTAGAGTATGATGTCAACCTATTAGAGTCAACCACCCACAGTGTATCGAGCCCTTCTGGTCCACTACCTCATCGAGCGCCCAGAGACATATGTCTCAGTCATGTATCAGCAAAACCAAACAAGATATGCGTGTAAGATATGTATCTGTTTGGAATATTAGGCAACGTTTTTGATAATGCCTCATTCCGTCTATCACTCTTCTGTATCCTACACTTTTACTCCCCAAACAGATTTCCATACTAACAGGGTATTATTTCTATTCTTCATCTCCCCACAAACTCTCTATCCACGACATCTACTCCTCATCTCCACCAGCCTCATTATCAATCGCCATCTCTTCCCTCGCGCCTCCATCCTCACACTCATGAATAATCCTCTTCCAGCCCAACGCCTCGGTATCGTCCTTGACATACTCAATCGTTGGGAAGTAGTGTTCATTCTTCTTCATGGTGGCGACCCAGGGCACGTTGTCGAAGGTCATGACCTTGAGGCGGAAGTACTCGTTGTCGCCGATCTTCTTGACTTCGCGGAGGAAGGTGGAGAGATCGGGTGTTGGGATGTTGTTGACGTGGGTTAGGAAGTTTGTTGGTGCGAGCTGTGGGTTGTTAGTATACAAGAACGGTGTGGGGAGGAGAGTTTACTTACGCCGTACATGTACGCCGGCGAACCGCGGGCGCGGCTGGAGATGTACACGTCGGAGTGGATCTTGCTGATTTGTTGGCGCACGGCTTGGTGTGGGCGATGGAGGGTGGCGCCGCAAAAGCTGACCATACGGTCTGTCTCAATTTCCTCAGTTGCCACGGTTGTGACCTTGATCGTCTTCTCCTCGCGCTTCCGTACAATGACAGCTTCCAGGAACTCGTTGTTGTACATGACGTCTAGGTCGGGCGATCGGGTCACGAGCTTGCCGTTGAGGGTGAGTAGGATGTCGCCTTCTAGCATGCCGTCGCCGCCATGGCCAGAGTCGACCTTGCGGACCATGAACAATTGATGTCGCTCAGGGTCGGCCTGCTCAGTCTTCTCGATCCAGTCTTCCGACACACCCATGACACGGGCTTGGCTCATCTGGACGGTCTGGAACTCGACGTTGAGGATGCGAAGCTTGGGTGTCTTACCGCTCTTGATCTCGTTCAGAATAGGCAACAGGTTGGGCGTGGCCAGACCAAGGTGGTATTCAACGTCCTTGCCACTATGCGAAGTCCGCTCACCGAGGTAGGATAACCACAGAGCCTGTACAGTACCATCCTCAGCGATGAGAACTCCAGAGCCGCTGTGTGACGCCTGGTTTGTGTCGACGGTAATGGCGTCGAAGTTTGTTGCACGGTAGCGCGGCGTAATGGCGCTCGCAGGGATGGCGACCGTGGTGATGTCGGTGACGACGGTCTTGGCCACGACGGGTCGGAAGTTCTGGTTGAGGCCGAAGAAGATTGTTTCGTCACCCTTTCTAATGAATTCGGTCGCGAACTTGGGTGTCTTGACAGGCGCGTTGACAAGCGCAGGATCGTACTTCACGATAACGTAGTTCTGCAGTGGGTGCATGAAAACGACCTTGGCATCGATGAAGATGCTGTCGGCAATGATCAAGGATATATCGCAAAGGTCGTAGGGCAAGATGGCTCTCGAGACAAGAACAAGACCCTGCTCAGCGTCGACGACGAGACCATAGCCCTGCTTGTTCATCTTTGGAAAGCCGTCAAGCTTGATTGGCATCGAGACATGTACCCGTACAAAACTGCGCACAATATCAACCGCATTTGGGTAGTTTGAGCTCATCTTGACGAAGTTCGCGCGTCTGGACACCTGCGGCACGGCTGGGACAGGATCCGCAATGGGCTTGAAGTCCCATAGACCGGTCTTGTCGTTGCGTGTCGCTATGCGGATCTTTGCATGCCAATGCCGATCGACAGCAGTGATACTGGTGTTAGCAGTGTGCAGGTCGCGGAGGTGCTTGTATTGGATGACAATGCGCTTGCGGTCAGGGATCTTCTTCATGACTTCGATGAAAGTGTCTAGATTTGGCGTGGGTTGATTATCCACTTCTTGGATCAGCCAACCTGAGGCATAACCATCCGCAAATCTGAATGATCCTGCTGCTTCGCAGACAAACACGCCAGCATTCTTCAAGGAGATAGCATAAAGACGGGCTTGTTGGTATGATAAGTCATGGAACGATGCTCCTGACACCGACACGAACCTGTCAGGTGTGATGTCGTGCAGATTGCCTACGTCGAGCTCAACCTCCAGGTTCTCACCAGCGCGCTGGATGGTCACAGAGATGGTCTTGCCAACGTTGTCGTCAAGGATCGAGTCTAGACGCACAAACTGCGTGATGAACTCGCCGTTGACCTTGATCAGAATGTCGCCCTCTTCGACCTTTGTTGACGCAGGGCCCTGCGGCAACACAACTTCAGCAACCAGCATGCCTGTCTCTTTAGGGAACTGCGTCCGCACAGCCTTCTCCAAATCCGTTGACAAGCCTAGCCGCCGGCACTCGTCAAAGGGCTTCAGGATCCACTGTGTCTGCACTGTGCCTCGTGTCACGGCCTCGCCGCGTCGGACAAGTTCGAGCGCTCGCAACGGTCGGTCGAGGGGGAGGAAGTAATCGGTAGCCGCGCCATCTGCTCGTCCACCAGCCTGTAGAGCCACAGCGAATCCATCCCGGTTCACGACCGGACTGCCAGAACTTCCTCCACTTGCGGCCGCCGCAGCTTGGATGTAGTTGGTGTTGAAGTCCGAGTAGCCCTCGCCGTACTCTGGCGCATTGCGGTCCAAACGACTGATGACTCCGGACAAGATACTGAGCTTCTCTCCCGCATCGTTACCAACGACGCGAATCTCGACACCGACCTTGGCAAAGTCTGGGCGCAATTGCAGGGCGGAGACGGACATGTACTTGATGGCCTTGGGGTCGAAGCGGAGAATGCCGAAATCGTGTACGGGGTCGCGGTAAACGGGGTAGACATCGCACTCCTCGTGGTTGTCGAATATGCAGTAGCCGATGAAGGGCCCTGCGCCGACGACGTGCCTGTTGGTAAGAATATAGCCCTTCTCGGCGTCCACGACGAAGCCAGTGGCCTCTGACGATATGGCCGGGTCCGTGTCGAAGGAGCAAGTCTGGCAGAAATGAATAGACACAACGCTCTTGACTACGCCCTCAATCGTCTTCTGCCATTCGGCCGTGTCGTGCACCGCGCCAGCTACTGGCGCAATGGGCTCCTCGAGGCTGTATACGCTGTGCGCGTCGTCTACGACTTCTAGTTCCGGCGACTTGGGTACGCCATTGCGCGTGTGTGCGTCCACTTCGGGCTTGATCTGTTTCAGAGGTCGGTCGGTTGAGGGAGAAGTTGGAGGTTGCTTGCGCTTGCTGCGAGCTTCTGTCGACGCGCCATTCTGGTCCATGAGCACGGGCGTTTCTAGTGTGGAGAGGCGTTTGCGGAGGGTGAGAGCTGGGCTCGTTCGGGATAACAGGAGCCTAGGTGAGTACAGCGGGCGCTGTGAGGCGAGGGTGGTGAAGGTAGGCAAGGGCAAAAAAGGGCTTCTGCAGGCGGCGAGAGAGACCCGACCGAGCAAGTGCATGAAAAAAGCGCTAAACGTGACAGGAAGCAGTGACCGTCAGGACGCGGCCGAGGAGAATGTACAGGCGGGACGGTGACAGTGAGAGTGACAGAAACCTGGTCGCAGTCGAAGATCGGAAGGCGTTCCTGGCCCTGCAGCCGCACAGGTCGCGCTGCAGGCGTGTCCCTGTGCATCATCGCGGACTAAACCCTGTCAGCCTTGCCGAAACTGCCCTAGCAAGACTTCACCCAGGGCCATGGTCGACCGTTATTTTCAGTCAACTCGAAACATCAATGTCACTGGCGCACAGGTATACGTGCTTCAAGCTTATGACTGAAGAACTTTCGATTGCACATGGTGGATAGACAGATTGATATTCCTGATCGTTACTTATGGACATCAACCTCAGCAGGGTACTACTTATGATAACCCTTGTCCATGAGACGGGACACAAGACAAGGAACCAATTCCATCTCCAAGCAGCCTACGATGCACAATTGCGTAGCGAACGCACATCGATGCTTCCCTATCAACCCCAGATCCAGAATCGAGCATGGTCCATATACGTTCTGACTGCGCCGTCACCAAATCAACTAGACCTCCACGCCATCCTCGAACTTGTCATCCTTTAGATCGTCTTTGTCGTCAATGACCTCCTGCTTGACGGGGCTAGCTTCACCCTTCTTCTTGCGCGGAGTAGCCTTCTTCTTGGGCGACTCATCGGCGTCACCACCCACAGTGTCGACCTTGGACTTGCGCTTGCGAGGGGTCTTGGGCTTCTCAGATGCAGCAGCACCTCCACTAGCTGAAGCATCAGGAGCGGTCGTCAGGGCTTGGCCGGCCTTGATCTTCTCTATGTCGTCCTTGTGCTTCTCTTTCAGACGCCAGAGAAGCTTCTTGCAGGAGACGATGCTACGGCCCACAGGGATGGGAGCGTTCTGTGTCGCAATTAGTACGTGGTAAACACAGCATGCTTGAGTCGAATTACAGCGATCTTGGCTTCGGCCTTGCCCTCATTCTCGCAAAGCACGATGAGGTAGGCGATCTTTTCAAGGTCAGTTGAGATCTCTGGTACAGAATTGGCATGCTCACCTTCTCGGCATCTGACCAAGCAGCGCCACTGGCACCGGTCTTGTTCGGGGTCTTCTGCTCTGTGTCTGACATCTTGATCAACGTGTGTTGCTCTGTTGATGTATGTGCTGGTAAATAGAAGTGGCGTTGAGGTGTGCTAGGCTGCTGCGAAAAGAAGAGGTAGAGAAGAGGACTGAGACCAGCGGAAAGCGTTTGATATAGCGATCATGGCGCGAGCAAACAGACAATCTGCTCAAAGTCGCCGTCACCTCGACTTTGTGACCACGTGCTCCAGCGTCCCCTACGATAAGGAGCAGTAGCGGCAAGGTGAAAGCGCTGTTTACAGCCACACTTGAACCAATGGTCATCTTGAGCCCTCAGTGCAAACTACGTGATGCGTATGAAGTTGTAGCAACACAATGCGTACGCGCTTTGGTAGGACGGGACGCATCTTCGGCACCTGCTTCTACGGAGTTTGCGAAGTCGCCATATTTGTCCGTGACTCATTCAGGGATCGCCGACAGTAGTACCTGCGCAGTTCCAAAGGTGATTGCGCCTGCGGTTCTGACATGATTGGCTGCTGAGGACATTCGTTCCATAGCTGCGCTTGACGGGTGGAGGTGAGAGTCGGGAGAGGTTAACGGTTTGGTTTGCGGGAAGCGCACGGACCACCGGACCTGCAGCCGTTAAGTAGCTGCCCTCACCCTTCCTTGTCCACCAACCTCCACCGCCTGCACACCCACAACACAACACACACACGCAAGACACCACCTACACACCCAGCGATAGAACTCGCACGACGCCGCCATGTCGTCGTCTGTGTTCTACCGCTTCAAGAACAGCCGCGAGCCCGAACGCATCACGTTCAACGGCACGGGCATCAGCGTCTTTGAGCTCAAGCGGGAGATCATTATCGCTTCCGGCCTCGGCGATGGCAGCGACTTCAACCTCCTCATGTACCCTGAGGACGACTTGAACAACGAATACAAGGACGACACCATCTTGATCCCGCGATCTGCAACCGTTGTCTGCCAGCGCAGGCCAGCACCACGCGGCCAGGGTCGCGCTGCTCGGTACATCTCAGGCAAGGCGCCGGTCCGTGCTATCACCAAGGACACGAGCAAGCCTGCCGCACCGCTTCCCTCGGGTACTGCTGCCGGTGGCGTACTGAGTGAGGCCGATGCCGAAGCAGCCTTCTTAGCAGAGTCAGCACAGGTTTGGGATGCGCAGAAGGAGTCGTTGTCACATGTAAAGCCTACGTACAACAAGAATAAAAAACCTGTGAATGTTCCCAATCACGACCCCCCTCCAGGTTATGTTTGTCGCCGCTGCAACGTCAAGGGTCACTGGATCCAAGCATGTCCCACCAACGACGACCCCGACTTCAAGCCTGTCTTCCAAGCGAAGCGCACAACCGGTATCCCGCGATCATTTCTCAAGACCGTTGAGAAGCCCGTCGACGAAGAAGCCGCCAAGGGCGTCATGCTTAACGCCGATGGCGAGTACGTGCAGGTCATGACAGACACAAAGACATGGGAGAAGTTCCAAGAGAAGGCCAACGCGTCAAAGGCACAGGCGGCCAGCGCAGATGCAGCAAGCAAGGAGATTCGAGAGCGGGGACTGGAGTGTCCGATCGACAAGCGGAGGTTCGTTGATCCGGTCAAAACACCCTGCTGTGGTAAGACATACTGTCGCGAATGCATCGACAACGCACTCGCAGATGGAGATCTAGTTTGCCCGAATTGTGGCAAGGAGGAGGTGCTCATGGATGATCTTGTTTCAGATGAGGATATGGTTTCATCACTTCGTGCATATGACGCCGAGAAGGCGAAGGAGAAGGCAGAGAAGGACGAGAAGGCCAAGGCAGAGGCGCAAGCGGCTGTGCAAGCCACATCAACAAATGAAGCAATTTCTACTGAAAATGTCGATAATAATGTTTCATCCGCCAAAGCAACTGACACTGCTACACCTGGTGCGGGCTCCGATTCTGAGGGGTCAACGACCTCGAAGAAGCGCAAAGACGCTCCTACCGACATCATGCCTCCTACCGCGCCAAAAGCAATGCGCCAGGCTAAGGAACAGGCAAACCCGACTTCAGACCTCGAGGAGACCTTCAAGCAGCAAATGGAGGCTCTCAAGAATGGTCAAATGCCTCCCATGATGCCCGGCATGCCCAGCATGCCCATGATGGGCGGTATGGGTATGCCCGGTATGCCCTTCCCCATGGGCCCGCAGATGGGCTTCCAACCGGGTTTCAATATGCCCTTCAACCAGCAACAGCAGCAGTTTAACCCGCAAATGGCCTATGGCATGCCCATGATGCCGAATCAGATGCAGCAGCCTGGCTTCCCACAAGGCCCGCAGGGTATGCCGTTTCACCCAGGCATGCACAATGGCATGCAGAATGGGAGTGGCATGCAACAAAACGATGCGTATGAGCGACAGCCGGTGAACAATCGGAATCGGAATAAGAAGGCGAGGGCGCCTGACTACAGGTACCTTTGAGCAAGAGCCGGGGCCAGGCGTGTTGGGACGAGTTACGCTTCGTGTGTGTATATTAGTCAGATGAAATAATAGATCATGAATCACTACGCTTCCTATGTCTCTCCGTGAGGTTTTGATGTGATCCACTGTTCTTTCCGAGTTCGCACTTATCTTCAGGAATCAGATTAGTTCTCGGGTTTTGAGTGCGTATTTGTCACTTTTTTCGCATGTGTGATGTTGAAATTCACTGCGGAAACGTGTTCTTTAATGATGTGGTTCACGGAATTGCGCGACCCATGGAACGATATTAGAGCAAAGGGTGAGAGGATGGTCGACAACGACCTCGAGTTCGACACTAGCAGTATTGGCTTCTCCTCGCCGAACCAAACTTTACGAACCGGTTCCCGCCATCACTCTAACACCACTTTTCCAATTTTGTGATGTACTGAATTCTTGCTTGTGTTCTGGATGCCAACTGGTGGCAGGTTTTTTGCGCAGGAGTGTACATGTTGGTTCGATACTGCGGATCTTCACCCCAGGACTGCTCGGGGAGGTGCTCCAGATGGTATAGTGAGCTATAGCGAGCCATGGTAATAAGTATTCCTGATGAATCCTAGATATAGTACTATGGAAAGCGATTTCCTGTTCCCAATTATTACGAATTTGCAGAATTCTTTGGTTCAGTTCTACCTAGTCAAATGGCATATGAAAGGTTCTTACTTCTCTCAAATTTCTTCATACTCCCAAATTCTTTCTCCGGCTCTTACTATATCCTGAATATCTTCGCAGCCTTATCATACTGTCATACACATCCGACTCTTACAGTACCCTGGATATCTTCACTTCCTCATCACCTTCTCATTCACCTCGGACTCTTACAGTATCCTGTATATCTTCGCAACCTCAACACACATATCACAATCCGACGATGTGTCCTCAACAACACTGTAGCTCTTCCCCTAAGCCTGCAGGATTACCCGGCCTACAAAGTGCCTTTTCCGAAGCTCTTGAGGAGCTCGAAGTGGAAATAAACCTACAACCAGCACAGCCAGAAATCATGGTGCCAGTTCCACCCCAGTCACCAGATGAGCTTTATTTCGGAGAGAATCTCCCTGAAGAGGAGTTTGAAGAGCATGAGCCTGTTCCCACAATCGAGCTCAAGATTATCGAAGACGAGCGATTATCAGAGTACGATTACAACTGCTATGAGGAGGAGCCGCATACGAAGCGCAACCAGAATGTGCTTGGTCTAAAGATGGTTTACATACAGCACGATCTTACACATGGTCGGTATCCAACGCTGCCTAAGTACCCGGACCGCATCGACAAAGTCTTTGGGTCCTATGAACACTGGACAGCACTCCCGCCACCTGGGTTTCGTTCCAGGCGAGACCAATTCGTTGACGAAGGCGAAACCGCTTTTTGCCAATATTTTCACAAACGCGGGCAATTGCCAAATCTAGAGGAGAGGAGCCGCTGGTTTAGGGCTCAGCAACAAGATGAGGGACGTAAAGATAGCGGAAACCCCTCGATCTATTGAGGGTGGTTATGGTAGCCCCTGAATTGGCATCGAGAAGAAGGAAGAGATGAAAATGAAGAATGGATATGTAGAGCTGGAGCTCGCTGTAGATACAACACGCAATAAATATTGAACAACTTGAAGTGCAGATTTTACCCCTTGCCCCAAGTGTTGAATGTGGTGAACTACAACAAAAAGCGACTGCATATGTAGTGTGCACCAGCAGCTTGTTCATTCACCAGCCTGAAGGTATACGCAGCATCGCAGGACCTCAGATCCGACGGCAAGACTCCGGTGATTTTTCGTTTTAGCTGTCCTCTTACGAACAGGATATTTGCTCGAAGAAGCAAGTGCTCACATGCGCCTGCAATATACGATGAAACATCCCGAGACCTGTGGCTATAATATCGCGCTCAGTATGTACACGAATTGGTGGAGTGTGTATAGATGATGCCACTAAGATAAACAATGTCTTCACAAACACAAACGCAACACTTCTAACTATCATGAGATCTGATCAAACTTGATCGGCGGACCCTGATTCCGTTCCGCGCTAAGACGATCCTGCGCATCGGACCGTTTCACGTGTTACGCGGCAAGCCGCCTACCCTGCAGCTGTTGAACCACTAGCCATACTTTTGAGGGGAGATTTTGCACATCCATATACTTACTTCGCAGCTACACACACCGATAGCTTCGCAGCGTCTTCTCCGCCCGCTACTCCTCAAACTACCTACCCCGCCGCACTACGTCATAAGCAACCATGGGCGCATCAAACTTACTACCACTTGTCGTCCTGTTCGCTGTCGTGGGAGTTGTCGCGTGGGTGGGATATCAGGTCAGCATACTCGTGCATATTATGTATAAAGTCTTACTAACACACACGCTTCCAGATCTTCCTCTACACGAACGAACTCGCCGAGCGCGGCGTCCACAAGCTGGAGAAGAAGAATGTCGTCTTTACGAAAGATGGCGCAAAGGTTGGCGTGAAGGAAATTAGTGCGGAAAACTATGCGGATAAGACACAAAAGGCGTTTGTGAAGACGTGGAATGCGGCGCAAGAAGGGTAGGTGGTGGTGATGTGAGAGTTGGTAGTATTGAATGCTGACATGGTCCTAGGCAATCGAATACGCGATCTCGAACGAAATGAGCCGGAACATCGATGAGGGAATGTTTGTCTGGGGTGACTCTGCGCAATATGCCGAGAGTGCGTGACAGCGGGATTTGATTTATGGCTGTTGGCATTGGTTTCTCTTACAGCAAGCGGTTTTGGCATATCTACTTTTGTTGTGTCTTTTGAGCGATAGACGAATGCACATGGCCGAGGAAGCAGATGCTGAACAGACAGGGACCGTCGGTAGTGAGTATGTCTTTTGGTACTGAGAGACGAACATCACTTAAATGATACCCATTTCAATAGTAGCTCTCCACAGTGGGTTGACGTTTAGAGTAGCAAACATGATGATACAGTTGCCTTGCCGTGTGACGCTGATGAACTCATACAGTACTACGCTTTGAATATTTCTGCTTCTGTACAACTATCATACAATCGTTACTCATCGAATAGCTGCTCTTAGACCTCAAGGTTTGCTATTCCTTCCTTCCTTCCTTTCCTTCCTTCCTTCCTTCCTTCCTTCCTTCCTTCCTTCCTTCCTTCCTTCCTTCCTTCCTTCCTTCCTTCCTTCCTTCCTTCCTTCCTTCCTTCCTTCCTTCCTTCCTTCCTTCCTTCCTTCCTTCCTTCCTTCCTTCCTTCCTTCCTTCCTTCCTTCCTTCCTTTCCTTCCTTCATGTCGCCTGTGCCCCCAGTTTCGTGTGGACCGTCATTATACTCCCAACGTTAACTCAACAACCCAAGTCTCAAACAACAGTATACGAATTAGTGACAGGCACCATGGGCATGTCGAATATAGGCGAGCACGTGAGTACATGACGCCTAGCCAGTACAAGTACTTGTGCACTACTAAGCCCAAACTTTGTACCTATGACGGACAATCGACCGAATAGCCAATCGCGCTGTGCCTGCGGTACTGTTTCAGCATTTGCGGCAACGTACAGAGGCCAAACGAGTGAGTATCCTCCGAATGCTTCTGCAGCTACAATTTGTAAATGTCAGTGGAGTTGAATATACCATTCGATCGATGCTACTTACCATTCTGCTCTTGGCCCATCTCCTTCGCTACTACCTGCAATTCGTAGTCCAAATGGAAAGGTACACAAGCGCTGATGTCGTCGACCATCTTTTGGATGACGAACAGAGACTGATTGTACTCTCGCGTTTCATCGATGTGTCCGGAAATGCTTAACCAGTTAAGGCAGGCTATTATGACTCGCCTGCAGAAGATGCGGCACACACGGTAATCGTTGACGATGCTGGCCAATGGTACATCATTGTAGATATGCTGTTCGCCCGGCCACTTCTCAGTGACCGCGAGATCTTCTATCGCAGGCACTTCGCTCACGATTCCAATGGTGGTGTGCTTCCATTCTGTTGGTAAAGTAGCGTACCACTCAGCAAGATTTCCGTCTACCATTTGCGCAAACTCAAGGATTTGTCTTGCCTCAGACTCGTTGCTGGAGTCGTGGGGCGTTGTAGTAAGGTTATTTGCTCGCGCACGAAGACTTGGGAGGTCGATGCAGATGAGTGTGAGGCGATTCGCGACGTTTTCATCATCAAATTCGCCATTGCCGACCCAGCCTTTGGTTCCTGGGAACTCGACTACCGGTTTAGAACGTTGGACACAGCTTGTGATCTGGAAAACTTAGTTGAGCAATCTTCGTGCCAAGGGCGGGTACATACCATCATTGTTCGAACAGCTCGGAATATGGCGTGGCTCATCTCATCCTTGAATTGATCTGTGCCTCTAAGTTTGGTCAGGGCCACGGCGCCATCGACATGGTTTCCCCATGCTGTGATTGTGTCATCGGTACTCATAATTGTCTGTAAATGGTCAGTCTGGCACAAGAAAGAGTGCGCAAACAAGAGGAGAGACCACTGGAAATCTTGCAGAAGCAAACGATTTACTCACTTCATACAAAGAGAACATGAGAATAGCGAGTACCGTCTCATCGCTCTTCGACATCACAGGATCTTTGAGATCATCGTTGAGTTTCTTGAGAGCCCTGCCATATGTGGAAACTGCTTCGCGGAGGAGGTCTTGTCGGCCAGGGTACTGCCCGCATGTTGCCATTGCGACGGCGGTGGTTGCAAGATGAAGGACAGATGAGGGACGCGCTTTGTTGTACAATGGAACGAGATATTCTAGGAAGCCACGGGTAGATTCGGCTTGTTGTGGTAGAGCTATGAAGTTCTTGAAGAAGAATGGCACGGCTTCGTATTCGGGGGGCATTATTATGGTAGCAGGGACCGCGTTCAAATTCCACTCAAATGACTCGAAGTCGAAAACTTGATCAAGCGAGGGTGGTGTTTGCGTTACTTGGGCAAAAGATATTAGTTGGCCTTGCTCCGTGGGATCTGAAAGTGTTCGAGACTTTCTGTCGCTCACAACCAAAGACGAACTGAGATCTGACAATGTTTCGAAGCTCTGGTCTGTTGAACTGTTCAGGGTTAGTTACTGTCGCAATTTGCGATTGTTTAGTCATCAGCCTCATTCGATTGTACGATTGCGCGACATTGCACCAAAGCTTCCAAGCTTGTCTTGGAATAGAGTAGACCAATGAACTGTAGGGCACTTACAGATGTGGAGAAGTATGCGAGCTTGAGTCTCCGGTACTACTCCTAGACGGACCTGATCCAGAGTGTTTCTTCGCTTTCCGGGCCATAGCTTTGTTCTCGTCTCGGAATACCAGATCGAATTCATCCGGATAGCCTGGACAGTCTCGTCCGGACTTCTTGCAGTTGCCACATGTTGGTCGCCGTTCGTCGCACTATAACACGTTAGTATCGAGTTAGGTAATGCTTGCGGAGTGTAAGCCAGTCGATTGACCACACCACATATATATTGCTAGACGCACGCTTCAGACATACCTTTATTCTCCGACTCTTACACATGCCGCATCCGCGACTCGGTTTTCCAGTGTACACCATGGTAATATACAAGTGTGCGTGAAGGAGTGCAAGAAGAGAAGAAAAAACAATTTACCACTAGTACACCAGGCGCTCTCAGTATCTCCACCTCGACTTATAAACAAATATCAGCAAGAAGGACGGTACTAAGATGTTGAAATAACACTGCCTCCAAAGAACACGTCCACCATGTAGCCCTGCTGGAGAAGTCCGCGTATGACTCCAGGGCTTTACTTCAGCTCTCCAACTTCCGACCGACTTCAAGATGGACGGGACGCCAGTCGTACGAATCGAGCCACGCGATATGCCTGTAAACTCAATTATTGACGTAGTTGCTGGGGGTATCCGTTCCTGCCGCGGCTGTAGCGATGAATTTCGCAACTAGAGCCTCAATTGGATGTCGATGTTGCTGTCGTACAAGATTACCAATGAGCAGTGTTGTGCGCCGGACGAGCCTATTAGGGGTGCAGGATGGTCGTGGAATTGGCGAGAAATGCACATATCAGACGGATGTGGGGAAACAGGCGTTCCGTCGGCCGCCATTGCAGTCCGAGAAGCGCAAGTCTGAAGTTGTTTCGTCGCAAGGTCTACCAGATTGGGTTTAGTGCCTTGCGGCTGTGCACTATTTTACCGTCCGACGTCCCCAGTCGTGCGGCATGACACGAGAGTGTAAGGAGGGCGAAGCTTACGTCAATGTTGTTGCCTGAAATGTAATATACTCGTACCTCAGGCTCTGACGCAAGTGCGTACGCAATGCACGACTCGCACTTGTTCTCACAGTCGAGAAGGATGCAAAGACCAATCATGTAAGCTACTGGACTTCGTCTTGGTGCGCGCCCCAAAGACACGCCTCTCAGGTACCCGCGATATATTAGCTATTGGCTACATGCCAGGAGAAGGTATGCAAAGGATGCATGAGGCTGTCTGGAGTGAGCCAGCGTCACCAGGAGGCTCAGCAATTCGTGTCGTTCCCCTAAATTGAATACAAACAGCACTTCAGCTATAGCTAAGGCTGTATACCCCAGGGGGTTTTCAAACACCGATAGTATACTAATGAGCTTTTAGAACTATTCGAGCTGACGTAAGACATCATACTCTTCCTCGTAGCAAAGGTCAAGCAGAGCGCGCACGAACTGGTGCGTCTTTCAGAAGCCTTCATCATACTCTTACTTCTATCAAGGGAACATAGAACTTGTACGACTGGAAGCGCGGATTACATCTCGGCGCTTTCCAACTGTGAAATGTTAGAGTGACTTTTACAACACATCCACATTGAGTCACACATGCGAAACAAAAGAGCAAACCAAAGTAATGACAAATCTCACGACGCAAAATATTCTTGAGCAGGATACAGCATGCAACAAGACATTGAAAGAGGCACAATTCACCCCAAAGGAGTACCCATATCTTAATGCCGATCAATGACGCTGATCATTTCGAGCTGCTCGAACTGCTGGCTGGCCATGCCGCAGCTTTTGCATGGTCATTTGGTCAAAATGCCGCAGCCGCATACTCAAGAGCAGTTCAGGGCAAATTCGAAAAGCCTCGAGGACGCCCAAAGATCGTCCGAGACAAAGAAAGGAAAGTTCTAGATGGCTATGGACGGGTTCTGCGGCGCCCTGCTTTATGTGTATTCGAACAAAGGAGACTTGCATCTCAAATCTAGCATGGCAAACTCTGCGTATCGTATGTACAAAGAAAGACTGGCTCGACCGGAAAGCCTTGTCACGACTTCGCCGGCCACTCACAAAGAGATATCACTAACGATGGCTATGTAGGGAGCACGTGAAACCATCATGTGCTTCAGTTGACTTTCAGTAAAATGCCAGCTTGAGGCAGGCTAAATCCACTTTGACCATGATTCTCATCATACCATTCTGACTTCCACCAAAACACTTCAACTCGCAAGCAAGGCAGGACTTTGCCCATTCTGCAGAAGCAGGTCTAACTACGGACGAAGGCATACAAGCACATAGACCGCACTCTCCTGAAGACATCACTGCAAGAATGTCACAAACCCAAACCCGCAGCAGCAGCAGCCATCTGCGTATCCACCCCACACCATTCAAACCGACCTTCCTCTCCATCCCACCATCTCCATTCTCCCCACTCCTACCCATCACACCAGGCACGCCACCAAAACGCATCCCCACCGCCCAACCCTCACCCCAACCCCAACCCTCCACATCCGCCCCCGACTCCCCTCTCTCATGGATGTGGCAATGCCACCAATGCCATCGCAACTACCACCTCGGCGCCACGCGCCGCTGCCTCGACGACGGCCACAACTTCTGCTCGGGCACCACCACCATCAAAGCCTGGCGCAAGCCCATCTCACGGCGCGCCAAGCGGCACCGCGCCTGCCCCAGCGAATTCGACTACGCGGGGTGGAAAGCGATGGGCCGCTGGCGTCGGGGCTCCGGCATCACCAAGAAGAGGAATTGCTGGGCCAGCTGCGATTATCCGAGTGAGTGTCGGTGGGGGAGAAAGTTTGGCGTGCACACACCGCTCTCGCCCAAGTTCCCCGTGCTCGAGAGAGTGGTGGAGGAAGCGGAGGGGGTGTTGAAGCCGGAGAATTGTAAGGAGCTGGGGGGCGAGAAGGCGGATTTTTGGGGGGCGCTGGTAGCGAGTGCGAAGAGGAGGAAGAGTGTCACGGGGGGTTCGCCGTTGGTGGAGGAGGTGAAGACCGAGGTGAAGGACGGTGATGGGGATGTCGATATGGATACTGCGGTTGAGAGTTCGAGTGCTGGGTCTGACGCGATTGATATGCTCAAGGATTTGATGAAGCGGGGTACTTCGAGGCGTGCAAGGGGAAATCGACCGGCTTTCTCGTCTGAGAGTAGTAGCTACTCTGTGCCCATACTCACAGTGCCGAAGACCAAGGCCATGAGGACTGAAGAGGATATCAACTCTGGTGACCTTGGAGTATTATTAGATGAAGACTTCGCACCACTAGAGAGGGTTGAGAGTCAGAGATAGCGGGATGACTACTTCGTAGGGCGATGTATAGATGCTGGTCCTTCTCGCGATGCTATCTGCAGGCCAGATATGAGGTACAACTGTATTGAACATGTTTAACTCTGCATCTCATCTGCATTCTAATTAATTCTTGTTTCTCTTTGATCGGTGTGCTCATATAATACCTCGACACAATCGAGCCCACATCTTCATCTCTACACCCTCCGTGAACCAACGAACTAGATTCGTCAATCCCACAGCATAAAAAACATTATTTGCCCAACCCATCCTCTCACCCACGCTCAGTTGTCCAGCTGGTCCAGACAAGAGTAATAACACAAAGTACAAGTGGAACCACCAAAATGTGTAGGAGTTGTTCATATGCGCATCAGCGGTGTCGGTGATCTGGTAGGACTAGGCCAAAAATAACCATGCACACGCGAACAATGCCGAGCATACCTTCCAGTTATCCGGTTCGCTGAAGAGTCGAGAGACGAACGATGTCTTGCGAGATGCGCTGGACGACTTGGGGATATTGTTAGTAGCCGCGCCGCCGATGTACCACGATCCGATATCCGTCAACTCGCCGTTCTGCGTGAGCATAGCAGCGTTCGCACCGACGTTCGATACTGAGGAGCGGAAAGCGCCGAAGTAAGAGTAGTGCGTAACGTTCCTGATCATACATTAGCCTCCATCGATCCCACTTCCCATACGTTGCAAACTTACGGCCACCGATCAAACGCCTGCGCACTCATATTGAAGAACATCTGCGTCTCCTCGAGCCCCTTATTCGGATACCCATACTCGGTAACCCACACCGTTAGATTCGGCCACTTATTCGTAACCTGCCCAACATGGCTCATCATGCCCTCGAAATTGCCATACCAATGGACCGGGATGAAGTCGGGATTGCAACCGCCGTCGCACGCCTTGAACCAGTTGTCCAGCCAGTTCCAGCCGCTTTGAGCGCCGGTGACAGCGGGCGCGCCTAGCTTGACGCCGAGTTGCTTCAGCGGCTCGATTTCGGCTTTCCAGCGCGCGGCCGCGAGGTTGACTTCGAGGTTGGACCCGCCCGTAGTATGCGTGCCATCAGGCTCGTTAAAGGCAAGGACGTAGCTGATATTTGCGCCTGAGTCGATTTGGCGCTTGACCGAGTCGTAGAAAGGTGTGCCGCTATCTGAAGAGCTGGCGCCCCAGAGCATGGGGACGAATTGGAGGGATTTGTCAGAGGAGTAGGCGGCAGATGGGTCTTTGCCGTAGTTGTAGTACCAGGTGGGATTGCTGGGGCCCGAGGTCCAGATCTTGTCGTCGGCTGTGTTGCCGTTCTCTTTGACGTGGCAGAGACCGCGCTTGGGTGAGGAGGATTGTGCGAGGGCCGTTAGTGGGAGTAGAGTGGCCGTGGCCGAAAGCAGGATGGAGCGACGCATCGTGGGAGATGTTCGATACCGTTAGAGTAGGGATACAACGAGGGTTGGATAAATGATGTCGTGAACTTTCGACAGCGAAACGTGACTTTCTTCGTAACCAGTATAGCGATAGGATGCTCAGATCAAAAATAGGAGCTGAAATTCGATTCCACAGCCTCAGGTACGACGAGACTCAAGCAGGTACAAAGTGTTCCTCGTCACTTCCAGCTGTGCCACCAAAAAACGCCCAAACTCCCAGATGTAGAAGGCGAAGATAAATTGAACGACGCAAGATTCGGCAAAGAACAGATGAGCGAAGGACCGACCCTAGGTATCGACTCCCAAACTTCTTATCACACTTCGGCTCCGCCTCAGCCGCACTACCTATCTTAGCTTTATTGCTTCCAGCCTTGTCTGCTTGGTACCTGCATCCACGATGGCCATTTTCAGCGCGCCACCAAGGCGCGACGGCGCGCGAATCGGCGGGAGATCTACTGTAGTTCGCTATTTGCGGATGTGTTCGGCAAGTAAATCAACTAGGTGCCATGAGAGAAATAAGGGAAACGCAAGCTGCGATACTTGGGATATACTCTGGGACTGATCAGGATGCCGTTTTAAATAGGTACGTACCAAGCGACGCCGACATCTGACTGCAGACGCAGGCGTTTATTGCTTTTCCAAGGCATGCACATCAAGCCCCAACAATCCGGCATCCGGGAACGAAAAGTTCTAGAAACGCACGTGCCGTCGCAGCCCCAATCCACAGGAACTCGGCAGACGAAACATACTTTTGCAGAGCTCTCTGTCCTAACTTCCATCATCTTACACATTGGAAAAAAAAGAACAGGCAAGAGACTCGTTTGTTTTGTAATGATTTGTATGTAATTCGTCTACCCTCCCCATTCCTCCAGTACCCAAGATACAGAAAATATCCACATATCGCAGCAGCCACAGGCCCGCATGCTTTTTCATTCTCAATTACAATCAGTTTGTATCTCTCTAGAAACCAATCTTTCTTCCACAGGCAAGGAGACATTCGTAAATATAGGGTGTTGTTGGGCGGCTTGCGCATCAAGGAAGCTGGCATTATCTAATAAGTGTTGCACCGTTGTTCCTCCTGGAAGTGATGTGTACACCGCCCTATATGCAAGTTTGAGACTGCTGGTTCAGTTCGTCTAGATACAAGACGAGAGAACTGGCATGCCGTGCCATGCTAAAAATGACAACAAAGGAAATCGCGATATACACAAGCGGCCATCGAAAGGCGGCTAAAGATGGCCGGAATTTACACTATGAGATCGTTTTGATGAGAAAAGGGGTATTGATGAGTTTTAGTATCCGGTGGCTCCCCGTGGTTGAGCAGGTTGCCATGGGGCGTTTGAGTTGTAGCCTGTCGTGTGGTAGCCTGAGGTTACGGGGTCTTGCAGTCGCGCAGGACTGTCGTCTCGCTGGCTGCTGAAGCTGCGAGCATGAGAACCTGTTCTTCCGAATGTGGAAGCGTCGGCAAGAAGGACACCTTGGTCGCTGTAGCCACCCTTGTAGGCGGTGTTCTGCTCTGAGAGCGGAACTTGGTCGTAACCACCAGCGCGGGGGCCGAAGGGAACGGGGAATGAGCTGCGCTTGTTGCTATGCTCTTGTGGGTCCATGAGAAGCGAGTTGCGTGCATCAAGGGGGGTGAGGGTGTCGATGTCGCGGGCTTTCTCTGTGCAGTTGTTAGTAGGTGTTTAAATGCATTATGGGTCGTAGAACTTACCAGCCTCCTTTCTCTTCTTGCGGTGAGGGTTCTCCTTGCAACAAATGATGATGGCGTTGACAGCAATGAGGATGGCGAGAACACCTGTCAAGGAAGCTTGGACAACGACAAGTACGAGACCGGTGACGGTCTTCGTAGTTTGCGACATGCCGAGCTCCTCAACAAAGACCAAAATGCAGACAACTGATAGCACACGGACGACCTGAATGACAATGTTGATCCAGTTACCAGACTTGCGAGCGTAGGGGCGAGACCAGAGGAGAACGGTGAGCAGGAGAGCTTCGACGATGAGCTGGCCAGCAGCCTGCGCAAGACCGTGACCATCTGCTCCGGCAATGACACATCCACGAGCGAACATGTAGATGATGGTTGGGATAAAGAGCCACCAGTAGCTCTGCTTGTAGTTCTCGTAGAACAGGCTGTACTTGCGCCAGACCTCCTTGTCGTCGTAGAGAGCGGATGGGCTACCCTCGAGCTTCTTGAACTTTTGCGCGATGCTCCAGATCTTCCAAGTGAAGAAGACCAAGACACCGGTGAAGGCGGCCAGAGTGACACCAGCGAGCGTCTTCGCGGCCCAGGAGTCTCCGTTCTTGAACTGGTAAACACAGTAGAGCACCCAAATACCGTAGAGGAGAAGGACCAAATTGGTGATGGTCTTTGCCAGGGTCCACCAGTAACGCTTGCGGAAGCTGGTCAGGCGCTTGGGGAAGCTACCGAAGAGGGCCCAGGTTTCGAGGATGACCTTGAACAGCAAGATACCGACAGTTATGGCTGCGATAACGATGGCAAAAACCAGTAAGACAGTCATGAAAGCGTTACCGTCTGGGATGGTGTACTCTTCAACGAAGCCCTGGATGCCCTTGACCATGTGTACGACCTTGCTGTCATCTCCACCTTCTGTGGCATTGCCGCTGAGGTCAGTGTTAAGCTCATCGCGGGCGAAAAGGAAGGCGCGCTTAGCCAAGTTCACTTTTTGGTCGACGTGGACGAGGGTGGCGTTCTGGAGGAATGGAACACTGTTCTGCGTGAGGTTACCGCCGGTGTTCTGACGGAAGCCGTCGATGGACAATTGCATGTCCTCCCAGTAGATCAGACCCGTGCTGAAGGCGAAGTTCTTGGACCAGCTGCGGTAGACACCGGGGACATCGGCGCTCATCATGCCGTTCAGAGCCATTGCCTGGAACCATCCGACGATGTCGCCGAACGTGGGACTCGAGGCAGTAGCACCGGACGTGCCTGCACTGGCGAAAGCGGAGGCACCAGACAGGAGAAGCGCAGCACCTGCGATGCCGGCTGCGATGTATTGGACGCCCTTGGTCGAAAGAGACTGGCCGTTGGTGACCTGTGATGTGATGCATGCAAGGTCCTGTCCTCCATCTACTGCTTTAAGCTGCATGGTAGCTTGGCTGTCGATATCGGGGATGGTGAATGCGATGGCGGGAATGTCCTTGAGGTACTTTTCGTCGATTGTTTGTTCACCCTTGGCGGCAAAGGTACCAGATGGCACTGTTTACATGTCAGATGCTGCTTCTAGGATAGTTATTTCAAGACGTACCTGGACACAGCTGGTCGACTTTGGTGCCTTCGTCACATGGGTTGAAGGGCTTCTTGTAGACCTCCTTGCCATAGGCATTGACAATAAGGGTCGCCATGACCTTTTGCTCCTTTTCGTTGGTGCCCGAAACATCGAAAACGACCTTCTTCGTGCCCCGATCGAACTGAATGTCCAGCTTGTTGACCTTGATCTCTGCGGGGCCATTCAGACACGAGCTGTAACCGTTGGTCTGGAGGACATCGCCGGCCAGGACTCCTAGTGGCGCGGATGCGAGTAATATGAAAGGTGCCAGCATGGCGGAATATGACGTGTGCGCTCTCATATTGGCTGTCTTCGCCCGTGGGCGGTCGTCGGTAGTGACGTCGAAGTGCGGGTGTTGTGTGCGATAGAAATGCGTCTAAAGGGTTGTTGATATGTCGGGTCGTAGCAGGAAATAACGTCTAATTAAAAGGTGCTTTGGCCGCAGGTTCAACCTTTCTCGTGCCTGGTCGGAAGCAGAATACAAGGCAAACGCTGTTAACAATGTACGGAAGGCAAACACGCTGTCGGCGGGCTTGGAAGATGGAAGGTGCGGAGGTGTCGCAGAGCTGGCAGAGGTGAAACGAGAGACAGACGACAGAGGCGCCGAACAAGTTGTACGAGAGGATAATCGAGCAGCACTGGGGAAAAGGTCGGGTTTGGGGCTATGGTCCTGAAACCTTACTCCTTGGCATTTGCGACGGGCAGGGGCGACGGGCGGAGGACCCAATTAGGCAGCGACGCGCGGCGCTCGGTTCACAGATGGTGGGCTAGAGGCTATCGAAGGATGATCGTTGAGCTTCCATGGGGTCGAGAACACGAACACTAAGGATAGACGATGCGGATCTACGCTGAGCCGATTCGACTCTGGGGACGGTTTGTTGGCAACAGCACAACTGAGCAGCAGCAGCTTTCTTTGTATACCTATGCACTGCTGCGCTGGTTACTCAATGCCACGAGACACGCTACGCTCGCGTGCTCTGCTCGGCTACCGGTATTAACCTCCAGGGCCCGCCAGCTGAAGAATGCTCCCATGAACGCCCGGCCTATCAACAAAGCGCACAGCCCCTGCTCGAGACCTCCCGTGGCTCAGCCAGCAACGGCGCGGGTCCAATTTCCCTGTGGCAGCTCCTCCAATTCAATCCTTCATCATCAAAGACCTCGCTGCTTCATATCCCACGCGGCAGAACTCAGTTGCTGCAGCAGTCAGCTCCTTTCACGGATGACGCATTCAATAGCGACTCTGGTTACGCGACACCGAGCAGAGGGCTAATCGCTACCAAAAATGTCGCATCTTGTGGCTGTGCAACCCTTTTCGCGGTAAAAATAGAAAGCTTGGCGACTGCAGGATTTTGGGACGTCGTTGAGGATCGGGCGTGTCGTTTGTCACATGGCATGCTACCGTACCAAACAAAAGTGCCCGAAATACTTCCTTTGTTCTGTGATCCCTGATGACAATGTTATCTTGTCGCATCCACAAGGTGTGCTTGTTGTGTTCATTGTATGAACCCATCGAGGCTTGGGTCAAGACAATCAAGCCTTCACATGTCTTATCTTTCGTCTTGCGCACTTCTTCCTTCGCCGAGAGAAAACTTGGGCGGCAGCTGAGGGTCCAATGTCTTGGGCCGTCAACCATGGTCGTGCGTATGCGCCATCTGCATTAGTCACCACGCCAGTACCAGTGAGTTGTGCATGTGCATGTGTCACCGGCACACCGTCATCGGAACATGTCTTGCAGATGATTAGCCGGTGCAGATGTCGCAGTGAAACCACGTTTGTAAACACTCAAGGTTGTGGGTGACATCGAGAAACAAGAAGGACTCGTCTTTCACTAGCTTCGAATTCTATCCATTGTTTATACACAAATTAATATCTATTTACACAAATTCTCCAACGAAACCAAGTCATCCTTGTTCAATCAGACACTAGTAATATCCACATGTCCCATAATCCTTGATTTGACCCCATCAGTCGTCCATAGCGTATCCCATCTTCACCTAATCATTAGATCTTTTGTCTCTTAACAAACGCCATCTTAAGGCGCGGGCGGTACGTCTTGGAATGCCCAGCTCATGTCCGGTATTTCATACTTACGCACCGTAGTCGTTGGTTTAGGCTTCAATGCTCCAACTGATGCAGGCAAGCGCGTGACCCGTGCTGTCGAAAGTGTGGCTACAGTGGTAGCACTCAGAGGTAGCCGTACTGGCAGCACCGAGCTCTGAGATTTTGACAGTGTACTTGTTGCCTTTGCTGGCTTAGACGTGGATGTCGTCTTCGCTGCATTGGGCTTCTTCGGCCAATTGAAGCCATGGGGCCATGGTCGGTTGTCCGGCGGTATGACTGCATTGACAATGGGAGTCATTGCTGGTGAAGGTGTAGAGGTGGGTGCGTTGACGGTGGAAGTCTTGACCGGTGATGGTGTCAAGGCAGAATTGATCTTCTTGGGAACATCTGCACTCTTTGACGCGCTCGACCCAGGGTTGTTGTAACGTAGATCCGCTTGAACGTTGCCATTTTGCACACCAAGTAGTGCTGCCGTGTATGCAAGGTACCAGGTTCGACTGGCACCGCCATCCAGTTGTGTATTGAAGTTTGGGTCTGCGAAGAAATCGTATGCTGCTTGCGGATTGATGAGTGCATAGTTTGCATAAAGGATGGCTTTCCAGCCGCCCTGAATTTGATCGACTCGGCCGCTGCTGAAGTATGTATCCCATTCTTCCTTCACAAATTTCGCCCCACGAGTATATGCAGAAGTTGGATTGAGAGGAATCATGTGTATGCCCTCAATGTACTCTACATTGGATCCAAAATACGTCGTGTGATCGACCTTGTTCTCGAAAAGAATGCCAGTGACCTTATTGGGCAGAAACGACGGGGGTTGGTTCTGGTTGTCTGAAGTCATTAGGAAGTAGTTGCGGAGACTGCGTGCTTGTACTGCGAGCTGCAAGTTACCCCTCGCCTCCATGTTGGAGTCGCGAATGATTCTACCCCACATTTTGAGTGCGTATGTCGCAAAAGTGTCCTCGGAAGTAGATTCTTGGTCCTTGCCGTCGGAAGATTCAAAAAGACCTTTGGCCCAGGAGTGTCCATGGAACCAGTCGAAAGAGCGCTGGAAAGGAAAGTACTCATCTGTAACAGGGTTGGCGTAGTCTCTAGCGAGCGTGTTGACCCAGGCTTTATTGCTGCCCTCATCCAGCCAGTCTGGGTCAAGGTAGCCAATGACCGCTGCAGTGTAGAGGAAGTACCCGTAGTGAAAGTGGTGGTCATTGTACAGTGTGTTGCCAAAGTCGAGCCCTGCGTTGTAAGGCGGCCTATAGGTAGCATTTGAAACAACGCCCTTCCAGACAGTGTCATAGACAAGAGGCTCAGGCTGAGTGTTGTTAACGAAGACATTGAACGCATCTTTGAGTTTGAGTAATCCAGATGCTGCGAGGTTGCGATTGCCAGCTATGTTGCTCACAGTATAGCAAACAGCAGCAAATTTGGCGAGACCCTTGCCAGAGTAGTACATGCTGTTCAGCTTGGTTTGCGCGATGAAGTCTTGACTCAGCTCTGCGTGGCTGACACTGTTGACGAGTGCAAGTGCTGCCGTACCCAAATCGACATTTTCATGTCCCGCCTGCACCTCCGTTTTGGTTCTTTGCCCAAGGAGCGAATCCAATATTGGTCGGAAGGTCGTTCTCGAGCATTGTGATGCTATCAGCAAGTACAGCTCGCGCGTAGCCCTTTGTCGTCGTGACGAGATTTGATGTTTGTTAATGCTCCTTTTGTTTCTTGGTCGAACGACTCTACGTGGTGGGGTAGCGCATACATGAGCAAGGTTTTACTCTGAACGCCACCCTTACTCCATTTGAGTGTGTAACTGCCGCTAGTCCCATCTACCGTGCCAGTGATGGTTGCACTTGCAGCATAAGCTCCGGCCGCTGCATCAAAAGCATCTTCCCCTGAAGCTCCAGCCGGGTTCTTGGCAACTTGTATCATCCCCTTGAAGTCAGAAGGGCCTGAAATGGTCGAGCTATCTTCCAATTTGAATGGTGGTATGCCCTGAGAACTGAGCGGCGTAACGTAAAAGAGCCACTGGGAATTATCATTGAGTATGACACGCCATTTAAATGTTCCGGGGTTGACAGTGTTGACATAGTCAAAGGAGCGAAAGAAAACACCACTTCGAATCATAGGTCTTGCTTTGTTGTATATGGCCGTGATCATACCCATGCCTTGTACGACAGGTAGAGTCATTACGACTGGAGAGTCGGCAGACGGTGCAAAGTTTGCGTAGACGGAGAACGCTTTCAGCTCTTCGACTGACAGAACAGTGTCGTTACGCAGTTCTTCTGCGGAGAGTACCATGTGATTGATTCCGATCGGGGAGATGAAATATTGCGGAATGGGGCCGGAGTTAGGTGGGCCATACGCGAATTGACTTCGTTCTGTGTGGCTGATAGCCATGCCATTGGAGCCACTCTCACCATCCCCCTTCGCCCAGACGAGATGATATGGGTGTGTCCATACAGGGTTTCCTTGGCCTCCAAGAAAGAAATTGGCGTAAAATTTGTTCGTTTGGATTGGTACACTCCCATCGACAATGTGCTCCTTCTTTACAAAATGGCCACCGCTGAATGGAATCGATTGTGCAGGTTTTCCCGACTCGATGGGCTGAAATATATTCGCTGATACTGGTTGGAAAGGGACAGTCGGGCCGGGAACTAACGGTGTTTCGAGCGGACATAACGGTTTATCTGTCTGCGTAGCACCAGGTCCATGAACAGGGTCCTCCGTGAAAACACCGTTTGAAGGAAGTGCAGTAAGAATACTCTGAGGCAATCGTCAGTAAAACTTATTCTAGAATAATTATTGCGCGTTGAGGGCATACGTACGCCTGTCAAGGAAGGTAGCACGGATATTGATAAGGACTGTAGTGAGGTTATGGCAGTACTGTAACTGGTCGTTGGTGGCTGAACAGTAAGTGTTGAGATGTCCCGCTGATACTTTTGCTGCAGTTCTCGAGCTGGCAGGCTGTACACGATGGATAGTTGTGCAAGAAACAGTAACAAGAACGTCATGATCGCCGAACCAGACGACAGAGAGCGAGAAGGGACGGCAGGTCTGAGACCAAATCAAGAGTCTCAGACAATTAAACCAGATTGGCGTGTCTGCGTAAATGAAGAGGTTATCAACGTGTTGATGGAATGCAGCTTGGAATGCAGAGTTGCCAGGCCCATGTTGCCCCGGCATCTTCACCGAGACTATATACTCATCTATTGAATTTGAAATGCTGGGTTGTGAAGAATGCTTCATGTGAAAGGCGCTGTCTATGATCGAATTGGGCAGGTTGGTCGCGTGCATAAGACATGATGCTGAGATGTGGAGGTGTGGCAGTAATCCTGGACGATTGCGACGCTACGCAAGGCAGATCGCTACTATGCAGGTACTTGTGTAACAAGTCACAAAGTTCCTTCGGGTGGAACGGGATACGCCAGACCGCAAGGTGCAGATTCTGGATCGACTTCAAGACATGACACTTTGCGGCTCTTTCTAGCCCGAATTTGCGCATGACTTCCGTCGCTGTAGAAGTGTAATTGCTTTGCTTGCTACACTGTGGGTAGCCAGCCTACGCAAGACATATCAGCCGAGTTCTGTGAGGGTACCTTGCCACACTTGCGGGATGTCGACATCTGATCAAGATGTACATTTAATTGCCATGATACAGAAGTGTAACTAGACGTGAGTATAGTGACGCAGGACGGGACCTCTAGCCCGGTTGTCGAGTGGCAGGTGCGGACACTGAATCTGGGGAAGCGCAGGTGCTGGTGATCGTGGGACATGTAATCGTCCGCGAGGCTTCTTGGCTCAGTCAGACTGATTAATGTTGATTTGCCCGATGTGGAAGGCCGTTGGTTGCCTCATGACCGACCACTACCCCTTGCTGGTGGAGCCTAAGTTCTTATGTTTACGCCCATGTACGTAGCTTCGCCATGTTCGTAGTCTCTTACAAAAATGTAGTGTAAGCCGCAATAGTTTCCCGTACTCAGATGTCCATGGAAGGGGAATGCCGTCTTCAAGCACTGAACAGATATTGGAGCGCGAAACTGGTGCCGTTGAAGAAGCCGAACGAAGCCAACAGAGGGAATTCGCTGAAGCTAGGCCTAGCAAAAGCATGCGCGGTGTTGGATGTAGTGGTACGCCGAGTAGATGTTGAGGTGTACGAGTATGCAAGGTACAGCACCCATGACTGCCGAAACCTCTCCACTGTTCCAGCTTATGACCCGGAGCTCCTCAAGCCATACGCCTCGATCGAGTGAAGTGTGAACAGCGTGTGACGGATGGCACGCGCTCGGCGAGATCCGAGGCCTGGCCGTAGAGGTTCAGAGGTTCAGCGGCGGGGCGGACATGCACCCTAATGTCGTTACTTTCATGTGAAGGGGGTGAGGTTTGTCAAGCCTCTGGTACCACATGTACTTCATGACCTTCTTCAAGTTTTGGGTGTTGTACAGGAAAAGGAGCGTTCGCAAACTGTCACGGGACGGCGATCGAACATTGAACGTCCACGGGTGTCAGCTGCGGGACGGGGCGACTGCGACTGCGCCACAGCGTTTCCCTGCACGTCATCGCAGCTTCAAGCTGGCGCCATACTTCCACCATCATGCACATGTCACTGGTTTCTGTGACCACGATTCTCGATACCAACATCACACGACCCTACTCCTGCGGCATTACTTGAAATTGCACCTCCGACTATCGATAATTTCATTTGCGCCTGAAACTATCCCATACCCGAGAACAGATTTCGCCGAAACCTTCCAATATGTCAGCGGCCCAAGCACCGAGCTGAGCCGCCGCCGTCGTATGAGGCCGCCACAGCTTCATCATCGTCGTCGGCCCCCGAACCTGGCATCAGCCGGGTTTCTACAGATGGCCCTGGCCATCGCAGGGAGCGAAATGGGATCCCTCCCGATCGCCGACGCTCTATGGAAGACGAGATGCGCGAGCTTCCTAGGGGTTGGGTGCGTTGCATTCGACCCCCAAGAGGGCCACCAGTTCTTCGTCGACACCACAGCCGATCCGCCGCGTAGTACATGGGTGCATCCATTCGACGACGAACAGTATCTCAGCACGCTGAGTCCCGAGGAGCGCAAGAAACACAGCAGGATGCATAGGACAATGACGCTGGAGGATCTCGCCGCAGAAGACTCGGACCAAGATGAACTGCTTCCACGACCGGCGACCAAGGCCGCCGCCGGTGCTGACCAACCGAAAGGCCTGAGCAAGTTCTCGCGCAAGCTCAAGGACAAGATCACGGGTCAGACACACGAACAGCGCGAACAAAGCCGGGCTCATCGCGCAGAGCAGGAGCGTCAGGCTTACATGGCTCACCTCCGCGCTCGAGAGGCGCTCATGAAGGCGATCCAGACTGGACAACCTCAGTTCCTCTGCAAGGACCAACAGGGCCGCGACGTATACATCGAGCCTCCTAGGGGAGCATTCGCGCCTCGAGGTGCGTATGGATACAATCCGTATGCGCAGGGCCCATACTCCAACCCGAACGTGAGGATAGTCAGGCCCGCTGGACCCTACGGTCGCCCGATGGGTTATGGCTACGGCGGCGGTGCCGGATTGCCCATTGCTGCTGGATTCCTCGGCGGAGCGATGCTGGGAACCGCTCTATTCTAAAAAAGTGACGACGAAACCAAGTTACGGTCGAACGAATGGATCTCCATACCACAGCTCCAGCAGCTGACTCTCGTAGACTTGAGATCCCTTAGCCATCCATGATCCAATAAAACAAATCCGTACAATCCAGTCCCTCGTCGCCGCTTTGTGATGCATTGCCCCACCGTACCACACCCCTGGCGACCCGCGCCTCAGCCTCCCCCACACCAACCCACCGATAAGGCATACCACGCGAGTGGTTACTACTTCTAAGCTAGCGAGCCAGATCGGCGAGCACTCGCAGGCAGCGCGCTTGGGGACCTGACAAATATCCAACGGCTGAGCAGCAGATTGGACGACTGTCAAATGGTAGGTGTTGCAAGGGTATATGGGAGATAAGACTTGTTTTGGATCTGGAGTGATGATGCCTATATTCGTAGATATAAAAGCATTAAAAAAAGGAAAGTTTCTTGCCACCAGGTTTCTTGCGAGCAGATGCTTGAGAGCTACGATCGATCAGAGAGCCTGGGTGTGAGTGAAGCGGACGGGAAGAAGATAAGGAACGTCTTGGCGCTGGGAGAAGGAACATGTCCACGGGTGCGCCACCATCGCAGATGCGGAAGTCGATCACGCATGTGATAGGGAGAGTACGCTTTGCTGGGCGCCTATCTTGGTCAGAGTCTGAAGAAAGAAAGCTTGGAAAGACTGCAGCATGCACATGCACATTTGCAAGCATAGGCGAAAACAGCGTTCTTAGTATCATGTTTTGAATTATATGTACCGAACTTGAAATATCAAGTATGTAAACTATCCGAAAAGAGATAATTATATGCAAAAGTGTGTGTGAAATAAAATCGTTCAAGTGCGCGGACTATGTCGATCTATGGACGTGACAAACGCAGATGTGGTATCTCGAGGGGAAAAATTCCAGAACAGTGTGATTTTGCAAGTGCTAAAACACAAAAATCAAGCGGAGAGAGCAGGGGAGAAACACACGTCCTAGGTGTGGACCTGCTTCTCGTGCTCCGCGCCCATTGCAACTGCGTGACGGTCTCCTCCAATACCAGTGTGCTCGTGTCCAGAGTCGTTGTCACTTGGTGCCTTGCCCTCGAGCATTTGGCTGTGTTGTGGGATGCCGTGGCGGTCCCCTTGGGGAACGGAGTGCTCGCCATCGATGGGCTCCCCCTTAGCAGGAGTCCATGCGAGGTAGTCACGGCGAACCTCAACGTAGTCGTATGCAAACTCGCCGAGCTGGTCGTCATCCATACCTAGAAGCTCAGCCTCTTCGGAAGCACGGAGCTTGAGACCAGGAATCTTGTCAATGGCGAATGCAAGGAGGGCGCTGACGACGAACGAGTAGGCGGTGACGGCGGCGATGTAGGCGATTTGCTTGTAGATGGCAGCGGGAGTACCAGTGATGGCACCGCCCTCAAGACCAGCGTTGACTCCGTCAAGTCCAATGATGTAGTCGGCACCGAAGAGGCCGTTAAAGAAGAGTCCAACCATTCCAGCGACACCGTGCTCAGCGAACACATCGAGAGAATCGTCGATCCTGATCCAGAACTTGACTAATGATTTGTTAGCGATTGCGTCATGAGACCGCAGATTTGGGGGACATACTCTTGGTAGCAAAGTTAGCAACTACACCGGTGGTGATGCCGAGAACAACGCTAGCCCACGGTGGGATGAAACCAGAAGCGGGAGTGGCAGCGACGAGTCCAGAGATGACACCTGAGCACCATCCGACCATGGACCACTTGCGCGCCAGGCGCCAATCGAGAAGAACCCAGGTCATCGCGGCGAACATGGCAGTCAAGTTGCTGTTCCAGCAGGCCATGACAGCGCGGAGGTTGGCACCGAAAGCAGAGCCACCGTTGAAGCCCAACCAGCCGAACCATAGGAAAACGGTGCCGAGGGTGATCAGAGAGACGTTGTGAGGACGGAAGTTGAGCATCATCTTCTCCTGGCGACGTCCGAGGATCATCGAGTAGGCCAAGGCGGTGCATCCAGAAACGATCTCGACAGGGCCGCCACCAGCGTAGTCGAGTCCACCCCACAAGAAGAACCAGCCGTTTGCGTTCCACGCCCAGTATGCGACAGGGCAGTATACGATTGTGGCCCAGAGCCAAATGAAGACCATCATAGGAATCAGACGACCGCGTTCAGCAACACAGCCGACGACAATGGCAGCAGTAACGGAGCAGAATTGCATCTGTGCGTTCTGTTAGCACCGCATTGTGCGAAAGCAGACAACGTGTTAACAAACCTGGTAAAATGCGTAGAGAAGCTCGGGAATCAATGGAGAGCCTTGGCTTGGTGCACCAAGCACGCCCTTGAGACCAAACTTGTCGAGGTTGCCAATGAAGCCATTTGTGCTTGGGCCGAAGGCGAGCGAGTATCCCCAGAAGTACCATTGGAATGTGATGACCGAGGCGGAGAACATGCAGGCCCAGATCAGGGAGAGGGCGGACTTTCTGCGCGCAAGACCAGAGTAGAGGAACGCTAGACCTGGGACCATGACCAACACCATAGCCGAAGCCACGATGATAAAGGCCTGATCACCAGCATCGTACCACTGGTTTAAGTTTTCGGTTCCTGGTAGTAATTATCAGTATCCTGACATTCAGAAGTTCCAGGGTCGTGGCGGTTGGAATGTCGCGCAGGGAACGGATGTAGCGATTCACACGTGCGAGAGACGTGAAGGAATGTACTCACTAGAGTCACCGCCTGTGACGGGGTCGGTGCCATTGAACTGGGCCGGTGGGCCAATCCACGCGTAGGACATGTTGACCGAGTTCCTGGTTGATTGACGATGGAGCAGGAGTCAGAACGGTGGTGCACCGCTGGTAGGGGAAGTGGACGTCGAACAGGGCCTGGAGAAAGAAGAGAAGAGCTGGAGTAAAGCTGGAGCAATGGCAGTAATATACACCCGCAATGGGAGATCTCGGAGGCCTATCGCTGTCTAGGGTAGCGTGGCCGGCCGCTTTATGGGAGATGGCTACTTGGTGCTACTTCTTATCTATCCTGGTCCACGGGCCAACACTTGAGGCAAAATAAACGAGGTGCATCACCCACAGCCGCGAGGCCGTGGGGTCTCGCGTGCGATCTGGAGCTTTGTTCTGCTGCTCGACGGGACGCGTGCTGGTTGGACGCTGGATGCGTCATTGTTCGATGTAGCTTATCTCGACGCTCGCCGCGTCCGGCCAACGCTGCTGGAGATGCAGAGATAAGAGTGGTCTCGCGTTCCCCTGATGCTGCGTCGGCGCTTCTGGTAGGGGAGCCCTCGTCTAGCTGTCAGCAATACACCGTGCACGCCCACGCCCTGGAATGGCAATCATGGGCGCATTGAACCTTCGCACTGTCGCGGTTTCGAGAGTGCAGCGGAGGGCCTTGGCGTGGTGTGTTCGGATTAGCAAACCAGATGTTCAACATTAGAGATAAGGGAGTTTGCGACGACGTGCCGATTGGCCAGCCGTCGTGATAGGCACCCTAGCCCCATTCATCCACGACCGTGCTGACTTCTGCCGCCGTGCTGAGCCCGACACCATGTCCTCAAACGTCCACTTTGCGTGCGCCACCCTGTCCATCCGGTGCATTACAAACGCGCTTTGCTATGTTGAGGCGATAAGCTCGACGGCCGCTGGCCAAAACGCTTGGCCGTGAGATGCTGACGTCCCGCAGCAGTTCACCGCAGCAGGGCGAAATCGGCGGCGCCTTTTCGCGACGTCACATATCATGACTATCGCCCTACTAACTGACTACGGTCCAAGTACCGCGGGAATGCTTTCGGCTGTGCTCAGCACGATCCAGCCTCTGCAGCAGCCATCCGACCGACGTCAAGTTCTGTTTGGGCCTCACCAGGTGTATGCTGGTACCGTGAGTCTGGGAAGACCCACCACTGGGCTTACTGTGGTACGCCATCCATAGGCAAGGGACTATTGTGTGAAGACGGTCGAGCTCGAGAACTCTAAAACAGTGACCCATACAACAGCCCTCTGCTTGTCTCAAGGAAGTGAAGTGTATAGAGATTTCACTGGAAAGTACAAGGAGATTCATACTCCTTGCCCTCAGACCGCAGTGCCCAGGCACCATGGCGCCCGGCGTAGAAGGACCCTGCTTGCCGCGAAGTGGTCCCTCGCCATAAACAACATTGCAAGCATCCGCGCCGGTGGACTACGCTGGCCCAAAGTGGGCGATCATGTTCCAGAAGCAATACACAGCGTCGGTCCCAGAGCACAGCAACTGACACGCGACAACGGAAGATAGAATTCTCGTCCTTGACGACCCGCCCTGTGTATCATGAGCAGCTGTAACGCCGTGAGTCTCGTACGACAACCCCGTGCGAATGTGGCATGCGGTGGAGTGGGCGCCTACAGGACGACATGGCTTCCCGCACCGCCTTGCGGAACTGGGCCGGAGACCGTCGCGAAAACATGTGAGCAGGCCTCGAGTGGGGTGAGGAATGTGGGTTGCGGAGGTCCCCAGGCACAACATCAACATCAAGCGTGGGGCAGCTGCGATGTAATACCAAACCCTTGGCTACCAACAGCTCGCTCATTTCGACAATGCCTGAAGCTTACTATTGGCACTGCTGCGCCACGGTATCAGGCGTGGTGGGATACGTCTTTCTCTTACCTGGACATTCGGATATCCACACGTCCACCGCGTCTGTCAAATGCAAAAGATGTGCCGGACCAATAGCCGTGCAGCCGGCTTCGGACCATGACTGCGGGTTTGAAGTAACCTTTCGCAGTACCATTGGTAAAATGTGCCCTATCAATTCTCCGATAGGCACTCGAAGCTTAGGTCCTTATACACAAGCCTTGGAAATGCATCGAGTCAGCTTGGCCATAACATACATTCGTTCGTTGCCGATTACTGTCAACAATCTTGCTCCCCAACAATGTTCCCATCAAGCACGCTAGTTTCAACAACCACAACTCTCTTCGCAAGCGTGCAGTGAGACACAGCGCTATCAGTGTGCTAAGAAAAGACATGACAATATGAATGGATCGCGGTAGGCGAGGAATCTGCTTTGCCTCGACTCGAGGTTCCCGACAGTCAGGTCATCATCACAAGCGCGCCATACATCGCTACTACATACAGCGCTGCCACAAGCGCATAGCGGCTACTCGTGTAACCCTTCAGTTTGCATCCGACTTAGGCTATCGGGGAGTCTCCTGCAACCGTCAGCGCTATACTGCAATCCGCTGAATCAACATGTCAGGTGCATCACTTGACAGGTACAGAGTCGTCCTTGCATCGTTCATCTGGGCCGCGACACGACTCGTTGGAGGGTCTGATATATCCAACATGCTTAACATGGCCCGTGATCTTGAACTAGACAATGGCCGCTTTTTCGATTGCTACGTTACATGGCTCTCCACCGTTCAGAGAAGTGCTTGCGGTGATACCCGCGCCTTGTTCAAGAACGCTCAATCTGGGGACGTGGACACGGTATGGACTGTACTACAGCAGACTTGGGCATTGGCAAAAGCGTCCAAGCGAGTTCCACTCCAGGCCTTTGAATACCTATCGAGTTGATGTCACCCCAGTTAAATAAGGACGATAGAGCGATCATAGAGAAGTGAACGCACGATTCAGAGAACAATCGAAATAACCCAGACAATCTGGAGCTCAAACACTCACCCTTTCGATCAAGGCCATCAACTTCATTGTTTAGGCACTAGGCACCATACATGATGGTCTGGCTAGTGATGACTTGATCAGACATGGATCTGCAGAACAAATATACCAGTCTCACACACTTTCCACACAACAAACAGAAATTCCTCACAGGGAACTTGATGCTATAATTATACAGGCTTGGGCACTTCATACTAAACTCTGTATCAAACGAAAGATGTAAACCGTGATCTGCAACGCCGTGATGCCCTGCGGCTAAAAGTGGGGCACCGCACATGTCATGCAGGGATACGCTAGGCACGAGCCAATTGCTCAGGAACGAATGCTGTCACCCCTCCCGCCAACAGCACTTCGCTGACTTCGTGAGGCACCAGGAGAGATGGTGCTGTCATTTATTTTGATCCAGAACCGACAGTGCGTTAAACCCCTTGTCATGGAGATATGCGACCGGCTGACAATCAGCGCTTTATAGAGGGAAGACGCGGCTGGCGAAATGGTATGCGCCATACAGCGTAGGTTAACGGGTCAGGCAGTAATGGCAAGATGCAATGCTTACATGGCATAGGATGAAGAAAAGATCAAGCTGAAGGGCGAGGTATGTGACACCCTCCTCCTATCACCTTACAGCGCATTGAACGCGCACGCATACCGATCGATGGCATACATCACAATTTGCTTCACGTCCAACGCTGACCACCGACCAGGTCCACCGCCTCATTGCACCGCGCGACCAAAAGCACCAGTCCAACTTCGTCGAGTTCCGCAACATGTCCAAGATCATCTACCGCCGATACGCCGGTCTCTTCTTCTGCGCATGCGTCGACACCAACGATAACGAGCTCGCATACCTCGAAGCCATACATTTCTTTGTGGAGGTTTTGGATGCTTTCTTCGGTAATGTCTGTGAGCTAGACTTGGTGTTCAACTTCTACAAGGTATGCTGGGCTGCTGGGTGGAAAAGAGAGGTCGGAAGCTGACGGATTACACAGGTGTACGCGATTCTCGATGAGGTCTTTCTTGCGGGTGAAATTGAGGAGACTAGTAAACAAGTGGTTCTGACGAGGCTGGCACATTTGGACAAGCTAGAATGAGCGCTGACGCTTTGTCGGGGAAATACGAATGGTGTGGCCTGGCGCAATTGCCTCTATAACCAGCCATACCAGTTACGTGAAAGTGCTGGTAGGGCGACAATCGCGCTTGGTACACACGAGTCCTACGCAATGACGAGATGCGTGCTTCGAGGACAATCCTAGAATATGCGGTTCGGCTACAGACCGAAGCAAGGAGTGATACAAGCGGAATCTTGCAATGTAAATGAGCACCACCTTACTGGACGTCAGGACAAATGTTAATTAATAACCTTGATGCAATATACTCATACCGCGTATACTCGACTAGCAGTCCAAGCTGTCAAGCCTGTCATGTTTCCAGTCAAGCATCACTTGCATGTGAGGGACAGCCGCACAGACCACACTGCGCATGGGAAAGTGCAACAGGAGCCAGATCATCAACTTTTTGCTCGTGGTCTACGCCGCGCCGAACACGTTACAGCATGTTAATTCCCTAATTCAAGCCCTCATACAGGCCTCCGCTGCTTACCGATCCCTTACCTCGATCTCCGACCGCATAACCACACCTCACCGTTTGACCACACCCGCAACCTCAGTGGCCCCGCGCCGCATACATGTCCGAGTTCGCGATGTATCACGCCTTAGGCACAGGTTCGCCGAACCCAAATGGAACTGGGAGGAAAGACGAGCCGAATCAGTATCGGCCACCTGTCGCAGCCAGTCCTGCGGGCTACCAACAACATGGCAGTCCTGCGGTTGGTCAACCTTCGAACCAATACGCCAATACACCTTTGCAATATGGTGGTGCGCCAGTGCAGCAGGAAGGATACTTCCCACCACAAGCGGCACCATCGACTCAAGCTATGTATCCTGGTGACCAAGACGTGAACCATCTAGCGTCTCAAATGGGAACAGTCGGATTGGGCGTTGACCCAGCAGGGCAGCCCAGGAATAAGAAGAAGAACCGCCATGCATATCACAATCTTGAAGGACCTGGTGGCAGTACTCAAGCCTTCAATACCACGCCGCAGACCGGAACTCCCCCACAATATATGAACGCGAATTCTCCACATGTCGGTGGTCCACAATGGCAGCAAGAACCTCAAATCACGCCAGCCATGTCGCAATTTCCAGCGGCAGCAAATCCAATATTTAGTCCTTCGATTCAAGCATCGCCTGCACAGCATGCTGCGAGAACGCCAGCCGCACCGCATCAGATTGGAACACCAGTTGGATCAGCGCAAGGTCGTGTCGATCCAGAACAGATACCCAGTGTGCCGAAATCTCGAGATGCGCCTGCAAAGTACTACTTAGAGAACATATATCCGACAATGGAACATCATCTGCCACCTCCAGCTACCGTCCCTTTTGTCGCATTTGACCAAGGCAACTCGTCCCCCAAATATGCGAGATTGACGATGAATAACATCCCAATATCGAATGACGCACTTGCTGCTACTGCTCTGCCACTCGGACTTGTACTGCAACCTCTGGCCCCTCTACAAGAAGGCGAGCAACCAATACCTGTCATGGATTTTGGCGACGCGGGCCCGCCACGGTGTCGGAGATGTCGAGCGTACATCAACCCCTTCATGCAATTCGTGGGCGGTGGGAACAAGTTTGTGTGCAACATGTGCACATATCCCAATGATACGCCAGGGGAGTACTTTGCGCCCACGGATCATGCTGGTGTACGAACGGACAGGCTACAGCGACCCGAGTTGATGCTCGGTACTGTTGACTTTACCGTGCCCAAGGAGTATTGGTCTAGGGAACCGGTCGGTCTGCGGTGGCTCTTCCTGATTGATGTCTCCGCTGAGGCAGTCAATCGTGGATTTGTTGATGGCTTCTGCGCAGGCATCATGGATGCGCTCTATGGCGGCGAGGATGGAGAGGAGGCCGAATCGACATCGCGTTTAGCACCCGGCGCAAAGGTCGGCATCGTCACTTTCGACAAGGAGATGCATTTCTACAACTTGAGTTCAAGTCTACAATCCGCGCAGATGCTGGTAATGCCAGATCTCGAAGAACCATTCCTGCCATTTACTGAAGGTCTCTTCGTGGATCCTTCAGAGTCCAAGGCAGTCATCACATCCCTCCTCACACAACTACCACGGATGTTCTCCGAGGTGAAACATCCGGAGCCTGCTCTGCTACCAACACTGAACTCGGCCGTCGAGGCGCTCGCAGCCACCGGCGGAAAGATTGTGTGTTCATTAGCTGCGCTGCCAACTTGGGGTCCAGGCCGGCTATTCTTGCGTGACGATGGCAATTCACACAACACAGATGCTGAGAAGAAGCTGCTGAAAACCGAACATCCCGGCTTCATCAAAGTCGCAGAGAAGATGGTGCAAAGTGGCGTTGGTATCGACTTCTTCATGGCAGCGCCGAGCGGTGGGTATCTGGATATCGCAACCATTGGTAAGTGTTTCTGTAGAAAATGGTTCTTTCACGCTAATTCCATTCAGGTCACGTCTCAGCGACAACAGGAGGGGAGGTTTTCTATTACCCTACCTTCCACTCACCACGGGACACCTTCAAGCTGTCAAAAGAGATCAAGCATACAGTCACACGAGAAACTGGCTACCAGGCGTTAATGAAAGTTCGCTGTTCGACCGGTCTACAAGTCTCTGGATACCATGGCAACTTCTACCACCACAGTTTCGGCGCAGACCTTGAATTTGGTGTCATTGATGCCGACAAAGCTGTTGGAGTACTTTTTAGCTACGATGGCAAGCTCGACCCTAAACTCGATGCCCATTTCCAAAGTGCGCTACTGTACACGACAGCGAGTGGAGAACGGAGAGTGCGATGTACAAACGTCGTCGCAAGTGTCAGTCCCAACACGGGCGAATGCATGAAGTTTGTAGATCAGGATGCCGTGGTTAGCATTATTGCTAAGGAAGCTGCCGCAAGAATGACAGAGAAGAATCTCAAGGATATCAGAGGCGCTCTGACCGAAAAGACGGTGGATATTCTCGCTGGGTACAGGAAGAATTTCACTGGAAACAGCCCTCCTGGTCAGCTTGTCCTGCCGGAGAACCTTAAAGAGTTCGGTATGTACATTCTCGGCCTGATCAAGTCCCGAGCCTTCAAGGGTGGCAAGGAGCCGCCAGACCGAAGAGTGCATGATATGCGTATGCTCAAATCCATGGGTGCATTGGAGATGTCCTTGTACTTGTATCCCCGAATCATTTCCATACATGACCTAGATGAGAAAGATGGTTATGCAAACGAGAAGGGTCATTTGGTCATGCCCCAAGGCGTACGAGCGTCGTTCTCGAAAGTCGAAGAAGGCGGCGCATACATTGTCGATAACGGCCAGATCTGTCTCCTATGGCTCCATGCCCAAGTTTCGCCGAACCTGCTCGAGGACCTGTTTGGACCAGGCTTGAACAGTCTCAAAGCACTGGACCCGTTCCTATCATCCTTACCTGTTCTCGAGACCCACCTCAATGCGCAAGTACGGAACATCCTACAGTATCTCGAGGGCACTCGTGCCTCCAAGGCTCTCACAATCCAGCTAGCACGACAAGGTCTGGATGGTGCGGAGTACGAGTTTGCCCGTTTGCTGTATGAAGACCGCAACAACGAGGCGCAGAGCTATGTGGACTGGCTGGTGCATGTTCACAGGCACATACAGCTGGAGGTAAAATGAGCCTCTATGCTGAATGTGACTATACTAACGACTCCACAGCTCGCGGGTCAGCGTAAGAAGGAGGACACAGGCGACTCAGTTGGATCGACATTTGTTGGCTTACGGACGCCGTACTGGGGTTAGACGAGGGGGCTGAGCGTTTGTATTGCATAGCGGTGAGACACAGTACATTTTTCGAATGAAGCGACGTAGCATGATCAGCGGAATGAAATGATATCCACGAATGAACATACATACTTGTGTACGTATGTCGCGCGTCGCTGCGATTGTGTATGGGCTCAAGTGCTAGGAGACAGCGAAGTGCATGATCCGTATTCAGGGCTTTCTTTAGTGAGCAAAGTGAGAAAGCGAGCAAGTGCAATCTTGAACGGGTACTGCTACGATTGCGCACAGTATCCACATTTGTCCAATTGTAGGTTGATGGATCCACACCCCCCCCCGGCGTTTGGTGATAGCACACGTGACGTGATCTCGGAATAATCCCCGGCCCGCGTTAGTGCTCGCTTAGAATTTCGCCCACTCGAACTCACGATTCTGCGATCCGGACAATCTCACTACTAACCTCACAACAGCAGTCAAGATGCCCTCCAGGTTCGTACACACGATGGAAATACCGCATTATAAATCGCTAATAGTTGTCGCGCAGATTGTCAAAGACCCGCAAGCACCGCGGTCACGTTTCCGCCGGTCACGGACGTGTCGGAAAGCACGTTAGTAGTCCCATCGCTCGGTCGCAAAAGGATGTTCATTGACAACCATACAGAGGAAGCATCCCGGTGGTCGTGGTATGGCCGGTGGTCAGCACCACCACAGGACCAACATTGACAAGTACCATCCTGGTTACTTTGGAAAGGTCGGAATGCGTTACTGTACGTACAAACACGTCTCTGCGGTCGCAACAGCTATCTAACACGACACAGTCCACAAGATGCAGAACGGTTTCTGGAAGCCCACCATCAACCTCGACAAGCTCTGGTCTCTGATCCCCGCCGAGAAGCGCGACGGCTACCTCGCCAAGAAGGGTGACAAGGCCCCCGTCCTCAACCTCCTCGACTTCGGCTACTCCAAGGTTCTCGGAAAGGGCCGCCTTCCCGACGTCCCCATCGTCGTCCGCGCTCGCTACGTCTCTGCTGAGGCCGAGAAGAAGATCAAGGAGGCTGGAGGTGTTGTCCAGCTCGTCGCATAAATGTCTGGAACGAAATGCATGACTATACGGCGTCTCGGAGGATCAGGATAAAAAGCTGCTATCATACCATTGGGATGGGCATTGGGGTCCGTGTTGCCTACAGGCGCACGTCGACTCTTGCAGCGCGGACTACGGTTCGCGGCTGTCAGCGTGGTGGCTGAGGGATAGTGTCTTCAATCGAATTCATCTATTCCTGAACAAACCTGTGTTGCCCGGAGCTTCCGCAAGGGACCCACGCTCATGGCGAGTGTTCAGTGGCTTCGTGCTGCTGAGGGTACTTTTGTCACCTTTTGAGTGATGTCGTGATGCTTGCTTGTGATGCTAATCCTGCGTTAGCTGTACCTATTGACCTGACAACAATTTGCCTCTTCCGTGTACACACAGATGTACTTGAGTCGAAGATGGTTTGCGAAGTCCAATCAGACTGTCCGCTCCACAAATTGGTCACCGTGAAGTGTTTTTCACCATTTATTGCCATTTCATCAAAGACTTGCATTTCTCACGTCTGACAGTTAGTGGAATCGCAAACCCCATCCACATAGCAACAACATCAATGTCAAACTCTTCATGATCCTACAACCACGCTGTCCCACTTGACCATTTCCAATACTCCTAATCAAACATGTCTCAAACCTCATCCCTCAAACGTCCCTCCACGTCGCACCCTCCAACGTCACCGGACTAAACGGATGATCATACTCTTCTTCCTCAACCACATCCCCATCCCCTCCACCAGAAATATACTCTATACCACTCGCCACCGACCCAGCACTCACAACATGTCTCAGCGAACTACCCGCAACAGGCTTGAGGGTCCCGCTCGAGTCGACGTAGCCAGCATGCCGAGATGTTCTTCGCGGCTTACAGCGTCTGGGTGGTGGGCGCTCGACGTCGAGATAAGGGTTGACTGGCGGTGGGACGAAAGGCGGATTTTCAAGATTTAGAGGGGATATTGGTTGGGGAGGGCGAGCGTGAGGAATCGCTGGTGGTCCATCAAGCTTCACGAGGAGGATATTGAAGGGCGAAGATGGAGAAGAAGGACGATGTGGTGGTGGTAGTTGTGATGGGCTTACCTGCGAAGCTGCGTGGATTTGAAGAGCTGGCTGTATTGGTGGAGATTGGTGAACGGGAGGAGCTGGTCGTGATGGCGCAGCAGGTCTGAATGGCGGAATCACCATTTCTTGTGCAGAAATGGTAGATGATCTCATCTCCTCGCGTCTTCTCTGCTCTCTCTCATCCCGTCGTCTTTTCTGTGCCCTGTCTTCTTGTCGTCTTCGTTTCTCTTCCTCCTGTCTCCTCTGCGCTTTCTCCTCCTCGCATTTGTGCGCAACTTCATCGTCAAGCTGCGCCAGTCTTTTTTGGACCTGCTCAGTGATTACTGCGTCGCTTGACATTTGTTGAGCCAGAGGTGCATTTCGTTCAACCTGTCCCCCAGTCAGCCATATGTTCCCTTCATGGAAAAGATTATCAAACATACCTCATCATCTGCAACCGCTCGTTTCGCCTTCGGCTGCGGCCAAGTCCCATATCTATCACCCTCGACCTCGCGCATCAACTGGCTAATACGCTTCGCACCCCCTTCACCGAGCGGAAGGTCATCAAGCGTAGTGTAACGCATGCGCTCCTCGAAACTCGCTGCATAGGATATTTGAGGGCGCTGTATTTCGGTATCTGCTGGCGACGGTTTCGAAGTTCTTTTCGACGAGCGTGAAGGCAATGTCCTGCTATGACGCTGAAGCATTGGGAGACGCCTGTCAGCTATGTCGGATGCACGTGTCCAGCCACCACATCCGTCGACGGCGCCTTTGAGCTTCCAGATCTTCTCTTGTGATGCGAGAGAGTTGGTAGACGTTTCTCCGCAGCAAGAGTCTCCCTCGCCGTCTTCACAGCGGGAGTACTCCTCGCAATCTTCACCCCAGCAGGAGTTTTACCCGCCACCTTCTCCACAGCGGGCATATACCACTCCATCTTTCTCTTCTCTTGCATCTCAAACTCAAGCACCTCCTTCCTGCCCCAAAGCGGCTTGACATTGAGTCTATTCGGCACCGGCACCGGCACCGGCACCGTCGCCGCCGGCAGACGACTCTCCCCCGGCCAACGGAACAAGCCATTCAGCAGCAACGACTTTTCTTCTCTTTTCGCCTCGTCATGCGGAACGATGATGGCAGGCCGTTCCTCGCCGTCTCGCACAACAGCTCTGCTCGATCCACGTCCATACGCGCCGTCTGTGGCTATATCCAGTGTCGCGACAGACCTGCCAGGCGTAACCATGCGGCGCTGTCCATACTCCCCATCTTCCGCCGTGTTAAACGTCGCCACCGACACGCCAGGCGACACCACCCTCATACCCATATCCTCCCCATCTCCCACTGAATTAAACGTCGTCACGCTCTCCGCGCAGAAACTCCACCCAGCCTCCTCCTCCCCCTCGCTCCCCCTCCTCGCCAGCGACAATCTATCAAAATGGCTAATCTTCTCTTGCACATCGCCCTCAAACGCACCCATCTTCTTCCTCTTATTCTTCTTCCCCTCCGGCGTCGCCGGCGCCCAAGGCAGTGATCTCCCACTATACGTCGGTAGCGAATTCCAATACCCGCGTCGTTCATGCACCGTCCGCAAACCATGGAACGGGTGCGTACTTGATAAAGATTCGGTGCTGACGAAACTTATCCTCTGTATAGTCACTGGGATCAGCATAGGATACGTGCGTTCAAGTGGGTGTGGAACTTACGTCGAGCTTTTGGGCGAGTTCTCGCTCGCACTTGGCTAGAATGCGTTTTCGTTCCTTTAGTGAGTTCTGCGAATAGTACTGGTATCGCTCATATTTTGGCGGCGGCATGCTAACTCCGCTGTCTATCCTGTGTTGCGTTTGGGCGCCTGGGGAAGGTGGATTTCGAGCTTGGCCTGCCATGTTGCGGTATGGGAAGAACGGGGACATCGTTGAAGCGTTGTGGGCATGCATGTTATGATGGGAGCAAGTGAGTAGAAGTGAAGAAAAGCAGGCTTCGGACACAGCCACTGAGTCTTAATAGTTTTTTGTTCTCTGGGTGAGTGGGGTTTTCAAGCTTGGGAGACCACAGATAAGGTGAACCGTACTTCACCATGGAATGAGGGGAAGCGAGTACATAGGCACCCAGTAATAAAATGCACATATTCAAAACACGCACTGTGGGTATTAATGAATCGATTTTATAGGACTTTACGACACAGGGTCTTGAAGCGCGAGCTGCTCTCTCAGCACCTTCTCCGCAACGTCAGGCTCCACACTACCTTCGGCGTTTCTTGCCATCATCTGACCGACAAACCACCTCTGTATTTGTCTTGTCGTGCTTCTTCTCAACGATGTCCTTGACCATGTCCGGCTTCTCTTCCAGCAGCGTCTGAGCCAGCGCAACGTATTCCGCGTCGGATAGTGGCTTCAGTACAAGGTCTTCGTCTTGGATGATCTGGTGCGCGAGTCGAGCATCGCCCTCGAATTTCATGAGAAGAATTTTCTTAGCGGACCGTGAGGTGATTTTCTTGCGATGGAGATGAGCAATGATGGAAGCGAGTTCGCTAGCGGGGACCCGTGATGGCTCAAAGTCGATATCTTTGAACAAGGTTCCAAGTTCCATCAGGACCCTTAAAATCATTAGCAGAAAGCTACGGCCTTTGGGCAAATAACCTACCAGTTTCCAGTCACTCTGCCAATGCTTGCCTGATCCACTTCTGGGAGATGGCTCTCTCGCAGCTGGGACAGGACGTCGAAGAAGTAGTCCAAACGATAGCCGTCGTCGAGCGAAAGTAGTGTCCCGGCGTCTTTCGTGGTAAGTCCGTGCTCGGCGGTTAGAGTGTCAATCATCGTGTCCGGCAGCTTGGGTAACGAACTTCGAAGATGGTCGATAAGATCCTTGGGCCGTGTAAGCAGAAAGTCCACGCGGGAGAAGAAGAATACGTACATCTCCCAAGCACCACAGGCGCGATGTCTGGGTCAGGCATATATCGGTAGTCAATCTCGCCCTCTTTGCCTCTCAGTCGCTTCGTCGTCTTGCTGCCGAGTGTCCAACCACGTGTCTCGCCTTCGACAGTACCTCCACCCTCGAGTAAATCGATTTGACGATCGCGTTCGGCGACAATGGCATCTTCGACAGCCTTCACACTTGCCAAGTTTTTGATTTCTGTCCGCTGGCCGAGACCAGTCACACCGTGGTACGATTGGCCATGGTCCGGCATCTGTGCGTTGCGCTCGCGGATAGAAACGTTCACATCGGCACGCAGTCCGCCCATCTCCATGCCCGCCGTGCAGGCATTCACTGTCTTGAGTATGGCCTGTATCTTGCGCACGCACACAGCAGCAACCGTAGGATTGTGGATTTGAGGGAGGGTAATGATCTCGATTAGAGGATGCGAAACGCGGTTGAAGTCGAGTAGGTGGGTCGCGGGAGGCTGGTGTACGGTTTTGGCTGTGTCTTGTTCCATCTGAACCTGCTTGATGCCGATGGTGATTGGGCACTCTACCGGTGCGGCACCTGGTGGGAAGTCGTGGGCGTCGAGCGTGACGCTGCCATCGCGGGCAAAGGGCTCGTAGTACTGTGTGATCTGGTAGCCAGCGGGCTGGTCTTGGTAGAAGTAGTGTTTGCGGTCGAAGCTGCTCTTCCGCTGGATCGTGCAATTGAGGGCTAGGGCGCCGCGCAGTGCAGGTATCAGTGTTTCCTTCTGGAAGTGAGGTTGGCTGCCGGGGAATGCGACATCGAAGAGAGAGACATGGCTGTTTGGCGCATCGCTAACCGAAGTGGCAGCGCTGGAGAAGAGCTTCCGTGCCGTGTTGAGCTCGGCGTGTATCTCGATGCCGACAGTGAGCTCCCACTTGTCTAGGCGTGGATCATGGCCCTTTGCGGATGAAGCCGGTGGATTCGACGCAGCGCGTTTCTCCCTCTTTTGCTGCTTGACGGCATCTTTCAGGGCCTTGCGAAAGGGAGTGCCATCTTGCAAAGCTGCGGGACTCTCCGTCTGAAGGCCTCGCGAAGAAGTCTTTGTAAGGGTGGGCCTTTGGCTTAATTGGGCACTACGAGCCCGGCGTAGGCAGTCCTGGCATATGTACCGTCGTCTCGATGCCACAGCAAAGACATTGCGTGTGCTGTTGGCGAACATGGTGTGAGGCATGACGACTGCAGTTGAATGCGCCCATGAGCTGCGGATGGTCCAAGCTCACTTCCGAACCACATCGATGCCGCCATGCACCACCGCGACCTCACACTTCGCCAGATTCTCGAAAAAGCGAATCCGGCGCCACCGCCAGAATCTCTCGCGATGTTTCTTCCAGGCTGGGGTAGTACGATGAGTACTGAAAGGTCGTCGCTTCGTTTCATTCATGCTTCTGGCCCCTTGCCATCGACTTGAGCTTCTTCACCAATGACTTTCGCACGATAGTGAACGTCGTGTGACCGTCCTTACTCTCTTCGCGACGATTCTGAAGTCTCCTGAGCTGGTCGAGGTATCTCTCCCAGACTTCAAGATCCCCAGGCCTGTCTGCAGGTGACTTGAACTTGCCGGGCTGCACGTGGACTCCCGGTCAACGACTCAAGTCCGTTTCTGCTGGCAGACTGGTGGCCTCGGAAAACCGAATGCTGCCGCCCATTCAGGTCGGTCTCCAGCCGAGCCTCGATCCGGTCTTGCACACGATGTCGTGGGCCTTGGGCCTCTCGTCCCTCTGCTTCGTTTTGCGTTGTTGTTTGCAGAGCTGAGTGGCTTCTCCTTGTCTCCTCTTGCGGGCCTGGTCAATCTCGAATAAGATATTTTCAAGCCACGGATCACGCCGTAGTCGTCTGGGTCGTGTCAGTGCACGTCGAGTGTGTAAACGTCGTGTACCACGAACTCGGTAATAGACACAGCCACTCCAAGTGCTCATATGAGCCAAGCAGGTGGCTCTGCAGCTTCTGTGATAAGGCACGAAGATAGAGTACCGCCCAGAAGGAAGTTGCAGAATAGGCAGGCTGGTGTGATATCGTCCAGTACACCGCTCAAAACTTGCCCTTTGCAATCTTCTTCGCCGCAAGCTTCGTCTTGGTCAATAGCAATCTTACTCCCAACCCTACGTCTCTCGTCAATCCCCTCGCTTTCGCGATCCGTTGTGTCCACCTTTGTTTGGCTTCTGCTAGCTTCTTGTCGTGTGCCTCCTTGTCTGCTTGGATTTCTTCCGGTGACAGGGTCTTCGGCTCGAACGAACTGGGGTTCACGCCTCCTCCAGGATTGCCAATGAAAGAAGAGGATGTGCCACTGGCCTCACCACCGCAGTTAGTGCTTGAGCTAACTCCGCCTGTTGAGATACCGCCACAGCCGGCAGGGCTGGAGCCACAAGCTGTGCTTGATTGTCCACCGAGCGACATATAAACAGTCCTGAGTATGGAGATCTTGGAGGGATGATCAGGTGGCGCGTCTGAAGATTGACACGTGTAAGAGGCCCCTCAGCTTCCTCTTCAAAGCCTCACGTCTCTTCTTGTGTCGTTCCTTACGGGCTGCTCGCTTCTCCTGCAAACGTTGCTTCTGTTCTGGCGATAGGGGTTCCGAGTAAATCGCAGTGCTTGCTAAAGGCACGTCAGTAGTGGCGCAACTAGACGCTGCACAACCTGTGCTTCCGCAAGTCATAAGGTTTCAAGAGGAGAATATGTCGGTGATCCTGAGAATGTCGTTTGCCTGGTCTAAATGTGGATGCGGCAAGAGAAGATCCTCTTGAAGCGGCGCCGAAGCTTGTCGCGCTTCCTTCCACCAAGTACGGTTTGTGCACCAGTACGGAGCCTGTCTTCGGTTCGACGCTGTTGTCGTTCAAGTTTGCTCAGACGCATACGAGCTACACGTAGTCTCTCAGATGGAGGTAGGGGTTGATTGCAGTTCCGTGATCGGTGCCTGGATGGGTAGATGGCCCTGCGTTTGACTGCTCTTGGACGGCTCCGATGCGCTAGTCGAGTGTGACGGGAAGTTGTGGGGTGTACTGATGGGTAAAAGGAAGCCTGGTGGTTGGCTGGGTATGGATGGACTCAAAGTCGAGCGTGTTGTTGCTGCGCAGGTGTAAGTCGACGGTGATAGTAAAGGGAGTCACGAAGAGGCATGTACCAAGATTTTGCTGAGTGCTGGTTCAGCGTGATCTGTGTTGTTTGTTGTAAAGGGTACTGGTGTCAAGAATGATAGGCTATTCGCTGAAAAGTGTTGATGCTTTGATGATGTTGTGAAGTGTACAATGTAAGTGAAGGTCGATGGGAGAATGATAAGACGCAGCGAGGTTTGTTTACGCCAGGCGATGCCCCACGGTGCGCTTGCTCGATGTTGTGGCAGGAAGGGTCCAGCGTCTCGTGGAGGAAGCACCAACGGCTCAATCAAGGCTGTCAGGATCTGAGCATGCGACGCACAGACGTGAAAGTACAGTTCAATGCACGATTAGAGGAGATGACGAGGCGCATCAATTACCTATGAACTGCTACCAAAAACACGGGAAACAGGCAAGCAAAAGGGTATCCTATAGTATTACACCAACAGCATGACAGATCGAAAGACACCAAGCAAAGAAAATCGAGGCTACACATGGAGAATATTCTTCTGTGCACTGCGACTGAACACAGCTGTAGACGTGAAAGTGTGCAGCACAAAAGGACCTGATCATCCGCCTAGTAGACGAACTTACGGTCGCCCATGATGTCCCACAGCTCATCAACAATGGCCTTCTGTTCTTCACGCTTAGCGTGGCGAACAGCAAAGTACAGACGACCCTCGAGCGTCGGGTCCCAATCTCCAGGATTTGCGGATGCTACGATGCCGCCAGCCTCCTCGAGAATGCACCATCCAGCTGCTACGTCCCAAATCCACACTCCACCCTCCCAGAAACAATCAAGCATGCCTTGAGCAACATAGCAGAAGTCCAGGGCTGCGGAGCCGTTGGAGCGAATGGACTTGCAGAAAGCACCACCTTCCTTCTTGTCTGTCAAGAGCTTCTTATGGATATCTGTTCTCAATTCCCAGTTGGGACCATGGCGTTGATTGCCCCACTCCACTGCAACTAGACAGAAGCGTAGAGATGGCATGGGAGGTGGTACTGGCTGCAGTGGAAGCTTGAAGCGAGCGCCGGTATGCATCTTGGTGAGAAACGCGCCGCGATTCTTGATAGCGGTGTACATGTCGCCTCGGAAGGGATTGTAAACAATACCAACCACAGGCTTCTTGTCGACAGTAAGTGCCAAAGACACTGCAGAGTTCGGCACACCTTTAGAAAAGTTGAGCGTTCCATCGATTGGGTCTACGACAAATGTCGGTCGGTTTGCGAGCTTCTGACCATGCTTGAAGCTCTCTTCGCCCAGGAAGTCGAAAGTGGGATATGCTTCTAAAACACGGTGCTCAACCGTCTCCTCAATCTGCTTGTCGTATTGCGTAACAAGGTCCGCTGTGTTGTTCTTGGCAGCCGCAGCGATCAAGAACTCGTGCTCAGCTTCCATCATGATCTTGCCTCCTGCTTTCGCGATGTCTATCAACAGATCATGCACGTTCTGCAAATCAGCCTCCGTCAGGTTGTGCTTGGCAAGCTTCATTGCAAAATCGGGAGTCGTTGATGGAGTGTTTGCGGGAGTAGGTAGTATCGAGGTGTCAACACCGCCAGTTTTCGGGATGCACTCCCGTGAAATGGCACCTCTGCTGGGTAGCTGTTGGGTTGTTGTAGATTGCATGTCTTCTGATGTGGAAGATACGTCTATTTGTGTATCATGAGATGACGGGGGAATACTGGACTTCTGAAGGCTTGCTTTGCTTTGCGATAATCGTCGTATTGGATGTGCTTGTAGTTGAGGGTGAAGTTGGCAAAGAAAAGATAGAGGGATATTATGCCTTTTATCTAGCTTCGAAGTTGAGGATTGTTGTGAGCGAATACGAAAAGCCTTGTATAATGGCCGCGTCGCATTGCGCAGCCATGGTGGCCATATGCTTTGTGTTGGTCCGGTCAGTGTTATCAGCGAGTTGAACTGGTGAGAAACTCTTGTTGATAACATTCTGTGAAAGTGCTCGAGTTTCAGGATGAGATACTCATGTGAAAGCGCCGCCGCTGCACCTAGGGCCGAGCTTGTCACTGATTTGGAGCTAGGGCGTAACCGAGTAACCGAAGAACCCTTCAGTAGTGAAAGATATGCAGTAGTCGCGCACAAACTAGGCAATTGAGTTTGGGAGCTGATTGTTGGGAGATACAATGCATAAATCTATGCATCTGGACTCCGAACAGACTTTCGATCAGTGGCTTGCTGGTTGTTTCCTGAACAGTCGTTGCCTGCGAGATCCGATGAGCCATGTACCCGATGGAGCACCATATAAATTCGAGAATCCAGGTGAAATTTGTTGCCGAGTAAGGTATGTTCCATAGGCACTTTCACGTGCGAGGTTGTCATCAAAAATTGTGAGACCAGAATCTGGCGGAGCGATCGATCGCTACGGACTGGGTACTTCGACGAACCATCCAAAATACTGTTGCTATAAAAAGCTACGTATATTCATATGTTAAAGGTTCAGGTTGGAAGTGACGAAGCAATTTGAAGGGACGGAAAGGCGGATCCACGCCGGGCTTGTCCACGATGGATTATATTGTAGAGAGTGCGGCCATCGAATAGGATTCTTGAGGAACTCAAACCGGTAGGTTTTCTTCGCTTGCTCAAGCAGGAAAGCCACCAGGACATTATCTAGTCACTTTGTCCCTTCCTCGCGAATGAAAGTGCGGGCCCTCTTGCGCGATCAATTCTTATAATGCCCAGCCTCTGGAGAATCATGTAGCGCGGCTGAGATACCAATCGTCTTGAGAGTCATCTCCAATGTTGTCTAGACATGTGATGCATGCATTCGACCTCGGGTAGTGCTCGTACAAGAATTGATGGCCTCGGGCATTCCTGCACCGGAGCTTTTGTCGATCAAGCAGGTATCGCACCAGTTCCAACTCAGATCATGCTCCAGCGCAACCCTATATTAGGCTAGAAGCTTCAGGTGACCCTTCTTCGCCTGCGCGACAGTGATATTGCCATTCGGATCGGCAAAGAGAACCTCTTCGTCTCGCCACCGATGTGGTAAGATGGCATAGCGCGGTATCCCCACACTGAGCCAATGTAGTTGCATCGCGAAAATTGTAGAGATTTAGTCCTGCCAGCTTCACCTTGTACAGATAGGAGACGCATGTTCGTGGTGCTTCCTCTTTACAACGTTCGCGACGAAGGCTGTTGCTGTTTGGTATATTACGCCGCTAGTCCTATCTGCGTTAGCCCTCCCGTGCAACATGAAAAGCACTGGCACTTACAGCGGAGCTTCAAACACGCAGCTACCATCTAGAAAGCGGACTGCAAGGCCGTTCGGACCGTGCTCTTCAGCAGTAGGGCTGTATGGTCGGACGACAGTTCCGTTCTTGCCTTTGCGCTCCAATCGCTCAGCGACGCCCTCTTTTCTTCCTATAAGCAAACCGCCTCCAACACGTCCTGGCACTCTCTGCGAATATGCGCTGCGAGCACACAACGAAGGGCATGTGTCGTGAATTGATGCACAGCCTCACGTCAGTCTGTCATCGTTCTTTCGGTCATCTAGAATCTCACCATCGACCTGCGACGTTTCACGGCCCCCTTGCCGCCCAGTCTTGGCTTAGTCTTGGTCTAGCCTTGGTGTTCAAACACATTCGCGACAGCATGAAGGGACTCCTCAATCTCGAATCGCATATGTTCCTACCCCGCGGTCCCAATGCGTTCTCAGATACCGCCATGCCTTCGCCTTGTGTTGCTTGTTCCACCAATGGATAATTCGCCCGAGTACCTGGTCATGCACCGGCGCAACGCTCAAAAGGGAGGCGTACGTTTTGACATCCGTGACAGGAGCACGATGAATGCTATTCGTGCCTCAGGTGGACATAGATGTGACTGGGGAGTGCTTGTGGGAGATGAGTTGGGCTTAAAGGCACCATGAAGCACTGCTTTATTGCATATTCACTTCACTTCACATTCACATCTTCTCTTCTGCACTTCAGTCGCCCAGTGCGCTTCATATCTACTCTTTCTTACGTTCAATTCATTCTTTAGCTTCCCTGGTGGTGCTTAATCATATTAAGATCTTATCCATTTTCCAAGATGCTTTTCAAGTCTGTCCTCCTGTCTGGTGCCATTCTGGCTTTCTCGGCGACCGAGGTCTGGGCCCATGCTGCTATCAACCCAGCACTTGGCGTGAAGGGTACTGCTGTTCGCAATGATGTGCAGAGGCCATCGGCGAACAAGCCATGTGGAAACACGGCTTTGACTGCCATCGATTCTTCGACTGCAGTCAAGGCTGATGCCTCTGGCTCTTTCACTGTCAATGTCGAGAACTTCAACGGGTGAGTATTACTGTGCCGTGCATATGGCAAAGTTCTGACATGTCTCCAGTGGCAAGGATGGATCTCGCTCGGTCACCATGCAAGTCGACGCTGCAGGTACTGGTGCCAAATTCGCGAATGGTCAAGTGACAGTCAACGGAGATGCTGCTCCAGCTACGACCGGCACGCAGAAGGTCACTGCTTCTCTTCCTGCAGGTACTAAGTGCAGTGGCGGTGCTTCTAGAGACTTGTGCTTGGCATCCTTCAAGACAGCTGGTGGCTTCGGTAACTGCGTGGTTGTCCAGCAGGGTGCTGGCGGCGGAGCGGCGGCTGGAGGTGCTGCTGCTGGAGGTGCTGCTGCTGGAGGTGCCGCTGCTGGAGGTGCTGCTGCTGCTGGAGGTGCTGCAGGTAACGCTGCCTCAGGTATGTTTGATCGGTTAGATCCTTTAATTCACATACTCACAGATGCAACAGCAAACAACGGTGCGGCCAACGGAAATGCAAAGGCCAACGGCGGTGCAAATGCTAAGGCTAACGGCAACGCAAATGCTAAGGCGACTGGTGGTGCGAACAAGGGACAGAAAGCCAACGCCAATGCAAAGAACAATCGTGCGGTTGCTGGAACGCGTCTGGCTCGTTATGTCGTTGTGGACGATGAATAGGTGGAAGAAGAAGTGAAAAGCGGATCTGGAAATGGGCACGGCTTTCTTCTCGAGAACGCATGTCGGCTCCCCTGTCCTTCAAGGGAATCTTGTACAAATTTATGTAGAAACAGGTTATCAGACCATTGGCACCCTGCATACAAGGGCTATACCTCGATGCAAATAATAAACCTTTTTCATAGAACACAGAAGTTGTTTCTAGCAAGCGTGCAAGTATTGAACGGAGAACCCCAGATCTGGTGCACGCCCAGCGAACGATACAGAGGAGCCCCAGAAAGACGTCATCGCGCAGCAAGGCTGAACCATAGCACGCGTGTTAAGATGCCCGATTGCGCATGCGACCGAAGCTTCACGAACCATGGCCACAATGTGATCCAGCACGAAGTACCCAAGGTCCAAATGGCTGGCCGCAATCAAAAGTGGTACAACGGGTCGCCTCGAGATCCCGTCAGCACGCTGTTGGGCACAAAGATCGCCGGCACGTCGATGGCGGGAGAGCAGCAGTAGCAGGTGGCTGGGAGAGTCGGTCCGCATCAATCAGGTCATGTTCTCGAATGACTAGGGCTCTGGGGCGCCTTCTCGGCGGAGGTCTAAAGCCGGGTAGTTCTTCCCAAGGTGTGCCCTGGTTTACGTCGAGGCCGACACCACGGGAAGGAGAGGGTGAATGCGCCCAACATGCGCTCCCTTGGTTTGAAGTAAGATTACAGTTTGATTGAGACATGTGTCAAACGGGTAGTTTATAGGTCTGGTGTCAAACGAGATGAACGCTGCGGTTCTGCCAGAGAGCGCGAAGCGAGAGCGTTCGCAGCGACAGCCGCTGCAAACCAGCAGATACTGCACTTACTCACCGGTCCTGCTTCCAGACCGCGGCGCATTTGCTTCTGCTCACTGGGTACGAAAAGGCAGTCGTCTGCGCAATTATTGGGCGAATAGTCGGGCTGGAATGGTCATGTCGAACTGGGGTAATCGTAGCGTCTACGTCATCGGAAGCCGCCCAAAACTCGACAGACCAACCCATTCCAAGGTCCTACAACCCCACTACATGCCGGGGAGTCAACAAGGCCTGCACACTTGATAACGTCAGGTCACCGGCTCTGCAGCTCTTCTGATCTTGCCCATCCTTCGCCTTCTCTTCCTCCCCTCTATAACCTATTTGTTTGCCAGCCAGTTCTTCCGGCGCTGTTGCAGCGCGGCAGATCATCCCCTCCACCACTCCAGCTGCCCCTCACCTGTCACTTACTGCCAATATGTCGGCGCGGCGCTATCCCACCGCCGAGCTGTATGAGGAGCGCGAGCGCGACTTCTATCGCGGCGGTAATCGCAGCGAACGCAACTACGAGGAGCTTGACCTCGAGCTTCGTCGTGGTACAGATCCCAGGCGTAGTGCTCCCGACTTCTTCCGTGAGGACTACAACCGCCCTACTGCCGGACCCCTCGTGGTACGAGGACGGGAAGATGACCACTCGAGAGCTGGACCACGAAGCCACCGTGGCGGCTTCGACGACGACACGCGCTCTGTTCGCAGCAGCCGGCCACCCCCGCCGCCTTCTAGTATAAGAGACCACGATGCCCCTGTTCGTCGTGGAACCCGTGACTTTGAGCGGGAAGAGACCGACATTAAAATCAGCCGGCGCGAGCAGTCGCGCCCTAGAGAGCCTCTGGAACTTCGTGCAGTCGAACGCGAAGATATTGTTTTCCGTCGTGGTGACGGAGCTCGCCCACCTCCTTCCCGCTCACCTGACATGCACGACGACGACGTGCGCTTCCGGGGTCGCGGACATGGCGACAACATCGACATCCACGCCTCTCGCAGTGAAGTCAGCCGTCATGGCAGGGACGTTTCTGCTGAGCGAGGCTCCATCCGCTTCCAGGAGCGCGACGGCAACTTTGAGCTCCGTACCAACCGTCGCGAGTTCAGTCGTGACGGACGCGACAGCAGCAGGGAGAGGAGCTCTTTGACTATAAGAGGTCGGGAGCGCAGTCTTCCACCGCCGCGCTCCTCGCGTGGTGAGCTGGTCGCGCGAGAGCACGAAGAGTTCACCGTCCGACGCCGCGACACTTCCCCCCAAAACCGGGAGGTCATCAAGGACGAGATCATTATTAGACGTAAAGAAGAGCGAATGCCCTCGCCATCTCCTTCCCCACCACCTGCTCCGGCTCCACCGCCACCACCGCTAGAGCCTGAGATTAGACCCCCGATCATCCAGGAGATCATCACGCATCATCGTCACATTGATCACGGTAAGATCCCACGAATCAACGCATTTCTACAGCTGCTAAACATCGCTCAGGTGTCGAGAGAGCACGTTCTCCAACCCCTCCCCCTCTCCCAGCGCCTCCTTCTCCCCCTCGCGCCGTCAACGAAACACTCGAGATTGATATCAGGCGGAGAGAGTATGTAAATCCTCTCGTTACAAAGTACGCGACTAACATTGGTACAGAAGCCGTAGCCGTGGACCTGGGCGTGGCCGCGACTACGAGGATCTTAGCCTTGAAATCGACATCAACCGCGAGAATGGTAAGCGCTCCTACTAAACATAATCCTGTTTTGGTACTGACCCCCGTCCAGGCGAGTTCAACGTCAAGCCGCGCAAGAACAAAGATATGTGGACTGAGGTCACTAAAGATTTGGTGATAAGAGAGGCCATCGACCAGATGGGCTACTCATGCGAAGAGACCGAAGATTTCTTCTATGTCATGGAGTACCTCAAATACGTATGTAATCGCTTACACCTCAGCAATAACCACGACTGACTCTTCGTAGGAGGACGTTCTGCAGCTTGTGGAATTGTCAGATGAGCTTCGTCGCAAGCGCAAGCTTCGAATTGATTTTGAGCGCACAAGCATTCGCGATGCCCCGAGATCCTCTGGTGGCTACGACGAGAAGTTCTACGAGCGTGAAGTTTCGTACGACAGTCGCCGCCAGCGTTATCGTTAAATCCATGATATCCGGCACTTCCGGTTGCATGGCTCAACGCAACGAGGCCACCAGATCTAAGACTCGGGAGACATCACGACAGGTCTTATTCTGTGACTCCACATCGCGCGTGTGTCGGCGAGAGGATCGTACAGTTCGACCAGCCACGATCAAATGTTTTGAAGACCAAATACTCATAGCTTTTCGCATGGCGCAAGTTTCAATATGATACCAGACGAAGTCACGACGTTATGGTCCGTGGCATTCATCACGGCCTTTTTCGCAGCTTGCGGACTTGAATACCTTAACGACAATTACGAATACGACTAGCATGGGTGGAGCGAATAAGAGGAGGATTTGTTTTACGCTTTCTTTGCGCTACTATTCTTGAGCAGGGTAAATTTTGGGAGGGTGGATTGCTGGATTTTGACAGGCTTCCATCTTTAACAGGAGGCGAAGCGAGTCGGGCGTACATAATTCTCTTCCTCTATTCTATTGCGAAAATTCAATATTATAATCCCAACATTCCTCGCGAATCACCAAGATTGTGACGCTGAAGCGCGGAGCAGGTTATGAATAGAAACTTGGCCAATAACTACCGATTACCAGATTCAGACGGTGCAGTGCGATGCCGCGCCCCATGGCCGCACTTAACTCGACGGCGGCGCAAATTGACCTCGCGATGCCAATACCAATGCCCTTGCTTTTCTCAGCTCGTCTCCCTGTCGGACACGCCGTTATGAACTTGGTCGCAACACACACAAAATCGACGATGAGAATGCAAACCTACCACCGTAACTCCATAGCATGACGTCTTTCATCGCACATCCCACAGCAGCCCGACCAAAATAAAGCCATCTCGCGTGTTTTGCTAAAAATATCGTTCAGATGCGCATTCCTGTCGGCAGGCGCCAAAAGCCCGATCCACCCGCGACGCCCCGGATGGCGGGCGCGAAACGTGAAACCCTGGCTTGGGCTTAGGCTAAGCGCCGCGGGGGACGGCGAAAGCTGAGTGAGACGCAACGCATGCAAGGACAGGAATAAGAGGCGCCGAGTGCTTATTGGAGAGGAGGAGAGGTTGTTTCACATCCGGGTGGTGTGGTGTGGCGAGTATAAGGGTTGGGGGGACGGCGTTGCTCTGGTGCGTTTGGGGATTTATGCGCTGTGTGTCGCTGTCGCAAACCGCATCTGATCTGATCTATCTGTTATTTCTCCTTGTTAACTGTTGGTTTCTTCAGAGGTGAAGATGATCAATCTGTGCAAAAGAATCGGTGCGCTGGTCGCGTTTTTGAATCGTGAGTCCTTACCAGATCCTCCTCGGGATCGTCCCGAAGTCGCGCTCGTACCAGTCGTTTTTGTCCAAACGGTTTCGCTGACCCAGGTATCCATGCAGTCTTCACACTCGTCGCAAATACCCAGAACACATCGCCTGTGTCGGCTTCGACATTCTATCTCGACGAGACGGAGACACAATTCTCAGTCAATGTCGCCAACAACTCGCAAGATGTGTTCCTCTACTTCACCAGCCCGGCGTACTCATGGGTCGGCGTGGGCTTTGGGCAAAAGATGGAAGACAGTCTGATGTTTGTCATGTATCCGAGCGAGAATGGTGATAATGTTACCGTCTCGCCGCGCATTGGCAGCAAGAATGCTGAACCGACTTTCTCGCCGGAAATCGACCTGGATGTTCTGCCTGGCACGACTGTCAACGACTCGATGCTTGTCTTGAAGGCTGTGTGCCATAACTGCCGCGACTTTTTCGATATTCAAAGTACGGAACAGCCCATGATGTATGCTTTCGGACACGCAACTCGACTGTATTCGAACTCTCGCTCGGCGGATTTGAAGCGACATATCCGCTATGGCCACTTTGAGATGGACATGGTTGCCGCAACTGGATCAGGCGGTGTGCCAGAGAAGAGCAATATCATGAAGGGCGCAGAGTTAGAAGGAAATATGGTTCGAGACCACGACCGCGCAAACCTCGCCCACGCCATCATCGGGTGCATAGCGCTGTTCGTCATATGGCCCTTGAACGTCCTGATCGCAGGCTTTTTCAAGAACATCCGCATCCACATCGGCGTCAGTGTAGTCATCATGGCATTTCTGGTTGTCGCGTACGCCCTTGGTATATCAACCTCATCACAGTTCAACCGAGTAAGTCCGCCTCTCTCTTTCCCAACACCTTAACACTAACGATCGCAACAGTCCAAGGATTACAAAACCCCTCACCAAATCTTCGCCTTCCTAGCTTTGGTACCCATCCTTTTAATCAGTCTTCTCCCCATCCCCAACATCGCCCGCCTCCACACATACATCCCTCGCCTGCACACCCCACTCGTCTCAACAACCTACATCACCCTCGTTCTAACCGGCGGTCTCGGCCTGCATCTCTCCTCGCAAGCGCGCCCCGTGATCCTCGGGTTCACCGCCGTCGCACTCCTCGTCTTCGTCTTTAACACCATCGTACAATCCTGCATCGGACGGCGCGGGTCGGCGCATGCACGAGCGAACAATAGAAGGAGACTGGGAGAAGACGACGACCAGGTGGAGATGTTGAGGAGTAGGAGTAGCAGCAATGCGAGCTTTAGGAAGGGGAGTGATGGGTCGGTGGAATTTGGCGCTCATGGGCAAAGGCCGGTGAGGGGTGTGTATGGCGGTGGAGCGATGCCAGGGCCGCAGTATTTGCTGAATATGCATCCGGGGGTACCTGTGCACAAGTGGTGAACATGACGAAGTCTCTACGAGATATGACTAGCATTTAGCGCTTTGATTTCCCTTGCTGTGGTTTTGGCGTTTGGACTGTGGCACGATACCAGGATAGCGAGCGAGTTTCGTCGTCCATTTTGGACGTTTGTTGTCTATGATACGGCCTTGCATATCACCATTTTTCCTTTGTTATCTCTATCTTCTTCTAGTCATTACGTTTGCATTCGTATTAGCACGCTAGGGAAACGCTCTAAACGCAGACTTTCTGACGTGGCTTCATCAACTACTATCTCAAGACTCTCCCCATGAAGCCAGTCTTCCCTACCATCCCCACCCACCACAACCACAATTGTCCCTATCCCTCGTTCATCCCCTCGTCATCCCCCGCCCAAAATCGGCCTCCACCCCTTCGCAATCCCCCATCCCAGGTCCACCAGAATCATCCTTCACCCGCACTTTCGGCCCCCTCCTCCCCGCAGCCCAATACCTCTCCCTCAAACCCGGATTAAAGCCGCATATTATGAATTCCCCCCACCATCCCCTCACCCATCCAAATCACCTTCTCGCATCCTCCTAATCCACGGCATCCAAACCCCTGCCATCGGCCTACTCCCCCTCACCCGCAGTCTCCTCGCTCACTTTCCCAACGCACACATTGTGCTTTTCGACCACTGGGGCCACGGACTCAGCGACACACCGCTGGTACCGCACGTCTCCGGCCTATTCCACGGGCTGATCGACGACTTGCTGGACCATTTATCCTGGGCGTCCGCGCACGTCGTGGGGTATTCGTTCGGCGGGGCGCTGGCAGTTGGATACGCAGCGACACGCACGTCTCGGGTGCAGAGTCTCGCGCTCGTTGCGCCGGCGGGGTTGATCAGGCGTGCGGGGTTTGATGCAAGGAGGCAGGCGTTGCTGGCGGTGGAGGGGGAGAGGGATGAGAGTGCGGCGAGGGACTTTATCATCAATGATGTGTTGGAAGGTGGGGGGTTGGTTGTACCTACGGATTGGGAGGAGAGGGTGAAGAGGGGGTAGGTTGTTGCTGAGGCAGTTAGGGAGTGGCAGATGCGTGAGCATAAGGGGCATGCTGCGTCTGTGGTAGCGATTTTCAGGGATGGAGGGGGTGCTGGATAATGATGAGGTGTTTGTTAAGGCGGCGGAAACGGGGGTGGCCGAATTTGGTGGTGCTGGGTGGGACGGATGATGTTTGTTCCAAGGCGCAGCTTGATGCGTTGGGGTATCGGGATATCGAGGTCGTTGAAGGAGCAGGGCACGGTGTGATACGGGACAAAGCGACGGACGTTGCGGAATACATTGCAAAGTTCTGGAAAGGAATCGGAGAATAAGATGCATTCATTGTACTGTGGAAGTTTCGTCGTTCCACATCCTTCATTTCAAATTTCAATCATCTACCTCGTGGCAAAAACGTCAAAGTGTGAGCAGACCCGCCCAAGACCAACACGAATCAAAGACCGGTCTATGTTCTAGAATGCGCCGACAACCCTCTTGACCATCCTCCTCATACCCTCGCCACTAATTTGTACCTGCCCTTCGAGTTCTGCACTCCGCAGTACCTCCAAGAACTCTGCATTCTCAATCTGCTCGCTCGAGCCATCTCTGACCTTCTTAACCAAGTCGGTCATTCTGACGCTCTGACCCGCAGATCCGAGCTCGTCAACAGCAGCAAGAACAGCGCGCTTGAGATCTTCCTTCCTGCGGCGATCGCTAGTCGATGTACCCTCGGTGAGAAGTGACATGTCAATGAGACCAGTTCGTGCATCGGTGGCAGCCTGTTTGAGCGCGGACTTGATCAGGCGAACAGCTTCGTTGACATCGTCCGCAGTGACTTCTTCCGCGAGACGCATCTTGGCATGAGCCTCGGAGAGACGAATCATGCTCTCCAACTGTCTAGTAGTGGCAGTAATACGGCGCTCTTGTGATCGAATGTCGGCACCGAGAGCGCGCATTGCAACATAAGCCTCTACGAGGGCCTTTTGTGCAGCGTCCGTGATCTTGGGCTGGCAATTGGCGCGCGCATAAGATATGTAAGCAGTCAGGAATTCGATTGGTAAAATCTCTTGCCTCGAAGCGTTCTCCGGGTTGTCTTCGAGGTACATGCTGACCAAATGGCGGGCCAGGCGGCGATCATTCTGCTCGTCGATGCGGTCCAGGATGAGGTAGACAAGATCAAAACGAGACAGGAGAGTCGGAGGAAGGTCGATGTTCTGAGGCACAGGCAGATTGACGTTGTACTTTGACCCGATGGGATTGGCGGACGCAAGGATCGAGGTACGAGCGTTCAAGGTAGTGATGATACCTGCCTTTGCGATCGATACTGTCTGCTGTTCCATGACTTCGTGAAGCACTGATCGGGTGGCTTCGGACATCTTATCGAATTCATCGATACAGCAGACACCACCGTCAGACAGTACCAAAGCACCAGACTCGAGCACAAGCTGACGGGTCTCTGGGTCACGGGTAACATATGCTGTAAGACCAACGGCAGAAGATCCCTTTCCAGAGGTGTAGACACCACGGGGCGCGATCCTGTGTACGTACTGCAACAGTTGTGACTTCGCAGTAGAAGGGTCACCACAGAGCAGGATATTGATGTCGCCACGGTATTTTGGACTTCCACCCTTCTCGAATTGTTTGTTGGTGCCACCAAAAAGCTGAAGCAGGATACCTTTCTTGACATCGTCTGTCTCCCAGATACTGGGAGCCAGCGAGCGTGATAGCAAATCGTAGACGTCAGGCCGCGCCGCGGTGGCCTTGATCTTCTCTTCCTCCTCTTCTGAAACCTTGCGTGTCTCTTGAATATCACCAGCTGCGTGCTCGGCCATCTCCTGTTCGATAGTCGAGACATCGATACCCATACGCTTCTTGTCGGACTTCTGGATGTGCAATGCATCAACGTACGTCTTGAAAATGTTCTTGACGGACCGCTGGCGTGGATTGATGCGAACTTGGTTGCACTTGAAGATGCCTGTAATTTCTACACGATCACCAGCTTTGCACACATCAACGAGCTCATCGTATGCGCACAGTGACACGGAGTGAGGTGTTTGACCATCAGGCACATTGTCTGGAGTCTCCTGCAACTTGATGACTTGCTTGTTGGCAAAGCCGGATCGGTTGTGGATGATTTGCATCGAGTTCGGCGACTCGCAGGCCACACGAGGGCACTTGGTGGGCTCGGTGATCTTACCACGATCGATGTCGACGCGCACTGCATGGTGGCAAACGGAGCACTTGAAGAACGCTGCACTGATCAGTATACACATTGGGTACTTTCAAGGAGTATGCTTACCGTCCTTCATGTCTGGGATAATGGGTGTGGTTCGAATCACCAGTCCTTTAACACTGACCAGCTTGTCCATGTCGGCAGGGTTCAATTCTCGTAGATTAATAGTTTTGTCGAGCCCGAATGGTCTGACATTGTAGGTAAGCTGATCGACTTCACTAGCCAAGTTGGGAATGTCAGGGAACGGTGCAGGCGATGGAGCGCCAGGAGTCGGCGCATCAGAACTCAGCATCGGGGGCAGAGAACTCGAATCGCGGGCTCGTGCTGGCGCACCGCGCTGTTGCTGAGAGACCTGAAGTCGCATCTCAGCCATCTTCTTTTCCGCGAGTTCAAGCATGACGTCCTTGATGGCCACATCCATGATGGGAATGATTTCGTTGGGGTATGCCTGTAGCTGATGCCACAGTTTCCTTGTGGGCGGGTATGCCTTCAGATTGCGTGCATCCAGATTCAGAGGGGTAATGCTGAGTTCGAGCATCATCTTCATCATTTCCACGTACTCCCGAGCCATGGCAGGGTGATCTGCCGGTAGGTTCATGCCCTCTTCGAGCTCGCCATCTTGGATCATGCGGTACTTGCGTTGGAAGTTCATCAAGAAGTCTTTCATCGCATGTCGAGCGTCCACAAGGGAGACATTGGTACCCCAGATGACTCGCGAGGAGTTACCGCCAAGCACATCTGCGTCCGAAGTGTCGGGGTTCAAGTTGGAGAATGTATTGGTGTCCGAGGCGGCCTGGGGGACGGGCACGCCATTCTCATCAACGAACAGTCTGCGGCGTCTCGTGCTCGAGTTGGCTCCAAAGACGTCGGAATGAACATCGCTTCGTCGGCTTCGAGCAGCCGATTCGGGACCACGCACAAAGAGGTTGCTGCTACTGCTCCTGATGTCGGTGTTTTGTGCATTGCGAGCACGGCCAGGGCTAGAACTGGACGCGTAGTGGATCGGAGAGGAATCTAGAGCCTTTAATAGTGTATTTATTGAACTCTGGCATCGTCGCCTTACCTCCAATGGTCATTCCACTAGCTCTTGGTGTTGCTCCGCCATCATCGCTTTCTTCTGCACCGTTTGCTGCCCCTGAGCCAGAGGGGTTGGCGGGCGATGAGCGGAAGAACAACGGCGATTCTGTCGCAGTAGCAGCAGAATGAAGTCGGTTGTTCCGGGGGGTCGCTTGCGATCCACGCTGCGAAGCTTGTGAGGCCTCGGACTGCAGTTGTTCGTCTGGTCCTACAGGCGCGGGGCTACTGGAGGGGATTGCACCACGAGCGCTGCGACGAGGCGTTGCCGAGGCAGATGTGCGCTGTGAGCGACGCTGCCCTGGAGAAGACATAGCTTGGGTGTCTATATTGACAAGAATTGGGGTTTCGTGGTGTTGTAGAGGGGTTGCTGTGGGGACATCGGGTAGAACGCGTCCGTGTCGCGTAGGCGCGTATTCCTAAAGTGGATTTGAGTGAGTCTAGCCAACTTCGCTAAGCGTACGCGCTAGCTAGGTCTCGACATTAAAGTATGAGGGCTCACCGAACAAGTGACAGAACTTCGAGGGAAAAATCGTTCGGCAAATTACATTACGTGGAACTAGAGCGACGAGGCAAGGGCGTTATACCCGAAATTATCATTGTTTTTCATGTTAGATGTTCCATATCTTTCACCTTGGCCTCTGACTAAACACTTCTGCCAATCTTGACTGCACAATGTGTCGGACAACGAACTAACACTTGGAAAGTGAAGACCCTTTGGAAAGACGTGATATTGATAAGGTGTTGTTGATATTGCATTCTTCGTTTTAGAGTAATGATGGGCATCTATTGATCCGGGTGGTGCTGTTCTTCCGCTACTTGAAAACTCATGCTTGAAGATGTGTACTGATTTGAGCCGTTGGTCGTTCTTTTTCAATTTGTTTGCAGCAATTTGAGCCGGCTCTTGGGACTGGTTCACGCAGCGGGTCCTCTTGAAGCCACACCTTTCTGTATGCTATCCTTCGCCACCACGGATGCACGCATGGTTCTCCAGTGCCTCGAAGCGTACACCATCTCTTATCTGTGTCCATTCCAGACTTCTGACCCTTTTTGTAGAGGTAAAGCCATAGACAGCCGTGCTCACCCAATTTGCGACATTCGGCTGAACTCTTGTACCATGTTGACCAATCTCCCAGCCTCTGGGTCTTCGTTGAGATTTACGATTGGGATGACATAGTCAGATATAATCCTCTGCGATCTATGAAGTTCTCTTTGATCCTTGTCGGGATCCTGCAAGGCCACGAATTTGCCGACCAGGTTACGATTCTCGGCGCTAAGACGGTTCTTCATGACATCGAACACTACGCCGGATAGAAAGAAGTTTTTGGACTGATCGTGGAGGCCTTTCAGACATAATATGAGGGTCGAGCGTAGAGTCTCGATCTCTTCAGTGGAGGTTGCATTCATGTCCGGGTTCCGTTCGATGGACGTTATGCGCGTAAGGGTAACGTTGGCAAGGTGGACCAGATGAACAATCAGCATTGAATCGTAGGCCTCGAAACCATGGCGGAGATAGTATATGCGTAGCAGACTCTCTAGCTGAGCTGTTGCTTGCGCAGTGATCTCCTTGGCTATGGTGATTTGGGTCTCTGTCAGGGGGCTCCCATCGTTCTGTAACGGGGACAGTTGCGCATCAAAAAGCATGATTATGGCGCCATAGAATTCGCAGCTGAGTTCATATTAGTTACAGACATCCAGAAAGTGATGTGGTGGCTCACTGTAGCTTGATGTGGGATGGGTATAGAAGAGCCCGATGTGACAGAACAGAGGGTAAAGACTCGAACCAAGCCTGTAGTCGCCTCTGATAGGCCAAAACCTGGCTCCAGGGCATCTTTTGCGGTGCCTCATTACCAATGAAACTGACTGCGCATATGTCTCTCATGATTATGCGCAGCTCACTCAGAGCTTTCATGGTATAGCCAAACCCTAGTGGATACAGCAGCTCGTCCGAAGGGTAACGCAGCCAGATCTCGCTGTACCATCTTTGATTATTCTCGACGTTCGGTAGATTATGGGGCGGAGGTCGCGTAAGATGCGGCGGTTTAAAGTAATAATAGCTCTGCATCCTATTCAAAACCCGAGGTCAGTGTCACGGCGATGAAATTATTGAGTATTGGTGTCAAAATCACTCACGTCAGCCATGTGGATACCCCCCACGCGGTGAAAACCTTCGCATCATTGAGCTTTGGGTCACCGATCAAAGGCGCGCGAAATACGCCCAGCTCGTGCGCCATACTGAGAGCTTGTCGTGCATAAGCAATGCCCGGCCTGTCGTGACCGTTGACGTCCATGGCAGCGTTAATGAGACAACCTGCATGAACTGTAGTCAGTTTCGGCGTTTCGTCCTCGAGCTCCCACAGCCTCTTGGCTTCTGCGAGGAAGCGGTAGGTCAGAGTGTCTGGGTCCCAAAAATTCGGACTATTTGGTATTATCCGGGAACAAGTCTAAGAAGCGTCAGTAAGCGATGATGCACAGCGAAGGGCTCTCACCCACACACGCTTTTGCCAGAAGCGCATTCACCAACAGCGGCGAACAAAACTTGGTCCCGCCAGATGCCATGTCCTCAAGGAAATAGTCCTTGTGGAAGATGAACTCCCACGGGTACTCGAACATGAAGTATCCCTCGAGCAGTTTGCGCATCAGTGAATCATTGGTACTGACTGCGGTCCACTGCGAGGGTTTGACGTCGGATAGCAATGGATCGGCCATCTCAGCGGCGAAGAGTGGCTTGCTGTAGTTGCTTTGGCGCGCGACGAGATTCGCATGAGGCATGTCTGGTGCCTGGTCCAAAGCTTGGAGGGCATCGAAAATGTGGGAACGAAAGTAAATACTCTCCTGGAGAGCTGGAGGTATGGTAGCGAGGTAGGGGAACTCGTATCGTGTGTGCGTCTCCGGAGCTAAAGAGAGGCCCAGGACGAGACTGCTCTCTTGAATGTGACGAACGAGGGATTCAGCCTTGGCGCCAGTCCGTATGCGACGAAAGACGTCACCCGCATCTTGCTCGTTCATAGTCTGCAACATGTAAAACAGCTCCTCTTCAGCGGTTCGCTTCAACTTGAGCTCCTGGTACCTGCGTCTGATCTGGCGGGCCTCAGTCTCGCCATAGCGGCAGTCAGTGTCGCGGGCGACGCAGGCGCTGCAACGTGGTCGCACACCATCACACTGTCGAGCGGTCAGACCAAGGGAGAACAGCAGCGGGCAGTGGGCGAGGACTCGCCTTCGACTTACGTGTTCGGCATACCTCACACGCGTTGACACGCACAGGTCTGCGTGAATGGGCCTCTTTGTGTGCGCCCGCAGGAGCGGGTAAAAGTGGGCGGAGCGGCGGCTGGTCTCTGGAGGGCTGGTCTTGCATGTCGTCTGAGGGGGGTTTGGACATGACGACAGGGAGCCAGCCTTATACCATCCAGTTCGAAGTCTGGGACGTACGTCGCCTCATGGGAGAACAAGAAGAGCATGCAGCAGAGAGACGCAGAGGTCGGGACAGATCCCGCCAATTAGGAGCTCCTCGGATCAGAAGCTTTGGCGTGCATCGCGATCTGGCCGGGTGCGATGAAGTTGTAATCAGTCCACCAGGTCCGCATTGTGACCCAGCCCCGGCTTTGCGCGCCATGGGATGGAAGAGAAAAAAAGGTAATGCGCACGGCTGTTCTTTCTAGACGAGATTCGAGCACTGGGGATTCATATTCACTGAATGCATGGGTGGGTCATGAAGAACGAGAGCAGACAGGACGAGGGGAGACAGCGCAACGCCTGGAAACACGCAGATGATGGCAGCGGCTTTCGAGACGAGGTTTGGCGCGAGAGTAGCCCTACACAGTAATGCCATAGCACGCAGCGGACGTGAACTCGACTGCTCAGTGCTGCAAGAAGAAATTCGAATCGAGCGTGCGGTCGATCGACGATGTGAGACGAAGCTTGAGCCTTGCGGTCCGATTCCGAGCACACCGGAGACTTGCTCGGTCTTTAGAGCCGCGACCAATGTTCTTGAAGCATTCCTGCCCCGCCCGCGTCGCGCAGCCGTGGCCTGTGCAGCATCATGACGACGACGCACGCCGGCGTGTAACGGTGCGTGACAGGTGACAGTGAAAGTGATAGCCAGAGCCATACGCCCAATACGCCCAATACGCCCAACACACGAGCGACCTCACCGGCTATTTGCATTATACCACAGCTCCTGCCATTGCACCGCAGCAGCATGTCGCTCGTCTCAGGTAGGAATTGTTGCATCACGGCCATTTGGTCTCACGCTCATCCATACAGACGCCATCTGGGCTGCGTCTCCGACCACCACCCGTGGGCAGCCGACTCCCCTCTCGTCGGACCCCAAGGGCGAGCGAATCGCATACGCGGTACGCAGACCGGTCATGTGACACCGCCCGCGAGAGCTAACGGGACTGCATAGTCGGGGAAATCCATCTTCCTGCGCTCCATCGACGACCCCGCCGTCAGTAAACAGTACACCCAGCACACCGCCCAGACCACCGTTGCCCGCTTCTCGCCCTCTGGCTTCTATGTCGCCAGTGGTGATGCCGCCGGCACTGTCAAGGTGTGGGACTGCGTGGGCGAGGGCGCGACCAAGGGTGTGTGAGACAGCTGCAGCTGGGGGAAAGTGAAGCTGACGGCCATCGCAGGCGACTACCACATCATTGCGGGACGCATCAATGACATCGCCTGGGACGGCGACTCGCAGCGCATCATCGCCGTGGGCGACGGCAAGGAGCGATTCGGCCACTGCATCACCGCCGACAGCGGCAACAGCGTCGGTGAGATCTCGGGGCACTCGTCGCAGGTCAACAGCGTCTCCATCCGCCAGCAGCGACCTCTGCGCGCCGCCACGGGCTCCGACGACACCAGCATCGTCTTCTACCACGGCGCCCCCTTCAAGTTCAACACCAGCTTGAGGGGCCAGCACAACCGCTTCGTGTACGGCACTGCTTTCTCTCCAGACGGCTCCGTCTTCGCCAGTGTGGGTGCCGACAAGCGCATCTGGCTGTACGATGGAAAGACGGGCGAGGCCAAAGGACAGATTGGGGACGGCGTGCACACCGGCAGCATCTTCGGCATCTCATGGGCGAAAGACTCGAAGAAGTTTGTGACCGCGAGCGCTGACCAGACGGTCCGCATCTGGGACCCAGAAGCAGGCAAGGCGGTACAATCTTGGCGCATGGGCGAAGAGGGTGTTGCCAGCATCCCTGATCAGCAAGTCGGCGTTGTGTGGCCCGCGGGCCGTGGTGACGGGCTGGTAGTCAGTGTAGACCTCGAGGGCAATCTGAACTACCTTGTCGAGGGCAGCGAGCGGCCAACACGTGTAGTGCGCGGCCACCAGAAGAACATCACCGCTGCCGCCATCTCCGGCTCGACCTTCGCTACGGGGAGCTACGAAGGTCGCGTCCTCGCGTGGGATCTGTCCACAGGCCTCGCGGACAAGGTCGAAGGCGCAGCTCACTCCAATTACGTTGCTGGAATAGCGACCGCCGAGCCTACGGCCGAGGCTGAACTACACAGCGTGGGCTGGGACGACACTTTGCGCTCAATCTCAGTGCCAAACAAAATCTTCACCGGACAAGCCAGCGAACTCGGCTCTCAGCCTAAGGGTGTTGCCGCAGCGTCAGGCGTCGTACTAGTCCTGTCTTCCGACTCGATCAACGTATACAAGAACGGCTCGAAAGAGAGCTCACTTCTCGTCAAGTATGCGCCAACCGCTATCGCAGCGCACGGTTCGACTGTCGCTGTTGGTGGAGACGACAAACTAGTGCACATCTACATCCTGTCGGGAACAGCACTCGAGGAAACCGAGACTGTTTTACGCCGTGCAACTTCTGCCATCTCTGCACTGGCCTTCTCCGCGTCTGGACAGAAGCTTGCAGTCGGTGCCGGCAACGGCAAAGTATATGCCTTTGAAGCGTCCGGAGACTTCAAGATCATCACGGACCGGTGGAGTGCGCATACGGCACGCATTACTTGCCTGGCATGGGACGAGAGCGAGCAGTATGCGGCCAGTGGTAGTTTGGACACCAATGTCATGGTGTGGAGCATCGACGACCCCGGCAAGCGGATCAAGGCTCTAAACGCCCACAAAGATGGAGTTACCGGTGTCGCTTGGCAAAAGGCTGCAAAAGTCATCAGTGCGGGAGGCGATGCGAGCATCAAGGTATGGAGTGTGAAGCCATGATTGCTTGCACCCCAGCAAGCGTCATGAGCACATGCACAGAGGTGCCAAACTAGAAAGGGCCGCAGCCTCGACGAAGAAAGGTCGTAAGAAAGACGACGGATTCTGGCGTCGAGTGCGGCTCTACAAAAGTGTGAGGCGGACAAGGCAATCGGCATTGATAGGTTGTGGACCCTGGCGAGTCGCATGCACCTGCCATGGCTTGCTGACAAGTGAAGGCGCAGGAGTCGCAACACTCATAGTAGACCAATACCACACTTGCTTGTGAAACACGGCGCAATTCCCGTGCACCACCTAGTCTACATACGTCGTGCACACTTTTGCGTGCCGTGTATTGTTGCTATGGTCGTGCCCAGGCGCGATTTGGTCCTCTCTCACGTGGCTGCGGCCCACTATGACGAAGTCCTCCAACCTCCAAAGCGTAAGCACAACACTCCACCACTGCTAATCTTGCAAATCAATGCAGCGCATGTTGTTTACTCGCAGTGAGCGGGGTATTCTCGAGGCTATGCCTGCCCGCACAAGCCTGATTTGTCACAGCGTGCCTGCCGTGTCTGCCTATTTGCCTGTTTTTCGTCCGGTATGCCTCATAATTCAGTTGACCGCATTGGGATGTCGTTGCTGCACGTTGTTAAGCTAAGAGAAAGTCCTTCAAGTCTGAACAGCAAAGATCCACTTCAAGGCGTTTAACGCCCTGGGACTGATTCGCTATATGATCCGCTTCACTCTCTTTACTTTGGTGGTCAAGGCCAATTTCCAGTACGCATTGCGTCCCAGTCCATTCATACCCAGCAAACCGCATTGCCACAGCTGCAACTACGAGGCCTTGGTGCTAGTCTCCGAATTCTAGTCTGCATCGCAGGCCATCAACCATATGCTGGGAATGGATCCGCTGTACTTCTATACAGATGTTGCTGGCGAACAGTCTTACGCGACAGCTATCGGTCAGAGCCCCAAACTCAATCATCCTCAAACTCTCGAACACGAACTTTTAGTGCAGAACCACTTCCAGTCTCAGCTTCTGTCGCCAATTCATCGAAATCATCACCAGCGTCGAGACTCCTTTTTTCCGTGCTCACCGTCGAGCGCCTCGACTTCAGGCGGCCCTTCGCCGTATCAGGCTGTCGTCCAGCCTTATCTGTCGGACACAAAAATGGCACAACGAGGCCAGATGTCACATCCTATGGCCATGGGCCGGTCTAAATCTCAGCAATCCTTAAATTCCCCCGAACAGACACAACATCACCAGCATCGTGCTTCCTTGGGGCATGGCTCAGAATTTGGAGCCAGCAGCATGTCACGGACATCGACACAGCAGTCGTCGAACCCCGCAGCCTATCAGACGTGGTTGACTGCGCCTCGACCAAATATCATCAGCCCACCAGCCGAGCTCACCGGTTACGCCTCGTGGGATACAGAGTACGCGCTACCGATGTCAGCAGCGACGGTATCACATTATGGGCCGAGGCCGAATACATCGAACAGGGCTAATTTGAGTCATACTCAATCATCTAGCGGAGGAGATCACATGGCGGAGATTGGTAGCATCAGCGAAACATTCCATCAGGCCAGGAATAGAAGTGGTACACTTGGAGATTCTACATTTAGCGAGTAAGTGATCTTCATACTATACAGAGGTGGAACAAGATACTGGCGAATTACCTTCCTAGGGCATTTCCGGAGTCTGGCCTGATCGCCCCCATTGTCAAGTATGATACCGTCTGACCCTGATTATTGCGGTTATCCTATCCGGACATTCCACAACAAAATCATATCCACCTGTGGATTATGCTATCCTAGCCTAGGTCCGGACGGAAAGTTGCCAGCCGTCGCTCGTAACATTTTGCTCCGTTTGTTTACAAGCTTCCAACATCAGACAATGGTACCAGGGGCCAAAGGACATTCCGGCGAGGAGCAAGGCCTTCAAGAGAATCTGGTTATCCGTGGAGCCCTGTCGCACCATGCATATTTCCGCAAATGATTCGACCTATCTAAATCGACTTGTGCATACCAAACTCGACACGTCCTTGTGCGACTTCATTGAGCTAAGAGCGACGGTATCAGCTGTGAAGGACACCGCAACAGACTCTTATAATCCATGTCACGGCCTGGCTTTCCTACTACGGTGACCTCTTTCGCGGGCTAGATCATGCGTTATACCTAGGACCTGACCAAAATTCGGACGCGTCCCAGGCCCAGAACAAAGGATGCATTTTGCCTTCAAGCCGGATCTCTAAAACTCTAAAAGAGGTGGGTTCCTTTCTTAAACTCTACACTCCGTCTTTCTATTTATGTCAAATCGACCGTGAAGAAGTAGAGCCGATGGCAGAAGTCATGCATACTCCACGAATAGCCAAACAAGACAGTTATATTTTCCAATCTCGACCCGTGGACATACAATCTGTGTTGAAGAATACATATGGACATACCCATGACCAGCGTTTTGTTCACGCCATTGACCTCACCATATTCGGCTGCGTTTTGCTGTCACATCAGAAATAAACTTCTTGCTGGAATTGACTCTGGCCGCCTCGCAACCCCGTCAGCGCACTACCCTTGTAATGGCAATACCAACTGCTTCTTTTACGCTTTATTAATCAAACAATGAATGTACGGGCTGTTCCAAGCTTATCGTCCATGTGATTTGCAACCTGCGCACAGAGGATCCACCCCATAGAGTTAGGACTTAATACACCAAACCTCAACATTAAACTTTCCATTAGACAGGCCATATCGATCACGCAAAACTATCACTCGACACCAAAGCTTTGGTCCGCAATTACCAGATCAATTTCTGACCACTTCATCCACAGAATTCCATATTTACACGACCAAACCTCCCTTAGACCTCGTCCACGTACTCAGTCCTTCCCGCAGCATGTCTTCTATAACAATGATCTGTGAGTCTGGATCTTCTACTCTCACTTTCTACAAGTGCTAACACAACATGGAGTCTAAGGCACTCCCCTCCCCATATCACCACCATCCAAACAGCATCTCTATCTCCCCTTCTCCCCACCCCCCGAAAACGCCGCCGCCCCTCCACCCTCTCTCCCACCTCGCCATCTGACCCCGTAGTCGGGCACGTCACCGCAGCAGGCAAGTTCCGCTGCTCCGATACCACCTGTGCAGACCTGTCATTCGGGCGGCAAGCAGATTTCCGGCGGCACTACGAACACGCGCACGCGGCGAAGAAGATGGAGTATTTCTGCACGGTCGATGGGTGTGCTCGGAGTCAGAGGCCGGCTGGGGGCGGGAGGAGTAAGGGGAGGAGCTTTGGGAGTCGCGAGGATAAGATGAGGGAGCATGTTAGGACTGTGCATGAGAAGGGGGTGGGGAAGAGGAGGAAGGTGGATGAAGAGGATGGGGAGAGTGAGGGGTGGGTTGAGGAGATGTAAGGGAGTAGATTCTGTGTGCTGTCTTTCTTCCTTGTCTTTTGACTGATTCGCGTTTATCCTGGTTACACTTTTGAACTTTCTCTCGTCTTCCTGCTATTGACTTCATTGCGAATTTTTGGCTTTTTTGAATTTCGCTTGGCTTCCACTTTCGTTCATGTCATACGTGACAATGTGTACATCTGTTTCTGGTATCGCTTCATATTTCTATTAGACCTGTACATTCACTTCATGCCCTTGCGTATTCCTTCACTTCGCTACAACAACTCAGAGGTAGCGGATGACCTAGTCTTTCTACATGTATCAGATGTCTTGCCACCTTCGTTGTTTAGGAGAGATATACACCTAGTCTGGAAACCACACAACATAAATCTGCACCATTCATCCCAGCTTCACGACTTTCCAAATAGCACATTAGTGAATTCGTGTTCAACCATCAATCTTTCATAGCCTAATCTATATGAAATAACATCAAGCCGCCCCAGCCCTCAACTTCTTCTCCTCCATCGCCCTCCGATCATCCCTCTGCACCGCCACCGTCTTCTCCGTATACTTCCTTTTATCCACCGACGGAATGAAAAATGCCGCCACAACCCCACACAACCCAAACGCCAGCGCAACCAGATAACTCAGATGCGCACCTTGAAGATACGCTTGCTTATTTCCCAAGCTAGCAGCGGCACGAATCGCTGGTGTGATGCCCGGCACTGCGGCGTATCCTGCAGCGGTGTTGGCGCGCGCGGCGGCAACCAGGCGCGTGATTGTTGCGGGGGGAAGGTTGAAGGGCGCGAGGTTACGGCGGACGGCAGAGGGGAGCGTGCTGGCGTATTTGTTGTTGGTGACGTTGGAGAAGATGGCGGTTGCGACGGCGCCGGCGAGGAGACGGGATGTGCCTGCGAGGCCGGCGGCGGTGCCGATGTCCTGTTGTTTATGTCAGTGTTTGTTTCCCAGCATATCATACCCGGACAGGAAGATGGATCACTTACCTCTTGGTAAACGATACCGAAGCCGACCAGCACCATGCCGTTTAGCAAATTGACTGATGTGCAGGTCGAGATTATGACAGTTAGAATGATGGATTTGACGGGATTGTCCATTGTGCTTGTTGCCATTGCGCCGACGCAGGCTGTTTGCAGAGCGACGGCGAACATGATAACCCAGCGTTGGTGACCGATGACTTTGCTGAATGCGACGATTATGCCGCCGATGATGGTGCCGAGAGGTAAGACTTCAGCATAGAGACCCTTGGAGACTTCATCGCTTGCGTAGATAAGTTGCGACAAGCGGTTCCAGAGCGTGGCGTTGCTGTAATACTGCATGCCGCCGATGGCCATGACGAGGAGAGGGACAGTGAAGTGCCGCAGAGCCCTGAATAGACGTGGTGGAAACAGTGGTGCGGTGAGAGGATAGTACGCCTCGTAGAAGCCCAGTCCAACCAAGGTCAAGAGGCCAATGATGATAGGACATAGCACAGTTGCACTGACCCAAGGTGCCATTGAACCACCCCAACTGACACCGACAATGAACAGTGTACAGCCAGCCAAAAAGAGAAAAAGACCAAGCCAGTCGAACTCGCGGACTAGTTGCATGGCGGACTTGCCGTGCTCAGCTCTCTTCTCTTTCCACGAAGGCGGGTGGTAGAAGAACCATAATACTGCGAGGTTGAGCGTCTGGAAAGCGATCATGATGTAGTAGCATATACGCCAGTTTCCAGTCTGTTTGATTATGACCCTGTCATGTCAGCATATCCATCAAGGCATCTTGAGTAATTGCACTTACCAAGAAATCAAAGGCATCATCTGCGCAATGATCGACGCTGCGTCAAACAAGCCAATAGTGACATGTCTGTACTTGCTCGGCACAATTTCCTGCACAGCACCAAAAGCCATTTCAAGAAAGCCCGAGCCCATTCCAAAAAGCGCGCCTCCAGCAATCATCTGGTTGATACTCTGGCCTGTGGCAGATACGATACTGCCGATGATGAGAATAATGGCTCCGGCAATGAAAAACCAGCGGCGCCCAAAAATGTCAGATAGGCGTCCGCCGATTGTCACGAGCATCGCTCCGCCAAGATTCCACGATATTGTAATCCATGTGAAGCGAGGGTCGGGTCCGAGGTCTGCGTTGATGAAGCCTAGAATCGCTGGTGGAATGAGGAGAGTGAAGAGATAGGCGTTGTAGCACATAGCCCTAGAAACATGATGTCAGTATACTATCGTGAACCGATTGGCAGCCAATGACTTACATGCTCACTGCAGCCATGAAGGTGTTAAACGTCATGCCCACATCCTCGCCCGTCGTCTGAAGATGTCTTACAATCTCCTCATTCGCGCTGTCTTCACCACTATATCCTCGCTGATCTCCGTGATCAGACGTGTTTGAGTTGTCAATAGCCTCGATATGCGAGGCCTCAGCCTTATCATCATGCGTGGCTGCCATGTTGCGCACACTTCGAAACTTCTGCGTAATCGAGATTTCAAAAATGCTAGGAATTGACTTCTAGAGTCGAATTGAAAGGATCTACATCCTTCTAAATACAATCCGAGCATGGAGATACAAGCGTACGGTTACCCCGGACCACATGACTGCAGACAGTGACGCTAGCTTCCGCCACCAGCCCACTTCGCGTCTGCTCGGATGAATTCCCCAGATCCAAGACTGCGGAGAAATTGTATGGTATTTGTTCTTGTGGGTCGTGTCTGCGCGAGGATAGGTCGTGATCGTCTTGTCTGGCATTGGCGTCATTGGCTCACTGAGCGGGAGCCGGAAAAGCTTAACCGCATGGCAAACATTTCTAGCAACTGTGGTAAAAGTTGTCCTTCCGCCATGGTTTCTTCTGCTGAGCGCTTGCATGCTTCCATACCTTTTCTGCGAATTCAGGCGTCTGGTAGACTGTCGATGCGATACTATGACGCACTGCAATTCCGACAGAGTCGCGAACGGGACAATCCGAAGATTAGCTTTCATCTTTTGGCCCTCAAATACGACATGTAGTACTCTTCTACTTAAGATTTTGAAGTACAAATCTGATAAAGCTGGAAAATATGAAACTGGCGAGAGTATCATGCAGAGGATACCTTGCTGAGAGACTATGTGCTGGCACACAGTCTGAGCTCATAATATTATTTAACACGGCATACATAGCCTTATAATAGGGATCGTCCAAGCGAGAATGATCGACTTGTTCTCCTTGAATAGCAAGTGTTCCCGTCTCAGCACGCGGTGCCACCTGAGCATCTTCCAAACAAGTGGTCAATATCCCAGGCATAACACTCTTGGCATCTGCTTTGCGCGAGAGACTAACTCGAGCCTAGACAAACGATATAAATTTTAGTAATTTCCGGCGCAGTAGCTATTTGCGTTGCCGTTGTAGCTGGTTGAATATTTGTGATTGATATCACGACATTGACGCCATTCTCCGTAACCGTTGTCTTCGAGACTGGAGCTGTAATTGTGCACAAGGTAGTCGATGTGGCGCCTGTAACAGTTTTGGTTACTTGTAGGAAGTCGATCTTGCAAAAAATAGAAGCAGGAGAGGTGCGCGAAAGCCTTCCACTCCTTCCGTGCATTTGAGGTCAACTACAGCCGTCACCAAAGAGCAAAGTGCAAACTAGGTGATTAAGGAGGATAAAGTTCGTTTGATGAACGAACCATGAGATGGTCTAGTACCGCAAGCGATCAATGATAGGGATATATTTCACAAGGGCGGCACTGGAAAAAATGGATGTGCAATTCTATTCTACTATCTATACTGCTTAACCACCTGCAGGTGGTAAGAAGTATCTAACTTGCGTTGAGCTGTGCCGTAAGATCTGCGATTGGTTATTAGCTACACGGTATCGCCCGCACTATTTACGCGGGTGGAAGCCATGCATGCTTGTGTTCGGTGTAAAGCCAGGATCTTGCAAGACGTTGTTGGGACGTCGAGTTGGTGACCAAGGTAGGACTTCAAACTCGGCTGGCTCGCCCATCTGCTCAACAACGAGAATGCCTCGCTTTCCGCGGTCGATCTTCCATCGCTGCTTCTTATCCTCTTCAAGTCCACTTAGCAAATCTTCTTTCCGGCCATACTGCCACCTCGAAAACGCCGAGAGGGCACTGTCCGCAATCCTAGTACTGTACTTTTGACTTGATTCTAAGCCAAACATACTGCGTACAGTATCGTACTCACAGACCATGTTCTCCAAAGTATATTCGAAACGCCAGGGCTTGTCGATAGATATTTCAACGAAATCGTCATCAGCCAGAAATGACGGGTGGGGATCGAAGTCGTAATAGCCAAAGAAAGCAGACCAGTTGACTTCCTCTTCTGTGTCGACGTTGCGGCATTCGATCAATTTATCGATGGTATTCAGGTCGTTTACAAACAGACAGGGGTGAGCGTAACTTGTCGATTGTGATTGGCTCTTTGCTATTGGTAGAAAACTCAATAACGAAAGTGAAAGGTATGGGGCCTGAGAGGTAGCATTTCTGAGGCAGTTCCAGCCTTGCGAAGACTTTCGATGGAACGGGGTCATCGTAGATGGTAAGCTTCTGTGGTACGTCTTTAGGTGATCCAAAATTGGCACTCAGGGGAGGAGTATCTTGAAGGCAATCTTGACTGCCCATATTGATCGTGCAGCTTGTCTTTGATGGAATTTAGCTGAGTCCGAGTCAATTGCTCATAATAAAGCCTGACGGTGATTTGAAAATGACTAACCAGTTCGTACAAGATCATGAGATTTCTAACGAATACTCACCACAAGGGTGGGGGTTTGTGGGAAGAGGATGGAAGCGTAGATGTGTTGTACTGGTGTGTGTTGGGTGCAAGTGCGTTTGACTTGGGCTGGACAGCAGCATCAGCATTACGGCGCAATAGATTTCCTCGGAAGCCATTTATCGGCATGATATAACATTCCTTTAGAACACAATCCTGGGGCTGAAAAACCGAGTATTATTAAACATTATCTGCCTACTACTAGAGACGTTTGAAGATCTGCAAACGTCATCATGCCACTCAGGGTATCTCAAGAAAGCAAAATGACCACACCCCAGGATCACCACCACCACTCCCTTCCAACCTTTCCTATTCCCCCCTCAATCTTGATCTCAAACAACTCTGCCGCCAAATTTAGCGACATCTCCACCCCAATACCGCCAAACCAGCTTTAATACTCTCCACCGTCTGCTCCCGTCAACTTTCCCTTCCTTGAGTAAAAGTCCACTCCCGCAGGCGTAAACAGCGTCTTGGCAAAGTACGTCACGACCCAACTATTTCCCCGTGCCCTCCTCTTCTCCATAGCCCAATATCTCCCACTTGCTACTCGCAATCATCAGCCAACCTTTGCCACGCCAGTTATACGCCATGCTTGCGGGGTCGGACTCGACACTCGTGGAGGTGTTGGGGACGGAGAAGGGCTTGTCGACGCCCTTGACAGTCTTGACAGAGGTGGAGTTGAGGGGTTGGTAGGTTACGAGGTCGTCGATTTGGGGCGGCGTGGTGGAGGGGATGGGTGTGTAGGTTATGACGACGTTGCGGTTCTTTTTCCACATGGGGAGGGTGGAGTGTGTGACGTTCCATGGACCGGAGAGCCAGGAGAGGGCGGGAGGGGGAATGGTTGGGGATGCTTCGGTGGAGGGGAGGGTGGAGGGCGCGCGGAGGGTGACCATTTTGGTTGAGGTTGGATTGATTGAAGCCTGAGGTAGAGGCGGGTGCGGATTGAAGCCTGAGGCTCGAGGGCCGTTGGATGCTGCTGTGAGGTTGTTCGTGGCAGTGAGGAAGCTGAGTGCAGGCCGAAGCAACGATGGTTTGATGGCTCGGACAGCTGCAACAACTAGATGAAGACGATATGCACACTTTTTACGAAGTCGCTTGAACCATGAAAACACTCTCGACAAGTCTGGGAAGCCTTGAACAGAGAAAAGGAAGGCGCGTCCCGTCGCGTCTCATGCCCGCCGATAAATGCAGGGCTGGCAGCACGCGAAAGATCGCCCGGGATCGTCACACCCGCACTTGCCACTCCAAAAACAGCATCGCTTGGACATCACCACCACACATGCCACATGGCCAACTACCTCTCCATACGTTCGCACTCAAGGCAAACTCGAGACCCCGAAGTGAACGGTCTCTTTATAAGCCGATCACTGGGCAAGGGCTCAGCAAGACACCCGCTGTGTTTCGCAAATGTGTCGGCACCCTCGGCTTCGCAGCTGACGACGCGCTCTGAAACTCGTCGCCAGGCAGTGCACAGCCCGAAGCCACGCAAAAGCTCCACTCTTTCGTCGTGAGAGGATAGGATGGCCACGTCGATTACGACTTGTGGCCACCGCCGAGATGTTTCTATGGGTGTATTATTGTCTTGGGTCATGGTTACGGGGGCTGACACGACGCAATCTAGGTGGTATATTGCTGCGCTGATGCCCTGAGGACTTGGTGGTTATTTTCGCACGTTGTGAAGTTTGGCATTTACTTTGACGTTTGATCTTTTTCGATATTTCATTGTCCAGACAATCGCTTCAAGTTCTTTATTCTTACTCTCTCATAATCACGATTCACGACTTTCGACTTGCATAAAGTTATCACTGCTCGCCTGCATTAAACCTCCCTTGATTATTCATTCCACACCGACATACACACATCAGCATGTTTCTTCGAAGCCTGGTACAGGCATCGGCCATCCTGTCGTTCCTCTCCACACCCACCACCGCCCAAAATGCATGCAACAACTCCCCATCTCTATGCTCAAGAGCATACAACAATATCACCTACCTGGGCGCTCACGACTCGCCCTTCCTCCGGAACCAAGACACATCTTTCTCTACCTCGGGCAACCACTACTACAACACGACGCAGCAGCTCAACTCGGGCGTCCGCATGCTAAGCGCCCAAGTCCACAAAACCAACGACACCGGTACCGAAGCCTGGCACCTGTGCCACTCCAGCTGCAGCCTCCTTGACGCCGGCACGCTGTCCACCTGGCTCACCGAGATAAAAACCTGGATGGACGCCAACACAAACGACGTCGTCACCATCCTACTCGTCAACTCGGACAACGCGCCCCCCTCCGACCTCGCAGAACACTTCACCTCCTCGGGCATCGACAAACTCGCCTACACGCCCCCCTCCATCACCAGCGCCCCACAGACCTGGCCGACCCTCGACAACCTCATCAGCAACGGCACGCGGCTCATGACATTCATCGCCACCCTCCCGCAACCCTCCCCTCAATTCCCCTACCTAATGGACGAATTCACCTTCATGTTCGAAAACGACTTTGAAAACGTCTCGCCCACAAACTACTCGTGTAACCCTTCGCGCCCCACGAATCTGCGGAATCAGCCCGCCGCCGCCCTCGAGAGCCGCCGCATGTTCCTAATGAACCACTTCTTGTACGACCAGCAGACGTTTGGCATTCAGATTACAAACGCCACGTATGCGAATGTCACGAATGCGCAGACGGGACTGGGTAGTATGGGCACGCAGATCAAGAACTGTACGGGGGTTTATGGCAAGCCGCCGACGTTTGTCATGGCGGATTTCACGAATATGGGGCCTGCGATTGATAGTGTGGATGCGGCGAATGGCGTCGCGAGTCCCGTGGGGAGGCAAGGGTTGCCGGCGGTCGCGCTGACGCAGGAGAGTAGTGGTGTGGATAGACAGAGCGGAAATTTGTTTGCGGTGGTTGTCGCGCTGGTTGTGGCTGTTGGGTTTGCATCGTAAGCGGTTCTGGTATTAGAATTTTTTTGCATGGCGATGGTGTTTAGATCATACTTTTGGGCATTTTTGGGGGGGAAAGGCTGGCTCCGATTACGAGTCTACGATTGGGAGGAATAGCATGTGCATTTTTTTGTTAGCGCGGCAGCTCGTTACTGTCACTAGATAGTCATATCCAATAAAGGACTTGCTCATACAATTATCTATGGCTATAATCAGCGACTTCCGGTGTGCTCACATGTGATTATTGCACAGGGGTCAAGGCGAAGCTTATTTGATTGTGCTGCCATGGAATTTCGAGTATTGCAGGCCATGTTGATGTCCCAGCTTGTCTGCCAGGAGGCTGTCCCCGATGCAATCCTTGAAGCTTGCACCATGATCAACCCATCATCCGAGTGCGTAGTCCACTATCTATGTCATCCACTCTAATCTAGCAAACTCATGTTCGCTTTAGCCGGAGCCTTTCCTTTCTTGTTTGACGAGGCGGCCTTTGCCCACGAATGCGGCGCGTGGCTAGGATTAGGCGCCGTTCCTAGATCCAGGTCGAGATCGATGAGCAGATTGGCATTTCCTGATATGGCCTTCTTCTCCGGAGAAATTTCGATGAGTTTTCTCGGGTTCGAAGATGGACCGGCAGTAGGCGGGGTGTTACGGATAAGTTCCAGGTTCTGAGCCTCGTCCTTCCTCTTCTGCATGTAACGAGCATCATCGGCAGCAACGCCTCCGTTGACATATGTTGACCACTTCTCATTCGAACCACCCGGAGCCGCTGGAGTTCTCGAGGCTGGCATCGGATTTACTGGCATCTGGTATGTAGTGTTGGTAACGAGGTTGTTCGTCGCTGAAGGCAATTGTTGTCCATTCGGAACTGCCTTTAGCATCGCCTTCGTGCCGTTGCCACGACGCTCGCAGACCTGACACCTACAAGCATCGCTACAGACAGCAACACAAGTGTGCCCACAGCTAAGATGACGGTTACATGGCATCATACAGTTGATCTGATCGTGACCGAACGGGTGGCAGCGGTATGGACACTTGTGTTGGCATGGAAGAGTTCCGCCACACTTTCGGTCGCAACCACCATGAATCTCATCCCAATCGGCTGGGTCTTCAATCCAGATCTTACGGTTATGTGCTGTACATTGGAGTGGGAGATTGTACCCGACACGGCGCTTCTGACCACTCTTGACCTGAGTGTAATGTTAGCCAAGCCACATCTTTCTATATCCGAACGTGCTGGTTTACCTGGACTTTTGAGTCTTTGTACATGATATCGACGACGCGTGCCCATACACGGCTTTCACATGCAAGTAGCTCAGCATTGCCGAAGATATAGAAGCCACGCTTGGCTCTCGACAGAGCAACACAAGCTCGATTGTCAGAGGAAAGGAACCCGATCTTATGGTGGTGGTTGCTACGCACGAGACTGAGAATGACAATGTCATTCTCTTCGCCCTGATAACCATCGACAGTCACGACCTTGATACCAGCGAAAGCCTGAGAGTTCTGGTGATTACGGCATTCGCGAAGTAGGCGTTTCCTTTGCCCATTGTAAAAGGTAAGCAGCGTAATCTTTGGAGCTTCTACCCCATTGAGAACAAGGTAGTCGACGAAGCCCGTGATCATCTTTGCCTCTTGCTCGTTGAGAGTGGACTGATTGCCATCGCGCGATTCCGGCCACTCATGGCAGAAATAGAATGAGTTGGTGCCACCCATGCCTTCGACAGGAGGTCGGTTGGCCAGATCCTCAACGCTCGCATGGTCCTTCAAAGTGTTTTCATAAATGGGAGCCAAGAGCCGTCGGATCTCAGGAATCATTCGTCGCTGACGAGTAAGTGTGCTGTACGTGACTTCGTTGCGGACGAGACGCTCGAAAAGACTCAGGTTCAGGTAGTAGGGCTCGTCCTCGAACGCCTTAACCTGGGTGTGCGGTCGCAGTTGCTGATGGTCACCCACAAGGATAAGGTGTTCGAGTGTGGGCAAGCAAGCTGCAGTGACTGGGGCCTCCATGGTCTCTGCTGCCTCTTCAACCAGAATAATGCGGGGACGTAGAGCAGATATCAAAGCACGGTATTTGGACAGTCCGGTCGTCGTGCACCCAATGATTCGCTGTTCACTCAGGAGTCGAACGTCTTCTTCCCATGCGCCGATTTTGCGTTGCTCAATCTGCTCGTTGTACACCTTGGCTAGCTTCCGTACCTCTGTGAGTAGGAACGCTTTGACCTCGCGCTTGAAGAAATTGTAGATGGCGCCTCGATCCATAGCAGGAATAGTCGTGAGATCGTCGGTCGTTTGGAGTAGCTTGCGAATCCCATCCACAGTCAATTTGGAGTCTCCTTTACCCCTGTAGTTGTCGCTGAGCAGGATGTAGGGACCACGAAGTGCCTCGATGTCATCATCGTCTTGAGCAACAGCTTCAGCCTCCATCTCCAAGATTTGCTCGACTTCGAAGTCCTCTTCTTCGTAACCCCAACTATAGTCATCAGGTTGACTTGGCCGTTCGCACGGAGCAAGGCATCTTCCCAGCCATTGCTCCATCAGAATTCCTGGGTTGTCTACTGGCGATATGCCCATGGTGCTTTGCGAGTCGATCTCAAGTGACTTGGCCTGTTCCGGGGTAAACAAACCAAGTCGCAATAAGACGCGGTGGTCAAGCGGAGCTTTGTTGGCTTCCAGGGGCGTCAAGAGCATCTGAATCTCGTTTGCGAGTTTGCGGAGCGCACTAGTTGCCTGGTTCTTTTGGCTGCCAGGCTGTTTCTGCGGTGGTACACTGCGTCGCACCTCGAACAGTGTCCGCTTTTTGATATCTGTGTCTTTGCTTCGTCCTCCGAGACGTATAAAGTTGGGCTCAAACTCCTTGGTGTGCCGAAGGATCTGGTCAACGGCGTGATTTGTTTGAGCGGTGATGATGATAGGTGAATCGTCTCGCCGTAGATTGTCGCGGAGCACTTTAAGCATTACAACGCTGACATGGGTCTTTCCAGTTCCAGGCGGTCCTTGGACGATTGCAAGCTTCTTTGTGAGCATGTGGTTAAGAGCCTTGCTCTGAGATTTATCTAACGACAATAGCGAGGGTGCCGGCCATTCGTCGAGGACATTGATGTTCTCGAAAGCTGCGCTCTCCTCCATGCTGACTAAAGAGCTAAGGTTGACGAAGGGGTTGTGTTTGACGTAGGCTGGAGGCCCGACATCCTTGTTGACCTCGACCAAATGCTCCGATAAGGGAAATGGCTCGCGCATCATGTGCTGCAAGGCCATCAGCGTGTGCCTGCTAGCCTCGAAGAAGCTGGAACGACACTCGACCATCATCCACTTCTTCATTGGATCAATCTCTTGTTCCTCAGGCCTTGCGAAGAACAAATCGATCTCAGGTGGATTCTGACCAAGAGCAGACAGTGGACGCGCCGCGACAGTAGCGAGGATGCAAATAGTCTTGAATGCATCATCAACTGGTGACAGAGCAATAAGACTGCCCGGTGATCAGTCTCTTGCTCTGCTCCCATCGGATGAATTTCTTCACCCGCGAGAGTGAAAAAGCGACACGAGTAGCAAATCCGCCGCGCAGAGGGAGAACTACACCTGTAATATAGACAGGCTCGTATATGCCGATGCTTTTACTCTCGTACTCCGATTCGTCCTTGTATGGCGATTGGCGTACCTCTTCGACAGCCTCGCGCAGCGGCCGGTTGGAGTCTTCGCTGAGGAGTTCGTATGTGGTGCCTAGATATTCCTCGATACTGCCATAGGCTCCTTCAGCTCTGTGCGGACGTATACCTCCACCGACGTCGATCAGAGGCTGCAGGTCGGTGCTGAGGAAACCAGGCTTACGGGGTGGCAGTATCTCGGATGAGCTTGGCACCTCAGGTCTGTCGACCCATGGCCCAGCAATGACTGGCTTACGCGCCAGTTTCATATACTCGCGGATGTCGTTGTTGATGCGAGCAGGTGCTGAGGTTGGTATGTTGTCGTCCGGGACCGCAGTGCTTTCGCGAATGGAGGCGCGCCCGAAGCGCTCGGTGAGATGCGCATTAACTTCGCCATCTGTAGTTCTGTGAGCAAAGCGCATTTTGAGCCGCCGTCGGAATGTGATAGATGAGAGCAGAAGCGAGTCGAATGTGCGATCCGAGTGTGATTTGGGAGATGTCTCATATGACACGGCGTTGTCTAAGACGGCTTGCTAGGGAAACACACTTACCATATTGCTCTGCGTCAGCTATGCCCGCATACATGTTATTTGGGTTTGCCTGCGCAAAAGTCCTCACTCTGCCAGCTGAACTGCGAGCTCCCTGCTGTGAGGGCCCGTTCTGCCGCCAGTGCTTTTTGGCCATTTTGATCGGGTCTGTCTCGTGCTTGGCGACCGCATGAGCTCTAGCGCCAGCTATTACTGTTACTGGCTAGGGATTGAAAAGAATGAATGCAGTCTTGCCGGTAAATAATTTTGAGTTGATGCTGAAGTGGAGCGACGGTGTTTGGGAGCTGCATGGAAGGCGCGATCAAACAAACAAACGGAACTAGCGCGAGACCTACAGAGGTGAAGACAAACGGCGGAATCTCGAGATTGGCAAGCAGCAAACAGATGTGGACTTGGCAAATACCGAATGTCGAGGTACAGAAATCATGCATGGCTTCAAAACATGATTGCCATGAGTGCTCTTGGGTGAACCATTGATGAGTCCACTGGCCATGTACCAGTCCCATGTGCATCTCTTGAGAAGGAAAGCTAAGCAAAATACTATGACTTGTAGCACAGAGTGATAGATGGAGAGAACATAACATGACGAGGACAGTGAAGGAGCAGTTTTGACAACGGAATCTGAAAAGCACGCCATCTCTGGCAAGTAGAGTTGTATGCAAGTAATTCGCAGTATGTCGGGGTCTAACGCTAACAGGGCCAGACAAATGATTCCTTTCAGAAAAGACTAGACTTTCAGGACGAAATGTGACCGTGGATAGGAATCACTTGACCAGCGTGATCGCTCGAAGGCGGGTATGAATATTTCACTTCTCGCTCTACACGTGATTTCTACTAAGAAGACTGCAATGACGAAGTAATGCGAGCAGGACATGCTACATTTGATGTGGTCGATGGGGAAAAGTGAATGTTGGAGCGTTAGCGGTAGTCGCCAGCCGCGTCGCCAGCCGCGTCGGGTTCGTGGATGACGCGCTTTGGCCTCCAACGCGACTATGCGCACAGCGACTTGATCATCCAGCACCCCACAACTTGCGCATGCGCTAGACGCATGGAAGCAACATGAACGAGGAAGATGACTTTGAAAATGGCAACAGTGTGTGCTAGTCCAAACAATTGACAAGGACAGTCAGGCTAATGTTTGTACAGGCTCCGCCGAGGAGGAGGATGAGCAGGAGCAGGAGCAGGAGCAGGAGCAGGAGGAGGGCGACGCCATGGATGTAGACGAGGAGGAGGAAGGCGACGAGGCAGACGAGGGAGACAATGACGATGAAGACGGCGACGGCGACGGTGACGGCGATAACGACGACGAAGACCAGGATCAGGACGAGCCAGACAGCCCTTCGCAACGACGTCGCGGCAGTCTCCCCAACGGCGGCACACCAGGCCCCTCAGGCGCGAACCCAGCCGTGACGCTCACATCGCCGAGTCCACGCGCCGCCGCTGCAGCAGGCATACTGGGCAACCTGCCCTTCCGACCGAGCGTGCGACAAGAGGCTCTGAATGCGCCCGTCTACGACATCATCCCCTCGATAGCAGCACCGCACAGCACCTCGATCAATGCCATTACTGCGACGCCCGACATGCGCTGGGTCTTCACGGGAGGCGCCGACGGCTACATACGCAAGTTCAATTGGGTGGACACGGCCAACGGCAAGCTCGCCCTCACAGTCGCCCAAAGACACCCTTTCGTCGACTCGGTCACCAAGGCGGGCGTGCTTCTCTCGTACTGGGAGAACGAGGATTCGTCACTTGCCTCAGACAACCTGTCGCCCGTGTACTCGCTCGCAGTCCACCACCAGTCGCTGTGGCTGCTGTCGGGCGTCCAGTCGGGCGGCATCAATCTGCAATCCGTACGGCATGAGGAGGGCAAGCGGATACACACGCTCAAGGGCCACACTTCGGCCGTCTCGGTCCTGACATTGGCACAAGACGAACAGTCGGTGCTGAGTGGGAGCTGGGACAAGACAATCAACGACTGGGACCTCAACACCGGCCAGGTCAAGAGGAAATTCGAGACGAGCGGCGGACAGATCTCTGCCATCGAGCAACGACCCCTGTCGACGCTGCCCATTCCTCAGGACACCGAGACGTTGCCCAATGCCAACGGCACCTTTACATCCAACAACGCTGTGCGACCGAGAGCCAACGGAAGCCTTGCCAATGGCACAGATTCGGCACGCGCTGGCCCAGTCAAGGACGAGGGCAACGAAGATGCTCAAGGCTCACCGGACGACTCGCTCTTCGGGGATAAAGACTCTCTCTTCGGAGACGGCCAGGAGAACAACCCGTCTTCCGCCCTTCCTGCATTCGGCGACGATGACGACGAGTTCTCACGAGCTATCGCGAGCGGCATACAACAGGCGGATGAGGATGGCCAGGGCGATATGGACATGATGGACATGGGCGGGCCTGTGCAAGCGCCGCAAGACCTGGCAGAAGAGACCCTAAAGGAGCCCCCAGCGCCTGCGCAGGGAGATGCTGCAGCGAACGGCACAACCGACTCACAGTCCACGGCTACTGCAAACGGTTTACCGCATGCAGAAGATGTAGAGAAGCCGAGAAACACGTCTATCGGACAAGCAGAGCAACCTATTTCATCAGAGACGACCTTCTTTGACGCCTCGATGGACGGTACACTGCGCATCTGGGACCGACGGCAATCAAACCCGATCGCCCGAATATCACCGCCACGGAATACACCGCCGTGGTGCATGAACGCATGCTGGTCTCCAGACGGCAATTTCATATACGCAGGTCGGCGAAACGGTTCAGTCGACGAGTACAGTTTACACAAAGGCTTGAGGGAACCTAGGCGGACCTTGAGGTTCCCCAACGTGAGTGGGCCCGTCAGCGCCGTCCGAGCAATGCCAAATGGCAAGCATCTGATCTGGTAAGTCTCCAAACCACCTCTCCAGATAAGCACTGACACCCTAAAGCGCATCTTACGACATCTTGCGTCTCTACGATCTCAGCCAACAGGAGAAGGAGGAAGCCGGTGCAAAGGGTGCAGCAGTACCCTTCTTGATTGTGCCGGGCCATAGAACAGGTGTTATTTCGCAACTCTACCTGGATCCGACATGCAGCTTCATGATCTCGACGGGCGGGAATAGAGGTTGGGAGGGAGCTACGACCGAAGTAATGCTTGGATATGAGATTGGCATTGGGCAATGAGGTGCCTTACTATACCCTGGGTTCTGGCGTTCGACGTTTATTATTGCAGAGAAATCAAGCATGTTGTACATTGCTCCAGCTTGCCACCAGTCGTTCCTTAAAAAATCCTATTACTCTACCAGGCTCGCCTCTGAAGCAATTCTCGCTGCTCATAGATATAAGAACTGTGCCGAGTAGCGGGTAGCTTGCGTCTCTAGGTATTTAGGGTCGCTGCGCTATGATTGGAGGATGCACAACGCGTCGCGCCAGTGACGTAGTCGCGTCTTGCATCCCAGCTTCACATCTCCCGACACTTCACTCCATCAGCAACGTTACAATGCCCCGCCTAGACGAAAACACACAAGAGTACCTCCAAGATGCCGAGCGTGGTGTCCGCCGCCACACATCTTGGGCGTGGGACAGCTTCAGCAACTTTGCGCTCCGCGACAACGTGCTCGAAGTCGCCGTTGGTTTGATGTGAATACACCAACCCCTTCGAAGTCATACCTAATCATGATACAGTCTCGCAGCAGCATTTACCTCATGCGCCAACTCTCTCGTTTCAGACATTATATTACCAATAATCAGCCTGTTACCCTTCCTAAGCCGCAATCTCGACGAGAAATTCGCGATTCTCAAGCATGGCCCGCACTACAACGGCACCATTACCAACGGCTACAACACCGTCAAGCAAGCGCTCGATGACGGCGCTGTGGTGTTTGCATACGGCAGCTTTCTAGATAAAGTTGTGCGGTTCGTGTGCATTGCGCTGACCCTGTGGATTATCGCGATTGCGTATTCGAGGGGCTCGGGGGATAACATTGTGAAGAAGCAAGTCAAGGTAAGTCGTGGCAGCCTGTAGAGAGGATGACACTAACCCGAAAAGTGCAAATATTGCCGCAAGTACAAAAGCGAAAAGGCGAAGCGATGCGTCAACTGCACGTCCTGGCAGGACGGGAGGGAGGACAGGACCCAGTAGACAGACCTGCCCAATACCTTGCGACCTACATCTCTCACACACATCTCTTTATACATGACGCACCCACAAACCTTCTTTCTCCGCGTCCAAGTAATCCGGGCGGTCTTATGGCGCGAAACCAAGCAGTCGTCGTAACACCGAGCAGTGCTCATAAGCAGATCGAGATCTTATATCCCCCATCTCTCAATATAAGACGATCACCTCATCCCAGTAATTCCCAAGCATACGGACACTCGAGCAAGTTTAACCGTGGAGATGCAGGGGGATATGTCATTGTACATGCGATTGCTCCGCAGAACGACCGAAGGCTTGCGAACAGCTTCAGGGCTTCGTTGGCATTATACACGGATCCTGGTCGAGCGTCGGGGGACGTGGCTTGGAGTGTGTATATGTGCTTTATCGGTTTTGAGGAGATTACAAGGGGAGATGTTGAGGGTGTGGAGGAGAGGTGCAGTGTGGGTGGTCGCGGACCGTGAAAGGCAATTCATTCGTTGCTGTGCTTCTATTGATGGTCTCGACTTCCAACCATACAAGGTGGTATGTCATACTACATGTATGTCCATGCGATGGAAACTGATCGTGCGGTAGCTCTCTATGAACACGCAACATATCGTCAACTACGACGAGGCGCAACCGTGGCGCAACAAGGTGGCAGCCTGTGTGATAGCCTGAAGCTGACCACAGAGCATTACCGTGGTATTCAAAGTCTAGCAACACTGTGTATAGCTTCAGACAATCGCTCCTTGAGCAAGACCCTGTCTGATCTTCTTCGCAGTTCAGCGTTTGCAGTATGGCTCCATGCTATGGATCGCATACGTACTCCTGTGGGCAGTCAGCCCACTCACTGCTTAGGCATTTCCCGATGGACTTGAATCGACAGCCTCTTATCGCAAAGCCGAACTTCGATCGCCTGAAGCTGTGCTAGGTCACACTTCTCCGTGCTAAGCATGTGATTTTGTCAAATCCTCAGAAACACGCTGTGGTCAGCTGGCGCGACTTGCGAAGATGGGCGTCATCTCGCGTCGAAGAAGCACTTGGAATTCCTTCTGATACCGTATATGCACTCGATCGAGATACATTGTGCCGATATCTAACAGTCCACCCCCAGTCAAGCAGGCAAGTGCCGCATCGGCTTTAACAACCAGTGGGGTGACAACGGTGCTGTAGATGCCTGTCAACTTGCGCCGTCGATCGAACGTTGAAAGGGTCTGCCTGCAATTGGATGTTTCGGAATATGGTTTGGATGCCTTGTCTTACGGTGTCGTTGATGATCAGGACAAGAGATTGGTATGTCATTGTACATCTTTCGTCTGCAAGAGGCCGAAGAGACAGCGCATCAGTCTCGACCTCATGCTGCAAGACAATCACACAGTCTTGGGCATTGCTGCATCGTGGGCGAGAAGTTTTTCTTTCTCGGTACTTCAGGAAGGCCAGGAGTTACTTCCGTCTTACGGTACATACATGCACCTTTCGGTCGCACTTGGAGGCGAGCGTGCGGTGTAGACTTCGCGAGTGTAGTCGAGGAGGTATCTCCACAGGTATCGGTGTGCAAAATGAGGCTGTAGGAACATAGTCGCGCGCAAGTGGGTAGACTATGCTATTGGGCAAGTGTTTCGACACAAAATCTACGGGGAAATGCTGCCGCTCCAATGACGGGGGAACGAGTGGACTCGGTGGAGAGGCTCTGCGCTTGAGCTCGGCAGGTATGTCATTGTACATGTTCGAGCAGCCGAAAGGTGCCGTAGTTGCTCGGAGCCAGCTGAACCCAGCGTCATGTCCGTCTTCAACATTGTCGAATATCAGGCTGGGCAGAGAAATCCCATTGGCCGTGGATTTCGCAAAAATTCTCAGGGCCAACTTTGTAAGCGAATGCACGACCTCTGACCGCTTTCCCAACGCCCATCTTACGCCATCCTCGCAGCCGGGCGAAAATCCACATTGATTGCATTCGCCCTGCGTCTGCGCCTGCACCATCTATCCTCGGTGTCTGTGGACCAGCACAGCACCTGCGTCCGCGGAAACATCTGGAAAAGACACCCAGCCAAGACACAATTCGACTACGCTCAACGCCCTCGTCGATCTCGACAGACTTTCTCGCTGATGCAGTCGGCCCTTCTTTCTCCCCCGCCCCTCGTTACGAGGGTCCCACATCTGGCCATCACCCCTCACTGTCGTGAAACTCGCCATCGACGAGACTCAGAACTCAGTTGGAAGGGGAAGGGTCCAGCGGGACGATCCTGCACGACAGCTTACGCGGCGGGAATGAAACTGAGGTTCCATACATCACAGTGAATTGAACGCATTGTACCATATCATAGTGATCAGAAGAGAGAAAGAATTCATGCCCGACATGCAAGGGACACCGCAACTTTCCTCCGCCATGAAGATGAATTGCTGGAATGAGGCGAGTTGAGTGGAACATCATGCAGCGAGCTGGATCCGGAGGCACGGTGGAAAGATTTACGATATGGCGGTAAACGCGGCGGTATTGCGGGTGTGGAGGGGTAAGTTAAGTCGGATGTTTGCATGTGTGGTGAGGTCACGACGCGCGACTAGGGCGGGGCTACGGACTTGTGTGGGGGTAGCGGCGCATGGGTTTGCGAAGTTGGCTCGTGATGGCTGGATATTGGGGAAGTGTGAAAGTGCTGAACATGAAGAAGAGTGAAGAGTGAAGAGTGAAGTGATGTTTGGTACCAATATGCTTCTCTGCTTTGTGTGTGTGTGTATCTTCCTAAATGCTGCCGCGGCGCATGACAATAGATATTAGACGCCATGTGTAAATGCTGAACAAGGAACGCCGCCCATTGCAAATGCCCAAACGAACTGAGAAAAGAACAAAACTCCGTGTGTGATGCAACGTGAAAACAGAAAACCGCCCGATGCTGTGAAAATGCAAGACTGTAAAGACAAAACGCCAGTGACTCCGCCCGATGCAATTTGTTCCACTCTCTTTAGAGCCTCGCTCGCTCAGTCATGTCCCCCCTCATCCGCGATTGCGACCGCGTCGACGACCTCCGGCGCTCTGCGCCATCCTTGGCCTTCCTTGTCCTCGATCTCCTCAACACAGGAAGCTCGTCTTCCTCCGACTCGTCGACAGTGAAGAGATCCGGGCTCGGAGCTCTCCATGAATGACGATGACCAGACAGTGTGCGCAAGTTCCGGCGTCTGTTCTGGAGCTTGCGGGTGACGAGCTCTGGTGCGCGACCGCGTGTTGACTCTGTGGTTGTGCCTCTTGGTGGTGTGGTGTGCCTTACTGGGGAGGGTCTTTCATTGAGGCGAGCGTCGTCGAGGCCCATGAAGGATTCTTCTTCGTCCTCGTCCTCTTCTTCTTCGACGATGGTTGTGGTATGGTGCTGCTTGTGCAGTCCAGTGTGGCTTTGCTTGATGTAGCGAGTCCACTTGTCTGCTACGTTGAACTTGAACTTTGAGGCCTTGCTTGCTCGAGGTCCATCGGCGACCATGATGCCCGCGCTCAGGGACATGTCGTATGGGTCTTCGTCATCGATAGGAGTGATGAAGTGGGCAAAGGGGTCTTCGTCAATATCTGGTAGGTTGTTTTCATAGTCCTCCTCGATACCTTCAAGAGTGGGTGGGTATGAGTAGGACCTGTATGGGTTGCGTAGGTAAGACGGCATTGTTGCGATAAGATCTTTGATGGCTCGAACTTGGGAATGATGGCGGATTGGCAGCGATGCTTTTTGACTTGATTCAGTCTTTACGATGGTAACGCTAGTAGTGACTGGTCTTTTCCTTCCCGGCGCTTGGCCGGTTAATCCAAATAAGCACAGCGTGAGACTGCTGGCTATTGCTAGGAGTCGTGTGGTGGTAGTGATGGGAAGCTCCAGTAACTGAGCCAGCGAAAAGTCTGGCGGGGGGATAACTTTTATACGTGACAGGTGCTTGGGATGCACCAGAGAGCCGCGTGCTATGATTCAGAGAAGCGGTGTCTCATAGAGGAGTGGTGCCTGAACGGGTGACTGCCTAGTTGGGAGGACTGGCAGAGGCAACGAAGTGATGAACTATGAAAAAGAAATCCAGTGTTCCAATATCCTCCACGAGGTTTCCGGATGCGATACATGATTATGGGGGTTCATGCAGGACTTATATGCACCATGAGAGCAGATGGGAAGACGCGGTGCTCATGCACACCCCGGGCCCTTGTCGGTGCAGGGCACACACATTAGCGGATCAGCACGGAAAGCTTAGTCCAGTATGGGCAGAAGGAGTATGAATTCCAAGGCGCAGAGGAATGAATGACTGGCCATGTGGGTGTGGAATACCCAGATGATCCAATCGCACCCTAGTCGCACCACACCCTCTTTCTGCCGGTCATCTGCAGCCATTTTAGCTTAGGTTAGGCTGCACGAGGCTTGCCACCAGACCCGCAACACGGAAGTTAGGACGGCCGTTAATGCAGGTTATTGTCGATCGATGCAGTTCTAAGGGCACGATCGGGCTTGTACTGGAGAACGGCAGCACAATGGCCCGGGTTGTAGATGTGTAGTGACCTGACGAAGTACCCATGGCGAGGTGGTGGGGAGAAAATTACATGAGCATCGCCAAGCGCGCGACCCTAGGAAATGGCTGCATCACGACACCAACCTTCTTCTACAACCTTTGTGTGTGCCCAGCCTCACCCTCGTTTAAGTGTCCATATATCTGCATCTGCTGCCACACCGCTCGCTTGTGCCCTTGCAGGCGGCTGACTTATTCAAAGCTCCCTTGGATATGCCACTTTCGGCCTGCGCGTCCTGCAGGGATGGTGACGAGGCGTGCTTGCGTGAACATTCGTTTGGTACATGCTTTTGACGGCTGACCATACCATTTAGACACAATAGCTCATTTCGAGTATCTTCGAACGATCATGGACTACATCCGCCGTGGATGCTAGTTTCACATGACGGCCACGGGTTCTTGCCCACCCAACACCACCACGGGACTGCCAAATATTGTGTTTACAAACTCATTACAAGCACTTCCTTACAATGGCAGGCGTGCGCGAAGGAGGCGCCATGGTAGAATGCCATCTGATCCATTAGAAAGCTCACTCGCCAATCTTCAGCTAGCGCCCGCTGCCCGGCGCTCGTAGCAATACTTGTTTCCGGCCGCTTGAAGCGTCGGGGTGGCCTGCTACTGACCACCAATTCAAAAATAACGGACCCACCCAGCTTGTCAAATACGCCGCGCAGGACTTTTTGAGCGCATCCAGGCTGAAATCAAGTCGTAACTGACATCAGCCCCAAACTCCACTGCTCGCGCTTACGAAAGCTGTTCTTTTGAATTTGCTGTATTGGGCACTCGAGGCTGGTATCATCTAAAACCGCGCCTCTACTGTGTGCGGCTCTCACTATCTGACTAAGAACCTTGTGACAGCTCGTGTCACAAGGACCCTGATGGCCAAAGTTTCGGTCCAGCCCGGTGTCACTTTCAGATTGTGTGGCTTGAACTTTCTCGTCCTGCAGGCGTAATGGAGTGCTCCAGGTTTACTTGTCCGGTAAGCTTGACCGAATACCTGTCGCCTACTCTTGACTTCACATCGCGGGTGTATGAAGATGCATCTCGTTTGCGACGAGTTTCATGCGAACTTCGAGATCCTGCAGAATGTTCGAGACGATTTCAATGTCGCACGACTTGTACGAGGGACTGTACGGTCTGGACCATCAGGTACCTCCCTTGTTCTACTTCTTTCGCCTTCCATGACAGTTACACATAACGCTGTCACATGTTACATCACCAGCAAGCAGTCTTTCGATACAACTTCAGGTATATAGTATCCTGAGCGCTTACAAAACTCAAAAGTTACGCCAGGTACCGTTGAGAATTAGCTACTACTATCGGCACATCAACAGCCCGACAGAATCAAACGAGCGTTACACGACTCTTCGCCATTCTCAAATTCTAAGGCGTTCACCGCTGTACACCGCTTGTCGGAGGGGCGCTAAACTGCCGAAGCATACCAATTCGCCGAGTTTGTTGACTAGTCTACCATTTAGCAGCAAGGATCACCCTAATACATCTACGCTGTTACCCAACGCGTCGGCATCTTCAATTGGGCATTCGTTGCCGACCTCATTTTCCAGCAATGAGGATCTCTCCGGATCCACTTCGGTGTACACGCGGACCTCGACAAAAATCCTTCGCGGCGTCCATAACCTCAAACATCTCAAGATCGTCACCTCCGATCACGATCTTCGCCTCCGCATCCAACGGTCAGTTCTTCGGATCCTGAGGCGCTCACCGCCAACCAGCGTTCAACCCTCACTAATCTCATGGACGCGCCCGAGGTGGCGCCTGTCACCGACATGCCACAGTCTGTCAAACTCCACCTTGCTGAACTATATCTATAGGCCTTAGCCTGGCCTAAACACTTATCCATGTCTGTGGGGTGCATCTGGGCACGGTACACGATCTGCAGATCGGAGATTTACCGCTATGATGACGTCGATCGTTGATTTAGTTTGCTTTGAATCTTAATTTGTCACTTGGGATTCTGGGTCGTGCCCCGTGACCGTTTTGAGACGGCGACTTGTACATGTCACGGCGAGATGAGGATTTCACGGCTGTCTGGGTATACGAGCTCAAGTGACAGGCCGAGGCTGCGCGTGAATTTGAGAAGTGCTTGCTATGACGCACACTTTGTCTGCGTGGTGTGCGAGTTTCGAGGCGACGGAATTGGGCGGGGAGAAACCGGTGGTGTATCTCGCCAGCGCGTACTGAGGCACAATCTGTTTGACAATACCAATAATATTAAGCTCAGAGTCTCCAATTTGGATACGTTAAGAGAAGCTAATGAAGCGTTGATACCGCATACCAGACCAAAGAAGTACACTGAGGCGACGCATGCTCTCTGAATCTGCGACATCGGCACTAGTTGTCACGACCATAGTCCATATCCTGATCCTGATCCTGATCCTGATCCATCCCCGCCTGCTCATCCTGTGGCATGTTCAAGCTCGCCCAATCCAAGTCGAACTCATTGAAAGACCCCGAGTCTGCCCACAGATTCTGCATGCTTGCAAAGGGCGCATTCTGGTCGAAAGGCGTGAAGAACGGGTTGCCGAAGGGCATCTGGGCTGGGCCGGATTGCATCGCCGAAAACTGGTTATCGCCGTGCCCAAAGCCGTAGGAGTGTTGCTGTTCCTGGTTTTGCTGTTGTTGATGTTGGAGGAAGTCTGCGCCCATGCCCTGGTCGTTGGGAGGTGGCATAGACCCATAAAGCTGCGATGAATCGTCGTTCTGCATTGTCGAGTATTCCTCAGTCCTCTGGTACGTGGTATCCTGCCAAGTCATGGTCGGTCCATCGTTGTACGCAAGCAGATCCTTTGCCATAGTTTGCAGACTCGGGGCCACTTGTCTGAGGATTTTCCGAAGCACTTTATCCGCTTTTTGAGAGACGGGATCATTGTCCTTCATGGCGTGCAGCCACCGCATCATCTTCTTGATTGATGCGATTTTACGCGGGTTGGTGCTTCCAATGTCCTTGTGCTGGAAAGTCACGTCTAGCAAAAGCACGGCTATGCACTGCATAACTGGACTGTGTGTGAGCTTTGGAGATAATGTCCTGCGTGGGAAACTTACTGATATGATTTACTGACCACCACGGTCCTTGACTATAGATGAAGTCTAAGTCCGGCTCGTCGGGGAACAGCTTCGCCATCTCCATCGCAGCTTCGACGCATTGCTCAGAATTGGATGCATTAAAATTGGCAGAAGTAGTGCTCTCATTCGGAATACGTTGCTGAATCCTGCATAGGCAAGGCCGCGTAATGAGCATCTTCGTGCTCCAAAAATCGGTTTTGAGGAGAAATTGTTGGCGCTCATGAACTGCCTTATGATTCCCCCTATAGGTTCGGGTAATGGTGGGTATAGCCTCTTTCTGCCATTCTTTGAGCTTGTCCAAGGATTTTGACATGTGGCTCTGAATCACCAGCCATGACTTGGCAGCAGTACGGGGTGAGTACAAATTTATCAATACTTCCTGAATGATGATTGTGATCTTGATATGATGCACCACATAACGATCTGGTGAAGTGGATTGTCGCCCGACTCCAGATTTACGCCTTGGCTTTGTGGTTGTATCCGATTCAATGTTGGTACGTTTCGTCGGTAGATCACCGCAAGGTACTTCTTGCTCGCCAGGGATACTGACAGTGCAATCTTCGTAGCCAATTGTAGGGGGCCTTCCGGTAATGGCACTAATCAGGCACTCGATGCGATGTAACGTCCACCAAGTTTGCCCGAGCATCTCTCTCCTGGAGACTTCCGCTTTTGGATCTTCATTTCGAAGATGGAGACCGAGAGCCAAAGCTAGGCGGATTGACACTCCTATCATAATCCACGCTCGGCTAACATAGCCTATGACGAGGAAGTAAAGCGCTAGTGTTCCGGTCTGCGATGTGTGTCAGTATGTGAAGCCTTGTCACCCAAATGCAAAAGAGAGACCTTGGTTCACCTACTGCTTGGACTATCTCTATAGTAGGCTCCGAGACAAACATGACACTATCTTTCAGTCCAAGTAGATAGATAGCTCTAAGCATGTACATGATATCGTCTCGCTCAGCCCCAGCCCATTCGGCACCTACAAGATGCGAGTGCTTGGCTCCAATGGCGAAGAGCAGGTTTAGCTGCGCACGCCATTTTTTGGGTACTCGGGCTCCTTTATTCTTGTCTGGATCCTCCGGGTTGAGCTTGCTGTCATATGTGAGGTTGCTGTGATATGCGTGGAACTGTTCTCGAAAATTTTCAGGCACCTGGAGAGCATCGTCAATAAGTAATCTCATCCTGAACAGAAGCTCGAAAATAGACTCACCAATGGAAAAGAAGGATGCACAGTGTCGATGTAACAGTCAAAGAGTCGCTTTGCTACATCGGCTTCTGGATCCGCGTATGCGTCAACAACGATGTCGAAATCGATCTCGTCACTGTCGAGATAAAAGGTGGTGTCAGCGGCGTGTCTGGACGATGCTTCCTCTCCATAATCCTCAGCATTCCTTCGACGCTCATGAAGAGCTTCACTGCGTGCGTTAACATCTTTGCGTTCTGTACCAGGTGGCCCATAGGCTCCCGACTGATCGCGAGGCTCTACGCTGGTGTGCTCGGTCTGGCGCTGTACACTGCTTAACCACTGAACTTCCGAGTTTTGTCCAACGTAGCCAACCTCCCTAGATTCACGATTGCGCAATAGATCTTCTCCCAGATGATCAAGATTTTCATTCGACCCAGCAGAGGCAGTGATGTATGCCTCGCCGCCCTCTGTTTCTTCTTCTTCTTCGTCACGGATAGATGCGACACGAGAACGCTTGCCAAGCAATCTGCGCGTAGACTTAGTGTCTTGGGAGTTGAGGTCGTCATCTGTCTGGATGAGAATAAGTATGGATAACATTTGTAACCACATACTGTTAAGTGGCAAAAGTTTGAGCTTACATCTTTGAGCGCATCTCTGATCCTTCTTCTGTCTTCTGTACTCACGCGTTCGCTCACGTCTCGCAACAGGCTGGCTAATGCTTGATTCCTGTCCATTGCTCTGGACCTCATTAGCAACCAACAAAGGGTATTGCTTGTTTGAACAGGTATATGCATACTCTCTGAGACGATCGCGCCGAGCTTGTCCATATATACAATCGGTGCCGCTGGATACGCAGTGAATGCACGGGGTCTCACCAGAGCATTTAGTTTCTGGCTTGGATGTAAGCGACAGATAAAAGGTGCTCCTCGAGGATCACCAACTTCGCTTTCGGCACGCCTCACAAGCTCGTACTCTGCACAGAAGGGATCAGTATTCGGGAAACGCTACAATATGCAACTTTATAACGTACATACGATCCTCTGGTCTCCGCTCGGTGCTCTTAGGTGGAGGCGGCGGCGGCGGTCGGGCTCGTTCAAGCCTAGGAATCGCAATTTTTCCGTCGGCCTTGCTGTCGCTCTTTGTAGACATGTTACTCTGCGGCACGAATATGTGCGTATGCTGCTTCTTTGTGGATGTTGTTTCGTGCATGTGCTGCACAGTGATGGGCGATACAACCTTGGAAAGCAAACTCAGTAGCGAAATCTGGTCACGTGGTATGTGGAAAGCGCCTGTTAAAAAAGATTGTGGAGTAAGCTGATCGAAATCAATTGCAGTGTTCTTTGAAAGCCTATCTCCACAGATTTGACGGGTAGCATGTAAGCGCAACTGTGCAACCATTGCGTCAGGCTGGTAGCATTTCGTGGCATTACCTGGCCAATTTTCTGTCCTTACCACAGGCCTGATGCAGGCAAGATCGTTGTGGCAGCCGCTCTCGAGATGGTCGGCCACCTTGAAACTCCGAGGAGGACGAACTGGTCAACCAGGCGAGTGACGGCCCCGCATTTGGATGCATTTCCCCACCACTTACCAAAACACTCATAGAAAGCTGGATCTGACCCTGAAACATTCTATAATATGTCCCTGCGCCCTACGGACTTCGTAAGCTTCCGCTTGTTCACAAAACTGTGGGGGTACTACCAGAGAGCATGGATCGTACGATCTAGCGGCGTTGACGCAACAATCTGGGAACGCTGCTTCACTTTCCCGAGCGAGTGAGGCCTTCGTGTGTCGTCATATTGTACGTAAAAGGCATATCAACCGTCGGTCTTCGTTACAGGGCATGGCTGTAACACCACAGCACGTCAGGTCCATGGATAGGCGTTTCCCAACTCTTAAGGCCAAGACCAGGCCCATAAGGCTCATGAAAGCGTCAACGATGTGGTGGATATTTTGATCGCCCTGAGATATGGCTGTGTTGACTTTTTGAAATATGTGGCTGCATAGGTCAGAACGTGACTGTCTGACCACTACGCTCGATCGCAAAGAACTGTAAAATCTCCGCTCATGCTGCAGGTAACAAGAAAAGATTCGTTCATAGGTAGGTTCTTTGAACTATTAGGGCAAGTCGTCGCTTTTGAATTTCCCAAGGTTGAAGATGACGCCGCCATGAAGCACATGAAATGACGATCACTCCGCGCTTGTGCACGATCGTGAATTCATTAGCACTTTGCCGCACATCGTAAATCTCTGACGTTGCATACAAGCACCTCTCATAGTGGCAGTGTACATGTACAGGCACCCTTATCGCGTAATACTGCATGCTGGAGGCTGTTTGATAATCTTTGGCGTCTGAACTGTCTCAACGGTTGGCTTGCCCTGCATAAGATCTTCCAGGCTGAGTGTGACTGGAATACGTCATGCCATCTGCCTGGATTTGCAGAGTAGCAAATATATTCTCTCTCACGTGCGCTTGCTTCAGTGAGATACGTGAGGAGATCTTTAGAACCATTCTGGTCTGATCATGAGCGATGAACATTGGTCCAAGTTTACTCCCGCAGTATTTGAGCACCAACCTTTCCTGATTTGGAAATTTTCGCTAGCGCAGAAACTAGCGTGCACTTGGACAGTTGCTGACACTTTTAATCCATACACCATACCACCCGACATGACAGCTTGCTCTCCTTTACCCTCACTTGCGTTTTCCTCCTTAACCAGCACAAATGCCCCCGCGAACCAGAGCATGCGCTGTTTGCCGAAGGAAACGTATCAAATGCGATGCCACGTTACCGCGATGCTTAATGTGCCGGCGACTTGGGGCTGAATGCCCTGGATTAGATGACGGACCACTGTTTATTGATATGACCAAGAAAGCTCGCCATGGGATGCAGAAGCGGAAAAGAAAGCTATTCGTCGATATCAAGCCAGTGCCTGAGCTCGAAGCGCGCAGATCTCACGTCAATTTTGACCGGATATCACAGCAAGCTGTTGTAACAGAAGCATTCTATGATCGCTTCCTGTCACACTTTACATCAGAAGGAGATGGGAAGGACATACGGAATAAGAAGTCTTGGCTACACCGTCTCCCGCAACTCTCTGTGGACGGCACCAACGATGCACTCACTTTCGCAGTGCAAGCTACTGCCTTTTCCTACTGCGCTGCCGAGACGAACAACCCTGCCCTCGCACGTCATGCGTGGGATCTGTACGGCCGGGCTATGCAACGACATGGTAGATTCCTCGCTCGATCGAGAAGCGCGGCGACGGCGGTCACTTTGCATATGATTTCCACGAGTGTGTTGTTTAGTTTTTTTGAGGCGATGCAAGCTACCAATGTAGATGCGTATCGCTCACATGTATACGGCGCGGCAAAGATGTTCGAGGTCACAGATCCGAGGCAGTGCTCAGAGGGTGTCCTGTGCCAGATCTTTTTCCATATTCGGACGCAGTTGGCATTTGCACAGCTGACTTCGAATGGGGAAAGGACGGCTATTGATGTGAAGAAGATATTGCATGACACATTGGACTACGAAGAGCTACCCATTTTTCAACGGCTGACAACGCAATTCACGAAGCTGGCAGATGCTTACAACGAAGTGGAGTCGTCGGTCGCAAGAAGTAAACGAACACATGTCCTTGATGTTGAACATCTCCAAGTTTTCGAAGATGAGATCAAGAGCCTATGGGACGAGTATACGGAGTCAGCTGCGCGTAGCGGTGATATCCTGACCTGGCACGAACCATCCACCAGCACTACACACTTCCGCGATGGCTTCACGGCCCTTACTGTTGCATACTTCAGCGCTACCCGTCTCCTTCTCTTCCTGACCGGACCACAACATGAGGCGTCGCATTCTGGCCTTGCGGATGACTGTCGAAGCATACTTCAAGCTGCGCTGTATCTGCAGACCTGTTCCGTCGGATGTGCATACATGCGCATGGCAGCGCCATTGCTTCTTGTTGCACTTCATACGCCCGTTACGAAGCAGAAAATGGTAGCGATCGACTGTTTTCGGAGTTGGGCACAGGGAAGCATGCGTGGCATCAGTGATATGGCGTTGGAGACCATTCAGCGGAAGCAGTCAGGACCACCTGAAGTCGAACATATGTGGCTTTAATGTTAGCAAGAAATGGAATCACATGCAGGCTCCGCGCTTATGATGATATAATTCGATGTTGTGCCGGCCAGTGATGTGTGCGGGGAAGATGGCAGGCACTAGCGTGACAACGATGCTTGGCGTTGAAGTCGCGTCGCGAAGCGCGTCGTGAATCGAATGTTCCCAGCTGGCCATTATCCACGCTCACCGCACCACTCCCGTTGCCCCGCCATGCCCTAAAGCTCCACTACGCGATCGCAAACATACCCCGAGTGCGACCACTTCCTAGGAAACTTTCTTCGTCCACAGGCAGCGCGCGCCACGCTCGCGCTCAACCGTCGCAATGGGGTACATCAAGCAGATCACCATCCAGGGCTTCAAGAGGTAAGCTTCATGATGACTCGAAATCATCAATTGCTGACAGGCGTCATTTAGCTACAAGGACCAGACGCAGATGGAACCTTTCTCGCCTAAATGCAATGTCGTTGTTGGTCGCAACGGCTCTGGAAAGAGCAACTTCTTCGCCGCCGTGCGCTTCGTGCTCGGTGATGACTACTACATGCTCAGTCGTGAGCAGCGTCAAAATCTGCTCCACGAAGGTTCTGGATCAGCCGTCATGTCCGCGTATGTCGAGGTATGCTTCGACAACACAGAGGATCGCTTCCAGACTGGCAAGCCAGAGTTCTTCTTGCGCCGGACCATTGGCGCAAAGAAGGACGAGTATTCAGTCAATCGCAAGAACGCCACGAAAGCCGAAGTCCAGCAGATACTCGAATCGGCCGGTTTCTCGCGCTCGAATCCATACTACATTGTCCCGCAAGGCCGTATCTCGGACCTTACGCGCATGGGTGATGTTGCCCGGCTGAAGCTACTGAAGGAGATCTCTGGATCAAACGTATACGAGACGCGTCGTGCCGACAGTTTGAAGCTGCTCGCCGATACGGACAGCAAGTGCAGGAACACCGACAGCCTGGTGGCGACCATCAACGAGCGCTTGGACGAGCTCGAGGGCGAGAAAGAGGAACTGGAAGCGTGGAGCAAGAACGACAAGGAGCGGAGATCGCTTTTGTATACCATGAAGTCTCGCGAGGAGGCAGATCTCCAAGGCAGGATTGAGAATATCGACATGCTCGAGGAGCAGGGACGCGACACACGGGAGCACAATGAGGCCATTTTCATGAAAAACGAAGCAGACATCCAACAAATCGACAGCGACATCACCCAGCGCCGCGGCGACCTAGAGGTACTTCGTGAAGATCGTGTACAATTTGAAGGCGACCGCAAATCAGCCACGTTGGAGAAAGCAAAGATCGAGCTGGAGCTCAAGGCGCTTGAAGATGGCCAGTCGGGTGCTGAGCAGGCAAAGCGCTCACGCGACAAAGAAACGAAAGCTATCCAGCAGCAAATCCGTGCCCGTGAAGCTGATCTCCAGCGGCTGCTACCAGAATACACGGCAAAGCAGGAAGAGGAGGCTGCTGTGGCGGAACAATTGCGTGATTCAGAAGCCCACCGCAAGCGCCTCGAGGAGAAACAAGGCCGCACCGCTTTCTACAGTAATAAGCGCCAACGAGACGAAGCTCTGCGGACAGAGATCGAGGAGACCAACGCCAACTTGAGTCGCAAAAAGGCCGTATTGATGTCTACCAACGAGGAGATTCAAGCGCTACAAGGCGACATTAAGCGACTCGAAGACGAGATCAACGACTTGCGATCCACTATTGAAAGTGAGGGCGACGCCAGCGTCAATCTTGCTGCAAAGGTTGAACAAGCAAAGGATGCGCACAAGGCCTTGGACGACGAGCACAAGAACCTTGCTCGAGAGCAGAACAAGGTGAGCACCCAGCTCAGAACCGCTGAAGATGAGTGGCGCAGAGCCGATCAGAGATGCTCGCGCTTGCTCGATCGCGGTACTGCAAATGGTCTCGAAGCACTGCGTCGCTACCAGAGAGAGTCTCCATTGCCTGGTGTACACGGCACCATCGCCGACTTGCTTGAAGTTCCTGAGCAGTACCGGACTGTCGTTGAAAATGCTGCCGAGGGCGCCATGTTCAATGTTGTAGTAGATGATGACTCGGTATCGACGAAGCTCATCGACAGACTTATAAAGGACAAGGCTGGACGTTTAACATTCATTCCGCTCAACCGCATACACGCGCCTGACCTCAATCTTCCAACAAGGAGCGACATGCAACCTCTTTTACCCAAGCTCCGCTATGACGAGCAGTTCGAGGATGCCATCAGGCACGTTTTCGCTAAGATTGTCATTTGTCCGACACTCGATGCATGTAAAAGCAACGCAAAACAATTCAACGTGCGAGCGTACACTCCTGATGGTGACAATGCATCACGAAAGGGGCAATATCGAGGAGGTTACCACGATCCAAACAACTCGAAGCTTGCCGCATACCGAAAGATGGTCGAGTGCCGCACTCTAGTCGAGGAACTTCAGCAACGCAGGGAAGAGCTCGACAGAGAAGTTCAACAAAAACGACAGCAAATCACAGCCGCGCAAAGCGAGGTGCTGAGGCGTGAGCATGCAAGACGGCAAGGCGAAGACAGTTTCGAGCCGATGCGAGAGGAACTACGTGTAAAGATCAATGCACTGAGAGACACCAAGAGCACTCTGGCGCAAAAGCAGAAGACGGCAGCAGACTTGCAATCTGCAATCAATCAGCTGGGCGCACAACAAGAAGATTGGGAGGCAGAGATCAAGTCTGAATTCAAGAAGGCTCTGTCACGAGATGAAGAGCAAATGCTGCTTACACTCACAAAGACCGTACAAGATCTGAGGCGGCAGCTTGCTAGGGTCCAGGAAGAGCGTACTGCACTCGAGACTCAGAAGGTCCAGGCCGAGCTAGATCTGAGCGAGAACCTGCAGCCAAATCTCGATCGCTTGTTAGCCCAGCAGGGCGGTGCAGGCGGATCGAACAGCCAGTCGACGCGGTTACGAGAGTGCAAGCGTGCGCTTGACACCATCAACAAGACCATTGCAAATATCGATCAGCAGATAGAAGAAACGGACGCCCAGATCGAGGAGATCCGAACGCAGCTCGGAGCGCTGGAGGAGGCCAAGGCTGAGAAGGAGTCGAGCAACCGAAAGCTTGCAGCTGCTATGGAGAAGCATGAACAGCAGATATCGCGCAAGGACACGGATCGAAGTCGTTACAAGGCACAGCTCGACGAGGTGCGAAAAGAGATTCGCAACCTTGGAACCCTTCCAGAGGATGTCGACCGCAAGTATTCAAGATGGGATGCTACAAAGGTGTGTGCACAGTTCAATAGATTGTGGATGAATACTAACAACGAAACAGATCGCCAAAGAGCTCACCAAAGCTACCTCAGCGCAGAAGCAGTTCGCACATGTTAATAAGAAGGCGTTTGAGCAATACGAGAGTTGGACCCGCCAGCGCAAGACCCTTATTGACCGCCGCGCTGAACTCGACACGTCACGAAAGTCGATTGAGAACCTCATTGCCGTGCTCGATCAGCGCAAAGACGAAGCTATCGCGCGTACTTTCCGACAAGTCGCTCAAGCATTCCAAGAAGTGTTCCAAGAGCTTGTGCCCATCGGCCAAGGTCGTCTCATCATCAAGAGGCGATCCGACGCTGATGTCCGCGGTGGTGTCGATGACGACGACGAGAGCGGCAGCGACAACGAGGGAGAGACGCAAGCGAAGAAGGGCAGCAAGGTCGCGGAATACACTGGAGTTTCGATTGCTGTGTCATTCAACTCGAAGCACGACGAGCAGCAACGCATCTCGCAATTATCAGGTGGACAAAAGTCACTCTGCGCGCTCGCACTCATTTTCGCAATCCAGAAGTGCGATCCAGCACCCTTCTACCTCTTCGACGAGATCGATGCCAACCTCGACGCACAGTACCGTACCGCCGTTGCCGAGATGTTGAAGAAGCTCAGTGGACAGGGCGGGCGGACGGGCGAAGGCGGTGGACAATTCATTTGCACTACCTTCAGGCCTGAGATGGTCCTCGTCGCGGACAAATGTTACGGTGTGAGCTACAGCAACAAGACGAGTAGTATCGATGTTGTTCAGACGGAAGCAGCGCTGGATTTTGTGGAGGGCCAGCAGAAGGGATAAAAGGTTGTGGGTGCTACGGAACGGGTCATGAGAATTGTCAGGTATCGTTGTTTCTATGGAGCTTGTGTACAAGTACTTTTTTCCCCAAACCGAATAGCTACGGCGTTTACGATTATACCAATGATTACTTTCTTCACGTGTTGCGTTTGTTGTGCGTGATGCGAGTTGCTCATGACTATCCCCATCACGTCGTGCGTCAAAGTATCATTCAATCTTCTCCTGCAATCATGAGAACATGAAGACATGCATATGTGCAACCCTCCGTTCTTCTCTATCATGCATGAAGCCACGTGAACTTTTCCCAATCCAATCCGCTCCACCCGAAAATCCGAGCGCTCACAACCCGCAAAGTGGGCAACGAGGTATCTAGTCTACACGATCAACACCAAACGCCTTTCATTATCTACGCGAAGACAAACCCAACCGCTCCCCACCCCGTCCATCAGCGGCCATGTAGCCCGACCCCAATAGCACCCCTCCGGGTAGATAGCATCCCCACCCCTTCACATCTAAGCGAACCCAGACTCAGCGGGCATGTTGCCCGACACAAGCCTCAGCCCCGGGCAACTTGGCCGTGAACGACAGCTATGCGTGGACCGCTTGCATTCATCCTGCGCGTCGTCACCCCCACCCCACAGCTGCGCCAGAGTATGACATGTTCCAGGCCCAGCGTTTGCGAAGCGAGGGCGAGCACGCTGCTTCTCGGAAGTGAAATCCGTCGGGAATATCAACCGATGCGAGAATTTGGGGGCCCACCAGCGGGGTTTGCATTGTTTTGCTACGTCATGTTGGAGATGTTGTGCGGATGTGGTTTGCGTTCCTATTGGTAGTTTGTTGGTGCTGGGTTTGTTATTCCCGAACGGAGTCTGGGTGTTTTGCTTGGAGAGAGGGAGGACTGTCAGGAATACGAGGAGGGATGACAGGCAAGCAATTGATGTCAGAGTGCTGTATGCAAGTCGTGGGCGTTCATTCTGAGTTTGGCTATTAAAGCGTGTTGGATCAGAGATCATCATTCGTCTATTCTCAAGTGTCGTCCGTCCATCAACCGGGGAAAATAGTAAGAGAAAAATATCTTTCGCAAGAACTCTGTTTTCTCCCTTCCCATGTCATCACCGTTTCCCCTGAAAAAAAGGTCTTACTCTCGGCGATACTGTACGAACATGTAAGCTAAGATATGACCCCAGTTCTCAAATGATGCGCAACTCCAAACACGCTGCGCGAACTTCTCAACACGGCCGTCGATCCTTTACGTAGCCGCTGCCCCACCCTCGGAAGACGGGACGACCATAATTCGTCACCGCCAGCCCCACCGAAGTTGAAGCAGCGAACAGTGAAAATTGACAGTGACGTATGAGTGGACCCTACGTTGACGAATGGATCGCCGATACTGTGCGATGTTGTGCGACGCTGCGGGGAAAATTGGCGACACCTTGCAAGCATGTTTGGTCAAGGGATGAGCGAACAAGAGCAAGATTAGTGCTGAGCTAGTGTGCTTAGCTTCTGTGTAGCATGGGCCGCAAGCATCCTCCCGTGCGCGCTGCTGTGCCTCGTCACCATCAAACGAGAAAGACAAAGGGTTTTGTTGGAGGAAAAGATTGGCGCATGTTGAGTGTGGCGAAAGCTGTCACGGGTATTCGCAAACGTGAAGTAATGTTTGAAAGCAGTAATTTATGCATTCATATGGGGACAGGGACATGGCTGTCCTTGTCTTGTTTTAACTATTTTTCTCTGGGTATGGCATTGCAAAACCATAATATTTGGTGGGAACGCTAATGTCATGAAAATCGTGGCCACATAACCATACAGCACAGTGCCAGTGAAAAGGAAATTTTGGGTCGAATCATTGGCGAAGCCCGGGGTATCGTAGAAGAAGCATCGAAGAAGTGAGAACGGCGCAGAGACGCTCAAGATGAAGCAGAGTAGAAGGAATCATTGGTTGTCTTCAATGTCTTCCTCCTCGTAGTCGCGCAGTAGCTCGAGGCCGCCGAAATCATCGTTGAGGTTTGCGCTCGATGCCTCGGTGACACTGCTGTTGACAGAGCCGTAGCTGTTGTGCCGCTGGTTCATGTATTGTTGGGTGTCCATCATCAATGGGCTCGTCTGGTTCATCGATCTTCCTCCCGTTTGCATTGGCACCTCCATTCCCAGGAGATCACCTGCACATCGCGCAAGGTATTCATCGACCGCCCAGAACCCACAGCCAGCGTGTCGCAAGACCTCATTCTTCAATTCTAGCACCTCCTCGCGCAGCATGGCTACATTCTCCTTCAGTGCCTTGTTCTTGGATGAGAACTCTCGGGCACGGTCTTCAAGACCATTGATGTACTCCTTCTTCCGTTGCCGGCACTTGTGTGCAGCGACGCGATTCTTCTCGAGATGTGACTGGCGAGCGGAGGAGACTTGGAACGGAAAGCCGTCGGCAGTGAAGGCCTCGATCATTTGGGGTTGCGACTTGGGTCTGCCCCGCTTCCGCTTAGGCGGCTGCGGGTCGACGTTCTCGTGCTGAGGCGGGGCGCCGTCATTCGACTGAGCTTGGCTGGCTGCTGTCTGCCGACTGGTACGACGGCGCTTGGGTGATGGCTCTGTGTGGTCCTGTTGCTGTGGAGGAGACTGCTGCAACCAGGGCGCCTCATTCTGCAGTTGTTCCACAGGAATGGAGCTCTCCCGTGCACTTTGAAGAGGGGATTTGATTGGCGAATCCTCTGGTGGAGTGATCTGACCGAAGCGCTCAATTGAAGCTTGAGTGAGGAGAGAAGGCGGGATACTGAAGGCATTGTTCTGCATGGATGCCCACTTCTCAGGCTTCAGCGGCATGCTCGGGTCGTTGAGGGTAGTAAAGGCGTCATGAGCCCAGTCGAACTGTTGGGGTTGTTGGACTTCCATCATGTTGGGCAAGAAAGCTCAAAAAGTGTGAGTGACCGGTCCGGGGACGAATTGACTCGTGAATTGTGGTAAGAGATGCTGTTGGCGGGTTGAGTGTCCAAAGGGAGCCTGTGAAGGGTGTTTGTATAGAGTGGCGTTGTGTTGTGAGGGGCTGTGGAATGCGGAATGTTTAGCGGAGAGCTGCCTGAAAGCAGAAAGAAAAGAAGGATTAAGAGGCAGACAGAGCGAACGGCGGGGGCAGGAACGAAGCTTAAGGCAAACACAGAAAAAGTGGGGAAGGCACTACCTACTCTAGCAAGACCGCATTTCAAACAAATGGATCAAGCTGTGCAAAATCGCATGTCCAAAAAGAGCAGGGATCAAGGGCGAGCGTGTCTTCCCCATCGCCGATGACGTCTCGATCGCCGATCCGTGCTTGGTAACAACACGGGATGACCGTTTCGCCACCTGCGATACCGAGCAAGTCGTAGCAATTCTCGCGCTCGGTTCTGCTTTGAGCCTGATTTTTCAACACTGCCGCCATCGCATCAACGCTGCCATAACACCATGGTGGGTTCTGGACCTCTGCTAGCGCTATTGCGGGCTGTGTTTCCTCCACTATGTAGTAGACATTTGGGTCTGCCGCGGTCCGTAGCCGCAGCGTTCTGCGCTCTTCTCCACACGTACCTGGAGGCCAGGCAGTTCGACGCTGTCCGCGCTATACACCCATTGTGACAGCCAGAGCATCCGACGAGTATACATCAGCACAAGACTGGAAGCAATTTTTTCTGGGGCAAATTACACACAACGTACTCCACCAACGCACTCATCCATCGTCTCGACGCATGCTTATCCTATCGATCGTCTACTTCGCTAATCGCTCTCGTTGCACGTGTATGCTCCTCCATATTACACCTGGGCAGTGGCCGGCTCCCCTGTGAGGGCAGTGCCGGATGCGGCAGATAAAGCCTGTTTATGGCAGCCACAAACTTTCTGCCGCCGCTTCGGCAACGCACGTCACGGCAAGCACTCGTCACACTCAAAATACCTCAAAACCGCAGGTATGGAAATGCCCACGGCTGGCGGATTGACAGATTCTCAGACTTCTCACCCGTCAATCTCGTGCGCTCCTTGTCCATGGACCATGCACATGGCTAGCTTGCTGGATACTCACTCCGCATGTATGAGCATGTGACGTAATTGATATGTTGCCTCCGCGGACCTCTTCTCAGCTCCTCCCCTTACGAGCCTAGCTTCGCTAAGTTGAGTTCAATGGATGCTCCCTTAGTGCAGCTCCCCGAGAACCTACTCAGATTTCACAACTGAGTGTCGTATCGAAGCCACTACTGCGCTCCATAAGTGTGATCAACTTGCTAACCATCTCTTACCAACTTTAGCCTCCGAACGAGCATGTTGGGACGAATCAAGTATCCAACACAAGCCAAGCTGCGAATAACGTCCGAGACTAGACCCCGCTGATCTTTATGCCATCGAGATCCCATAAATATCCATGGATGCGACATGGAATTTCACTTCTCGATGCACACGGACTCGGAAGCCTGTCTAGGGGTAGGAACGGGCCTCCCAACCCAGTGGCAAACCAAACCCCGGCGTTCCCTGCCACCAATGATGAGGAAGTGGTGCTTCTTCTGACGTTGCACCAGGAACGAACTCGAGCGCTTCCCTGAAGAGGTCGGTGGTGTTCATCTTGAGGTCTTATTGCCGATCCATGAGGTACATGTTATTCCTAACAATTCGCTCTCGGAAATTTAGTTCGAAGCACAACGGGATACATCGCATCCAGACATGACCCTTGAGGAACATATGCACAATGACAGAAGCTCGTATAACCAACCCCCGCCCTCGCTTGCGAAAAAAAAAGATCTTCACATGTTGCGAAGACTCATTCCAAGTTTTCTTGAAGCGAACTGCGTTTGCATGCACGATACACCACAAGAGACTTGATGTCTTCACGATGCCGTCAATCTGATTTCACCAAGTTGTCTCATCACCTATCAAGAATGACCTTTCCAGAGCCGAGCAGAAGTCGGGAAAAAAAGCACGTTGGAGACCATTAGACATATCAAGCAATGTTGAACGCCATTAAGTCCACTATACCGGGTCTTCACGTGGAAAATTACATTTGCGATACCGTCGTTGGTCCGTGTTCGAAAAGCCATGTCTATCGCTCAACCCCCAGCATTCGTCTCATGCGACACGGCTGCAACAGCATTTCGATTGTAATGCACACGCAATGAAAAAAACCAGAACACGAACGCACGATTCGTACATACCCCATGTATTTGGCTGAACTTGCATTGCGGATCCACCCACTACACATCAGATACGATATGCACGTCTAGCCATCAGAAGTGTGATAAAGAAACTAGTGTACCTAGGTATGGTGCTGTGGCGAAGGTAGAATTGATGCCACGTGTTTTTGTTTTCCCCTTTCCTGACGTCGGGGCCTGACGTACTTGAGACGTCTCTGGCCCATTACCAGCCAGGAGTTTACTGCTGTTCGAAACGTGGTAGTAAAACGTCCAGGGTTTATTTAGAGCTGTCCCTCCGTTCGCAGCAGAGCTAGATTGGTCTTGATCCCGCGTCTGGTAATTGAACTTACCACCTGTTTTCTCTTCTCAAGGAAGTTTTTGCAGTTGTGTGATTTGGCAGTCGTGTGATGTGTTCGTGCTCATGGCTGCTTGTTCGGTGGCCTGTGGAGACGAGATAACTCTGACCAATTCAATGAAAGGCGGGTTTTTGTCAATGTCTAATCTCTGTGCGTTGGACTGCGTCTCGCAATGTTTTGACATGCAGATTGATACGTTGGGGCTCTTTCAAAATAACCAAAGGTATCTGAAGATATACGCGTTGGAAGACTTTGCTTGAGATTTTGGAACAGTTGGCCCGTGGTGCTTGAAGATAAGAGAGTGCTCGTGTATGAATGCAGCATCCGACATTGCTCGAGCTATTCACTTATGCTCAACTACCGTTCTTGCAAGGTAAATAGGGTATTTTTAACTCCACAGTGAAGCTTTTTCTTTTTTTGACTCTGTCGCCTTGTGCGCTCCTACTGCGTCAACGGCGTCTTGAAAACTAGCGCGACATGGTCGTCTCCCGCCGTGACAACCGTCTCTCCATTCCCCTGTACGAAACCCATGATACCACCACCTTCACCTCCACCCCTGTGTCCCTTCCACTCGCCCACAAGCCCCCTCGCTGCCGCCGCCGTTCCACCCCTCGTGTCCCACCGCCTCAGCACGCCGTCGTATCCCGCACTTGTCAACAACCACCCACCCGGCCCTTCCTTGCGCACAAACTCGAGCTTGACAACAGCCTGCGGCGAGTCCTCGTCGGCATGCGCGTCTTCGATGCGCCGCCTGACCGCAAAGCGATGGGCAGTGTCGAACAGCGTAATCGAGCCGTCCACATTCCCGGCCGCCATGAGCGTCAGCGGCGCAGAGGAGAAGGATATACACTCGACATTATCACTGCCCGCCTGCAAACTCGCGAGGATCTGGCCTGACTGACCCGCCGACGACGCGCCGCCCTTTGCAGCAACTTGTTTCCCACCACCAGCCTTGTTCTTCGCGCCGCCGCCGCCCGAGGACGTCGATGCTTCTGCGGGCGCTGTGAGGGAGAGGCGCGGGAGCCCGATGATGCGGATTTGGCCCTCGGGGCCGCCGACTGCGACGAAGGCGCCGGTAGGTGGGATGGCGACGGAGTACAAGCCGCCCTCGACGCGGAAGCGCTCGTCGAGCCCGTTGAGGCCGACGACGTACTGCGCGTCGGAAGTCGATGTGAGGCCCTGGGATGCTGCGTCGCCGAACACGTCCCACACGTAGAGACTCGAGTCTTCGGAGATGGTGGCGAGCAGCGAGCCGTCGGCCGACCATGCGCCGCCCGTACACGACTCGGTGTGGAGGTAGTATGCCTGCAGGACCTGCAGCTCGTTGCCCTTTTCCGTGTTGAGCTGGTAGACCCAGACGGAGCCGTCGTTTGCGCCGAGGGCGACGACGTTGGGGTGGTCGGGCGAAGGGTTGGCGACGAGCCAGTTGATCTCCTCGACTTCTTGGGCTTCGGCGAGGTATTTCCACTTCTTGCCGTCGGGGACGCCCTGCCAGACGCGCAGCTTGCCGTCCAGGCCCGCTGTTGCGACGAATTGGCCTTTGGGTAACGAGAAGGTAATGCTGTTGATCGAGTCCTTGTGTCCGTCTAGCTTGAATACGCTCTTCAGTCCTTCTCGCTCGACTTGCGCGCCGTCTTCGCTTGGCTGTGCTGCCGCTGCCGTTGCAGTGGAGAGGTCGATGATGTAGCCGACGTCGTCGCCGCCGCCGGTAGCCACGATTTCCTGGTTCACCGGGTGTTGCGCTATGCAGAAAATGCTGTCCTTGTGCTCGTCGAAGTGGGCGATTGAGTCGTTTTGTATCTCAATCTCCATTTGCATGTCTTGACCACCTTCCTCGTCATCTGAGTCCATGGGGACGTCGCCGTCATCTTCGATGATTTCGTCCGCCTCCTCTGCGTCTAGCGTGTTGTCTTCATCGTGGTAGTCGATGTCGACCTCTTCCTCTTGGTGGGGCGGGTTTGAATTTGGCGCTGCCATTTCGCGGTTTCTTTACGGTTCCAGAGGTGCCGGTTTGATGGGATGGGGTGGAGTGCCTGTTGCGATACAGGTCTTGCGCTTTTTTATGAGGGTTTCGGTGCTGCTGGGCACGTTGCTTAGAAATGCGCAAATATGTCTTCCATCGCGGACTTTTTTAGTCGGCGTTTGAGGGGCTCCGCCCCACGTCATTTTCGGGGCTTTGTAAGCGACCATTCGGCTCACGCAGTACTCGGGACATTGATTGCAGCATGGCTATAATACATAACAGACTACAACTGGAGTACCCAGGTAACTCAAAGATTCAGTGGGAGTCAGTGTTTACAACTTGCTGCCAGCCTTCCTGCGCTTCTCCTTCTCCTTGTCTCTCAAGAACCGCCTCAGAATCTTGCCCGACGGCGACTTTGGAATCTCATCGATGAATTCGACGCCACCCACGATCCATTTGTAATGTGCCTTGGTCTTCTCGACGTGCTTCTGAATCTCACGTGCAATCACGCGGTCGTTCTCCTCGATGCCGACGCTCGATGACTTGACAACGAAAGCCTTGGGTACTTCACCAGACTTCTCATCGGGAATCTGAATGACAGCACAGTCGGCGACGGCTGGGTGAGTAAGGAGATGTGCCTCGAGTTCTGCTGGTGCGACTTGATGGCCCTGTTGCACTGTTAGTGAGACACTTGGAGACGCGCTGCGATGTGACATACCTTGACCTTGATCAATTCCTTGATGCGGTCGACAATGAAGACGTGTTCGTGGCCCGCGGGCGACTTGCGGATCACGGCCTCGTCGCCAGTCCGCATGTATCCATCCTGGAAGGTCTCGGTGTTGGCTTTGTCGTTGTTGAGATAGCCCAGTACGACAGCAGGCGACTTAACCAAAAGCTCGCCGGGCTGATCGTAGCCAGTAATCTCAACGCCTTCAGTCGTCACGATCTTGCATTCGATGCTAGGTAGAAGCGAACCAGAAGACCCGAACCAGATATCGTCAGGGGACGTGGAGCAGACCACGGTACACGTCTCGGTCAGCCCTAGTATATGTCAGCTGTGTACCAAAAGCTTAGAGATCCTAACTTACCGTATCCTTGACGAATCTTCCAAGAAGGGAATATTTTCTGCAAGTCCTCCGCTGTCTCCTGTCCAAGCGGCGCCGCACCCGTAAACAGCGACCACACAGAGCTCAGGTCGTACTTTGCAAGCAGTTGCTGGTTCTTTGTCATCAGAATGATGATAGGCGGAACCTGATTGCTGTTAGCTTACTACCGTGTTAGGCAAGTGTATACACGTACCAAGAACAGTGTGTTGATTTTGTAGTCTTGGATTGCCTGCAGTGTGGATGCGAATTCAAACTTGGGCAGGACAATGACACCGTCTCCTCGGTAGACGCTTGAATGGCAAATGACAACCAAACCGTAGATATGCGACATGGGAAGCAATCCGAGCACGTTTTCAGTGTAGTCGGTCTGGTTCCGGAGGTCATTAATCATCGTATCTCTGTAGGGCTTCTCGAATGTGCTGATTTGCACTGATTGTTGTTAGCAAAAGCTACCCCATTGAACGAGTCTCCATACTAGTGTTTGCGATCACGTTCCGATGCGAAATCATGACGCCCTTGGGCAGTCCAGATGTGCCACTCGAGTAGCAGAGGAAGGCAGTCTTCTTCGCGCCGTCGCCAGATGCCCAATTCAATGGTTCCAGACGGTCGAGCTCCTTGCCTTCGCGGACGAAGTCGTCCACGGTCTTCATGCCATCAGGGTTGCTCTTCCCACCAGTAGCCTGGCTGGGTAGCTCGAGAAGGTATATGCGACTGTCGGGGATGCCGCTCTGTTTGGCTGCAGCACGCGCAGTCTCGAGCAATGGGATGCAGGTGAAAAGCGCCTTTGCGCCCGAGTTCTTCAATTGGTACACGAGCTCCTCGGTGCTATACGCGGCATTTGCAGGCGACTGAATGCCTCCCAGGCGGTGCGTCGCCCATGCTAAAGGCAGTGTGTCCACCTATCCCATGTCAGCCTGGTCGCATAACTCGAGTGAATGCGCAGAGCCTACGGTGTTTACTGAGAAGACAGCAATGACCTTGTCCCACTCGGAGCCGTTGTTGGGCTGGAACCCAAACTCCTTTGCCAGTCCGCGTGCGAGCCAGTCCACGCGTTCCTTGACTTCCAAGCTCGTATACGTCTTGCCAGTCAAGCCGCAGGTGAACGGATTCTGCGAGTATCCCAGCGGATGTCTGCCGAATCTCTCATCCAGCATAAAATCGCAGATGGGAATCGAGTCTGGCGGGTCGAAGGGCAGTTGCGGCACCCATGACGGCGGAACGAAGACCATGTTCGGCAGGGACTGGAAGCTATCAGCGATGCTCTACCCCACAAAACAGCACGCGCACTCACAATACAACTCAAGTCAGCGGACAATACCTAGGGAATAGCGATGCGACAAGAAAGAGCAGATATATTTATTGAGATTTAAAGCTTCCAAGGGAGACGCAGGGAAGAGGAAGCTCGCCGAAGTTCAGCGAGCATGCACGCTAGCAGGCATCGGAAGCTGTCAGCTCCTCACAGCCGCAGTCGTTGGTGTGGAGAAGCTGGGGAAGCCGAGGATGGCTACGAAAGCGGTTAACCGCCTTGGCGCTGGACACACGACACCATCGTGTCTATCATGAGCGTTTGTCAATCCCATTTGCAAGGTGCATGCGATGACCAAACGCGCAGTCGGCCGCAATAGATTGTGTATGGCGTCTTCATGTGCGCCGGTCTCCATGTGGTACCATGGTAGCGACCTGGCCCTGGCTTGTGCCTTCCCCGCCTTCACGTTCACCTGCGCTCACTTCATTGACGTCCTCGAGGTGAAGGCAGCGGAAGTCTGTCGATCTTTTCTTTGCGCACCTCCGACCTTCTATCATCCGCCCTAGTCCGATTAAATTACTACAGCTGTGTCAATCCATCTTTTCCGTCCTCCCATACACTCCCTGTACCTTTGCCTGTCCTCACATCTTCCCGTCTTCCACAAACTCCGCTGTCCATTGCCCGCAAAGCAGAAGTTGCAGAGCGATTGCCTGCGCCCAAGCACTATGGAAACACCGAGTTCGCTGAAAGCGCACGACTCGAGCGATACCCCAGGCACTACCTTCTCGACTATATTTGACAGCGACAACTCCCCGCTCTCCAGCCCTTCATCTTCGGCTCTGAGTCATGTATACAATGATCCACACCATGACAAGAGTAGCAGGAACACCCAGGCCCTCGCCCTTTTTGAAGACCCGAAGAATTGCGAAACTGCTGCTTCACAGCGCCCTCGTCGAGGGACCAAAAGCCTGCTCCCATTGAACGAACAAATCGAGGAGATATCGGAGCCCGTGGTGGAACAGATTTCTGCGACTGCCCAAGATGTTGCGCAACCGGCCATTGCTACGGAAGAGGTCGACGAACGACCAACACCAGCATCGGTACCAGCACGCCGTTCTAGGCGCAATAAACAGGCAGCAGCCAGTGAAAATACCCCAGAACCGCAACCAAAGCAGCTGAAAAGAGCTTCTACAACGAAAAGCGCCCGGTCTAAGTTCGCTGCCGAGTCTGCGTTTGCAGATAACAAGCAGTCATCCCCAGCAACGCCAGCAGCGGCCCGTCAATTGCGAAAGCGGAAGACCAACGAGGCTGTGAAAGAGGACCTACGGACGCCCTCTCCCAAGAAGATTAAAACGATTGCGGTCGATGCTCCATCCAAGTCAAAAACCAAGTCTAAAAGCACACCAAGACGGAGTGCACGGACTCGAACCAAATCCAAGAAGCAGACACTGTTAGAAGCAACTCTCGTCGAAGATTCACCAGATATGAGCTCCCTGGTCATTGCCCTGAGGATTTCTCCGTTGTGGTTCTCACCTGGTGGCCCATTGGAAAGATTGACGGTCTCACAGTACCCCGATTCCCACACACAAGAGAATGTCAGCTTCGATAGTATGACCGACCGGCCAGCTATTCATGATGAGAACCAATACGCACAGCCTTTGTGGGCACCGGTACCGGCGTCCAGCCAAACCGCGTCCACCGACGGCTCCAGCTTTCTGCGCACACAACCACACCAATCTCAGAAGTTCGTCTCGCAAGAGCCCAGTACGATCACTTCACGGGGAACGATCCCTACGCCCCCATACAACCGCAACGGGGACTCTAACCCCATGGGCCTATTGTCTGACTTGATCGACGCAACCCAGTCACGAAAGCGAGCAATTGTGGATGAGGTACCCCGCCAGCTGGCAACGGCAGCCATCGACGAAACTCAGCCTACGCAGCTGTTAAGCCAACCTTACAGTAAGTTGAGTCCCATGGCGCCACATATGATCCCATGCTAATGGTTACTAGAGTTCTTGCGCGCCAGGGATTGCGCAATACCAAGGCCAGGCTATGTGGCATCTGACGCAAGCTCAGATGCGACGACAGTGGAGGAGGAACCTTTTGTTCCTCGGAATACTATGTGTCTCTCGCAACAGCATTCAGAGCTCTACAAGATCTCTGAACGGCTCTTCGCTAATCGCAAGCCGGGGTTGAAGAAGCCTGCGCCCTCTGGCAATCCTGAGGTCTGGGCTGCGGGTCGCCAGGAGCTGTGCGAAACTCTACACTACTACCGCTCCTATCAGAGCGGATGTTACGCTAACGGAGGCTTCGCACGAGGCTTCATGTTTGACAAGATCGCCCACGCCCGAGACTATATCGACAACGATGTCGTCATCTCAAGAGCTGGTGGAGGTCTGGTCAAAGATACAGACTCGGGCCAGATGAAGAGTGGCAAAGACCAAGCAGACCAAGGGCCAGTTGTCACAGCTTTGAAGAATTGCATAACCCACTGCAACCCGGTCGTGCTTATAACAGGTGCTGACAACCCACATATGCCGTCACAGCCACCGCATCAGTACTGTGTCCTCGATTACTTCAAACCAACGCACATATGGGTTGAAAAAAGTAACAACAACAAGATTGTTCGGTATCGCTTCGAGAAGCTGAACACCGAAAAGAAGTCTTGGTGGAGTCCGGAGAACGAAGATAGCCAGGTCGAACTGGGATCGCTTGATCCACCGATTCAGGAGACCTGCGACTCCTGTTGCGAGCTGTCCATGCAGGTATACCTCAACGGCTGGATGTGCTTGCAGCCAAACTGTAGTGCGTTCTGGCACATCATCCAAGAATCGGGTTCTGGCTCTTACAAGATATCGAGAGAACCAGATGAGGCGGAACTGATCTATGATCCACGATTCCTCAAGCAGAAGACTCCATGGCTTAACGACAACATGGAATACTCCTTGAAGTTCGACCGTCCTGAGATATCTGACTACGCTCTTCCCGGCGAATCAACGTCTCAATCGTTCTCTTCGGGCATCGTTTGTCCAGATTGTGGTCGGTGCAACTCACGCATAGCATGGACCGGCTGGGAATGCTCGACTCCAAATTGTAACTACAAGTTGAAACATCCGCATTCCCTTATATCTGCCAAGTCTTTGCACGAGACCTTTTGGCCGCTCAGTGCAAGTTATACCCATTCCAGAGACTTCAGCTCCCCTCTTCTGGATGTTTCAATAAGCTTAGCTCATGGATACCGCATCAACCGGTACCAGATCCCCGGCCTCGACGGCTTCATCACGCACATGGTCGCCAACAAGATCGTGGTAGAAGAAGATGGAGGACCCAGCACGATGTTCGAAGAGCTCCAGAAGACAGACATCGGTCTTCGCCGTCGCATCATGCCCAACGGCCAACTCAAGGGCGACACCTACTGTCGCCATTTCAACGTCAACTACGGCATGCCGTACAAGTTTATAGCCGCAACCGACTCTCACCCCTTCGAGGGCGCAGCCCGTCCCATCAACGCGACTCGCAGCCGCCTCATCTGGGCAACAAAGCTCCTCGCCGCGCAAGAGACTGCCAGACAGCGAATCGCCCCAAACTCTACAAATTACCACGCCCTCTTCGCCCAACAGACAGAGAAAATCATGCAAGAACCCACCCATCCTTTGGAGTTCAACGAAGTCCTCGCCCTCGGCTACTTCGAGTCCCAAAAGATCAACTACCACGACGACGGCGAATTCGGCCTGGGCCCCACAATCGCAACGCTCAGTCTCGGCGCCCCGGGTACCATGCGCATACGCATGAAGGCGCGCCACTACCACGGCGTGTCCTCTGCCGCGGGTCTTTACGACGAGGCGCCTCCGATCCCCGGTTGCTCACAGTACGAAGCGCGGCTGGCACTACAGCCCGAACTGGACGCCTTGAAATTGTCGGACCCGAAGGCGTATCGCGCGCGCCTCAAGGAGGTGCCGAAGCAGCTGGCACTCAAGCACTCGGGAAATGCGAAGGACGTGCTGAAGATGGAGTTGGGGCATGGAGATATCGTGGTCATGCATGGCGCGGACGTGCAGAAGTACTACGAGCATTCTGTCGAGCATGCGGGGAAATTGAGGTTTGCGCTGACCTGTCGGTACATTGACCCGGAGAGTTTGAAGGAGGCGGATAAGCCGGGATATGAAGTTGGACCGGATTTGTTAGGGTATGATGGGGCGAAGTTGTGCTGATTGAGAGCGACTGGTACTTGAGATATCGCAGAATCAACAGTTATATGAAGTTGAGAGGTACGAGATGCTTGCTAGAGTTCTAGGGGTAGCTATGTACACCTATAGCTAGCAACACGCAGTACTATCGGGACCGCGTATATCATAGACTTGACAGCATAGTACAGTATCAAATCCACTTCTCTATCCCAAAAACTTTGCTACAAACTCCGCAACCTCTGCCGGCCTCTCCACCATCGGCAAATGTCCCGCGCCATCCACAACCTTCAACTCCACCCCCTTTCCCAACTTCTCCGCCATATTCTCCCTCATCGTCTTCGGCAGCACTCCATCCCCGCCGCCTACCAAAAACGCCCCCTTACCCTCAAACGCCGCCATCTTCTCGCGGATGTCATACTGATGCAGCGCAACCACACTCTCCCTGAATCCCTGCAGCGAATTCGAACTAACCATATCCTTGACCCGCTGGATCTTACCCGCCAGCTCCGGATCCTCGTACGATTCCTTGACGAACCAGCGCCGCACGGTAGCTTCGGCGAGATCTTGGCCGACAATGGCTTCGCCGGAGGGGGAAGTGGCGTTTTCCTTCTCGCACATGGCGACGCGGTCGTTCCACGCAGTAGCATTTGAAGGGGGAGCGAAGGCGTTGGTGTCGCAAGCGACGAAGGCAGAAATACGTGACGGATAGTTGAGACCGGCATTCAGCGCCGTTGCGCCGCCCAGCGACACGCCGATTACAGAAGCGGTTTTGGCGCGCAGGGTGTCGAGAAGGGTGAGGAGGTCGGTGGTGAGGAGGTTGATGTTGACGGGGGATGTAGCGGTTTGGGGGAGGGTGTTGCGGCCGCGAGTATTGTAGCGTAGGATGCGGAACTTGTTGTTTGTGAGTTTGAGGAAGTGTGTGACGAAGTCGTCCCAGATGGCGTAGTCGACGAGGATGCTGTTGATTAGGACGAGGAGGGGCGCGTTGGGGTCTGTTGAGCCTTCGAGGCGGTATGGGAGTTGCACGCCGTCCGGGGTCGTGACGAAGCTTTCGATGATGGGCCGCTTCTCGGGGGTGGTTTTTGCGGGATGGGTTTTGATCAGGGCGTCTGTTGATTCTGCGGGGAAAGTGTCGTCACTTGCCAGGCTCTTTAGATCTCTTTGGGCGGCACCGAATGTGTAGTACAAGTCGTATACCCTCCTCTTCCTCTCCTTCACGACATATTTGTAGATCTTGTCGCACCACTCGGTCGTTATAGCAGCCTGGAACTCTGGTCCTCCAAGGCCATTCTTTGGCGCATACTCGTGCAGAGCGAGATATTCCTTCTCCTTCCTATGCCCACTCTCCAGATCCAAGTAGCTCGTCACGAACCTCCTCGTCCTCCTCCATCCTGGCACCTTCTGCAGCAACGGTACATGCTCCTGTACATACCACTTCTCAAGCTCCTCCTCCTTGTCCTTGCCATCCTGCAGCTGGAAGCTGACAGCAATCATGACATTCTTCTCTCCCTCATTCTCGACGTTTTGTAGGTCGCGAAAATCGTCACCTTTCCATTCCCCAAGCAAATCATAGTTCCGTCGATCGACGAAGATCTGCTTCATAGTGTCCCTCTCCCTCTGCGATTGCACCGGTGCGGATCGCAGCTTCAAGTACGGTTCGCGCGTGAGGTGCTCGAGCTCGTCGAAGTCGTAGATGGCCATCCACTCCGGCTTCTCCTGACTTCCAGGTGAATTCTCAAGGTCTGTGGCACGGTAGCGAAAGCCATTCTTGCAGAACGGCAGTCGGAGGCGGTTAGGACCGTGTTCATTCTGGTACCTGGGTTGAAGAGGTATTAGTCGGTGTGCCGAATTTGACAGGATCCGGCTGGAGTGCGTCAACTTACCAATCGTGGAACTGTGCTTCTGGCAGACCCTCCTTGGGCTGCATAGTCACGTACAGGATGCCTGGTGTTGATTTAGACGCCATAATGGAGGATGTGGGGATGATTCGAGGTTCAGTATGGGACAACAATTGACAGGACTGTGCGCGTATGACCTAGGCGGAGCAGAAGGCAATTGGAAGTACTGTTAAACATGATATCTTGCTGCACCCGGATGGACGCCATGATGAACTAGCTGCTTGGAAGAGAGCTTCCCCGATGACATCTGCCGGCTGACACTAACGTGTCGAAGCTCAGGGATCATGGTTTCCCCAAGCTGCCCCTCATCGTTCATTCCGAGATCGGAAAACAATTCCGATCTGACATGTGCAAGCATCACAGCAGCATTCAGATGAGCAGCTATCGATGAACATTCAGATTCCGAAGAAATCGAGATAGTAGAATTGTATTGAATAGTCTCGAGTTTTGGCTGATTCGATGTTATTGTACTATGGCTCTTTCCTATCTATCTAGTCGTACCAAATAGCATTCATACCAAATCCCTTCTCTCCAATCTCCAATCTCGCAACTCTGGCTAGAAACTCGTCTTGCCATCTGTATATCTCTACACCGCCCTTCTCATCATCAGTAAGCGCCAGCCACTCGTCACTCCACGGGCATGGCGATACTGCATTCGAATGCCCACCGGATGTTGGCGTGGGATTCAAGCATATCTGTCGCTCAATTACACCAGATGGCGCAATCTTGAAAGCTGCGATGTAGCCCGTGAGCGAGAAGGAGTTCGAGCGGGAGGTTGCAAAGAGGTAGTTCGCGGACTTTGTGAGGAAGCAAACGTCGGATCGGTACATTGTTTTCGCATTGGGGATACCTGTCGTGGTTAGTTTTGTACATGAAGCTGAATTGAAAGGACTTACCAGGTGGAATCAATGGGTACGTCTTGTGCGTGTAGACTGGTAGCTTCGTCTGCGGGTCAATCACGTACTCACACAGTCTGTTCCCTGCCTCCATCAAGGCGTAGAGGTAATTCCCACTGGGATGCATCTCAACCCATCGTGGATGATCCTTTGGCGCAGGTGCTTCTGTGTATCCTACCGTCTCAACTCTGCCTTCGTCGTCGATCTTCTTGTGACACCATATCCTGTTCGCCCACATGTCTGCACTATAGAGGTATGTTTCTGTGGGGTCAAAGACCATACCGTGGATCGCCGTCTTGTCGCAGTATTCGAAGTTCTGGATGTTCTCCTTCATGCGACCAGAAGAGTCGACGGAAAAGACATTGCCATATCCAGCGTAGTCGTAAAAGGGGTTACAGTATACGGCATACGGCGGTTTTTTCGAAGGGAGGAGGAAGATGGCGCGTGTTTTGGTGTCGGCATCGTTGGCTTTGGCTGTTCAACTTGGTCAGTAGCTGGCAGCTGCGAAGGGCCGCATATACTCACGATGGCCACCGATCGGAAAGCTTCCAGAATGCACAATCTCACCAGGGTTCTTGACTTCATGAGAGCTCCATTTCTTCATGGACGAGCCATAGATGTTCTTCCTTTGATGCTACATGTCCTGCGGTCAGTCATTGCAGTCTTTAAAATACAATCAAGAAGCATTGCGTACGTCGAATGCCATCCAGCTGATGGGCTCATCTTCAGGGATCTCTGTCTTCTTCACTAATTCCAGCTCCAACGTCTCATCGTCAAACGCGACGGTGATGATTACACCAGGCGGCGTCCACGTGCCTATCATCAGATGATGTTTGACCATTTTGACTGTTTCGCGTATCGAAAGAGAGAAGCTTTGCTCAAGAATTCACGTCGTACGAAATGAATCCGTCAGCAAGATTCGGACCGCGACCATCCTCGACACCAGAAAGCGCGACGCATCTCGACCCGTTGTTAGTAAACTTACCGAAACCAAAGAGGATGGCGGGGCACACGCTAGAAGCATGGGAAAAGAGAGGGGTAAGACTTCACCCACTTTGCGTCTTATCTCATTGGCCAATCGCCCCTGTCCATGGCGGGGCAAGCCATCTCCAGACGGCGGGACGTTCGGCAGACGCTCGCAGTCTCACCCAAATGTTATCAAAGCCGGCCTGGCTTCCCGCAGCGCTATGCTTCCAAGTGCATCGCCTGATGCACCGGCTAGCGACACGGCGATTGTCAACGGTGTTAGTTCGGTTGGCTGGATTGCTTGTGCATCGAAAGGTTTATAAAGAGTTCCCCCCAGATTCAGACTTGCATCAATATAACACCAATACACTGCTCCAAATCTTTCTTCTCCCAGTATCTCTTCTCCCTTCACAATGGACCCAAACACACAGTCAGCGCCAAAGTACCAGAGCGACGATGCGAAGCACCGCTTCGACCCCAACTTCACAGCCGCAGTCATCAATGCTATGGGCCCTGCGGTTCCCGAGCGAACACGTTTTGTCCTGACCTCTATGATCACACATCTCCACGACTTCATTCGCGAGGTCGAGCTGACCAACGAGGAGTGGTTCGAGGGTGTGCGATTCGTCAACTCCATTGGCAAGACCACCACAAACACCAGGAACGAGGCACATCGCATTTCTGATGTTCTCGGTGTTGAGTCGTAAGTCTTCAATCTTCCTCATTCAGTATAACAGTTATCTGACAATGTCACAGATTAGTCGACGAGATTGCACACAAGCACATCAACGAGTCTGGCGAGACACCCACCTCCTCCACAATTCTCGGACCCTTCTGGTCGCCTCACTCCCCCTTCCGCGACCTCGGCGACACCATCATCCGCAACCCTCATCCAGATGGCCAGACTGCGCTTATGCACGGTGTAGTTCGCGACCTGGACACAAAGAAGGGCATCCCGGGCGCCGTCATTGACATCTGGCAAGCCAGTGCGAACGGAAAGTACGACTTCCAGGACCCAGAGAACCAGGAGCCAAACAACTTGAGGGGCAAGTTCACAACAAATGAGAACGGTGAATACCACTACTACTGCTACAAGCCAACTGCGTACTCGCTGCCTACCGATGGTATGTTCCCTTCAATGCTCTCGAGAAAGCTGTTGCTAACAATCTTCGCAGGTGCTGCTGGTCAGCTCTTCAGGACCATGGACCGCCACCCCTTCCGTCCCGCACACATTCACTTGATGGTTTCAGCCGAAGGTTACAAGCCATTGATCACCCAGCTCTACCCCCGCGACGACCCTTGGGTCACCAACGACACCGTGTTCGCGGTCAAGGACGATTTGCTGCTTGACTTTGAGCCTTCCAAGGACCCCAAGGCTAAGCTCGACTTGCTGTACAACGTCACATTGGCGCCAACAGGCAAGAAGACTGGACGTCTCGATGGTATTCCCAGGCTGCCCAACGTTTTTGACGAGAGCAGCAGGTTGTAAATATGGTGCAGTGCGAGTGGCTTAAAAGTCAGAATTTTGTATATAGTGATACCTTTCGATCTCCTGCATCTTTATGAATGCCACGACTTTTGAACTTAAGTTCCAGTTAGTGATTTCAAACGTCTATTCAAATCAGCCAAGAGTTCACAACAGCACGTGTCAGTGACGAAGCAGCATACGTCAAGGCAAAATGGCTCGGTCTAACGCACTCACATGGTGGAGAAGAGCATGCCGTAACCGCATGCGATCGTTACTCGGCATATCGCACTGGTAGGGTATAAAAGGTACCATCCTGCCTTTTGTTTACCCCAATGTCCCTACGCATTGCAGGATACCTTTTCCGGCCCCCGCCACTCCTACATACAAACCTCACACGAGCACTCACGACATCACCAAACCTTGCCATGCGCGTCTCCTACGCCCCCTCGGAGCCTCCCAACGAGGAAGCCCGTCCCATCTACGAGCGCATCGCCGAGCGCCGCAAGCCACGCCCCCTCATCCCGCTCGACCTTGCGCTCCTACACAACCCCGCCGTCGCCGACGGCTGGAACTCGTTCATCGGCGCGATCCGCACCAAGACCAGCATCCCAGACGCCCTCAAAGAACTCGCCATCAGCCGCGTCGCCGTGCTCAACAAGGCCGTCCACGAATGGGACGTACACGCCGCGCTCGCGATTAAAGCAGGCGTGTCGCGCGAGACTATGCAGTTGGTGCTGGACATGCCGGTTACAGGGCGTGGATGGCGAAGGGATGGAGATATGGCAGGGTTGACGGAGGAAGAGGAGGCGGTGGTGTTGTACACAGATCAGATGACGATTGGGGTGGAGGTGGAGGATGGGGTAGTGGAGAGATTGAAGGGGGTGTTGGGCGAGACAAAGGTAGTGGAGCTTACGGCGACGGTGGCGGCTTATAATGCTGTTAGTAGGTTTTTGGTTGCGCTGGATGTGGGAGAGTGTAATGGGCGGGCGATGAAGAAGGTGGAGGAGTTGTAGTAGTTTACTCCGAGTGAAAGACAATTACATACATGGAGGTTTCTGGGAGTGAAAAGTGTCGCGGAATTAAGCCGCTGTTACCCCAGACTTCAACCGCAGGCTCCGCATTTGGCAGGTGCCTCGGCGTGCGAGCTACAGCCGTCGCAAACCGAAGCCGCACAAGACTGCGTTCTCACACTTTTCGCGAAGTAGTTTTGCATTCGACTGTATCTGTGAATCTTTCTTGGACATAAAATGGCTTCAATAACACCCCGTCTTTTCGCCCGCAGTGCGCGGCCTCTCTTCCGGTGCTCACGGACCGCAGCAATCAGCGCTCGCCGACATGCCTCGACGAAACACCCCAAAGACTTCGCACCGCCTACACAATCTGACCTTGACGAGCTTCGCGAATCAGTCCGCGAGTTCTCACGGCGAGAGATTCCGGAAGACATAGCCGCGAAGACCGACCGAGACAATGAGTTCCCCAACGACATGTGGAGGAAGTTTGGCGAAGCTGGCTTCTTGGGCATAACAGCCGATGAGGAGTTTGGTGGGCTGGCGATGGGATACCAGGCACATTGCGTCGTCATGGAAGAGCTGTCGCGAGCGTCTGGGAGCATAGGACTGAGCTATGCCGCCCATAGCCAACTGTGTGTCAACCAGTTGATGCTCAACGGCAACACTGAGCAGAAGAAGAAGTACCTACCGGGTCTCATAAGCGGAGAGAAAATAGGCGCGTTGGCAATGTCGGAACACTCTGCTGGATCAGACGTAGTCAGCATGAAGACGACCGCGAAGGAGGTCGATGGCGGCTATCTGCTCAACGGCACCAAGATGTGGATCACAAACGTACGTCTCCTCATCCTTCACACCGACACAGCATACTGACACCTCCCCAGGGCCCAGACGCCCACACCATCGTCGTATATGCAAAGACCGAACCCACCGCCGCCTCCAAAGGCATAACCGCCTTCATCGTCGACACCACGTCCAAGGGCTTCAGCATCACCAAGAAACTCGACAAGCTCGGCATGCGCGGCTCCAACACGGGCGAACTCGTCTTCGACGACGTCTTCGTGCCCAAAGAAAACACCCTAGGCGACATCAACCGCGGCGTCCGCGTCCTCATGGAGGGCCTCGATCTCGAGCGCCTCGTCCTATCCGCCGGCCCCCTCGGCCTCATGCAAGCCTCCCTCGACAACGTCCTGCCATATACACATCAGCGGAAGCAATTCGGCTACCCGATCGCGCACAACCAACTCGTCCAGGGCAAGTTAGCCGACATGTACACCAAGTTCCGCGCCTCACAGGCGTTTACATACAGCATTGCCCGCGCTGTGGACGAATCGCACGCGGACCCGGTTATCCGGACGCAGGACTGTGCGGGCGCGATTTTGTATGCGGCGGAGAGGGCGAGCGAGGTCGCGGCCGATGCAGTGCAGTTGATGGGCGGCATGGGGTATATGAATGAAGTCCCCGTGGGCAGGATACTGAGGGATGCGAAGCTTTATGAGATTGGGGCGGGGACGAGTGAGGTTAGGCGCATGGTTATTGGGCGCGCGTTTAATAAGGAGTGGAAGCAGGATGTGTGAAAATTTAGAGGGAGGAGGGGGTAGAGTAAAGAGCAGTGCATTTTGGTCAGTTATGTTTATGAGCAAAAAGCTTCTGTTGTGTGACAACTCGTGCGAGAGACCTTGGGTGAAATGACCAGACCCCGTCATTCGATACGTACCGACAGAGACTTCCGCATCAAAATTGACTCGTGGTAGGCTGTCTCTTGCTTTAAAGAAACTCCCTTCATTCGACTCCCCGTTCCTCCTCAATAGTTTTTCAGAAGCCCTCTGAAACATCCACCGATCTTGTACATGCATTCTGCGCCTGCGTTAGATCAGAGCGCGTAGGAACATAGACAATCTGTGCGTACCTTTGTTTGGACACGTCCCCGTGACTTCCTTATCCGGGCAGTCAGCGACGACATCGACATCCTTCCCATCCGTTGCCTTCTTCAGCATCGCACCCCTCGTCCCATTCCCTCTGGCCTCCCCACTCACCGCACCCATCACAGCCACGCAATCAAACCTGCCCATGTCCTTGATACACCCCTTCGGAAAAAGTTGGTCCTTTTCTTTCGGACAGACGAACTGCACCTCGACCTTCATATGCGCCTGCTCCTTCCCCCCCGCATCAGTCAGCGCAACACGCACATAATCCGGCACATTACACCAGCGCCTGATCCTCGTCTTCTTATTGACACCCACGCCCAGGTCCTTGCCCGGCATCTTCTGCGTACACATCAACGCGATGCACGCAGGACACGACGTCGTCTTGGAGTCAAACTGCAAGCAATTCTTGCCGTCCACCACCGCCAGCCTGTAGATATCCACCACCTGCTCGATGAAGATGTTCTGCAGATTGAGCCCGTACGACGCGGGGATGAAGCTGGATGCGATTCTCACGTGCACGACTTTCTCGGCCCAGAATTGCTCGCCGCCAGAGGTCGAGTATTCGCGGTTGAAGAGCGAGGCTTCGGAGCTGCAGGTGTTGGAGCCCCATTGCTTGGTGGGCGCGGGCGCGGGCGCGGCTTGTTTGGCTTTTTTGCGCGGCGTTATCGGGGGCAGGACGGGGTCGCCGCAGCGTTCGCGGAGGCCGTTGCGGAGGCCGTAGTATGTCTCGTCGAGAGACCAGGTTCCGATGTTTATGCCCTTGCTTCCGCTTTCGATGTTGAGCGTCCATGTCTCTTTTGGCTTGGGCTTTCCCTCAGGGACGGTGGTAGGTTGTGGCGAAGTTGTCGAGTTCAGAGGAGTGGGAGTGAGCGTAGATCCTGGCGTAGAGTTTGTAGAGTTCGAAGGCTTCAATGTTGTGAACGATGTGGGAGGAGGATACAAGATGAATGACAGCGAGGTCGAGAGTGTGGTCGAGGTCTGAACATATAACACAAAGCTCATACGCTCCTCGCTTTCGGCGCGTGCTCTGACTGTTGTAGGCGTTGATGAGCTAGATGTCGCAGTCATGCTTGATCGAGCTATGTTGGCCCTGATCCCGTGAACGCGACCCAATACGACCAGCGTATATAATCCGGCCAGGACGAGCAGTGATAAAAGACAGCCGCCTTGCATTTTGAAACAGCGGTAACACTTTCGATTATCAATTTGGGAAGAGTCGTGTACAGCTCAGTGAGTCAGCTTATTAACTGCATTTGAGTATGTGACTATCCAGTCTTCAAGTCACGTACGGCCTGCTTCACATGTATCGCATCTTCAATGTGCGGTGCGACAGTGAAGCTTCCCGCCCTCAATTCGCCCGTCAACTTCATACAAACTCATCGTACATGCCTCTGAGCGCAGCATACTGCGCATCTGTCAAATAGGTTTCCGTCTACATGCACATGCTCGAATTCCTGACAGAGCTTGAAGCTCTTCAACCTCTGACTGAATGTGGTATAATCAGGGGTTTGGGACCAACCATATACCTGCGCGATGCATTAATACAAGACCATGCCGTTCCTCTTGGAAGTCGCACTGACAGCTCTGAGTAGGGCCGGTCGCATGAGAAGCCACTGTGTACTTTGGCGAGTGGGCAAAGGCCAGCACTTCGTGCCATAGGCTGCCATGAGTGTGCAACATCAACGACAGTGATGAGAGACAGAAAATGGCCTTAGGCCCGCCATGTTCGTATTTAAACGCATGTCGGTAGCAATTTTGGGTTGGACACAGCCAGTCAAAGTCAAAATTAGGCGATGGAGGAGTTTACGTTATGAATCACAAATGAGATCTGACCCACATGACTATGCCCCGCAGACCCCACCATGCACTCGTCAGCGAGGTCCAATTTAGTCCACGACCTCGATAGTCGTCAAGCCCAGAAAGTGTCATATTTTTTGATGTAAGGTTATATATCTATTTAACGAAACCTTAGTCATCAATAAATTAGCAACGGCCGGTAACTCAGTGGTAGAGGTTTGTTTATCCCACTCTCTACAATTCAACACCCCACTAACAAGCAATAGTGTAGGATTGCAGCCCATCATAGCAGTTAATCCCGAAGTCACCGGTTCGACTCCGGTTCGGCCCTTGATTTTTGCTTTCTTTTTGCTTCCATTGTGTGAAGTTCTTCTACCTAAGAGGCACCACAAAACAACATTTTTCTTCAACGAGGAATTCTGCTACCATCTCTTTACTGGGCGACATTCAAACAACGTGATGAAGATGCGGAATCTCAAAATGAGGACTGCGAAGTGGGGCCCAATGCGGTACCTCACCGGGAAAGGTCAGCCTCCGCCTTCCAGTTCGAGAATCAAGCCACCACAGTGCTCGGGTCTCGGAACATGGCGCACCGTTCTCCAGTAGCTTTTCATTCGTAAAGCTGCGGCGAGCCTGATCACCATGGGTCTATATTCTAGTGAAGCTCTCAGTGGGGTGGGCTGCATCATCATTCTTTGCATGATTTTCCTGCAGCTCGCGCACAACCCGACTCACCAATTTAGATATCCCATTCCACTACAAAGCCTGTGAACTGATTGCGGGGTTATTATGAAAGACAAAGTCGTCGTTGTCACGGGCGCGGCCTCAGGCATTGGGCTCGAGACCGCGCGACTTCTCGCAAGCAAAGGCGCCAAACTTTCTCTCGCGGATGTGCAGGAAGATTTATTGAAAGAGTTGGAAGCTGAACTCAAACAATCAGGAGCTGATGTTGTAACCCACGTGGTGGATATCAGGGACCGCAAGGCTGTCGAAGCTTGGATCGCTGCAACGGTCGAAAAGTTTGGCAAGCTGGATGGTGCCGCCAATCTTGCAGGTGTCACAGGAAAGCAATCCAACGCCGTTGAGATTGAGGATATTGACGACGATGATTGGGACTTGGTCATGGACGTGAACGTCACCGGCCTTCGCAACTGTCTCCGAGCTCAGGTGACGCAGTTCAACGAAGGAGCTGCGATTGTGAATGCTTCCAGTATCCTCGGCGTGATAGGCGCACCCAAGAACTTGGCGTATTGTGCGTCAAAACATGCTGTTGTTGGTATGACCAGAGTTGCGGCGAAGGAGCTTGGGCCAAAAAAGATTCGCGTCAACTGCATCTGCCCGTGAGTAGGGTGTGCAGTGTTAAAGAAAAGAATGCTGACAAGATTGTAGAGGGCCGATTGACACGCCTATGCTGCGAAACGCGTCTGCGATTCAAGGCCATGCGACAGACTTCAGTTTCCTTCCACTTGGACGAAAGGCGCACCAGAAAGAAGTGCCGCCACTCATCGAGTTCTTGTTGTCCGATGCGTCGTCCTTTATAACAGGAAATGCGATGCAGATTGATGGAGGATGGTTTTGCTAGATGCAGAGCACAAAATCTAGGTGAAGTCGTAACAGACGAGCCAGAGCGTCACCTTAAGGCAATTAAGGGACGGGATAGACGCTGCCGGAAGACGCTCCGTAGATAATTTGAGCTCATACGCATTCCAGAGACTACAAGTACCAAACTCTGATCATGATGTCATCACCTGAGTACAACTACAGGTCAATTCCCAACGAGCTTGTTCACTGAAGGTAACAACAGTAAATCATTCCAGAGAAAATCGCCGAACACACCTGCTTTTGCCACCCGGTCGATCAATCAACCATGTCTGAAAGCCAGCTCATTCGCGTCACCGTCTGCGCAAGACGCAATCCCAAACTGTCGGAGGAAGAATTTGAGGACCACTGGAAGAACAAGCATGGACCTCTGATCACTTCATGGCTGAAGACGTACGGTTGTGCCAGATATGTGCAGGTATACTTCTCTACTTTCTCTTGTACCCACGATGTAACAGTAGCTCATTTCCACATCGCTGTCCACTGACTCAAAAACCAGTATCGGACTTCGTCCGCGCACAAATCACGACTTACACTAAATACGATGCCATACGATGGTATTGCAGACTTTTGGTACAAGTCTTATGAAGACTTTGAGAAAGCCTACGAGGACGAGTATTACCTCAACGTGGTGAAGAAGGACGAAGAGTATCTGTTTGATATGGCTAGTGTGACAGTAACGACTGGCACTGAGCATACGATCATCGAGGATGGAAAGGTCGTTCGTGATTCGTGATTGACGATTGGAAGTGTACAAGGCGAGAAAGAGAATCGCCTAAACTGAATTGGGGAAGGTGTACCTAGCATCCCCGCAGGTACTCTTCATCTCCCCCGTCTCGAGCGATGCACCATAAGTAGAAAGGATATTGGACAACCTGTTATCAGCTTCTAGCGATATTTTGCCTGCTGTTATTTAATATTGTTGAGCGCCTCGCAATTTGCTGCAATTGGCAGTGACAGGATCAAAAACGTAGCAAGCTACCAAATCGCATACCTGGCTTTCAAGTCTACATCGTAAGCGAACTCCACGCGTGATCTGCTCAATCAAATTGTGGTACGGGATCCTCTTGCTCTATCAATCCGTGCCGCATGGGCAAAGCATCTGTCCCATCGGATGTTCGGAGACGCTTACCCGGCATTACTTAATGTCGGCGCTACTGGCTTCAACAGCAGACAGCAACAAACTCTCTATCCATTCAACTGCTACTTGAATACCATAAATCTTAACATATCTCCAGTTATCGAATTTTCAGGCTGCTTTCTTCTCAAAATGCAGTCCATCGATCAGCCGCTCAACGGCAAAATCTTGCTCATCACGGGAGGTGCATCTGGTGAGCAGTAAAGCGCCGCATGCTTCTCGCGATATCAACTCATCAAGAACAGGCATCGGTTTGGGACTCACCAAGGAAGCTCACGCCATAGGCGCAAAAGTGCTCGTAGCCGATCTCAAAACCACACCCGATTTCGATGCCTTCGCCGCAAACAAAGACAACATCCTCTACGTGCAGTCCGATGTGACGAACTGGGCAGACTTTACTAAAATCTTCGATGCATGCGAGAAGAAGTGGAATGATGTGCCTGATGCGTACGGCATCTGCGCTGGCCTGTTCGACCCGCCGTTCTCGAATTTCTGGCAGGATCCAGAGCAAGATGAGGGGTACAAGCAGGTCGACGTCAATGTAAATCATCCGATCAAGTTGACGAGGATGGCGCTGAGGAAGAGCCTGGGTAAAGGGAAGAGAGCTAGTGTTTGTATCATTGTACGTTGCTATGCCGTCAATGAATTTTGCAATGGATACTGACTCGCCCAGGCATCGGTTGGGGGCATATCAGGAAGTCTAGCCGCGCCTCTTTATTGCGCCACAAAACATGCCATGGTAGGCTTCGTAAAGTCGATGAAGGACAGCGAGTCTCTTACTGGAGTCAAAATCACCACCCTTTGCCCTGCAGGCGTCATGACCCCGCTTTTCGACGCCGAGAAGATCAAACAGTACTCGGCAACGGAGGCAGGTTACCTCACGCCGCAGGATTGTGCCAAGCATCTGCTTGATCTGCTGCAAAAGAAGGAATATGCATGTGGGACTGTGTTGGAGCTTACGATTGAGGGAACGAGAATCATCCCGGAGTGGAATGTAGCGCCGCTCAGAGTCAAGGGTACGGGACAAGAGGAAATGGATGAAGAGTTCTTGGGCAATTTGTTGAGGCCGGTCAAGCAGGCGGTGGAGAAAGATAAAGCGAGTGCGAAGTTGTAGTGTATATTAAATGAATAAGAGCTGATGACTTTGAAGCCCTTTGGCGCGTCGTGCTGATGAACAACCACGGTACCACCGTTTTCTACCAGCTCCACACTTCCGAACCGAAACCCTGGCTCTGAAACTCGAATGAAAAAAAAAAGTTCTCCCACACCTGAGATCTAGCAGGATGGAAGATCTCACTGTAGAACCCAGGTGTACCTCCTTTCAGGCCAGATTCGTCGCATTGTAGTATCGACCTCAGCTCGTACAGCGCTGAGTTCTACTCTCTCGAGTGGAAGCGATGAGCATTATCGCAAAGTTCAGAAAAGGCTCCGGCATATCGTGATATGCCTATTGCGCAAGAGCTTCAGGCGTGCAAAGAGCTCGCCTGACGTGGGGAGGCATGTATCGACGGCAGTTCTCCACGCGGTCGCCGTAGAAGACTTTCTGGTAGTCTTCCGGTCCCCAACCCCACCAGTTGGGGACGTCGAAGGCGCGTGTTTCGTCGATCTGAGTAACCAGAGCGCCCAGGAAGGCGATGAAGACCGGGGAAAACTTCATGATGTGCTGAGATGGGGGTAAAGTGGTGAGGATTTTGGATTTTGAGGTAGTAGTTTGGATGTTGGTGAGTGGGCGCGAGATGGGAGAGATGGAAGGGCTTCGAAGGTTTTATAGTTGCGAGACAGAGGCTGAATTTAGCGTTCCGGCAATTCAGCTAACATCAAGATGAAGCAATGTGCGGATGCTGTTCGGTACATGCCCGAAGCATTTTAAGGAAGCCTAACAGGCCCGTCCCGCTGATCGATAAGCCCGAGTAACAAATACTGGAAGACGCCCATGTCTACCCTCTGAGCTCGTCGATGTGAAGCACTTTTGCCAGTAGTCAGGACGAAAAGGAGACCGACGAAAAATTGTGTGAGCTTCATGTTGCGGGGAGAGCATGATGTGATGAAGTGAAATGCGGCTAGGTTATGATGTCTTATTCGATTTATCAAGCAAAAATGCAAACGCACTCTGTAGTGTTGCAGAGTGAGGTTCCGAAATGTACTATACACAAATAGCTCCGATTTTTAGTGCCGGAAACGGGCCGCATTCTTTGATCCTGTACCAAATTTATGTGATGTGGCTTTGAAGTATGGTTCCCAGAATCCTCGTATTCGCGTTGACCAATCAAAGTAGGTATACATGTGGAGAAATTTGTTGTACCAGGACGATGTTGCAATACAGAGCGGTGGTACAGCCTCTCATCTAGCATCTCGATGTAATATTCTTCACTAGACTTCTAGCAAAGAGCAGTGTCGCCGGCGCAAGTCATGTCCCGCATTGGATGTAATCTGTAGTGTCGTCGAATGACCTCGAAATTGGAAACGAGTTGTTCTCGTAGATGCCCATTGCGTAAGTCTCCGGACCGAAGTAGTCTAGTTTGAGGTCCCCTGGCATTGAAGCATGACGTACACATGATGTATGCCACAACGAATCAATTCGAATAGGCCCGACATTCATAAAATAGATAAGTAGCGACACCTTCGCGGAGACTGGTCGTGGAACGTGCGACAGAATCTGCCTGTTTGTTTCTCGCGTTTGCAATGAAGACACTTCCACATCGGCTTCCCTGTTCATTACCACTATGTCAATTCACTCGTGGTCATTACGATGCCACCAACTCGCGCGTCGAATTCGCGTTTCCATTCTGGCATCATAGACCGCGGCCGTGGTTCTGCTACGCCTTCATCAAACACTTCTAGGGTCGCCTGGTGCATTTCTGCCATTCTCCATGCAGTACTTGATCTATACTGCCTTATGACGGTCTTCTCAAGATTGAGGAGTTTGTCTTCTCGTCGTATCTTAATGTTCTTGAAAAGCGCCTGCAGCGCATCCTTGGATGGATAGGGATAGTCGGTGTTTACATGCAGCTCCCGGATGCTATCAGGCAGCATGTCGCCCATACATGGTATGTCGTTATGTACCCACAACGTAGCACCGTCTGGCGCATAAGCGTCGCGCCCGCGACGCTGGCCGCTTTCGAGCGGTGGACCACAGAAGACAGCAACGTCTACTTCAAGTTTTTGGAGCCTGACGAAGCGCATGAAAGAGGATAGACCATTGACAACTTCGCCGTGTAGTTCGTCAATCGTTATTGCGAGCTCTTGAAGCTGATTGCCGAGGTAATTCGCGATCACTTCCACGAACGCACCGGGATTCCAGTCGGTCTCGAGACCATCCCATTTGGTTTGGTGAGAATAGCGAAATATTGTAATCGCAGGAGTATTGGCCAATAAGACTGACAGTGCACCGGCATCGATGCAGCAACTGGCAAGCTCAATTCTGGTCAACGGGGATTTGAGGCTTGTTGGCCACTCGAATGGCATATTGCTCCAGTCGTCCTCTAGAGCGACGCAACTAACAGCGTAAAGGTTGCGGACGCTATTGAGACACATGAAAGGCTGGATACATTGCAAGCTGGCGCGCACATCGTAACCCTCCTCCACAAAAGGCAATAGGGTTTCTAGGGAACCCAGTGGCCTTCGTGCACTACGGCTAGTATTCGACATTCTGATCAGCGATTCGACAACGGGCACCAAAGATTCGGCGGCCTCGTCTCTCCGGATCTCATGCCATCGATCAGGCAACTGAAGTGTTTTGAGGTTAGGGAGAAGAGCCAGCAGCGCGACCGTTGCATACAGCTTATCGACACCCATTTCTTCGCCCGCCGCATCTTCGTCCAAGATTTGTTGCCACCACTCGTCCTGGCCCACGAGGGCGGAGTAGTCGGCATTCTGGAGCAAGGCCTTGATGTTCATCATGGCCGTCTCATCGTTACGGAAGTCATCTGCCACGGGCTCTTTTGGCATCTGGTTGTCTACGCGCTGGTCCCACAGACTCAAAGACGTAATGTACTCTGCAATGATGGGCTCACGTGATATTTCGTAAAGAACGTTGAGGGTGTCTCCACAACGCGCCTGGCTTGCATTGGTGGCATGGCTCCATGTCTTTTTCAGCGCATTGTGTCGCTCAATTTGTGACTTCGCACGCTCGAACACAGCCTTGCACGAGAGCACGAAATTCTCCAGGCCATGGGGCGCGGCTGCGCCGATGATGAGATCTAGAAGTTCTGGGGGTAGATCGAGGAGGCCCATGACAATATTCGGAGGGGGAGTGAATACAGCGGGACGAGGGGTGCGCCAGGAGGGGCGAGGACAGTGGAACAATCGGGTGCGACCAGCAGCAACGATGATGTAGCTGCCCTTTGAACGGGGTGAACGTGAAATTAGGAGCGAGAAGGAGTACAGTCAGCGAGGACATGCTGTCCTTCGAGTTCCAGCCAGTATTTTCTATTTTCTTCCGCATCTCGCTCGAGTCGCACCGAAACATGATCGCAGACACTTCATTGGCAACGGAAATCTCATCCGAACGAATGAAAGAGGCGTGATTGCGGTCGTGCTTACCGAATACGGACGGCGCACTAGTGGCGACAAAACTAACAGCCGCGCAGCACGTGTGACAAGGATGCGGTGTCGAGAGAACATTTTCTGCGTGCGCTGATATAGACACTGCAGATAATTACAGACGTTGACAGGGTCATCAAGGACCGTCTAGTGCCTTCACAAAGATTGCCAGTGGAGCATATCGTGCGTGCGAGGCAAACTGTGAGTAAGTAACAAGTGTCATTGTTGTCAACATAAATAGGGATTAATAACTGACGTGCATGTTCAGGTCTCCTCGAGCATCATCAAAATCTAGTACCGAACTTGTAATTATTAGGACACCTCCGCTGAGATTTTACAAACTGCGAAACTATCATACCAAACTTCCTCAGTCCCGTTTGTCTCCGCCGTCATTGATGTGTAGGTGTTCAAGCTCATCCAGTGGTTGTGGATCCACAGTGCGCAGAATGAGTGTGCTACGTTCATTTCTCGCGGCCGACTGCTCTTGATAAATTTCCTCGCTTGACTGAAAGATCTTATGAAAACTCGCATCGATTTGCTCTTCAAGAGACAAAGGCGTATAGTACACCGAGGACTCAGCGGACACAGCCGGCGATGGCTGTTCGCCATGGCTCAATTCTAGAGTCACTCTGCCCACATGTAGCGGCCGCGCTGGTTCTGGCTCGGCATGCGAGGGCGACTGTTGGGAGGGTTGTGTTGATTGTAGACCGGAGGGATTCAAGAGACCTTGGCGACACTGGTTGCCATGGAACGGCTGCAAAATTTCTGTAGTAATGAGTCTGTTTTGGTCGGAAGCTTGAAGAGCTGCCTGTTGGCTTGTCCACGCAGAGACTGAATGACCTGCATTCATGCTCAGTGAAGGCATGACCATTTCGGGAACACTGAAGTTGTGACCGCGAACATCTTCAACTACTGGCATGGGCGATGCTGGTGCAAGCACGTCGAGGAATCCCAAAATTCTCTGTCTGATGTCTTTGTCGTTCACATTGGCGCTAGAAGCCTCATATCGGCGTGGATAATACTCGCCATATGCGAGGCCGTCCTCCGAGCCCGTAATCGAGATACTTGACGCGGAAAGTTTAGGAAGACTCTCTGGCCTGGAGTAATGTTCCGTCGTCTCCGTTGACTGATTGAGACCAGATGAGAAGCCTTGTTCCTCGAAGCTCAGATTGAATTTCTCGGAATTTACAATGCTTTCATCTGAGCTGGGAGGTGTTTCCTGGGTCTCTTCGCTAGAATGGTCGTCTTCCGCAGGGTCCCGTCCAGCTACAGGTTGTGGCGCTGCACGGTTGATGTCATACTCGAATCGAGGTTTGCCGGATCGCATCTCTTTCAAGTACACTGGTAGCTCTGTGATGGCCGTAAGAGGAAAGCCTCGGCGATTCATGCAGAACCTCTGAACCTCAGCAGGTGTGAGGACGTTGTTTGGTACCACGTCACCAAATCGTTTACCTAGTCGGTCGACTTCCTTCTTTGGCATTGCCAAACGCTTATCACTACCAAAGATGCGAATGAACGTGATCGCAGCCGTTATCTTTGTGCTATAGCCGAGGAATACTGTATGGTCGATTCTTCCAGGACGGATCAATGCTCCATCAAGCGAGTCGGGTGCGTTCGTGGTGAGTATCACAACGTGACCTTCCTTTGAGCCTGGTCCGTCGAGTGTGTTTAGAAGCCCGCTAAGAGTAACTTGGGTCTTTCGAGGTGGTGGTTCTTTTGCTTTGCGGGTGGCGCGCTTTTTTCGAGTTCCATCGCGCTCAGAATCATCTTCAGAATCCTCACTGTCTGATTTCCCTTTTCGAGAAACCATTGTGCTCTCCCTTGTAACGCCAGCAGCGTCAATGTCCTCGAACAGAATGACACATCGCGTGGGTAGTTTTTGTACCTGTTCCTGCAAGGTACTGTCGTTCATGTTGGCCAGATTGATCATGTAAAGAGAAAGATCGTAGTGGCTGGCGATGGCGGTAGACAAGCTTGTCTTGCCGGTTCCGGCAGGGCCATAAAATAAGTATCCTCTTCGATATGGAATCCCATTCTGGTGGTAATATCCCTCGGTGTCTTCGTCAAAGAAGTCCTGGAGGTCGGCAACGAGTTCCTGTTTGACCAGTGGATCAAGATCGACCGTTTCTATGAGGCGCTTGCGACACCTGCGCTCTAGCCACCCGCCTTCGGAACGGTACGAATAGGCAATGTTAGAGAAAATGCTGAGGTTGCTCGTCTGGGACTTGGCGTTCTTCTGAACCTCTTTCAGCAGACTCTCGATGGGTTTGGCGTTGCCCCATAGGCAACGAAGCGTACTCTTGACTTCCCACAAACCTTTCGGCTTGCACAAGACGAAAGGTATACCTTGATAGGAGAAAGGCGTACACCCCGCAGAGCTGAGCAGTTCGTGAGTCTTCTCTCCCTCGATCTTCTTGGTCCCGTTTTTTTGAGAAACATCTGTCCACTCAAGGTGCTCAAAGCTTGGAAGCAATGAAAGCATGGCATGCGACGGCTGTCTTCGGATCCAGATGCGTAGATCAGTCAGAGCCGCGTCGTTCTCGGCTAATTCCAGTGAATTGGTCACATTTTGGGATAGCCATGAGATGGCCACTTTGCCATACTTGCTCACCGAAGCAAAGATGGCAATAGCCCATACCAAGTAGGTGAGGTCCAATCCAACCTGGCCACTGATCCACTTGCGAACAAGTTTGAAAAGCGGCGCGCTCATGCTTTGCTGAATACTTTGATCGAACAAGTCATCAAGGAAATTTGGGCGCCGACTTAACGCATGACTCTTTCTCCGATTTCCTCTACGATCGTCATCGTGGTCGTCGTCATCGTTGTAGCTATCCATGGCTGTGTAGACTGGAGATGATACAGAAGTTATCCTGGTGCGCCGCAATTACGCTTTCCGGATCGCGCACAGTGGAATCGGGTTGAGGACTTGAGAGTTGGATGCTGATGGGCAAGAGGGTGGTGAGTATGGCGACGTGGATTCCCACAAAATTTTGCTTTTACACACACTAGCATACCGGCCATAGCTCATCTGAGCACCGCCAGTCCAAGGCACCAGCTGGAACACTGTTACACTCGATGTTGTTGCTCATTTGAGAAAGGGTCGTGAAAGCTAGGTGGCGAATATCTGCTCAGTCATTCAGGACCGAATGGTATGAATCCAGCACTCGTAGTAGGCTATTGACCGCGCTAACGGCCTCCGGCACAAAGAAGCCATAGAATGCCAATGAGTGTAGCTATAAATCCTTGGGCCCCTCATATAAGAGGTCGATGTTTGTATGAAGAAGGGGAAGTGCACAAGTATGCTCTGCAGGAAGAAGTATGATCGATCACAAATGGCCACACGGCATCGTGCTGCTTATGCTTTGCGAAACCTTTCAGATGATTTGTCGTGTGGCCAGCCGATACCGACGACCGCTTGTATAGTACAACTGCATGTCGATGTCAATGTCAGGGAATGGTTTGATCGGGGACGGTGCTTCTGGGGTGAGAAAGACGCGCCGAAGCGTGCTAGAGACTAGCGTTTCCCCTCACAGATTGCACACGAGACACATGGGGACTCCAACAATGCAACACAAGTGTAAACGACCTGAGAAGGACATCGTTTTCCCGCTGCAGAGATGCGCAATCAGTGTCTTGTTTATCCAGCGACGCTCCTCGCCGCCATGATCATGCGTGATGCACGTTTCGCGGCTTCGATCGTAGAGTCTCAATTCCATTCTAAAGGTTCTCATTGGGCAATGACATCCTTATCCTGGTTAAGCTTCCTTGATGTGGGGTTAGTGTCGTAACGCGATAGGCTTAACTTGCCATCCCCTGCAGAGAAGCATTGTAGCGCATTGCGATACGAACCCTTCTCATGGAAGAAGATTTCGCCGTGATTCGTCAAATATACTGCCATGTCTGTCGCGGAAAAACACAGTGCCTCTTAATCAGTGTTAGCGCGTGCGCAGCATCGAGTGTTGGTTGATGAAGTCATGAGCAGCGCCACGAAGATGCAGAAAGTCGACAATACAGGGCGGCTTTATGCTGATCATATGGAGTTGTACTGCGCCGCCCAAGGATCAAGCGCCGCGCAGGGGCCACCGCAGTCCGACCGGCCGGGATTTGACAGCGCCAGAACTTATTTCCGCTTCGAAGGATCAGGGCTTGAGGGGCTTATCTATGACAGGGGCGAAGAACGTGACAGTAGTCCACACACAATTGCTCGATGCAGCCCAATGATGCGACTGCTATGTCTTTGGCATATGTCGGCACTGCGGCACAGTCTGTGAGTCGGGACATCCAGGCCCGTGAGTGCAAAGTGGCACGAATGAAAGCTTCCCATCACAATTGCTCAATGTCACCTGGCAGACACTAGCTGGTTTGCCGGGCCCTAGTTCATGCGAACATGCCTGACTTCAGCCTCGACCCTTCTATTTGCTTCGTATACAGATGTGAGCAAGTACACGTTGAGTTGTCCGAGGTCTGACCGAAGACTGTGCACGCTCTCGGTAACAGCCCAGTTTGGAGTTAGATACCGCGCCTGTGGCACCATAAGCTTTGTCAAGACACGAACCATGGAGCTACTAGCAGAGAAGCTCCCGAGGAACAACTTTAGGGGCGCGCGCTTGTGCGGCTTGTGTTCAATCAAGCAACACTGTCCAAGATAACAGCTGTACCAAATCAGGCAGGCCGAGAGCTTGTACCAACCTCATCTCCATTCATTCCCGCGCGTGGCAAGCGCTAGGCGCAAGCATCTACCCCGCTCCTCCCTCAATCGCCATAGTGTCGACGATATTTTGACTACCACCAGCATCCAAGGTCGCGTGCTGCCGGTTGGTACGCGGCCAAAGGCGTTTACCTCCAACCAATGGTGCTAGGTTTGCTTTACACCGAGCTCAGGGTTTCTGGTCGCGCTACCATGCTTCGTTCGAACCCTTTGCCAAACATGGAAGTAGCTCCATAGATAACGTATTGACGCCGCGGTGATCCCAGTCTCTCCAACCGTTTGTGTAAGCTTATCTCGTGGACGGGCTGGGAGGGCAAGTTACATTTAACCAGTGTCCTCTCCCATGGCCTTCTTTTGTCCCTGGCCGAGTAACCTTCTACCTCTTCTACCCTTTCCCCACCATCAAGATGTCGTCCAAAAGCTTTGGTAAGCGGATGGGCTTCAAGAGGTCAAACACTGACAGGGAACCCGTCACTGTGACCGAATTCACCGATGAAGGCGGAGAACGGGCTGGCAACAGTAGCATGGTAGCAGGCCATGGAGATGCCAATCCCATCATCGAAGAGGTGGTGCGCGACATCAGCGAAACCGAAGCCAACCATCGGCTCTCTGCTTTTCGCCGCGACCACAAATGGGACCCGAACATGCCAGACGAAGCCATTGAGATGGTTGACGCGGTCACTGACGCTCACGACCACAAGGGCGAGGCACATCTCGTCGGAGAAGTGATTGAGAATTCACCGTATCCCGAAGTAAGTGATTGAAGTTCACCATGCCATGCTCTCAGCTAATCATTCTTGAGGTCCGCGCAGTTGTCCGGAACTACGATGAAGACGTGCCAACATCCACGATCCGAGCCTGGACAATCGGCCTTCTCATGACTACTATCTGCTCATCGGTGAACGCTCTTTTCTTGTTGCGTTATCCGATCGTCTCAATTGGCCCATACGTCGTATTGCTGTTGGCTTACCCAATCGGGCTCCTCTTTGCGAAAGTTCTCCCGAACAAGGAATTTTCCATTTTCGGCCTTAAGGGCAATCTGAACCCTGGACCTTTCAATGTCAAGGAGCATGTTATCATCGTTGCAATGTCAAACGCCGCTTTTGGTGGTGGAGCTGGCTACTTCATCGATACTGTGGTCTCACTGCGCAAGTTCTACAATTTCGACACAAGTTCATTTGGCTGGGGTTTTAACATTCTCTTCGCCCTGTCCACTCAGTGTCTCGGTTTTGGACTTGCAGGTTCTGTCCGAAAGTTCCTTGTCGAGCCCGCAGCTATGATCTGGCCGGGCGCTTTGGTGAACGTTGGCTTCTTGTATGCTCTTCACGATCATCGGAAGAGTGACCCTTCCAAGACCAATGGTTGGTCCATATCCCGTTACCGGTGGTTCATGTATTGTATGGGCGGTATGTTTGTTTGGTCTTGGTTACCTGACTTCATCATCCCGGCGTTTAGCACTTTCGCCTGGGTCACCTGGATCAGACCCAATAACGTTGTCATCAACCAGCTTTTTGGTCAGTCAACCGGAATCAGCCTCGGATTTCCCTTCACTGGCTTCACTCTTGACTGGGCACAAATCAACGGATTTTTCAATAGTCCGTTGATCAGTCCCTGGCATGCGCATGCCAACACTGGTATTGGCATTATATTCTTCGTCTGGATCATCATTCCCGCCCTCAACTTTTCCAACGTCTGGTATGGTGACCACGTGTCCATATCTCAGAACAGCATTTTGGACAACACTGGCAAGGTCTACAACACCACCCGAATCCTCACCCCAGAGCACGTTGTAGATCCCTCCAAGTACGAGGCATACTCACCTCTATTCCTCTCTACCGCGAATGCGTTCGCATATGGCCTCAGCTTCGCCAGCATCGCGTCTCTTGTCAGCCACACTTACCTATTCCATGGAGCCGAGATCTGGCGTCGCTGGAGGTCGTCCACAGGAGAGCTTGATGATGTCCATATGAAAATCATGCGCAAGTACAAGCTCGTGCCTACTTGGTGGTATCTCGGTCTCATGGCAGTTATGGTTGCCTTTGCCTTCGCTTCCGCTCTCGCATTTCCTACCGGAATGGCCTGGTACTCTGTCGTCCTTTCCTTGATCATTGCAGCCACATGGACAATTCCAATCGGTATCATCCAAGCTTTCACCAACATCCAGCTTGGTCTCAATGTGTTCACTGAGTTCATAATCGGCTATGTCCAGCCTGGCCACCCCATCGCCATGATGATGTTCAAGACCTTTGGTTACATCGTCATGACTCAAGCACTGTACTTTTGCCAGGACTTGAAGATTGGCCACTACATGCACGTACCCCAGCGCTCGCTCTTCACCGCACAATTGGTGGCTACCGTATGGTCGTGCTTGTGCCAGCTTGCCACAGTCGAATGGGCGATGGGAGCTATCAAGGGCGTGTGCACGGCGGCCGCAACTGGCTCATTCACGTGCGCATACATCAAGACATTCTACAACGCCAGTGTTATCTGGGGTGCTATTGGCCCCAAGCACTTGTTCTCCGGAGATTCCACCTACAAGAATCTCCAATTCATGTGGCTTGCTGGATTTGCTGCTCCATTCCTCGTCTGGGGTCTTTCGCGCATGTTCCCCAGAGTCAGCCTGATCCGAAAGATTAGCATGCCCCTGGTCTTCGGCTGCATGAGCTACGTTCCACCTTACTCCCCCATGAACATTGTAAGTTTCCACCATTCCCGCCTCCAGATTTTATGCTAACCATCTCATCTAGCTTTCATGGGTCCTGGTCGGTTATGTCTTCAACAAATGGATTCGGAACAAGTACCGTGGCTGGTGGATGCAGTACAACTACATCACTTCCGCTGCGCTCGATGTTGGGCTTGCGCTTTGTAACATCCTCCTATTCTTCTGCGTTCTTTTACCTGGAGCTGCTATGCCCGACTATTGGGGCACAACATGGGTCGCCGAGACCCTTGACATGTCTCAACAGGCGGTGAGGAGTGTTGTCGCCAAAGGTGAGTATTTTGGTCCGAGAAAGGGAGAGTGGAAGTGGTAAATTGTGGTTTTAGTGGAGGCCCTGGCCGGTTTAGAGACCTGGGATAGAACATGCACTGAGTATGGAGATCGCAAATTCATTCTTTCATCATGCATTCTTCACAATTTGTTGCATTATAATGCTGCGTATAGAATCATGCCTGCACGAAGACAAGGCGACCTGAATTGAAGTTCGAGCTGTATTATTTTGTTTTTGGAATCTTTGTGCGTAACGTAAATACCCCATTGTCATTTCCCCGTCGCTCTAGACCATTCTACCAATCATTCCACACGCAACACATCCTCATACTCTGAAGGGTTCGGCGCGACTGATCAGAGATATACCATGTGATACAGATCCACAGTGTCATCACCTCCACCACCATCCTCCATATCATCGATCGGACCATCATGAGGATACACATTCTGACGACTTACAACGTCCGGGTGACTTGCACTGCGATACCGCTCAATTGCTGCTGGAGAGAGGAATGATGAAGTTTCGCGTGAATCAAGCACCGAAAGCATAGAGAGTGGTGCCTGCAGCTGGACCTTACGTTTATCTGCCATATTGGATGTTCAGTGATAGTTCTTCATCGTGGGAAAAGCGTGTATATTCTGGCTGTGCGTTGTGAAAAAGCTCAAGTAAGCAAGTTCCCGGGTTAAGAGGACATATAAGCGCCGACCACCTGCAAAATAGCAATTGGTTTACTCATGTTTGACAATCCCTAACCTCCGGAGCAGGGGTAAGGCTGTTGCTCGGAGGCTAGAGACATCCAATGGATGTTCGCGGAAGGAGCCACCAGGAAGCGTCCCCGTTGAACTATTTTGCACATTTTGAATGAAGTGATCACAATACTCAATTATCGAAAACTACAAATTTTGAAGTACTCGAGGCGGTCGGTTGTTCTGAATACGCTGTCTCGCCAGGGGAATCGAGCCAGTACAATTTTAGCTAGACCGGAATATCGGCGGCCTCCGCGCCACATCTCGCTCGTACTCGGGCGCGTTGCACCGCGCAAGATATTACCCTCTCTTTCCTGTATATGTGCACGCAATGGCAGCACATCCAGTATCGCATATCTGCTTTGCTCTCATCATTACCTTCATGATGATGGGAATGGTGCACTGCGGCTCTCCTCACCTGCCCGATGAGCAGCTGCCAACCGAAGATACGGAGGTTGCGAAACCGCGAGCTCCCTCACCACAAGAGATTGTATGTTTAACCTGCCGCAAGAGTTGCATGTTGAAATCTAATTTTTTTAGGCTGCATCGATGAACACGCATTGGGACACGTGGGAAGAGGCTGAGGAACATTGCAAAAATATATGCGAAGCATCGTGGATTGCGTGTCGACTGAGGCAATGCGAAGATGTGCCAGGAGTGCGAAGACCAGATGAACTATGAGGAAGAGTCGGGACGGCATTAAATTCGTCTCATGCATAGAGTATCGCCTAAGATGTGCTTGGAGTAACCATTAAGCTGGAGCGGATCGCCAAAGTTACTTCCAAGTCCTGGAAAAATTGGTATGCTCAATATGAGAGCCATGTGGGGTCGAGCTGTAGTACGCCCAGGAACACACAATGCCGGTAGACCCCACACTATGTGTATATGATCAAAGGATTCCTTACGGCAGTCCATATTGACGGAAGAAAGTCGCATAAAGGCTATTGGCCAATATCATCCAGGAACAAGGCTCTCCGGGTATAAACTAGGTTTGCGCAAACTTCAAAAAATGAACTTTGAAAAGCAGTACAATTCCTGTCGCTTCAAACCAAGGAGAAGGACCAATCTTCGAAAGAGTGATTTCACCATGATCTCAAAAGCGCTCAAGCTCATTACATTGGCGACAGTTTCGACAGCATTCGAGTGCACTCGCTCGCACCTCGAAAATGTCGCAACACAGTACGTTGGCATGATGGCGACTGGGCAACACGATCTCTTCGAGAACCTCGCGTACACTATGCAATACGTTGAGAACAACAAGACCAGCACAATCATAAATGGTACACCAGCCTTCGGAATGACAATAGACTCGAATCGCTCAATGTTGGATACGACTCAGTGCAAGACGTTCACGGAGATCATTGTGACCGATCCTAAACATCCGTATGTCATTCACACGCAAATGACGCTTGACGACGAAGGCAACGTGGTTCTGATCGATAGCCTGGTGACAGACAAAGGCGACTGTACGTCAATGCTTCGCACTCAGCCTGCAAGATGGTCACTAACTCATCTCCAAAGGGGCCTTCAACGCGACAGGTTACAAATACTGGAATAGTCAAGAGAACTGGGATCCGATTCCAGAGAATATGCGCCTCCCCCGGGAGACGATCAAAGCCGCCGGTGACGCCTACGCAAACCGCTGCAACGACGTCTCAGTTCATGTGCCGTTTGGCACACCCTGTGCTCGTCTTGAAGGTGGCGCATACACTGGACGCGGCAACTTATCTGCAAACACGTGCGATATTGGCGGACTACCTGAGCATATCCCGATGGTAAATCGTCGGTACGTTGTTGACGAGGTATATGGCGTCGTTGATGTCTTCATGGGATTCACTGGCCTCGATCGCACGCGAAATGACACGGCAACGCCGGACAGTCATCTGTTTAGGGTGGAAGATGGAAAGATCAGGTATATTCACACCGCGAGCGCTTGCTTCGTTGACGGGTGTGGCATGAATGGTACGGGGCCGCCGCCGGGCGCGATCAGGCGTCGTGGGTTATCTTTCAATGTATGAAGGAGCGACAGTATAGGTCTAGACTGGTCAAAGTGTCTTGAAGCAGCAAGACAAGTGGGAGCTGTTAGTCTCAGTCATTGTGTCACAACTGCATATTAAAACTCTTCAGACATAATCTCCTCTTTCATCTTCAAACAACTTTGCTCACAATCTATTTGAATACCTTCACAATGTGTCAACAGGTCAAGACTCGCCACGTCGACTGTCCCCACGTTGCGCGTGACCTGTACATACTCAAATGTGCACAAGACAGTCGTGGACGGCCATGTCAATATATACTGACCGGCATCCCTGATTGGGTGTGGCTCGAGACACGAGAGGAAGGCAAATGTCACTTTTGCACACTGGAAGAGGCCGATGTGCAGGAGAAAGACCGTAGAAGAAGGGGTGCGTTGAGACGGCTGGATCTAGAGCGTGTAAAGAGAGGCTCTTGAGGAGGAGCTAAGGGAGGAAAGAGTCTCTCTAGCTTTGATAGATGTCATATATAACAATCAAAGTTGGCAATTTGGGGTGCTTTCATGTGTAACTATCATTCAAATCATGCTCTCATACTAACATTTTGCATCCAACACCACTACACTCCCATGCCCAAACTCTGCTGCACCCCATACCACCGTATCCCCGCATTTCCACTCTCAACAAACTTCACATCAACTTTCTTGCCCCTCTCCTTGAAGCCTTTCCTTAGCCACGCTACTACATCTTCCATCGCGGGCCAGCAATCCGGCACCACGACCTTGATGCCCATACTCGTACGCGCTATAGTCTTCGGCCACAACTCAATCGTCAGCGTAACCAGGCTCCCCACGTCCAATAACGCAGCAAGTCCGAAGGTCGAAGCAATGTCCTCCAACATAACTAACTCCGTATCTACAGGTGTCCATTGCTCTTTCTCGTGCTGGACAAGCTGCCATACGTCGAACTTCATGTGTACTTGTGTCAATTCTGGACATCTCTTCATAAACTCGACGCTCGAGTTTGGTTTACCAGGGCTGGGTTTATGGCGACTGAAGAGTTGAAAATCCAGCCGGCGGATTGCTGCGAAACCTTGGTTGTGCGGGAAAGTCGAGAGAAATTGGGAGAAGTGGACGAGGTGCTGGACGTATAGAACGCTAAACTCTGTCTGCCTAATAAACCATAGCCCAATGTCGATGCGCGTGGCTTTGTTGACGCGGCATACGGAGGGTAGGAAAGAGGGATAGCGTGCGTCGCTGCCGTGGACGGCGTCGGCGGCGGTGATGGTGACTTGGTTTAAGTTGTTGCGTGAGCAGAGGGGGAGGATAGCGAAGTGGTAAATTTGCGCCCGAAGTTCTAGAGGGAGACGGGGAAGTATATGGGCTTGTGTTGAAGGTGTTGGTGCGTGAGTAGTGCGCTTTAGCCTCAGGATGGTCATTTGGGACTGGATTGAGGTTTGGTACGGAAAGAGGTTGCGAGCTTACGAAGAATACGATGCCGAGTAAGCATTTCGCGAACACCATTGAAGGTTTGCAGAACGGTGAAGACGGTGATCGGTCTGAGAGAGTATTGTGCGTAAGACATCCTGATGTGTAGGAGATAGGCGAGGCGGTGGTACTTCATGTGATGGTATCGGATCGTGAAGGGTTCCAGCATGAAAGGGTAGTGCGCCCTGCTTATATGAACGTCGAGTGTATGAATCAGAGTGTCGTGTTTATACAAATGAAATACCTTACAGTCGTGATTCATGATTTTTACGGGTGGCTTTACTCACGTAGTACAACAATCTCGAAGCCTTGCTAGCAAACTTGCCTCGGTGTCGAACAAGCCGCCAAATCTTTATGAAAAGGGTGTTGCCGCAGCTTTCCTCCATTAACTTCTTGTAGATGACATCGATGTAACTGTAAGTGTCGTGAAAGGGCCAGTAGCGGCCACAGCCGAGCGCTACCTGGCAACCGTGGCTTTGGTGCACGCTAGTCTTTTCACGACGAACCATCTGTGTATAAGAGAGCTCAACCACGGCTCTTGTTTACCCCTCCACCAACAGGTACTCTACTCTATTTGACAGCTCTTCAACCAAGGTCTATAATCTTCGGCCGCTCTCGACCCTAACTAAGGCCAACACAGCCACCATGAATTGCTCGGTATGCCCATAGCTTGACCATGCCAACATGCCAGGCTAACCTTCCACAGCCTGTATTCGACCTTCGCGATCTAGATCCCGAAATCATTCAGTCCTTACGCAATATTCGACAAATGAGGAAGGACCCAGAATACCATGCGTCCGAAATGGCCGCCATGGAACCCTATGACGACCAACTCTGCTTCCGTGCACTGTGCGAGGGCTTCTTTGAGGCCTACCACCACAAGTTCGTGCTCATGGCCTGCGACAACCAAGAGCCGAAGACCTTCCCACCGCCCGAGACCGCTCGCGCCCCTGAGGGCTGGGTTCCTGCTCTTGCATTTGTGAACAGGGCGCTTCTTGGAGAAGTGACTGTGCACATGCTGCAGAACACGGGACAGATCGATCTGAAGTACATCAAGGAGGTCTCCGGCTTTGAGATTGCGACTTGGTTCCGTGAGTTCCTGACTATGATTCCGGGGGGTCTGAGTGCGGTCAAGCACCTCAACTTCCCACACATGCACTGGTACAACAGCGAGCGTGACATTCCGGCGCCGGCGAACCCGAGTCTCGAGCTTGTGGCGGTGTGCAAGAACCTCGTAAAACTCGACATTACCTGGCACTCCTCGAAGCTGCGCAAGCCTGATCCCGACAACATCGATCTCGCCATTCCATGCACCACGCTCGATGTCGTCAACAAATTCCGCTTCCGGCCAATCCTCAATTGTACGGGCTTGCAACAGGTGTACTTCAATGGTATACACAACGCGCCTAACCGAGGTGGAGGTCCCAGTGACTTGGATGGGCTTGACGGCCTCGCGAAGTGGATTATAGTGGGTTTCCTTGTGCGTCGGGGACAGAAGGTCGAGATCGAAGTGGCTCGTCGATATGGAAAGTGGAGGAATCGGGTGACTGGTACCATCATCTCGCTCAATAAGAAGGACTTGAAGCATTTCGAATTGGCTATGTCGTTCCGCGAGGTTTAGGTCTTTGGACAGCTAGCGTTACCTTGGAGTCCGCAAAGTGTCGGATGAGCTTCCTAGAAAGCTATCAGTACGTAGACCACTTGATGTAGAGCTTGACCACTGGATGGAATCAAGTGTTTTCTGTGAATGAAGAGCTTCATTTGAAGGAAGTGCACCAAACCTGACTGGCTTGAGAATTACCACCATTGTTGCAATTCATAGCATGGCTCAGTGCTAACCGATCTCTTTGATTATTTCCGTATAAGTTAGTGTTCATGTTGTGCCTCGTAGAATTGGCTTTGCTGATGGATGGCAATGCATCTCGAGGCTTTGCTAACAACCGCGTTTCGAGCAAGCCGATTGCACCACACAAAAGAAGGTTCCTCGGCCGTTCCTATGTTTTCCAACCTGGTATAAGGCTGTCGGTTCTGTGAAAGCGTTAGTAGCATGTATCCTTTCATTTCCTTTGCTGCCTAGGGTGAATGTTAAGCATCCCTGATTCCGCCCCCGACTGTATATAAATATCTTTGCTCGCTTTGCTGTCGCTCATATCGTTTACACCAAGCGCCTCGTTCTCAACCACCGCCTCAACTACCCTTGACATCGAAACATTGTTATAGAGATGAAGCTCATCAATAGCATGGAGCCTGTAGGTTGAACTCAACATAACATACCTAGCCCGGACTGACTTTGCGCAAAGGTACTAGGAGATGTCCTATTCGACATCACCTCTCCGACCAAGACTGCACCCGACAATCGAATAGAGAGCATCGAGCTCGTCTGCGCGTTTCGAGACCTCGCAGCGGCCGCTGGCGACACCCTCGAGTGTATAAGCCCTTATGCTGCGCCAAGTACACCGGTTGTCGGGGCCATTGTTGACAAAGACTTTCGTGCCTTCTATGACCTCGCCGCCGCAGGTCATGGGTTCATGAAGCACCCATCTCCAGAGAAAGAGAGGAGGTTCCAGAGAGAATTCGCTGATATCTCCCGGGCTGGTATCGAGTTCATGAAGAGCCAATATAGAGCCGATTGGACATGGATCGAAATCGATCGCAACACCTATCTCCCCCGAGGTGCGCTCTTCAACTTCGAACGCGATGCTCGCCCACCGATCGATGAGTGGGCTTTCTGGGATATGTCCAATGCCTGGGGACTTTGTGATGAATACACCAACTACTTCGATTGCTGGGGCGAAGACCTCTTCGAGCTCTGGCGCATGGGCACCATGGTTGACGGATTCCGCGAGCATACACGCCAACTCGAGAACGGTAGTGTACGGCTGTCCAAGAGGTCTCTGAACATGAGCGTTAAGAGGGATGTGCCGAAAGCCGTGGCATACATGAGTGTTCTGAGGCGTTCTTTCGATGCCTTCATGGAATTCCGCGATATGACGTGGGATCTCATGGATTGTTTCATGGGCGAGTCACAGCTCTTGAAGCTACCAGCCGAGCTCAGGCTCCAGATTCTCCAGAAGTATCTTATATTGGAGAGCGAGGCTGGCCGCTTGAGCAAGCACCGCCATTACGATGAATGGCAAAACCCGTGTTGCTTCTGGGACTTTCCGAATGTGTTGGTCGCGTGCGATAACCAGGACCCGGGCACGTTTCCTCCTCCAGAGACGGCGCGTGCTCCACGTGGATGGCTGCCAGCACTCGCATTCACTAACAAAGATATGCTTGGCGAGGTGGCTGTCTACATGCTTCAAAAGACCAAGCGGTTCGACCTGAAGTACATGTACTCCCAAAAGAAGTTCAAGATCGCCACTTGGTTGCGCAAGTTTCTCGAGGCTCTGCCGAACAATGAAGGCTTGGATGCAGTGAGGTACCTCAACTTCCCTCATATGCATTGGTTCAATCACCTGTGTTATCCCGCTTCAATCGACAACCCAAGCATTGGTCTTGCAGTAGCATGTCGAAATCTGAAGCAAATCGACATGACTTTCCACTGGTCGAAAGTCACAGTTGACGATCCCCACCGGGGCATACGCCCTACCCCAATCAAGGATCTTGTTGCGCGATTCTGCTTGGAGGACATCCTCAAGTGCGAGAAATTGGAGTACATCTACCTCGATGGTGCATACGGTCTTGCGCGGAGAGGCGGCATGCCACAGCATCTCGATGCGCTCGGAAATCTAGCGAAGTGGTTCCTGCATGGCTTTCTCGTACGTCAAGAGCGCGAGATAAAGGTCGAGGTCGTCCGTAGGTCAGGCGCTTGGAAGGGACGCCAGGCTGGGACGATGGTGAAATTGAACCAATTTGAGCGGATCAAGGCTAAGAAGATGATCATGATCAAGAAGGGTGAGCTTGTGGTTCATCCCGACGCATCGAGTCGCTGCGCAATGCCTCAAATACTGTAGGCAGCTTCTGCTGTGATGTAGAACTTACCATAGCACAGTTCAAAATATAGCTGTTTTTGAGTCAATGTGCCTGTGATGGGACCAAGTGAGGTTCCGAGTAAGCATGCAATGTGAATCAAATCTTTATAGCAAAAGTGTGATATCTTCGAGCAGGCAAATGTCGCGAATTAGCTGGTGATGGAGTTGTGGAAACGACGCGAACCTCCCTTTCCGCGCCCGTTCAGCCCCACAGCGCGTCTGACCAATCAGCGCGTCGACAAAGCCGCTGACTATGACGTCGCGCAGCCGCATCCCTGCAAATCTGGGGTAGCTCAACAACGGCGTGGATCCACGACGCAAACTGGAACCTTAGCAACTTAGCTTGCGCTTTGGCTTTGTTATTGACCGCTTATCTGCTGTCTTTCCCCTCCATTTGCTTCACCTGGCTTTTCTGTACTCCTTCATCACTTCCACCACAAAGACAATAACATCAAGCTCATACCACACACTACTTCATCATGGCTTGCCCAGTTATCGGAACTACCACGGATGTGCTCCCACCTAACCACCCCAGCGTGGACATGTCAAAGGATGGTCAGACTGTAAGTACCCCTCAGAACGCGTTCGTCCTTCACGTGTGGCTACTAACGAGAACAGTGCCCTGTAGTAGGTGCAACCACCGACCACCACCACAACCTCAGCACGCACCCGCCTGTCACATCCGCATCCAACACGGCAACGCAATGTCCGGCGCTGAAGAAGAGCGTCAACGAGCCCGAGGCCCAGAAGATGGATGACGCGCTCTGCCCAGTTGTCGGAACCGCAACCACTGTCCTCCCACCTGACCATCCTGATATGCTCAAGGCCAGCGAGGGCGATGTATGCCCGGTCACCAAGGCCACTGTTGGACATCACCTGAACAAAGTCTCAACACACCCCAGTGTGGCGGGAGCGGCTGAGGGCGCAGCGTGCCCAGTCACTGGAAAGACGCAGTTGGCATAGAGCCGCAACACAAACAAAGGCGTTCAGGGTACATCCAAATCAATGATATAATGTAAAACTTCAAAATTATCTCCCCGCTACTCACGCTCCCAAAACCACTCCCCAGTCTCCCGTCTCCTCGACCTCAGCCAACTTCATCCCACCAGCAACCCAATCCTGTTCCTTCATCCTCCCATACCATGTCTCCAACACCCCATGTCCCTTAATCCAATCCGCCCCAAACTTCTCCCTGAAATACTCCACCAGCGCTATGAGCGCCACATCCGCCAACGTTGCCTGCTCCCCTCCCACCAAACTCACCGCTCCCTTCCCCTCAACATCTTCCCTAACCCACCCCTCCAATTTATCCAACAAAGTCCCCACCTTCATCCTCCCATGCGCCGCCGCCGCCGGACTCTGATCTTCCACCCTCAGCCCCGACCACGTCGCCGTGTTGGGATCAGAATGGAACACCTCGACTCCATACCACACGATCGCCTCACCCAGTAGACTCAACACGTCCCGACTGCGCGCCCGCTGATGCACCGTCTCGCCCCTGATATCCGGTCCGCCAGGAAAAATCTCCTGCAAGTATTCAAGTATGGAGCTCGTTTCGTGGATCAGGAAATGCGTGCCGTCGGCGTATGAGAGGCGCATGAACGGTACGCTGGTACCGGCGGGGCGGGACTCGAGACCGGTTGCGGAGATGAGGCCGGTTGGGGAGAGGTGGATAGGAATCAGATGGATGTTGTGCGCGGCGAGGGTGGAGAGGGTGAGTTTCTTGATGAGCAGGAAGTAGATGATGCGCCGAGGGTAGAGGCCAGAGGGCCAGAGCCAGATTGTGGTTTTGATTGGGTTGGGAGACATGCTTGTGGTACTGTGGTTGTTTGGATATGTTGATGGTGATGATGGCTGTGAGTTGGGTAAAGAATGAAGTCGTATACTCGACCTAACAAATATATACACATTCCATCATCGATCTCGGAATCATTTGAGAGAATTGATTGATCTTCAGGTATCAGAAATCCACACGGAGAATTGTTCTTGGGCACATTGATGGACAGTTTTCATCGCGTTCGTTATGTCTCCGAAACCTGTATGCTCCCGGAGACTTGTTACTTTTAGTCAAGGAGCCTTATAGCCATGGGTCGTGCCATGCCTCGTTATGATCACATATCCCAAAGAATTCTCAGTACTACTAAAGCCTAGTTATACCAAGGTGCAATAGGCGCATCACCCCTCAACTTATTCTCAGTCGATGGCTGGAACTTCTTCTCTTTGTACCACTCCTGCGCCGTCTCTGCCAACTTCTCGACTTCAGCGAATTGAAATTCGGGACTGGGGAGCATATCGTAAATGCCTTGTGCATAGTCGGTGCCAACATTGTAGACCTGAGCAAGGTATTTCTTCTGCAGGGCTGTTAGCGTGTGCCAATTCATGGCATGCAAGCTGCACCATCAACTCACCTGAATTTCGGGATATCCCACAAATTTGAGCATATTTCCCGTGTTCTTGATCGTGTTCTTGCGCTGCTGCTCCGTCATGACGCGACTCCACAGTTCAGTCGCTTGCGCATAGTCCGATTTCTTGCCCTCGTGGTAATAGTGGCTCTTGCGACTGACCACGTTATCGCTGACTACGTATGGCGCCTCAGCAACGTCCGGTCGGAACTTGTGCGCGAAGCTATTAGGCGCATACTGCTTGTTACCGGCATGATTGGCGTCCACACGCATCTGCCCATCGAAGTTGAGAGTTGCAAACTGCTTCGCCATGAACGGGCAGTTTACGGGCACTTGATGGAGATTGACACCGATGCGATGGTATTGCGCGTCGCGGTAGAAGAACATGCGGAACTGGAGGAGTGGGTCGGGTGAGTCTTCGATGCCGGGGACCATGCTACCGGGCGAGAAGGCTGCCTGCTCGACATCGCGGTGAAAGTTCTCAGGGTTCTTATTGAGCACAAGACGGCCAAACTCATGCATGGGAAACTGGCTTCGTGGCCAGACTTTGGTCACATCGAATGGGTCGAAACCAAGCTTCTCCGGGTCAGCATCTTGAGGTTCCATTACCTGAACCATGGCAGTCCACTCAATTTCCTCGCCCTTTTCAATCGCTTCCCAGAGGTCGCGCTTGGAGTAATCGGGGTCTTCTCCGCACATGCGTGTAGCTTCTTCTTGTGTAAACTGCTTCTGGCCATGTTTGGCAATGAAGTGGTACTTGATGTACACAAATTTGCCCTCGGCATTGACCCACTTGAAGGTGTGGCAGCCGTAACCATGCTCGTAACGCCATCCTTTCGGAGTGCCATGGTCACTGAAGAACATGAGACCAGCATGGTTACCTTCGGGGGTGTTTGCAAGTAGGTCGAACAGTGCATCGTAGTCCGGGAGGAAGTTGCGCGGGTTGCGGGCTTGAGAGCGAATAACGTCGGGTCCCTGAAGGGGATCACGACAAAAAAAGACTGGCTGGGTTTGTTAGTTCCAGTCTCTTTTGGTAGATGATTAGCTTACAAAGTTCAAGCCAACAATGTCATAATTGCCCTCCTGGGTGTAGAACTTGATGGCAAAGCCACGGGGATTGCGAGCCAAGTCAGGATACTCACGACCGACGGTGACAGTAGAGAAGCGGACAAAGATTGGTGTCTTCTCGCCGACACTGCCGAGGAAGTTGGCTTTCTACGCTCAATCAGTACTTCAATTTTGGAGAGTGTGTGATGGCATACGGTGAGGTTCGACACGTCCTTTGTGGTCTCGAAATATCCGAAAGCCCCAGAGCCACAAGGATGCACCATGCGCTCGAGGTTCTTCGATCGGTTGAAAGTCTGCTGCTTCTGGAATAGGAACACATCGCTCGCTACTGGGATACCACCGATGTTCTTGCTGTGTGCTCTACGAAGCCGTCAGTATGGTTGAGGAGCTAAGTGGTAGGTATCACTTACGGGTCGGGATAGGGAATGCCCTCATTGTTGGTGAAGTACGGGCCATCGTCCTCACGCTTCCCACCTTGAACAGCTCCAGAAACCTTTGCGATGATATCGGCAGGACCTTCGTTCGCACTACCCATGTGAGCTATACGTGGAGCACGAGCCTCACCCTGGGTGGCGCCCTGGATGCTCTGTGAGATTGCCTCTAGCGGGTGCTGCATGGGGTCATTGTGATTGGTGTTGGCGCCTGTAGACATGGCAGCTTTCAGTTTCTGGGGCAAAGTTGTTGAGATCTCCATCTGGGACGCAGTCGAGTTTAAGGATGCGATGGCTGAGACACAAATACGCCATGGCGTGAGCCATGTCGACATTGTTCAGCAATTGTCATCCTGACGGTTCGACATGAGGGGTAACTGTCCGGTTGTGATAGCAGCTGCAAGTCAATGACAATAGGAGAATAGTGAGGCCGTGCGCTTCCTCTGACTGGTCGGATGAACGTCCATTCGCTTGATGCTACTCTAATGCGAGGGACTGCATGAAAGGTGTGTTCAGTGCTGCTCGATTGAGCTCTTTCCATACCATGAACGACGCAGATCGAAGATGAAGCTCGTTCGCTCGGCTCACGTGTCCGCGGGTGATGGGATAATAAGATGCAATTGTTGTCTTTCCCATGTTTTCGATGATGCGGAAGTGACGGTTGTCCAATAGGCTCCGTGCCGAGGAGCGCCATATGTGTCAACTCCATCACTGTGATGTAAGAGCCCGGTACTGTAGTCGAACCAATGAGACTCGGCATATAATCAGCTGGCGTGTGATTTTGTGTGACTTGAACGCGGAGAGAAATTGATAGTTGCGTCGCATGCACGTGTTCGAAGAGTGGAATGGCGACTGAGTGACGTAGGAACGTAGTACTTGCCTCGCAATTAAACAGCGACAGCACCGGCTTGCACTCTGCTATCGAACACAAACCTCCGATTGCATTCCAGATCCTACAACATGTTCTCAGCACGCACCTTCATCACACCGGTAGCCAGGGCTGCTTTCAGGTCACAGGCGGTTCACGCGCCCGTGAACAGCAGGCTCGCCTCGATCCGTGCTGCGTCCACAATCTCAGAAGCCATAACCAAGGATCATCGCGAGCTCAAGGAGTACTACAACGAGATCGTCAACAATCCAGACAACATTGACCATCAGACGCGCTACGGCAATCAGTTCACTTGGGAACTCGCTCGCCATTCTGTCGCGGAAGAGCTTCTTGTCTATCCAGCCTTGGAGAAGTACTTAGGCGACAAGGGCAAAGAGCATGCCGACCACGACCGGGCTGAGCACCACAAGGTGACCCGTACCCGACCTTCTCCAATGCACCACTGACATGGAACAGGTCAAGGTGCTTCTCAAGGAGTTTCAGAATATGAGCGCGAAAGACACAGGCTACGTCCCGAAGCTCAAGGAGATCTGGTCGCTACTCGAACACCACATTGAGGATGAAGAGTCCAAGGACCTGCCCGCTCTTGAGAAGGCGTTGAGCTCGAGCGACAACCGCGGCTCGTCTGAGAGCCTGGCCAAGAACTTTGGAAGGACCAAAGCCTTTGTGCCATCTCGCAGTCATCCCAGCGCGGGCGAAAACCCTTACTTGTGTGTATCCCATCATGAGAGCTTCCTTTGTAGCCACCACTGACTTGGACTTGTAGTGAGGGACCTATGGGTATGCTCGCTGCACCCATCGATCACATCGCCGACATCTTCCGAAAGTTCCCAGATGGTACTGTGAGCCCAAATCCTTCCAAGAAGTAGGTCTTGAAGACACGGGGTCCTTGATGTTCGGCTAAAAAAGATTGAACGTAATCGGCGGTTCGAGGAATATGGTAGCAATGAGAGCGATCAGTTTGACGGTCGCGCGATCGAATGTCTAAATGGCTAGATCATGGGTTTCAAATGCGTACTTGTGTTTGTATGCCTATTGTGCTATGAGCGGGTTTCTATGTCGCAGCACCCATCGTCTCAACCGCCCTCGGAGTTTCGATTGGCAGATGGTCCGTGCGGTAATTAGTCACGTCCTCCTGAAAGTGTCCGAACACCTGACTTCCTTCGTCACTGACCTGGGCCTACATGCAATAGCACATGTCTAGTAACTTTCAACTGTACTCATTTGGTGGTCCCTAATTTGACAGTAGTCTTACAATTGCACCGCAAGGAGAAACGATACAAAACAGTAACGCACCATAGACGCATTTTAGCACCCTATGACTGACAGCCGTAAGTCTGTATATACTGTATCCCGGAAGAGTACACTTCATGGCTCCGAAAATCTGGATTCAATCTTTCAGCGAAGTGCGAGAGCTGATTATGGTCGAATCTTCCTGTACGGACGTCACAATGTGACCATAACCCCAGTTCGCGACGAGTCTGCACTGAGCACTAAATGGCTTAGAAGAGCTGCGCTGCTAGCCTATGTATTGCTAGGATCGGTGCGAAAGCAGCCCTGGTCGAGTGCACGTACGAGGTCTTTCACTATCGACCCCATGAACCACCGGTGTCCGGCCCCTCCTCTCCACGTCTACAAAGCTTCCTCCTCAGCTGTTTACCTTCTCCACATCAATCGCTGCCCCTCAACTCTCAACTAACATTCCCACTCTGTCCCAACTCAAAACCCAAAAATGTCCTGGAATCATGACAGTGAAGATTACTCAACCTGGGGAGAGTGGGACGATGAGGGAAACATATACTATCGTGCCATGCCAGCCGATAGCACTATATGATGCGACACATTATGAGTTCATCGCCCTTGCTGCTTCCTTCGCTGCTACGGGCTGTGGATGAATCGAAGGAGCGGCTCTTGGCTTCTCTCGGTATCGTCGGGAAGGACGAAGCGTGTACGTCGAAGCCAAGCATGTACGCCTTCGTCATAGATCTGTCTGTTTGTAAAACACAAAAGGGGAAGGGTTTGAGGGTTTGAGGGTAGAGTGTGAGTGCATTCAGCTGCATCCCATATTCGAGGGAGAAGCGCGTCGGCAAATGTTCCATAGCCAAAGTGTAGATGGAGTCGCGAACCTCGCGCGCAAGCTTGAGGAGATGTTGAGCAACTTCTTCACTCTGTTTCTGCCGCTGTTTGGCATCATGTGCAGTGGCTGAAGACATGTTTCGACTGGCAGGCGGTTGTTGTAGACTCCAGGCCCCATTCGTTCAGTAGCGTTGATTCTCATCTACAGGACGTGACATGCAATTTCGTGATGGTATGCCTCTTGAAACCTGAGCCATGGAGTACCTCACACGTTTCCACGCGTGAACATTGGTGACGAAAAGGCTCGGAAAACCTTCACACGAAAGCTTGCCACAATTTCACTTTGGGACGTCACGCCCTGCTGATAAAAGCTGTCGCTCAAGCTTGAAATACTAGGCCTCATCACTCAGTTCTTTCGTGGTAGTGCCTCATTCCTGTACGCCTCGCCCGCCCTGACCTCAAGAGCTGGTGTCCTTGTTGCGATCCTCTCGCTTCACGCTTGACACAATGGTTAACGGAGATAATGGAATTTCGTATTGATGAGGCCAGCCAGCAAAGACTGTTGCCGGCTCGCCAAACATTTACCAGTACGAGATATCTGGACAGTTCGGCTGTAAGGCGGCGCCAATTCGGCGCATTTTCCCTTTTCGACAACGACAGTCGGATGTGAAGGGATCCTTCCGATCAAACGCCCAGGATGCTTGGATGCGGCGTTCTGCTTTGAGCCATTATTGGCGATGTCTTGTCACGAGAAACCAGAACCCCAGCCGTGAAGCTTCACCGGGTCAATGCGTCTCGGCACCTTGGCGTTCCTCGGAGTCCCGCCGCGCAGGCCTTCTCCGCCCGCTTACCCTCTCCACACTCCACAAAGCCGCTCGGTCCTGGCGTCTGTGTGTCGGAACGATGAGCCTATATTGCGGGCACTTTCTAGCAATCAAAATTCATCAATGGGTCATGCAAGCACGTGGCGGGCTGTGCAGCGGCGACAAAGGCGCGCGTTAACTGCGGTTGGCCGCTCGGAGGCATCAAGGTGGACACCGCATGCCGCATCTCGCTCGCTTCCACCCTGTCAGCAATCAATACATTCCCAACACTGTGGCGCATGGATCCTGTAGCTCTATCACGACCCCGATCCTGAGCACTCGGGTTCCAGTCTTTGTCTGATTCATGGCCAGTGCAAAGCGAAGACCACCACAATACCACAGCTTGCAAGTGTGAAGAGAGCAATCGATGAAACGACATTCACTAAGAACTTGTTTAAATCTTGATCGGAGTACTTCCCGACGCTACAAGCATGTCAGCTATGCGGCAGAAGAGCAGAGCACGCTATACATATGACCGCAGCCAAGTATGCCAAGCCACCTGCATTTACATGACATTATGGTTTCCGAGATTGTCTGGAGGTCAGCACGCGCAGACACTTGGGCATTCAAAGATCACTGATGCGGAATCATCGTAGACCAAGTGGCGAGGACCTACCGGTTTGCAGCGACGAACGGCAGACAACATTCGATAGTCATGGTACATTCCATGCGATCCGATGACAATGCAGCCGCGGACCTTGTTCAGGCTTGTTCAGGATATCTTGCATAGCGCCGAGAACCTAGATATCGGTTCGACATCAAATAATGGGTGTCAGCGCAGTCAGAGTGGTGCAGACAGTCCACCTCGCGGAGTGGAGGCCCATTTTGCCATCTTGGCATTTGGCAGTCTTGTGTCTTGTCCCGCACCACGCCCATCGCGTCCACATTTTGGGCTAGACACGACATGAAGAAAGAGACTAGAAACATAATTTCGGGTATAATGCAAGTCCACCCGCGGGACGAGTCCACGGCATCCGCGACACCAAGACTTCGAAGAACTCTTTGATCAGCTGGGGAACACTCAAGCCTCGTGGCCGAGGACTCGCACGTGCCAGCAATTGTAACGGGAGAGACTTGCTATGCCGAGAACGCACACACTCTATCCTCTACTTTGGCTGGGCACGCAAGGAGGCGTTTTTTCGCATCCACTTGTGGATGCTTGCCCAAGAGACGCTCGACATGGTCATGGTGATCAAACCTTTGCCCTACGTAAACACCGGATATAATCCAATGACTGATGATCGACATCAGAACTGGATGAGCGCGAATCTGCGAATGCTTGGAAGCCGTGGCCTGTGGAAGTGCCCTGTGCTAGGTTCTGCATGCAACGTCCCTCGATTCCGCCTCGATTCCTTGGCGTTCTAGAGGCCTCATGTATTCCACCCCATGGGGCACAACAATCTACAACCAACGTCGGGTCACCAGAAGAGTCAAAGTCAGTACCCAATGGTGTGATTCCAGAGCCTATGGTCGACAGACTTTACTGGTCTCGCCCCGGTGCTGTCGGCCCTCATGCCAGGCGTGGCTTGGAGGAAGGGTCGTCGTCGGCTCCTATTGGCGGGGACTACCTCCATCTGACAACGGTGCATCGTACCCCGGCATCCCCGTCAATTCAACCGCCAGGGACAAGCCCGCTATTCCAATTAGTCTAGAAGCCGTAGAAGGTATCATGATTGCCTACTCGAATATAAGTATCTAGCCATAGCCGGGTGTCAATCTCCACTGCAAGTCGACTGAACCCTTGTGGTGCAGACCCTCACTTCCTTCCCATCTTGGTCTTCTTACTAGAAGCATAATTACGACCAGCCAGGATGCCTGCTATCGCCACCGCAAACGCCGCCGTGGCCGCGGACGCGCCTCAGTTTGAGAGGGTAGAATGGCGCAAGCTACCTAACATGCGCAAGCTGTACTGGCACGCCTGTGTTCTCTGTATTGCCTCAGCTACCACGGGTTATGATGGGTAAGTGCATATTTGTGGCAATTCATCGATATTGACTGACATTGCATTACAGTATGATGATGAACTCATCTCAGCAGATGTCCCGCTGGGCTGTGTACTTCGACCATCCCAACGACAACCGCCTCGGTCTCATGAACAATGCCTACAACATCGGCAGTATTATCAGCTTCTTCTCTGTTCCCTTCTTCACCCAGGCTGTTGGCCGTAAGATTCCCATCGCTACCGGTTGCGCTATCATGATTGCTGGCGCTTTCATCTCCTGCTTCGCGACCAACTGGCAGATCTACTTCGCGGGCCGTTTCGTCCTTGGTTTCGGCAACTCATTTTCTCAGATGTGCTCGCCCATTCTTCTTACCGAGATTTGCCATCCCCAGCATCGTGGTACCTTCACCGCCGTCTACAACTGTCTCTGGAACTTGGGCGCCCTCATCGTCGCTTTCCTCGGTTGGGGTACGTCCAACGTCGACAACGAGTGGTCGTGGAGGTCTATCACACTTCTTCAGGGCATGCCATCCGCTCTCCAGCTCTGCTTCATCTGGTGGGTGCCAGAATCTCCCCGTTGGCTGATCAGCAAAGAGCGCTACGAGGAGGCGGAGTCTATGCTTGCCTACTACCACGCTGAGGGAGACCGCAACAACCCCACTGTCCAATTCTCGTACCAAGAGATGAAGGAGACTATTCGCATGGAGGCGGACGCAAACACAAACTCTAGCTACATCGACTTTCTCAAGACCAAGGGTAACCGATGGAGGCTTGCCATTCTCATCTCCTTGGGTATCATCTCTCAGTACTCTGGAAACGCGCTGTTCTCCAACTACATCAACTTGGTCTACACCGGTGCTGGTATCGTCGACCAGAACCAGAAGATGGGCCTGTCTGCCGGTGAGCGTGTTCTGGCACTCCTTGTTTCCGTCTACGCTGCTACGTTCATCGACAAGGTCGGTCGTCGCCCACTCTTCTTGACTGCTACTGCCGGCATGATGGTCTCTTTCGTCTGTTGGACGATCACCTGCGCCATCTACGAGAACTCTGGCGAGACGAACAAGGCTGCCGGATACGCACAGATTCCATTCGTGTGGATCTTCGGTGTCTTCTATGCATTCGCTTGGTCCGGTCTCCTCGTCGCTTACGCTCTCGAGATTCTCCCATATGCGCTCCGTGCCAAGGGTCTCATGATTATGAACATCACCGTCCAGGCTATTCTCGCCGTCGGTGGTCAAACCAACCCTGTCGCCTGGGAGCGTCTCCCCAAGCATTGGTACCTGGCTCTCTTCTACACTGTAAGTTGAAAAGATGCGCTCCGCAAATCAAGCAATGACTAACGATTCCCTAGTGCTGGATCACCGTTGAACTTGTCTGGGTTTACTTCGTCTACCCTGAGACTAAGGGACCCACCCTTGAGGAGATCTCCCGTATCTTCGATGGCGACACGGCCGTCGCGCACATTGACATGCATGTCATCGAGAAGGAGGCCCACGAGGAGCGCCTGGACAACTATGACGAGAAGCACACCGCTCGCGTTGAGCAGACGCGTGTTTAAGAGTTGCTTGTTCTCGCTCTTCCAATTTCTGTAGAGGTACAGGTAAATGGTAGACGTAGTACCTCAATTCCAGTTTAATGTTGAGTGGAAGACCGTGATGGAGTCGGCTACACTATAGCATTACGAACAATCACTTCACTCGCTCTCAGAAATAATCTTCCTAATCTTTTTGTGTGCAAGTTCTATTAGCAAGCGCGTGATTCATCACTAGCATCCAGCGATCGCGGTGTCTTCAACGCTTATCACGATCTAGTTCTGCGTGGACATCCCGCTACATTACAAAAGAATAACCAGAAAGGCATGATATTACACAAAGGGATAATTCCATGTGCACACAAATGAACGCACCCGAGCGTACCAAGCGTTGCTTCAATGCATATAATACAAGTCTTAGGTTGATTCATTGTGGCACATGGGAATGGTGAATGCATAGATAACGTAGGAACTCTTGATAAGGAACAGAAGTCTTCGTTCTCAAAGATGACTACATAGGCATCATTCAGCAGGATGCGGATGTATAAAGATCCAGTCTCGAAACCCTCTATGCATCTCAGTCTTTTTCTCCAACAGTGGCGTTCTGGGTTCTGCATCGTATTGCAGCAGAGCTAGGCTCCATTTCACGGCATGTTCTAGAACGTTTATTGCTTCTTGGAGGTCATGATACGCACGATTGTCCCTGAACTCTGGGATCATCTGGACAATTAGTGGAAGTACCCTTTGCGGTACCGGTGCCCAGTCTTCGTACCCACGTCTCAAGCTGTCTTGCACAGACATGAAAGTTTCCTGCACCTCTTCTCCCCAGTCTTTGACGTAATGTACGGGCGCATCTGGAGCTACTCGGGTGCTGAGACAGGAAATAAGATAGTGGAAAGAGTGCCGTAAGTTGTCGTCGTCCATGAGGAAACGGATATCGTCGTTGTCGGACTTGTCTGCGGAGTTCATCATGGCATCAACGATCTTTGCCTGAGAAGCGAGACTGGGCTGAGGGGAAGACATGGTAACGACCCAATCATCGACAATCGCTTGGTATGCCAACGAGTTACTGTCATCAAGATTGACCCTTCGTCGTTTTCGAGGTGGATCGTATCTACTACCAATGGCGAAACGTTTTGCAGGCTCGCCGACGGCGCTAGACCAGACTTTATGGGGCTCGGCGATTGCTTCCTTCACTTTCTTGATCTCATCGCCATACAATAAGTCCAACCTCCTGAGCTTAGCGTCGACTATGTTCTTCATCTCAGGAAGCCCTGGTCGATTTTCAGGCCTGTAATTCAGACATCTCTGGACGAGATGCACTAACCCCGAACTGTATATGTCTGGTGGCTCTTGGAAATCATCATAAAGTCCTCCGAAATCCTTGGGAAGCTTGGGTTTACCAAACCGCGTCTGCCATGCCTCGGTTTCTTGCATAATGTCATCTTTTTGTTTAATCACCGCATCTGTTCCTTTTCCTGCCCACAAGAGCCTGTATGCGACAACGCCGACTGCCCAGATTTCGGCCTTGACCGTGACATCCCAATCATTTGGCCGGTAGTTTGCGTAATCTGCAGCATTGGTGTATCTTTCCTACAGTTATGTCAGCACTAAGACTTCATGTGCTCCTCTTGACACTTACAGGGGCTTGCCAACCCGGGGTTCCAGAGTGTCTAGATATATTGGAACTTGACTGCACTATATCGAAGTCTGCCAGCACGGGTCGAGGATAACTGGGATAAATTGTATTGTCATCGCAACAGAAGATGTTCTATCAAGTAGAGTTAGTGTCATCTCACACGAAAATCTTACTTTCACAACTTACATGATGTTTGATGTCTGAGTGCAGAAGTGGATCCCACCTATTTGAGTCTAGAGGTGGCTCTGGCTCATGAATGGCAGCACCCGTGATTTCAGGATGTGGGTGTTCGCAAAACCCTTCCTGGAATGCCGATATAGCCTCGATCATCTGGCTGATGAGGTACCAGATGAAGTGTTCAGGGACAGGTCTCAAGGTGGAGGTCAGTGGATTGATTCATGTTGGCATGGCAAGGAGCTTCACTTACATCTCCCTTGCAGCATGTGCCTGTATCGTTGCATCGAGGTCTCCGTATGCTGCGTACTCAAAATATAAATGTGAAATTCTCTGGGTGTCCGGCTGTGCTTCAGTGCTGCCAAGCCATAATAGTACCTTCTTTCTTGTCGTTCTCAAGCCATCACCTCGATACTCAATAATATGACTGCATCTGGTTTGCGCCAGAATTATATTCATGCTAATTTCGTTCTTGGCCCAGTAGTGATCACCATCACCACTAATATCAACCCGTTTGACGACGATTTGCTGACGTCCAGTTAATAGAAACGCGATGGCGAAATGAGTGTCGAAACTCACATCTTCGATGTTTCCATATTCGTTTGGGCGGACATATAGAAGGAAGTTTTTGTACGGATGTAGTGCTCGATCGGTTCTTTTTCTGTCTTTATCAAGCGCTCTCTGATCCAAGACCTTGACAAATTTCCAGCCTCTGTTTCCAAGACTAGACCGGACGAATTCGCGCTCGCCTCTGGTTGGCGAGAGCCAATGTGTACTATTTTCTAAGACATATACGGGCGACCCAGCAGCAAGGGTCTCTGGACTGTCAGGGCCTTGAGGTGTCGCAGCTGCGTTTGCTTGATCTTGATGTGTGGGCGCGTGTGCCTGTTTGAGATCTCCTATTGTCTGATTCCGAATACTTGGAGCAGTCGTGGGAGCTACGACTGCTGGAGCTGGGACTGCCGGAACTACTGGCGGCTCCGCATCTTCCACTGGTCTATGGCGACTGGACTTCTTCTTCCACTTTTTCATGAAACTGCTTGGTTTTTTATCCCACAATACTTGTATATCATTTCCATTAGTGAAAACAATACCCTCTGCTAGGCGTAGTGCGACAAGCTTCTGGAAAACAGCTCTTTGGTACACAAAATGGAAACTGTTGTAAAGTGCTTCATCAACATGGTCAAGGCTTTGATATGTAGCAGTTCCTGCATCATCATCGAGAACGACGGCAGGATATGTAGGGGATGCCATGATAACTTGGCAATAAAATGAAGTATTGAAATCGCGGGTAATTGGTGTTTCGATGAAGCATACGGACGCAGCGCGCAAAGTCCAAGGTGTTATTCGCAGAACCCATTGCGTCTTTTCGGGGCTTTCATCGTATTGTTGTCAGATTTTCTTTTGGCTACTCAATTTAATTAGGAGAAAAATTGTGGCTGGTGTGGAAGTGCACAAAGAACGACATCAAAGTCCTGTTGTGCAAGATGTTACACGGAAAAGCCGAGCCAATAACCGCAATGGACCATGCAAATAGACGTTCCGGATGTAGACAAAGGTTCTCAATTGCTTCTCGTTTCTGGCAACAGATGACTATCTAGGTACAGAACGTCCCAGTTGTGCGAAGAAAGGCTGTTCGTTGGCATGAGAGTTTGCACAATTTCCCTGCCAGAAGAAGCATTGCTCGTCGCCTTTTTGTGCGCTTTCGACCAAAATCATCGACGATGTCACTCGAACGATTGTGATTTAGGGGATGACGTCACGAGGCCAGGATCGGCAGAGCGCCATCAAGTGTGCCAATGGTTTGTACGTGCTGCGATCTAGAATCGCATTGTTCGCAACCTTGAATAGGTTCAATAGTGTGTCGCAACCCGGAAATATATCAACAAAGACGTTGAAACTATCCAGCCTTAACGATTGCCGTCAAAATTTCCTCTCAAGCGGCAACGAATATTGCGAAACCTAGTAGTGCTTGTGCAACACCGTAAAACAGATTCCTGGTTCTAAAAGAACTCTTGCAAAGGTCTCGACAGCCGTTCGTTTCCTTTTCAAAGAGATCTGCAGAGACAAAATCACGTATGGAGTTTCTGAACCATCTTGGTAAAATGTTCTTCGTCACGCGCGGAGACACGCCGGCTCGCAGCCGTTTCACCCCCATGGGTGACATTCAAACTTCAATCGCATGTTGTGTCGTGCCGCTACTGCCTCACAGCGCAAAAAATGCTTCTTAGACCACTCAGTCTGCATCTTGTCTTCTGAGCCACGGTAATCCAGCGCGACTACAGGTTGGACTTTCTCTTGCACGATTTCACTCAGCTCTTGAGTCGCTGTCGTGTTGGTGATGGTAAAGCGCATTTCGTAGCCCGAAAGGCCCGGTAGAACGGGCAATCCAAGTGCTTCTCCCGTGATCGGAATTTGATGCTCTGTGTCATTGGCGTTGAAGTAAACGTAACAGACAACGTCCCATTGCGCCGATCTGGTATCGGCCAAGACCCAAGCACCACCCCAGTTCTCACGTCCGTTGACAATAACTTCATTTGGGATCATCTGAAGAATGTAACCGTACTGTTCCAGGCCAAAACTCTTGAATAGTGGCTGAACTACCGTTTCGACGTAGTCATTGAACACTGGCGAAGCGTTTGCTCCTTCAGTCTCAGCCCAGAATAAAACACTTGGCTTCAAGTTGCTTAAGGCAAGGATGATCTCGAAGTGGGTACTGAAGCATGCAAGTGAGGTCCACGATGGTTTGTTGTCCAATCCCAGAAGTTCTTCGGTGTGCGATTGGTAGATTCAGAAAGTATTGTTGCTCAGCCTTTTGTAGAATTTTGCTGAATGCCATGGTCACTTCGTAATGGAAGTTCGTGTCTCGTTCGTACTGTTTACCGAACGGATCAAACTCGATCCGTGTTGAGGCAGTTGAGTACCCGAGGCGATGATGCTGCCCAGGGTAAAGAATTCCAGAGCTAGAAGCAAACAAGGATGGGAGAGTTGCTTGACTAGCGAGTCGGGTATTCAAGGACCGACATGGAGTTTTCAGCACTTGTCTCGAAGAACGTGTCCCAGAGAGCCCAAAGAGCCTGGAGCTCTTGAACCGGGGAGGGAGAGAAACCATTTTTGTCAGAAGAAATTGTATGAAGGTAATGAAGCACGAAGTAGTTCTCAAACCTGTGGTCTTTGAAGGAGACTCCGTCTCCCTTTATGTGGAAACGCTGACTGACCAATATCCGGAAACAGCAATGACATAGACCTGCGTGGGCTTCATGCTTCCTCACATTGGCGAACATGGGCTGGAGAGATCTGAATAGCGTCACTATCCTACCTTAGCGCGCGGTACTGGCGTCTTCAGAGCCGCGGCATGCGCAGGATAGGATTGAAATTTGTAAGCAACAATTGCCAGCTAGAGCGCACTGGCACAGCTATCGAGTCTCATAGTGCCACAAGCGGGCAGCAGGGTCAGCAAGTGCCCGAAACTCCAGTATTGTAATAAGCAGTTTGAGCAAATTCGAGTTTGCAATGTAGCACGCTAACCTACAATAGGTTTGTGCTCGCGGGTGGCCCGATCGGGACGTGGGGAAGGAGTCCGCTTGCCGATGTAGACGCTCGTTGCTGCCGGGCCAAATCTCCACTCCTTGCCTAGCTGGCAGATGTGAAGTTTAGATACCAGTTTCACACGCTTCCAGCCTTGACGTAGTCAACACTACGCCTGTTTAACCAGGTTTTTTCGTGCCAGAGCAGACCCCACGTGACCATCGAGCCGCTCATAGATTGCGCTTATGCCTGTGGGCGACCCACCTTTGGCAGGCATGAAGCCTTCCATTCCGTGACGCCCATAGCCTGCAGCTATGCTACTGTACCCGGTATGCAGGAAAGAGGCACGACCCCTGTGTGGCGTTTCGCTAGCGCAACTTCCTTCTATTCGAGCATGTCATGGATCTGAGAACAGTCCGACTGCTAAAGGGCAAACCGGAGAGGGAGGCCCCAATCGAGGCTCCTACATAATCGGATCATCTACTTCCACGATTCAGCAAATCAGACTACATCCTTATCATGACAATCCTGACCGGTCGAGGCCGTGGTGTAACGTATGATAGGCGCCCTACCCCCAGGTACCGATCACGATCGGCCAACCAATCGCCCCTCGCGAAAGAGAATCACGGCATGTTCGTTAGTCTATGACATGCATGTCTAGTCTGGAACAGGCTGAAGTAAATCATAACTCGTGACAGGGGCAGAGAACTTTCGACAAGTCGTTTGCACCAGCTTCGCCACCGAAGGTATCCAATCGCATACATCGCCGACGGGAAGGTCGTCGAGCCTCTCCTTGAAGTCTTGACCTCTCTGTGTAAAAGATTCACCAGATCCTCTACAGGTGCTCATGGGTAGTCCTGCTTCCCGGCAGGAAAGGCCCACGTGCAGCTACTGACGCTCAGAGCCTCTGAGGTTCCCTAGCAATCAATCTTTCCTAACCATCGGAAGTGGTTGTATGGAATGGAAAGTCCCTGCGGCTGGTAGTACACTCTTTGGCGACATTTTAAATAGCCGCTTCTGGCAAGATCATGCCAGAAAGTAGGCCATCATCCGATGAGTTGGAACACGAGAGGAACTTAAGTTTGCTGGCGGAGGTACGACATGATAGAGGCAATACGAGCACTGCCTCCGCGGGCGCCAAGTAGCGGAGTCAACAGGAATCGGACAACATTCGTCGGTAACCATCATCTGACAATCACAGCAATACGACACAAGGCAAACGGGGCGTAGGATCTACGCTACTGCGGAGTGGGTTGCACGATGTAAACCTCGACATGATGTCTTGTTTCAGCCAAGTTGGAAGCAAACAAAATCCATTGCTGGGGACTGTCTCCTTCCCCATGCCCACGAAAACAATCATATGCAATTCAGTCTCCCGCAAATATTCTCTTGAATCTCGCTTGCAGATTGTGACACCAATCCAATCACTACTTCTCCTCCACCCACCCCAAACCAAAGCCCATCCTCCTAACCTCCTCGCACCCACTCTTCTTCCACTCCTCCACACTCACCCTCACCCTACCCTGCAGCTCCTTAGTCGCGACGTCCTCCCACTCCCTGCGCGCCAACCCAATCAAATAGCTCGCAACCTCGACCTTCAGAATTTGTGCGACCGTACTACAATCTTCATGCAGACTCCCCAGTTGTGTGGCAACAACGAGGCGGTTCCTCATAAACTGGTCGAACTGTTCATTCCGCTTCCTGGCGTAGATCGTCGTCTTGCCAAGTCTCTTCACACTCTCACGTTTATTGGAATCCGGAGGGTTGATTTTGAGAAAGTCTTTGATTTGCTCGAGGTTCTCATGATAAGCTGTTCCGCTGATGTCGTCGATGAGGGTGGAGAGGTTGTCGGCGAAGTCCTTGCAGCTCTCTTCTCAGACGAGTCTTTGGGTTGGGAAAGGCAGATCGAGCAGTAAC